GACGCTGCTCTTGCTCTCTCTCCAGAGGGTACCTTCTTCATCGAGTACTGTTCAGGGGGCCTTGTCAGGCGTCTCGCGCCTGAAACCCAGGTCGGTCTGTCGAGATACTCGGTGACTATCAAACTGTGCAACAGCTATTGTCTCAGTATCGGTGACTATCAAGTTGCACAGTGACAGCAGGTGGCATTTGTTGTATATACTATCGTAGGTTTCGGCTGACCTCTGTGGACACTCTGTTCAGGGGTAGCTCAGCACGATCAATATCAATGCTTCGGTTATGATGACACCAAGGTCTGGTGTGAGTGTTGATGATGATGAGGTTGATGACGTTGGTGATAAGGTTGGTGGTGTCAACATGAGTGTCCAGTGTGTTGACTTGATGCTTGAAGTGATCCCTGGACCGCAGTGGACTACTGCCTTCAGTTCTATCTATATCCAGACCACTAACCTGCTATGGGGTGCCTACGGATGTCAGGTAGTGGTGATACAACACACACACTACGATGAGGAGCAACCTTGATAGATTGCTGCTATGCTGACTGTAACTAATGAGTACTTATGTTTCTAAAGTATTGACTAGTTGTATGGTGAGTAGAGTGGATGAGGATCCACTCGACCTATGATGATGAGAAAGCATGGTTATATACCTCTTCTCAGCATCGCCAGCGATGCTGCTCCTGCTCTCTCTCCAGAGAGTACCTTCTTCATCGAGTACTGCTCAGGGGCCTCTCCTGCTTGGCACCCCTGTGCCTCTTGAGCTGTGTCGACTCCTTCGACACTGCTCCTTCTCCTTTGACTGGTGATGGTTCCTTTGACTCTTGTCTCTCGAGCCCCTGAGTGGTAACCATCTGCATGCTCCTTGAGCTTGGTACTCTTTGTGGCTGTGCCTGCTCCTTGAGCTTGGTCCTCTTCATGGCTGTGCCTGGCCCTCCTCACATGTGAGTCCATAGGAGTCCATGGTCTCCATGGAGGCTGCACTATGACCATGCTCTTCTACTGGTATCGACTAGATCTCTGATACCTGTGCTCCTTCCATATGAACCAGTGACCCTCCTGCTTCTTGAGCATTCAGGCCCATGACACTCCCAAATTCAGAAGGAACCACATGTTGGATCTTGGATTTGGGAGCGAGCTACCACATGGTTAATGACCACAGCATGCTCATCCATCCAAGAAATTGCAGAAAGCACATGTATACCACTGGAAGTGAAGTACTGGAGGCAACTGCTGTGGGAGATATCAACATAGCAATAGAATATGGAGACATTTATCTCCAAAATGTGTTGTATGTTAAAAGACTCAATATTAACCTGTTGTCAACCAACTCACTGATGGATGAGGGAGCACATGTGACTTTAGATATGACAGGTGGGCAAATACACTTGGCAAATGGTATGCTATTGAGAATAGCAAAAGATCATGAGCATGGACTATTAGAGTTCTGAGGTGACACATGGCAACAAAGCACAATGACTACATCAACACTGCTGTTTGAAGGGGTTGATGAAGAGTTCAAGCTGGCCAATCAGAGACCAAAGATCTCCACAAGACAGCTCTGGCACAAGCCTCTAGGACATCCAGGTTGAGACAAGTCCAGAGCAATTGTTGATAAATTGAAAGGCAAACCTGTAGCAGCATTGGACCCAGATACAGCTCTGACATGTGAGCAGTGTATACAGTCCAAAAGTATGGTCACCCAGATGGGGCGAGGTAGCAGTGAAACAGCTGCGGGGCCCCTAGATCTTATCCACATTGATCTGATCATAGACTCATCCCATGTGACAGAATACATGTGCACATTAGTGCTGGTTGACAACTATAGCAAGTATGTGCATGCACAACCACTTTTATGAAAGAGCCATGCATTCACACAACTCAAAAGAATAGTTTTGTTCCTAGAGACACAGACAGGCAGAAAGCTAAAAGCAATCCGATCTGATCAAGGAACTGAATGGAAGAGCAATGAAGCATTAAAATGGTTACTAGAAAAGGGCATAGAATGGCAAACTACTGTTGGTTACAATAGCAGGCAAAATGGACAAGTAGAATGGATGAACAGGAGCCTGGGTGAAAAGATGTGAATGCTGTTGATGCAAAGGAGTTTACCAAAGAGATTTTGGCCACATGCCATATGAGTGGCAGCATTCAAGATCAACCTTACTCCCAACATTGATGGAGAGTTTCCATATCAGCTCATGTTCAAGAGATCACCAGAACAATTCATCTGCCTCATGTGTGTATTTGGATGTCTAGCTTGGGTAAACATTCCAAAAGCTAAGTGAAACAACAAGAAGCTGGACCAGCAAGCAGTTGCAGCCATATTCATAGGGTACAGCTTGGAAAGAAAGGGATGGCTATTCTATAGCCCTGATTACACTCCGAACATTTTCTGGAGCAACTCAGCAAGGTTCATGGAGACACAGTGTTGGTCAGACCAATCAGAATGGTGACCAATAAGTATTTGACCTCCACCAGTCCCAACTATTGAAGAGGACCTTGATGACCTGGGATACACAGAAGAGAACCTATTTGATGAGAGAGAGCGAGAGCCCTTGGAAGAGTATGTGGACATGGAACTAACCCTCGAGGAGGAGGGACTCAGAGGGCCACACTCCAATGATGAGAACCCTAATGGGATACCAGGGGAAAGGAGAATGACAGAGGAGAGGGAAGAGTATGTACTGGTGCCACCCAAGGATAGAGGCCCATGGCCAAACTGGAAGCTGGCTAGAAACATGTGCAACCCAGAGACCTGGGTAAAGAAGAGTTACTTTGGGCTGACAGCAGCCAAGGTCAAGGAAGGAAAGGACAGCCTGAACCCAACTGTTTGCAAGGTGCTGGCTGGAAAGGATAGGAGGTTCTGGGAAGAAGCAATGCGCAAGGAATTGGATGGGCTCGAAGCGATGGGAATGTGGGAAATGACTGACCTACCATGAGGTATGAACACAGTCAACACATGATGGGTGCTCAAGATCAAGACTGATGCAAACCTGGTCCCCACAAAGTACAAGGCAAGATTGGTAGCATGAGGGTTTACCCAGAGAGGGGGCCTAGACTACACAGAGATATTCATGCCAGTGGCACCCATCCAGGTGATAAGGGGAGTGCTGGCCATCACAGCCATATGGGACTGGGAGGTTGATTCCATTGACATCAAACAGGCTTACCTCAATTCAAGCTTGCATCATGATGTCTACCTAAAGCCACTGGTAGGAACCAGGGTACCTCCAGGAAAGGTATTGAAACTCATAAAAGGGCTCTATGGTCTGAAGCAATCAGGTTGGGAATGAAACATTGAGCTGGATACCCACCTCTGAAGTATTGGTTTCCACTGCATGCCAAGTGCCCCATGCCTTTACTCAAGGGGAGCAGGCTATCAACTCATGGTCATCACAGCATATGTGGATGACATGCTGATTGCATTGCCTTGCAGAAGGGAGGTTGACTGCACCAAAGCCAAGATCATGGACAAGTGGGGGACAGAAGACTATGGACCTGTAAGAGAATTCCTAGGAATCAAAATCACTTGAGAGAGAAGACAAGGCAAGATCACACTTGATCTAACTGCATACATCAAAGGCATGGTGAGTAAGTGGCTAGAAAGAACAAGTGAATGAACCTGGATCCCAATGCAGAGTGTAGCAGGAACTGCCAGAGGAAATAAATGCAACCCAAATCAGGCCAAGCAATATCAAGAGCTAGTGGGGCAACTTTTATGGGTGTCCAACACAGTGAGACCAGACATCTTGTTTGCAGTAGGAGCCTTAGCATGATACATGTCAGAACCAATTGACAGTGCATGGAGTGCTGTGATACACTTGTTGAAGTACCTGAATCAGACAAGTGATTACCATTTGAATTTAGGAGGAACACACAGGAGTCACACAGACCAACTGGTGGTTATGTATACTGATGCAAATTGGGCCTCTGACCCTATGAATGGACATAGGAGTACATCCAGAGCAATCACATATGTGTATGGATGCCTGGTTAGTTGGAAAACACATGTATAGAAGTGCATGGCACTATCAGCAGTGGAAGTGGAACTGGTTGCTGCCTCCAAAGCAGCAAGAGAAGCACTTTTCTTCTCATATCTACTCAGGGATCTAGGAATATTTGGAGTCAAGCCAATGCTGCACACTGATAGCCAGGGGTGCATACAAGTCAGCAAGGATCTGGCCAAACACTGGAAACTCAAACACATTGATACCAGATACTACTTTGTTAGGGATCATGTGCAAGATGGTGACATATCAATCAAGTTTGTTGGAATGGCCAACAATGTGACTGACATACTCACAAAGCCTCTCAAGGGACTCAACATGACAAGGATATCAAGAATGATAGGATTGGATATGCCATTGAGGGGGGGAGTTGAAGATGCACTGGCATTGCCAACACATGACATATTAAATGGGAGCTCACAGGATCAGGGAATCAGGAGGGCATCAGGGAATCAGGAGGGCATCAGGCAATGAGGAGGACAAGCAGAATGCAAAGCTAGTGGGAGCTAACACAGCCTATGCACAAGGATTGACACCATGGTATGCAGGGGGTATGTTGATATGACAACACTTATGAAAGAAGATATGTGGCACATGGGCATGACTCAACAAAGTGAGCACAGTCAGGTGCTGAGAACATGTATATATGCTCTTAGCTTAGTTGTTACCTCCTTACAAAATTTAAGCCTTTTGTTTTAGATCTGACTGTCAACTAGAGTGCCTGATTGTGGCCTCAAGTATTGTACATCTAAATTCAACTGCAGCAGCTGTCAAAAAGGTTAATCATCACTTTTTCTCTCGAAAAGAATGTTAGATTTCTTTTGACGCACACGCCAAGTAAGCGAGTGCGAGTGCGTGTGTGTGTGCGTCGTTGGTCGGCCTTCTTCGATCCCTCGTCTCACTATACAGAGAGATACATTCTCGTTCTTTGCTTCTCACTACCATCATTCTCAAACCCTTCCCCCCCCCCCTCCCCCGAAACGATATCGAAAAAAGATGCCTGCTTCAAAACCTAGGATCCTCATCCCGGGTGGTGCCGGATACATTGGCTCGCACGTCGCTCTTGTTACCCTCCTTACTCGCAAATACCGCGTTACTGGTAAGTAGGACTGCCATACCGATCATGTCTTGTTGTAAGAGTGGGCCAATCTCGCTGACATCCACACTTTATGAATCGAAATGGTATTTTCTCTTGGCAGTCCTCGACAATTACCACAACGCCTTCCCTGCGGCCGTCAAGCGTCTCGAGCAAATCGCCCTTGACCAACTCCCCTCCAACGCTTCCCAGCAAGACAAAGACGATTGCAAAGTCGACATCTTCAAAGGTGATCTCCGATCTAAGGAGGATATCCGCAAAGTCTTTGAATCCTACTCCGGCCAAGAAAAGATCTGGTCGGTCATCCTCTGCGCCGCTCTCAAGGCTGTCGGTGAGAGCTCCGAGATCCCTATCGACTACTACGACGTCAACGTCGGTGGTCTGGTCAACCTCCTCAAAGTTATGCATGACAATGGATGCAACCGACTCGTCTACTCTTCTTCCGCCACCGTCTATGGTACCCCTCCCAAGGTTCCCATTCCTGAATCCACCCGCCTCGCACCTGAGTCGGTCTACGGCCGAACCAAGTGGATGAGCGAAATCATCATCCGCGACGTCTGCGATGCTTATCCCGAATTTCGCGCCATCGCTCTTCGATACTTCAACCCCGCCGGTGCTCACAAATCTGGCAAGATCGGCGAGGATCCTCGTGGCAAACCTGGAAACCTTCTCCCTCTTCTCGCTCAGATGGCCGTCGGAAAGTACCGCCAAGGTGGACTGAAGGTGTTCGGAAACGACTACCCGACTCCGGATGGAACCTGCGTTCGAGACTACATCCACATCGAAGACCTCGCTGCAGGTCACGTCAATGCGGTCCAGGCTCTCGACCAAGACGACGTCTTTGCTCAAGACAAGTTGGAGACAAAGGGTAAATACAGAGCTTTCAACCTGGGTAAAGGCGTAGGCATGTCGGTGTTGAACATGGTCGATGCTATGAGGAAGGTGAGTGGATACGAGTTCCCTCATACCATCGTGGCTAGGAGGACGGGTGATGTTCCTGATTTGACCGCTGATCCTAGTTTGGCCGAGAAAGAGCTGGGTTTCAAAGCGACGAGGACGTTGGACGATATGGCCGAGGATTTGTGGAGGTGGCAGAGTAGTAATCCTCAGGGTTATGGTGAGCAGTAGATGCTGCAACAAGCCTTGAAAGCCCCCCTTTTCTTCGAAACAGCGACTAGCAAGTGGACGATCTGCACCCAAAACCTCACTGAGACTGTACAACTACGTATACATTGCACTCACTGCACCCAAGGAACCAGAAATAGAACCATGCAATCATGCACAGTTGCTCGACGGCATCATCCCGCTCTGGCAAGGCCCTAGGCACTCCATTTTGAGCCAAGATGAGCCTGCATCTGCAATCAAGATAGCAAACGATCGTCCTACAAGAGCAAGCGAGACAAGAAGATATCGTGCACGTGCTTCCAAGAAACGTCAACTCCAGGACGCGTTGTGTTTGTCGAGGCAAAAAAAAAAAAAAGGGGCTTGTACAACACAGCACAGCACAGCCCACATACTCGTCGCTCCCTCTCTTCTTCTCGCCTCCATCATCACCCCGTTGCCTTTGCACTCGACCTCATCGACTTGCAGCATCACAGTCTTTAGGCGGTGGGAGTATCAAGCTGCTCGAAGTTGGGCTTCATTTCGTTCTTGTTGAGCAAGCTTCTACTTGCCACCTTACCTCCCCGTCTTGGAGAAAGCTTTATAAGTTCCCATCCAACCCCAAGCAGAGGGACAGATACCACCACTACATACCACATTTGGAGCGAGAAAAAGGTATATGATGACAGCAGCCATAACCGCTAACCGACTAGGCTTTTGTCAACGATGCGGAGATCCAATTTCCAACAAACTTCGATGTAGTCGTTGTGGTGGAACCAGTAAGGAACCACGTATTCGATCCACACAGGCCCTACCGACTGCGGAAAAGAAGCTTGATCCTTGGGCTACCAAATATGTTCGTGGTCAATTTGGCGATCCAGGAGAGCAAGGTGCGAAGGGCAAGGCGGAGGAGGAGGAGGAGGAGGAGGAGGGCGAGTATTTGCATAATCAACCACCGCCTGTGTCGCCAAAGAGGGCAAGTTATGATCCTGCGTTGGGATTCGGGATGCCTTCGCGTATCTCCCGCGACTTGCGATCTAGTGTTACAACTCAGGCTAACTCGCTATCGCTGGATCTACTAGGTACAAGCCCTATGCAAGGCTCACGCTTGAGCCCCGCACCGATAGAAACCACGCGAAGGCTGAGCAACGACTACTCAGCCCCCCTAGTCAAAGGTTCCGATGGCGTCCTCTCAAAAGTCTGCGGTTCGCTTGTGGAACCCTCTTCGAGGCGCAACCGATGGGCATGTGTAGATTGCAACACGGTTTTTGCTCGCGATTCAACCCTCTACGCCGCCCCTTGCTCCCTTCAGGCACAAGATTCATCTTATTACTGCCGAGATTGCTACTGCAAACGATACTCTCTTGGCTCCTGCTCCGCTTGTAATCGCGCTGTCTTGGGTTCGACGAAAGAAGACGGCAAATATGTTAAGGCTCCAGCTGGGATTTGGCATGGGAAATGTTGGAAGTGTATCCATTGCAACACAAAGGAACCCCTCCTGGTCGGGATCGATGGTAGACCTGTTTGTGAGGCATGTTTCGATCGACCGAAGCCCCGACGCATTCCCTCTCCCCAACCTTTGAGCACAGCTAAAAGTAGGCAAGAATTGGGTTTGCCGGATGTTAGGAGGCTGACAAGGGTGGGAGGCGCGAGCGGAGGCGCTATGGGTGCGACTATTGCTGAGTTGACTAAGAAGTTGGCACAAACCTCGGTTTCTAGCTCTAGCTTGACTAGTAGATCTGCTTCGAACACCTCCCTGTCCAGGTCCGGGTGCAGTGGCAACTCTCTAGAAGCCTCAGCAAAGACAGTCTTTCCGCAATACATGCCCACTTCACCAACGAAACCAGCAATGACTAGCTCGGCAAGTATAACCGCCAGTCCACCCAAACCGAGACCTTTGACAGCAAGGTTTAGAGAAGGAATGGATTTGGCTGCTTTCAAGCCCTCTTTCAGCGGCCAAAGTGAGCCAGGGATGATTCGACGAGATTCGAGGAGTAGGAGCGTATCACCCTCCAAACCACCCCCTTCTTGCATTGCTTCTGCAAAACAAACAGAGAAGAACGAGGTTTCGCCAAGCTCCTCACTCGAAGCCAAGGTTCCAGGTAGTCCCTCGCTCACCTCCTCCACCAGGAGTAACCACAATTTAGGCGTGGTGGTGGACCAACTCGGTCGTCGTCGAACATCATCTCGTTTCCCACTGCCGCTCAACTCTCCTTTCTCCAAGAATGAGCCTACGGAGCCGAATCAGGGTGAGAAATCAACCGATCAGCCGGTTTTGGAGGCTGTGCAAGGTACTGTTCGATGTGCGGCCTGTCAATTACTCCCCTTCGAAGGGTCGAGCGCGGAGGAGGTGCTGATGGTTACACTTGCGGACGGGGTGCATCTACATGCCAAATGCTTCAAATGCTCCCTCTGTCAAAGCTTGATTGATGGCACAAAGACCTTCGTTAGGCTACAACAAGATGCGCGGGAGGGATCAAGTGCGTATGCTCATCCGCACTGCTCCCCTGCAATCCAACTTGTTGTGCCAAGGGTGCAAGTAAAGCAAGTGGATGGGGGACAAAAAAGTTTCAGGACGACTCTAGATGCTTGCAGTGCAGGTGGCAGTCATGCAACGCATCAGAGAGAACTCAAGCCTTCGCCTACTCCTTCCCCTGCTACTTGTATGCCTGATAGAACGACGAGGACTAGCAACGTTCGACAGAGTATCCTACCTCCCACTACACCTTGTGAAAGTGTTGGCACTTTCACCAGCAGCAGTGCAGGTGCAAGCAGGTTTCAACCAACAGCAGGAGCCGCTCCCCCGACCAGCTCCACAATGTTGGCCTCCTCCCACTCGAATCCTAGCCGTCGCCAAGGAGTGAACCCGGCAGCAGGGATTTTCACCCGACTCAACGCACTTTCTTCCGCCTCTGGCACCTCCCTTACCCCTTCTCCTTCACCGAGAGTGTTTGGTGGCATGCAAACCTGTGCATATTGTGGCGAAAAGCTCTCATCACTCGAATCCGTGCTTGGCCCTCGTGGAACTCAATGGCATAAAAACTGCCTTATCTGCAGGGCCCCACCGCCGGAGAAAAAAGGAGAGGTGTATGCATGGAGAAAACAACGGCCAACCATTTGTGGCAAGAAACTCGATAGTGGAGCAAAGGTGAATAGAGAGGGAGAAGTCAGATGTAGGGATTGCTATGATAGGCAGTGTAGTTCCTTTAGGGTAAAAGCGTGAAGCCTGCGCTTTCCAGATGTTTGTCGCCTCCTCGACATTGACGGGATGAAGCGGTTCGGTTTGTGTTTCATGTTCAGATTGTCACGCTCGTTAGATGTATGTTGTTGCATTTGCACAGTCAAGCTTTCAATCAAGTCTTGTTGGTCGTTTTCTTCTGTCCGCAAAGGCTTGATATCATTGCCTATTGAAAGCTTAGTGAACCAAGATGTGCTGAACAGATAGGTGATCAAAGTCCTACGCCTAGGCGAGAACGACGGTAGTCAGTCTTTGGCCAACGGGGCAAGTGGAAAGAAAACGCGCATTCATGGTGGATGATAGGCTTCGTCGCATGGTGGATGATAGGCTTAGTCAAAGAGACCGAAGCCCATGTCGTCATCAGACTCCTCCTTCTCCTCCTCCTTCTCCTCGGCAGCGGGAGCGGCAGCACCGGCATCAGCAGCGGCAGCGACGGGAGCGGCAGCAGCAAAAGCCTCGGGGTTAGCAAGGTACTCCTTAGCCTTCTTGCTTCCCTCAAACTCGTAATCAGTGGCAAGCGAAACAGCGATGAGGTTCTTGTAACCGTTGACCAAGCTGTGCATAACACTGGCAATGGTGGGGTAGTTAAGAGCCAACGAGATACAAGCGATCTGCTTGACACCAAGAACAAATCGGTCCACGAGATCATCCTCGGAAACATCGAGAACGGAGGACTCAAAGCACTGGCCCTGGTCGTAGATCTGCACAACAGTCATACCGTAGGTAAAAGGCGAGATGTTGAGCATGTTGAGAAGCGTAGCTTCCGACGTACCCACACGGCTACCGGCATCAACGACCTTAACGTCGCTAACAATTTCGATGGTACCACGGGCGATCTTGGTGGGGACACCGAGAGCCTGGAAGAACGAAGTCTTACCAGGTTCCATGCCTGTGTTGCCTGCCTTGACGAAAATGTCGGCGGGAGCGTAAGCACCGGCACGAGCAGGAGCGGCTACCCGGTTGGAAAGGATCTGGTCGCGGACATCCTTGAGATCACCAGAGGTGAAGACGAAACCGATGTTGCCCTTAAGGTGAGGGAGCAAGCGCTCGTAATCGGGATTGTCACCAACAAGCATTCGGAGAGCACGACGAGCCATGGTGTTTTTGCCCATGAGAACGACACCTTTGCCACGGAGAGACTGACGGATCTGGTGCATCTGCTGGGAAGAGACGTTGTCGATGTTGACGATGAAGATGGAGGGGTACTTCTCGAGGAGCTCGGTGAGCTTCTCGAACCAAGCCTCCTTGGTAGCGCGGGGCATGCCTCCCATTTTGGCGGATTAGATTGCGGGTTGGTGGTTGGGGAAAAGGGTATTGGATGTATGTGTTGTAGTGGAGAAAAAAGGGGGGGGGGGTTCGGCCTACCTATCACCTCAAAGAGTGGATTGAAAGGAAGTTTAAAGGTCGAACAAAGAGACGATCGATGAATTGGTGGAGGGGAAGGAAGCAGGCAAAGTGGATCGTGATGGCAGTCATTCTCGCCTTGGCTGTCTCACTCACAAGGAATTCTTGATTTCTGCCTTGTATCCGAGCTGCTGCGGCAAGTGCCGGCTTGCCAGTTTCGCAGAATTCGGATCCGGATTGCTTTGAAGGCTCCGCATCATTCGTGCGAGAAGGGGTTGCGAGACGCTTTCCGACTTCCGAGAATGTTTTCCAGGTTGGCCCGCTCGCTCTTCTCAAGCACAAAGAATGCCGCCATCCCATCCACACAAACACTCATCAGCAAAACACTCATCAGCAGCAACTGTCTAGACACTTGGCAACACATCGCAAGCAGTGGGCAGCACGCTACGAGGCTATCGCCCCAGGCCAAGATCCGAAACACAGCACCACTCGATCCCAATCTCGACACAAATCCTGCCAAGTCCGTTTTATCTAATGGCACGACAACCGTAGAGGCGACACTATCGCATCAACCAGCACAACCCATCTTGCTGCCTAGGAGAAGCTGGCTCCGCATCTCAGAGTGCCGGCAGCAAAATATCAGGTGATGTTTGGGCATGTCCTTTAGCACCGCCTTCCAGTCGCTTCGCGCTCCAGCGAGGTCGATAGCGTCCGCGCAAGGCTTACGTCGTCCAGCAGCATCCTTGGCATCCAGAGCGAGCTCTACCAGCTCGAGCAAGGCACCTGTACCGACACCGCACGTCCCGCATGGACACCTGCACCAAGGCGTAGCTGGCCCCTCTCGCTGCTTCTGCACCTCGCACAAACTCGCGAAAGCTTCGGACCTGCGCTTGGAGGAGCTGCACTTTCATGACTCGCTCGACACCTGTCGATATGCACCAGAGCCATACTGGCAGCCTGCCAAGCCTTCTACACCGAACTTCCGCTCGGAGCAGCACACCCGACTGGCGACACAGTATGAGATCGCGGAGCCAGCATCATTTCGGTCGCTGCTTGATACCAATTCGCAGCGAGCCGACACTGACCCTCCACCAAACGACTTCTTCACATCATCAGCACCGCAACATACGCGCCACTCCCACACTGCAGTGGCAGAATCAACAACGCACCAACAACCAGATCATGCCCCAGCTGCAGCAACAACAGTCTCCTACATCGACTCACTAGATCCCACACGCAGAGATGCTCTGGATAATCGCGTACGGCTGCTGATCCGATCAGGCGAGCACTCGATGACCGCCCTGGCTGCAGAGTATGGCGAGCTTGCGCCCAAAGAGCTGGAACAAGTCTGCTGCCATATCATGTCAAACTGCATCAAGGAGAAGCACGACGCTCGTATCCTGTGGGATCTCTATCGTTCCTGGACACCTCCAACACCATCAGCTATCGCTGCTGTACCCTCTGGTCCAGTTCGGTCAACACTTCGGCGCATGCAGGGCGACACACTCTATCGCTGCTGCACCTGTTTGCATACTGCTGGCATGACCCGTCAAGCTGCGATCGCTATCCGTGACGCTCGTCTCAAGCCGTCACAAGCTCGCTACCTTCTCGAGAGACTCGTTTACGATCTTACAATGCCGCCATCTCCCATTCCCTCGACGAAGCGCCAATCGACTATGTTAGAGCAAGGCAACAGCGACCCGGCTATAAAGCACGATCCTGACACCTTCGCTGCAGCCAGACTCGTCGTATCAGAAATCAGCGACACAATGATGAACCTGATGGCCCATGGAGTCTCGTTCAAGCAAAAGGTAGTCGACCGTACGCTCAAATCGCTATGTCTTACAAGAGCGAGAAGTCGAATGGTTCGGCTATTGCGTGCGGCTCAGCGTCGGGCTCAACTTGACTTGCTCGCTGATAACCGAAAAAATCTCGAGGATGGAGGAGGCGAGATGCGTCCTGCTCCTGCATTCTCGCCCTTACGAAGGATGGAAGTGGAAAAGGTGCCACAAGTGGTGTCTACAAAAGTCATGGAATCTTCAATCCGTCTTCTCTGCCTACTGGACTCAAGAGGAGCTCGAACAGCATACGACCTTCTCTCTGCCCTCGATCCAACACAGCGAACAGCAGGAATGTACGATGCTCTCATGACGGTCTACGGCAACGTCTCCACCGATACGGCGAACAAGGAGGGTGTAGGGTGTATGGCAATAGACGAACAGCTCTGGCACGACATCTGCACATTCCCACACCTTCCCGGCCCATCTCTACACACCATATCAGCACGCATCATCTGCCACACTCGAAGACGCGAGTTCGGCCTCATCCAATCCGACCTGGCATTCCTCCGCTCCCAAAACCTCGGCACCATCCACGAGCTTACAGAGAATGCAAAATTAAGCATCATTCGATGCAGCATCGAATCAGGTTCCCTCCTACCCGGCTTTCGTTACGCGTCCATTCTTCTACGACACCCCAGCACGGATGCAGAGTTTCAGGCTAAAGTGGTCACAACACTTTTGAAGGCGGGACAACATATACACGCCACACGGAAAACTTGTTCGGATTCTGTTCCATCGCGAGCACAGCTGTTGAAGAGGTTTATACGTCATTTTTCACATCTACACAACCGGTTCCCCGCTCTGCGAACCGATCTCGCAACGCTGGAATTGTTCCTTCAGCTCTTGGATAGGCATCAGCTGTGGATAAAGGCCGAAACTCTTTGGAACATGCTTCGGGTCGTTGGACAGCATTTTGGAAAGCAAGACTCGCGCCTGGTCGATGTCATTTGCGCTTTCGAAAAGATTTTCGAGAACAGAGGAGAAGTCTCCTCCGCACAAGAACTGCGTCGGCTCATTAACAAACTTCAGCATTCACAACATGTCACGTAGCACACATAGACAACATCGAACCCATTGCATTCATTGTACTCGTTGAAGTGGAAACCCCCAAACCCCAATTCCCCCCCCCCCCCACCCGCCTTTTTTTTTTTTTTTTTTTTTTTTTTTTTAGCCACGATTCATGGTATTACCAGCGCCCTTCTTATTCTCTTCTGCAAAGCGATCCCAATGAATATCTTTCTGTCGTTGTTCTTCCTCCGCCTCTTGCGCGTCTCTTGTTCCATCCTCCTCTGCTCTCCTCTGACGCTGCTCTGTGCTGGTAGGAGCGTCATAGGAGGCTTGTCCACCACCTTGGATGATGTTCCCTCTCCTCTCTTCTTCCTCCAGATACTCCTCGATGGACATTGTGGGAAGCCTGTGTCCAGGTCGGAAAACTTGAGCTGCTTGCTCGGCTCTACTTTTACAAGTAATCGTAAACGGTCGCAGGACTTTGCCAGATGGAGCCATTAAGGGACCTGTTGTAGCGAGTCGAGATTGTGTTTGGTCCAGCCTCCATTCGCTACTTGAAGCATCGGAGGTGGTGAGGTTTGAGGAAGGTGGTTGGGGAGGTGGCATATTGCGAAGTAGCTGGAGTTCTTGTGAAGCTGAAGCGAGAAGTTGAGCTGCCTTCAAAACATGCAAGTTGAGTAGAGCCAAGAGGTATTGTCGCGGGGAAGAGATTCCTCCAGGTCCGGTTGTTGAGCTTGTCTCGTTTACGTTTTCATCCTCCTCCTCCTTCTCCTCCTCCTCATCATCGCCGCGTTGCTGAGTGGGGTAAAGGAGAAGATCGTAAAACACATCACTTGGCACGTTCCCCTGCACCTTTTTCTTGGCTGCATACGCTTCTCTGTATTGTTCGAGGTTCGTCTTGAGAGCTCGCTCGAGTTTGAATGTGGCAATCTTGACCTCTCTTATATGTGGAGGCGTTGCACCTGCACCCACCAACCCCTCTAACCCCAATCCGCTTACTTCATCCGCTGTCACACTTGCCATCAACCATCCCAACAACTGCTTCGTACTCCCCGGCACCACTGCCAACGCAACCACCCTATTCACAAACTTGGCAGCAGCTACTTGGCTCGCGTGCAAGCAATGCATCCTCGCACTATGGTCCGCCCCCGTCCTCACCGCCTGTTCCAACTCCGCTCGTAGGGAGGGGAGGAACAGAGTACGGAGTGAAGAGGTTGAGATATCTCGTAATGCATCGTTGGGGGAGATGACTCCGATTGAGTCTGAGATCTGTTGTGCGCGTGAGAGGAGTGATAGGGTTTGAGCTGGGGGATCGGAGGCTGGGTCAGGCATGGTTGAGGTGGAGGCGGAGGGTTCGCGAGGATCAAATTGTTGAGGTGGAGGTGGCGACGGAGGGTCGGATGCCCGGAGGAAGACGGCCGATATGAGATCGTTGAGTGTTTGGCCTGACATTGTTGCTTAGCTGCTGACGATGAAGTGTTATGATGGTGGTAAGGAGAGAAGGGGGATGGCTGAGTCGAAGAAAGTTGCCGAGATAAAAAGACAAGTGTTGGTCTGAACGCTCATGTCTCGGGTCTTCTGAAAAACCCTTGAATCCGGAATCCGGATTCCGAGTTCCGAGTTCCGAAATCTGCTCAGGCTCAGTTGTCAACACGCATGCACTCCTTGACACCTCTCTCAAATCTATCGTTTTTCGTTCATGGAACAAAGGGTCAAATGACGGAAGGAAAGCCTAACCCAGCAAGACACTAGAAAGGAGAGATCCGATATCCGCCAAGGAGGACTGCCGCGATGTACAAATTGGCAAAGGAGGGTAAGAGAACGTGGATCGCTCGGTATTGCTTCCAGGCGTCGCCATTGATTGTAGGGGCCGGCATTGCGAACAGGGCTTGGGGTTAAGTCTTGGCGATTGAGCTGTCTGTAGTAGGAGGAATTCACAAGGGTTCGGAGATGGCAAGCCAGTGGATCGAGCTTGGTGGAACTAGCTAAACATCAAGACGAGTATTCTGATAGCAGCTTTGACGGCCTCCCTATATATGAGGTTCTGTACTGTACTGCACAGTAATGTATCGATTGGTTTGCCGTGACCGCTCAGGCTTATCAGACTTGGGCCACAGACGGGGCCAAAATCTCTCGCCACAAGCAGTGAGATGCAATCTTTCGAGCATTGCGCACCTGAATGCGACCTTTTGAACCCGATGCCAGATACATGATCATGGTTCATTGCGATCAATCTTCAAAGACGGCGGGCGGTGTCACAAATCACCACGGTCGTAGAGAGAAAACTTTGATACTGTAGCTTCCCGAATCACATGTCATTTGCGGGCTCTGACAGCGAGATCCTGACCTTTTGCAGTACCTGCATGCTTGATTGATTGTTCCTTGCTTGGATACTCAAGCCTAGATAGTCGCAAAGCCACACGATCTTCGGTGTAGCAGCGACAGGAATCCTTTTGCCAAGGACAAAAGATATCGGAATGAACTTGGCTTTGCGTATGATCATGCTGTTGACACTTTTTGACATTTTCTTGACGCTCTTTCGTGGTCCTTTTTTAAAACCTTTTCCGAATCTGATTTCCTTTTCCTTTTCCTTTTCCTTTTCCTTTTCTTTTTCCTTTTCCTTTTCCTTTTCCTTTTCTTTTTCTTTTTCTTTTTTTGATTCTTTTTGCTTTTTGACGCTGACTGTGGTTTTGCATAGCCGTGTGCCGCCGACTGCCGGCACGCGATCTAACCTTGATTGGTGTCCGTGCGAGCTCTGCCAACCTTCTCTAGTGGCTGAGGTATATCAACCTCCACCCTGCCTCGCCAACAACACCCGATCAATACCACCACCATCAACCTCACCAAACATCTCACCCCTGTGCAAGCGTCCGAGATCATGCCAGTCCCAACCGTTCGTCTTTCCTCGGGCGTCGAGCTGCCCCGTCTTGCCTTCGGCACAGGCACCGCGCTCTACAACTCCACCGTTACCAAGCAAGTCGTCATGGCTCTCGAATCCGGCTTCCGTTTCGTCGACGGAGCTCAAGTATACGCTAACGAAGAATCTGCTGGCGACGGTATCGAGTCTTTCCTCAAATCCTCCGGTCTTAAGCGTACCGACCTCTACGTCCTTACCAAAGTCGGCAAGGCTGGTATGCTAGACCTTCAATCAGCGGTCAAGGAGGAAATGCGAAAGCTCAAAGTCGAATACCTTGATTCTTACCTCCTTCACTTCCCTCCCCGCGGTAAAGATGGACTTCCTAGCAACGTGGATGCGTGGAAAGAGCTGGAGAAGATCAAGCAAGCGGGTCTGGCGAAGAGTATCGGTGTCAGTAACTGGTTGGCCAGTGATATTCAGCAACTGTTGGACGCTGGATCGAGCGTGCCTGATATTAATCAGATTGAATTCGTAAGTTGCTCTCCTTTCTACCATATACTCTGATCTATATGCTTGCTTTCTGCGTGATTCTGATGTGCACCTGTCTGGCGTTTTCGATATGATAGCACCCTTACTGCTACTCTCACGAGGAGTACATCAAGCTCCTTGCTCTGCAGAAGAAGCACGGTATTGTCACCATGACCTACTCTGCTCTCGCTCCGTTCTACAAGAATGCTTTGCCAGAGGATGGACCTCTGAACAAGGCTCTTACTGCCATAGCGGGTAAGAATGATAAGCGTACCCCGGCCAACGTCTTGCTCCGATGGGCTCTTCAGCGTTCGGAGGGTATCATAACCACCACCACCAGCAAAGAGTCTCGTGCGAAGGAGTACCTCGACCAGTTGGACACTTGCAACGATTCGCAGCTCACCTTGACCGAGGACGAGCTTAAGCAGATCGACCAGGCTGGTAAAGAACACGGCGCCGAGAAATTCTACATGGCTCCTTACCTGAAGCCTTAAGCAGCCACTAGTCTTTTTCGCTTCTCGACACTTCAACAATGCAATGATAGCTCAGTGATGATGTAACGATCTGTATGTTGTGTGTAGTCCGTCATGGTAAAAAGTGTCGATGGAGGTCAACGTGGGAAATGAGTGAGTGGAGGCGAGATATTGCTATGTTAATGCGTCAAGAGTGTAACAAAGCAAGAAAAATCGTGATCGCATCGCAGCCAATCTCGGATCCGAATTGCGCGCTTTGGATTTCGAGGTTGGCTATTCGCAACTCGTTCTCAACCCCTTCTATCTTCTTGACACCATCCTTCTTGATCGTGACCACCGCTTTTCCACGCCTTCCCTCACAACGCGGCCACTCAACAAAGGCACGTAATTCCAAGGCAACCTTTCATCCGCCAATAATAGTCCACAATGGCTGTAAGTGTTCCGAACATGATGGCGCAAGTGCACACTTCGTTAGATTGGAATGGATTGCTGACCATCGCTTTTGCCTACTTGTCCTCTTAAATCGCTACAACGCATCACTACGACAACATCGCTAACTTCATGGATATGCCCGCCGCTCGTTTATCTCACCACATACCGCCACCTTTGCATGTGCTCCAAACTGCAACCGATCGACCGCATCCAACACCTCTTACTCCACCGATCATATTCACATTCGACGCTGCACCTTCCCCTCTCGCGGCCAACTTACGACTCTTACCGCTCCATACGCTTCCCGGAATGCACTTGGAACATATCTTGCACCGAACCCACTTATCTCACGCTTCCAACCCAACCCTACATTCGACCCCCCCTCTCAAATAGTCCGGATTCAGCTTCAAAGGAGGTCGACCTCGCTGTTTCGCCTTTTGGCAAGAATTCCAAAAGTGCTACGTTCAAGCTGAAACCCCATCCGACTGTGTCGTCGCAAAGGAAGACTATCTCGAATGCTTGCATCACACAAAGGAAATCGCTCGAGCAAAGGAAATCAAAGATCACTGGCTTCAGCGTCAAGCCAAAGAGGCTCACGCAGCACGCGAAAAGGGAGAAGTTAGAGCCACTTGCAGCATCCTGGATCTAGGTCTTATAAATGATAAGAGTGGTGGAGATGATAAGTCTTCCAGCTCGAGCTCAAGCTCTCGGTCGTCGGAGTCGGATTCTTTGTAGATCAGCTCTGCACATTGCTTTCTCGCGTTCAATCCAGTGGTATACGTAGTTCATGGTGTGATTGTGTGGGGTGAGTATATTGTGCAGTGTGCCTGTGTGCCTGTGTGCCTGTGTGGATTAGCAGCCGAGATCGGGTGAATTGTATTCGAAGCCGCCAGTGGAAAGACTGGGTGGAAGGTCTTCCTCCTTCCCACCGAACTCTTGGTTTGGTTTGTCTCCCAAGGTCAACTCCAATTGCGCTCCATCTGTGAAGACTTTATGGCACAACCAGTTCTTGGTATACTTTTTCCCATTTAACTTGGCTTCAACAATGTACTTGTTCTTTCGGCCTCTGTCAAATCCGATCGTTTTCAGCCTGAACGACTTTCCCGTAACTGCATTCTTGATCTCATACCCAGCCAGCAGTGGTGTACTGAAGAGATAAACCGCAGTCCCAGCAACAGGGTAGAATCCGAAATGACACCAAACAACTAAACTTCCCATCGCCCCAACGTCGTCGTTACCCGGTAAGCCGTTCTTTGTCGTGTTGAACTTGCTGCTTATCAGTCCTAGAACTGTGTCTACCGTGTGGGAGTAGCCTGCAACAGCGTAGTTAGCGCTGAAGGCAGCGAGAAATCCAGGTTCATCACCTATATCAGCATATCCCTTCTTCCACATATGATCGTAGCGTTGGACAAATCGACCATGTCCACCCATAAGCTTCACCACGGTCGCCATATCGTGCGGGGCGAAGAAGGAGTACTGCCAAGAAGAAGCTTCGTAAAAATCATGTCCCTCGCCTCTGTCGAGGAAACAAGCAAATGGTTCCAACGCTGGAGAACATCGGCGGGGATCTTGGTAGGACCATGTACCATCTTGCTCCCGCGCTTGAAGGAAACCGGTGAAACGGTCCGAGGTAATGCTGCTGTTCCAAAGATTGAATGTGTCATGGCTTAACCGGACGTACTTGTCGTATAGTCGTCGATTTTGTAGACCGGCCGAGACGAGGGCGATGGAGAAATCGTTGTATGCGTACTCTATAGTTCTGGAAGCAGTTCGACCAGGAGTTGCTCCAATAGTAGCAGGTGAACCCGAATCGCCCCTGGGAACATAGCCCAATTTTGCACGTGCGGCTATGCCTCCTCTCCCTACAAGACCCCAACTTGGAGGCTCGACGGTGGCGTCTTTCAGCATAGCTTGCAGTGCGTCTTTCCAGAAAGCCGTGTCTGAGCGTAGGATACCTTTGACGTAAGAATCGGAGAGAAGCATTTCAGCATTGCTTCCACCTTGAGTGAAGCCTTGATTGGTGGACATCCTGCAATCGGGTAACCAACCCTCCTGGCGTTGAATTTCAACGATTGCTTCCACCACTTCAGCCTGCGCGGCGGGTGCGAGAAGGGACCATAGAGGATGAATTGTACGAGCGCTATCCCAGATGCAGTAGAGCGAGTCGTAGGAGGGTTTCGACGTTTCAAACCGAGGATTGTCCCCAGTGACATTGTTAGGGGATAGGAAGGAGCGGTAGAGAGAGGAATAGAAGAGGGTCAGATCGTCCTTTGTAACACCATCGTGGGAGATGGTGAGCGAGTCGCCGAGCAGGTTGTTCCATCGTTGGTGGGTGGAGGAGGCGGTAGTGGAAAGTGCAGTGGGGAAGAGGAAGGCAGGGATTTCAGAAGCTGCAAATTTGCAGGCTGCTTCAGTGGAGACCCAACTGATCGCCATTCGGACAGGTAAGTTGCCATTGTAGGGAGGGGAAGAAAGTTTGTCTTGATCGAAAGTAAGGATTACACCAGCTTCGCCGTCAATGTCGGTGAGTTTGGTAAGGTCAGGTGTGGATTTGGAATCTTGGAAGATGCCGAAGGATCGGACTAGCGGTAGGTCGAGACATGTGTAGACTTTGAATGTGCCTATGCCGAAAGACGGAGAGAAGGTGGCACTGGTCTGGATCCTCGTCACTTTTGTAGCTGCTGAGTTCGGCGTTGCTGGGAGAGTGAGAGAAGAGATGCGGAGGGAATTAGGTGGAGCTCCACCGCTCTTCTGAAGGTCATTCGTATAGTCGAACACAAGTACTGGATTCATGTTGTTTGCTCTCTTTCGATTCACCTCTCCGACTTGTGAGCCTCGTCGCTTTAAGGAGCGCGCTCCAGGCCAGGGCCCTCTCTTGATCGCTCGCGAGAACTGGAAGTTGTAAATCGCAGCATGGTCCGTTGCGGCAACATTCACGTCGATGCCGTTTGCGAGTGTAGCATGAAGCTCTCCAGGAGAAGTGCTGACAGAATCAAGCTTGACCTGGGTTCGTCGGGCGTCTCTGGTCCATTTGCAACCCGAGCTTGCCTCTTCCGTGTCTAACTGGCAGTATTGGGGCAGCAGCGAAGACATACCCAGCGAAGGTCTTCCTCCTGTACCGTCATCGTGAAGTGCACTGATGCCAAAGATGAGAGATTTGCCATCGGGAACAAAGCCGGCTTGGTTGTTGGATGAATCCGAGTCGAAGCCTGGTTTGATGCTGCCGAAGGGTGTGGAGGGTCCGGAGAAGACGTTGCCGCCGTTGAGGGTGCCGATTAGGGTATCGACGTACGAAGCCGGATCCCTAGTAGGCGCTTGTGCTGCATCGCTCACAGCAAGCAACGCGCTGAACGAGAGAGCATACGGTACAAGGCGAGTGAGGTGCATGGCGGGCGTGAAGGAAGCCGTCGCAGCCTGATACCGAGATCAAGCGGGAAGATGGTTGTTTAGGACAAGGCTTGCATTGGGAAGAGCAAGCTTACATATATCTCGAGATTCTACTCGAGAGTCGATGGAGGCCAGCTCCACCTAGGCTGTGGGGCCAAATGAACGGTAACTTGACCAGGCTGGTGGGCGAGAATGCAATGGCAGGGAAGGGTGGGGACGAAGAAGGAGCAATAGATACAGTTGAAAGCAGAAACACCACTTGGTTGGGGGCGAGGATCAGGCATGTGTGACTGCTACAATGGAGGCTATGAAACATGAGTAGATGCACTTTAACACCGCCATTGACACTTGTCGAGCTGTCAGAGATGAGACGAGTGGTGTATCTTTTCCTACATAACTCCGAACTGTCTGTCCTTTCATAACCGTTGCCATGTCAACCCACCGCTTGGCATACCTCATATCTCGGTGTCAAGCCTCGAGAGTAAGCCAGTTGAAATTAGATACACCCTTCAGGAGGCCACAGTCAGGCACTCCTTTCAGTCAGGTGGATAGTAAACAGGAGTATATATACCCTAACGCCCGACCATGTTTGCTCTTCGAGTCATGTCCATGGGTCGAGGATCTCCTTTCATAACGGTTGTCATGTCAACATGCCTCCTGTATACGATGCTATCAATCCACACACGAGCTTTGCATCTATCTCATCTTCCTTGGCGCTTGGTGTCTTGTTGATCTCCCGATTCTGAATACTCTGATCTAACACGTCGACCTTTGAAAATGCCGACGTGCCCGCCACCGAGAAAAGGGCTTACCGTGTTAGACCCTGGAAATTCCCACTTATCTTCAACTCATACCTGAACCCACAGCCAAGTTTCAGAGACCAACGCCTGTGACTCATTTCGACCTAACATTACCAGCCTTGCCTCTCGACTAGAAGTTGCCTTGGCGCAACTTGACTTGATGCCCTGTTCCCCCAACGAGACTGTGCATCATCTCCTCCCAGTCTGTATCCATGCAAAGTTGCACCGAACCTTTGTCTGATTGGGTGCGCAGGCAGGATCTTTCATGAGCTTAAACTCTGCGCAGAACCAAGCCTAGTGCGGTACTCACGTATTGTTGTGGGGCGCAGCAGAAGAGTTTGCACCAGCCTTCGAGATGCAAAGTCTGCGCAGAAGCATCCATGTCCCACGATTCTGCGCTTGATGCGTGCGCAACCTGACTTCTGCACAGCAGCTTTTGCAGCCTCGGGAGGTTTGTACTGCTTTCTTGCATTCATCTTTCCAGGCCTCTCCCTTCTTTCGCAGACGAGACCTTGCTCTATACAGCTGTCCAACAGTCGTTTGAGGTAGCTGAGGTTTTGAGACCAACTAACATCACCCAACGCATAAAGTCAGGACTCTGTTCTCGTTCTTCGAGTCCCCATCACACATTCCAACAAACGGACCCCTCTACCTCTCCTTGCCCCTCAACCTGCTCCAATCTACCCTCAAAAGGTCCTCAAAGCACCACACCCTTGAGATCTGTCGAACAAGACGATCTTCAACCACACCGCAAACATTCTCCGGTATTGCCCTCCTCGTTCCCGCTCATTCGCTCCAAGATGCGCTTCAACATCAGCACTCTCGCCTTCTCCCTGCTCTACCTCTCCACTCTCACCTTCTCCCTCCCCATTGCCTGCCCATCCCGAGACGTTTGCAAGCGAAACCAAGCCGGAACCTGCATCAGTGACCAGCGCAGCCATCCTCTAACCAAAGCTTTGGGTGGTTCTGACCAAGCCCACTTCTCCATGTATTCCTCCGAATGTCGTCACCTCCATCAGCTTATTGACAAGTCCATTAAGCTATGGAGAGCAGCCAACCGAAACGAATCGATCGCGCTCTTCTTCCAGGTCTACCACCCGCAGGCCGATCTCAAGGAGATGAGGATGGTGCAGGAATGGTTGAATCCTAACTTGAGCACTCAGTTCAAGAAGAAATGGTTCGGGCCTGGAACTGGTGTACTTGCCAATGCTACCGGCACCGAAAGTAACAGTCTACCCAATGGATCCGCTATTCCCAACTTGCACCAAGTCGGTTCTGGAGGCCAACTTTTGGTCAAGAGGGGATTATCGTCGAGCTCCTTCAAGAATCTCGGTCAGAGGATTTCGGTTGGCGAATGGGCCAAATGGGCAACGACTTGTCGTTACAATACCGACTGCCAGAAAGGCGCTAAGAATTACTTGGCATTGATTGTTGCCGGCTGGTATTCGGTGCAGGGTAACAGCTGTTTAAGGGGAGTGTTGGAGGGAGAAGGAGAGTATGTTGCTTCTCTTGCTTGGGATGAATGGGGAAAAGAGAAGGTTGTGTGTTTGGGCAATCAGCCTAATGGGTGCGAGGAGGCGAGCTTGAGGAAGAGAGGCTTGCAAATCTGTCGCCAAGATTGAGGCAGTGATTGAGGAGGACGATATCGTCCGTCGGTGCCAACCCTCCGAAGAGGGCGTCTTGGATGATTCCCTTGCTACATCCTCACTTGTCGCATGTAACTCCCTTTAAAGGCTTGAAACGGTTCACTTAAGTGGCGCAAAGCTGTCTCAAAGCTTTCCGATTATTGGTCACCGGTTGATACTGCGTTTGGATGTGAGTTGCCGTTAGGGTGAGTTCGACGTTGTTGGAACCTGTCAAGGTCTGTTGTACCAAAGCAAAATATAAAACATGTTAGGTCGAAATCTACAACAATTCTGAGCGGCGAAAAAATATGTTCAGGGACGCAACCTGAGAACACAATGCGTCGAGAGGCGATTCACGTGCTTTAAGCATGAGCCAGCCCAGATATAAGACAGGCACGGACTGTGATGTGCTTGCCGAATGATGACTGAGCCGCCATCGTCAACACTCACCCTCCTACTCCACCATCACCACCTCATCGACTGCAAGGCGGAGCTACTACACGCTTTCGTTAGTATGCCAATAGGCTAATCCTCATGTCCTATCCGCAATCACGAACGCCACGAGGGTCATCAGATCTAAACACCCGCTATCGACGCATCTCCTCTCACCAGCAACAACAGCAACAACGACAACGACAAGGACAACGACAGCCACCACAACTACAAAGACACTATTCAGCCTCTACACCCGCATGGACTTCTCAACCTGTTCCCGAACCACCACTCCTTCCACCACTGGTTGATTTGGCCAACTGGATCGCGTCTTTGCCGCATATTTCACAATGGCCATCTTTGTTGACTGACAGGCTGCTACTCGCGCCTGTGTCGGTGTTGTTGCAGTATACGAGAGACTTTATTCTCTCGCCCAAAACGCATAGGATCGTTGTGAGGCTAGGTGTGTTAGCGACGATCTTTTGGATTGCGTTGGCCGCTGCGATCGTTAGTTATATCGGCTTTTACAGAGCTTGCGTTCCCGATGTGGGTTTGAGGAAGGAAATTTGGTTACAGTATGGACAGGATCGACCGCCCTACGCCGAGCTAGACTTTATTGCGAGTAGCAGTTCTGTTCAGCTTAGAGAACCGGTTGCTTCCTCGTCTAATTCGAACCCATCGAGTGATATCGCAGGGGAATACTTTGCTCAAGATCAAGCATACGATGTTACACTGGAAATCTCGGTTCCGCTCAACCAGGCGAATTTGGATCTAGGAAACTTTATGGTCGATCTGAATCTCAAGAGTAAGGCTAATAGATCGGTGTTTCACGTTAGCAAACCGACCTTGTTGACCTATTCCGCTGCTCCGGTCAGAGCTGCAGCGAGTGTTTCACAGATGGTATCGAGAAACCCTCCTTCGACGCAGGCTCCGACGAATTCACAGCTCCTACGCATTCCGTTGTTGAGGAGGGCCGTGCTGAGGCCAAGCTCTTTTGCTCCTCCTCTTTCGTCTACTCCGCCGGATCCGCGAGCTGATCGGAAGGTGACGCATGGAATGCTAAGCGTCGGCCGAGCAGATGCGGATAAGTTCTGGATGTACGGTGGCAATCATAACACGCTAGCTGGTATTCAGACTTTACCGGCGAATGGCAAGATCCTACCGCTGTCAGTGGGATCTCATTCGAGTAGAGGAGAGCTACAGACGTATGGGGCTAGTTTAAGATTCGATGCGCATCTGACCGGGTTGAGGTTCTTCATGTACCATTTCCCCTTGTTGAGCTTTGTTCTCTTTACAACGGCGTTTTTGGCGTTCGAGATGGCTACTGCGTTGACGTTGTGGGCTGTAGCGGCGATCTATACCAGTGCAATCACGGTGGAGACTTCGTTGGGGACTGAGGAACACTTTCAGGAGAAGCAAAGGTATCGGAGGGAGGAGTTTGGGGTCAAGACTGAGAGTGACAGTGCTAGTGGAGAGGAGGAGGGGGATGGGGAAAGGAGGAGATATAAGCAGGAGGAAGTGGAGGAGGCGGAAGAGGAGAAAGAGGAGACGGAGACTGAGACTGAAGCGAGGAGGAGGAAAGGATATGGGGCGAGGGCAAAGGTTGAGGATTACGATGATGAGGAGATGGAGAGGAAGAGGGAGGGGGAAGGGGAGGAGGAGATGAGGTTGAGAAGTATGGAGAGTTTGAGGGAGAAGGATAGGACGGATTTGGCAGAGGCGATTAGGCAGTCGAGGATGAGGGATTTGTTGGAGGCGACGAGGATGGGTGGGGTTGGCACTAGTGCGGAAGCGGCTGGGGGAGGAGTGATGGATATTGTGGATCCGACTTTGCCCATTTCGGCGGAGGAGTTGTCGGAGATTCAGTTGTCGAGGAGAGTTTTGGATCGGTTGGATGAGGAAACGGAGGAAGATACGGATGTGGCGAGTTCGAGGCCGTCGAGTAGGTTAGCGGCAGTTGGTGGGAGGCGTAGGGGATCGGGAGAGGCGGATAATGGAGGAGAGGCGGATCCTTGGGAGGATTTGGAGGGCGAGTCTGCGTTGAGTGAGAGTGTGGAGGCGCAAAGACAGGTGAAAGGCGACAGTGATGAGGGTGATGGAGATCAAGATGAGACTATTGGCGGTGTAAGTATTCCTGGCTGAAGATAGAGAGATAAAGAGGATAGATGACTGACAAGCTTTGCCTTTGAAATAATGGTTTGATACACAGTCGACAACGTCGGGAGGAAGAACGGTGCGATCGTTCGGAGCTACTACTCAAGCTACCACCGCTCCTGGGTCTTCTTCTACCCGACGCACAGAGTAAAACGATTCTATCCTCGCTATCACAGATGACGGCGTGTGTACGTTTCTATTGGAAATGGACCATAGTCTATCTTGCATCGTCTACAGGGTATGATTGGAAAGGAAAGTATGTCTTCCTACCAAGCCGAACGATCGACAATCAACTGAGCAATCTCTTGCAGCCTCTTCTCATCTTGCTCGTCAAACCCGTTCAACGACTCGCAGTCGATGTCCAAAACACCAATGATCACCTCATCATCATCGCCTCTTCCGGCCCACGACTTGTCCTCTACTTGCGCTGCGTTGCCTCGCGCTCTTGGACTCTGTTGCTCCAAGGCATCTTGGTGCACTCTCGCTAGTCTTTCTCTTTTAATCACCAATGGGACTACGATCTCGGATTTGCTTAGTGAGTCGCAAGCAATGTGGCCCGGGTATGCTTCCGTATCTTGCACTCGAACCACGCGGGGTGGGAGTAGAGCGGAAGCATCAGCACAGACTCCCTTTCCAGGTACGGACGAGATGAGTTGACAAGCGGGTAAGCCATTGAATGGTCCAAGGAGGAGTGTTGGAGCTCTTCGGGTCTTGCGGTTGTGTACTTCGGAAGGTAGGAGGGGAGAAAGGAGGTAGAAGCCAGCCCAGTTGATACGTTTTGAGGCGAAAGAGGGGAAGCGGTTCATGGAGTTGAAGATGAGTGACGAGGCATTGGAGAGGGATGAGATCCAGTCGGTGCCGGGGTCGATGAGGGATGTGAGCGAGGAAGAGAGGTGGTCGTAGAAGTCGGATTTGGTGATGACGTAGGATGGGAGTGCTGCTGCGTCTGCGTGGACCATTTTTGCGATCGACGATCTGGGGCGGGGGAAGTGGCAAAGAGGAAACTCAGGAGTTGATGAGAGGTGATGATGAGGAGAAGGGAAGAGGGAAGAGGGAGGAGGGAGGAGGGAGGAGGGAGGAGGGAGGAGGGAGGAGGGAGGAGAGGAGCGTAGTGCCTTAAGAAGAAAGCCAAAATGGTGAAGCTCGGATAGAAAGCCGCAAACGTTAAGAAGGTGGAGGGAGAGCAACACCTTTTTTTTGGAGAGAGAGAGAAGAAAGGCGACATGTGCAAAGTGCAATCACGCCATCGTAGCGAGGAGGCCGATTTCCGACTTTCTTCTGCTTCAGGGCCTGGTAAGGCTCACACTGTTCACTATGATCACTTTGCTCTTCAGCTATGAATGCGAAATGATGCTTAGCTCCACTTGCTGTGAGGCGTGAGAATCTGAGAATCTGAAGCTCTGATTCGTCAAGGCGCCGGCTCTTCCGATCAGAAATGAGTCAGTGGGAATGTGAGAGAAAGCGATTGGCAGGCGGTTATCTGTGATTTAGAAGGATGAGAAAGTGGCCGAGTCAGCAGCGTCGGAATTGCCGTTGAACTGCGCGCTCTTGCTTGTGTCGTGTGGCCCTGGCTTCTAATTGCCGCCTTGCCTTCCGACATGCAACCTCGATCGGATCACCCGGATCACCCTTCAAGGTCACACGCCCAACGATACCGTGGGAAAGTGTCGGAATCGCCACCTCTTTTCACGTCGGACCATCCATCGCAGCCGATCCCAGCAGCAGCAGCAGCAGCAACAGCAGCAACAGCAGCAACAGCAGCAACAGCATCGATTGTAGTGCTCGGAGGAAGCTGATCACCATGTCTCGAGCCTCACTACGCCTCTTGCCGTCCGCGCAGACACTATCCTCAAGCTCGCCGTCCACATCACGGATCATCTCCGCCACCCGAACCTCCTTCCACACATTATCTTACCGCTCCGTACCCTCATCATCATCCTCAGTCAACGCCAGACCCGAATTCTCCTGTGTCGACGCCAACGAACGTCGAGGTGAAAAGCTTCAGCGACTCGCAGAACAAGCCCGCCAATCCACCTCTTCCTCATCGCTCTGCTCCACACCCTCCTCCACCGACCCCTCAGTAGCATTCCCATGCGTAGACGCCAACGAAGCACGCGAGGACCGTCTTCGAGCCCAACTTTCCTCACCCCAGCTCTCGCCCGACTCCTCCACATCCGTCCCTAGCGAAGTAGACGAATCCGGTCCCGAACCGTCCTATAGCAAAGTTGTATCCGGTTATCAGACCTACCATCACCCCCATCCCTTTTCGCTCGACTATGGAGGTTCCCTACCGCAGTTCGATTTGGCTTATGAGACCTGGGGAAAGTTGAACGCCGATAAAAGCAATGCCATTCTCCTCCACACTGGTCTCTCGGCCTCATCTCACGCAGCATCAACGCATTCCAACCCGGCAAAAGGGTGGTGGCAAGACTTTATTGGTCCCAACAAACCGCTGGATACCAACAGGTTCTTTATCATCTGTACCAATGTCTTGGGTGGATGTTATGGTTCCACCGGTCCCTCTTCGCCTCATCCAGGCGATCCCAGTGGCGCCGCCTATGCCACCAGGTTTCCGATTCTGAGCATATTCGATATGGTCCGAGCGCAGTTCTTGCTGCTCGACCATCTCGGCATTGACAAGCTCTATGCCAGCGTGGGTAGTTCTATGGGTGGGATGCAGTCCATTGCAGCAGCCCATCTACAAGGCGATCGGGTAAGCAAACTCGTATCTATCAGCGGTTGTGCAAGGAGTGCACCAGCCAGTATTGCGCTAAGGCATGCACAACGATCCGTGCTGATGAGCGATCCGAATTGGAATCGAGGTTTCTATTATCAACCGCGATCTCTGCCGCCGCATACTGGCATGAAATTGGCTAGACAGATTGCAACCTTCACTTATCGATCCGGGCCTGAGTGGGAACAGAGGTTTGGCCGAGCACGTCGTGTTGCACCTACCTCAGAGCGCAATGAGGGTAGTGAGGGTGGCCAAGAAGAATTGGACCCAGCACTATGTCCCGACTTCCTGATCGAAACATATCTCGATCATCAAGGAGAACAGTTTTGTCTCAAATACGACGCTAACTCCCTTATCTACATCTCCAAAGCCATGGATCTGTTCGATATGTCAGATCACTCTCTAGCCGATCTCGAACGACGTCGTACCCGCGCCCATGGCCCACCCTCGCCCACCGAGCGAGGTTTGGCCGTCGGAGACTCCACACCGCCACCCCGACCAAGAAAGAGACAGCATATAAGCACGCTTTCAAGTCCAGCAGCACACGCCTACGTCCCCGCACTAGCTAGAGGTATGGCCAGATTATCGCATATCCCAACGCTGGTAATAGGCGTTCAGAGCGATATCTTGTTTCCCGTAGAACAACAGAGGGAGATAGCGGAATGTTTGAGATTGAACGGCAATGATAATGTGAGGTATTACGAGTTGGATGCTCCGCATGGACATGATAGTTTTTTGATCGATGTTGCTAATGTTGGTGGTGCTATCAGAGGCTTTTTGGAGTGATCCCAAGGTAAATGCAATTGTATTCCATCCTCTATCCAATCTTGTGCACGTGCGATCGTGCTATGTGGTGGTAGAAACAAACCCTTGTTGATGGTATATCAGCGGTCTCTTGTCCTTGCCTGCTGCGGAGGTGTTGTCAGTGTAGACATGCAACACGCGAGCGATGTAAAGCATGCTTCTCGACTCCCCTCCTCCTTCTACGCCACTAGCGTATCTAGAGAGATCAACAGTGTCCACCACCTGGCAGGCGAATGCACCAATAGAATCCTTAGCCACCGGTACGGCTCCTTGTTTGATCTCCACCAACCCTGCGTCTTGCAGTGGATGCACTTGCCCTTCTCGCTCGTCTTTCTCTTCTATTGCTGGCGGATGAGCAAGGGGCGGTGTTCCAGGAACAGCGTATTTCGCAGCTAATCCAGCTTGAGTCTCGCTCAGAATATTTACTACAAAGTCAACTTCTCCTGCTCCACCTTGCTGCCGTGTGCTATGATGGTGCTGCAAGGAGGAGGCGAGTTTCGAAGGAGTCTTCATTGAGAAGCAGACCAGGTTGGGGTCGATGGAGATGGAGGAGAAGCTGGAGAGTGTTGCGCCGTGTATTAACCTGGTGGGGGTGGAGGTGGGTGGGAGGAAAGAGGTTACGAGTGCGACTGGTTGTGCTGATTCCCGCATGAGGGATCTGATTTGTTCTGATAGCGATGGTCCTTGCTGCTGTGGTTGTGATGCATTCTTGGCTTGCGATCGGGGAAGAGGGGAGGAGGTGAATCTTCGTCGGGCCTGTCTTGCCGGGCGTAAGGAGCGTCTTGGACGGGGAAGGGAGGAAGCTTCGAGTGTGACTTTGGAGGAGGTGGCTCTTGCGCTGGCTGCTAGTGCAGCTGCAGCTGGCAAGAGAGTCATTGATCTTATATGCAGCAATCTTGCGATGATCTGAGTGTCTTTTAGAGTAGGAGGCCAAGAACAGGCTTGATTTGCATCTGTCATATCAGGCTCAGGTTTTTCGGAAAACGGAACAGAAATCCCAACTTCCGCGGGCACAAAACACTTGTTTGTTAGATTCCACCAGACCCTTGCAACGCTTCGGCTATCTTTCTTATCTTCCCGTCGCACGGACCTACACCTTCCCCCCCCCGTCTCAACCTTGTCCTCCGTCCTCCTCTCCCATCTAACCTTGTTCGATCTCTTTCCGTCCTACCCTTATTTCAACCTGCCTCAACCTAAGCCTCAACCTAGGCCCCAACTCAATCCTTCTCCTCTCACCCCGGCACAATGCACCTCCTGCCTCGAGAACGCGACAAACTTCTCCTGCACTCAGCCGGCTCCCTTGCCCAAAAACGCCTTGCTCGTGGACTACGACTCAACCAAACGGAAGCAACCGCACTCATCGCTCTCGTCCTCCAAGAACGCGTCCGCGATGGAGAACATTCCGTAGCCGAACTAATGCAACATGGAAAAACTCTCCTCGGTCGATGTCACGTTCTACCCGGAGTAGCCGAATTACTCCACGAAGTGATGGTCGAAGGCTGTTTTCACGATGGAACGTTTCTTGTCACCGTCCATCAACCCGTTTGCACCGAAAGAGGTGATATTGAAGCCGCGCTGTATTCCAGCTTTTATCCTTCTCCGAACGCGAGCGTGTTCGAGAGGGAGATCGAAGCGGAGAGGGCGCTAGTCAAAGCGACTGGCAAGAGCGAGGTTCTACCTGGTGCGATGGTGACAAAGGAGGGTGCAGAGGCGATACAGTTATGTCCAAACAGAGAGAGGGTGAATGTGAAAGTGACAAATACGGGAGATAGACCGATCCAAGTTGGATCGCATTATCCTTTCCTCGAAACGAATGCAGCTTTGTCTTTCCCGAGATTGTTGGCTTTGGGCAAGAGATTGGATATTGCGGCAGGCACCGCGATTAGGTTCGAACCGGGCGATAGTAAGACTGTTACACTGGTGGGAATAGGCGGGACCAAGATCCTCGCTGGTGGAAACAATCTAGCTTCTGGACCCCTCGACGAGTTTCTCGCTACGAGCGAGAGCAAGCAGGCCTTGGTGAAACGAATCGAAGCAGAAGGATTCTCAAATGAGCCTATCCCAGAGATGGCAGACGATTCCAACCCACCACCACCATTCGAACTCAGTCGAGATGCGTATGCCGCATTGTATGGCCCAACAGTAGGCGACAAAGTTCGTCTAGCCGACAGCCCGCTCTGGTTGGAAGTGGAGAAAGATTACACCGTGTACGGGGATGAGCTTAAGTTCGGTGGTGGAAAAGTCATTCGTGATGGTATGGGTCAAGCTTCTGGTCGACCCGATAAAGCCGTGTTGGACGTGGTAGTGATCAATGCGCTCATTGTTGATTGGTGCGGGATTGTCAAAGCAGATATTGGCATCAGAGGTGGGCATATCGTGGGGATTGGGAAGGCGGGTAACCCGGCGATAATGGATGGAGTGGATCCGAACCTTGTGGTTGGGTCTTGTACCGAAGTTATTGCTGGTGAAAAGTATATCGTTACCGCGGGAGCGATCGATGCTCATGTGCATTACATTTGTCCGGATCTACACGAGGAGGCACTAGCGACGGGCATTACAACTCTCATCGGAGGAGGCACTGGTCCGACCGCGGGGACTAGTGCTACGACGTGTACTCCGGGGCAGGATCAACTCAAGAACATGATGATTGCAACGGACAACGTTCCATTGAACTTTGCGTTTACAGGTAAAGGCAACGATTCGGGTTTGGCGGGGTTGGAAGATCAGATTAAAGCCGGTTGTGCAGGTTTAAAAATTCACGAGGATTGGGGAGCAACACCTGCAGTCATCGATGCATGTTTGACGGTGTGCGATAAGTATGATGTTCAGTGTAACATTCATACGGATACGTTGAACGAGAGTTGCTTTGTCGAAGGGACTCTGGCAGCATTTAAGGGGAGGACGATTCATACTTATCATTCGGAAGGTGCCGGTGGTGGGCATGCTCCCGACATCATCCGGGTTTGCGGAGAAACCAACATCCTACCCTCCTCAACGAACCCCACGAGACCTTATGCGAAGAACACCCTGGATGAACATCTGGATATGCTGATGGTGTGTCATCATCTCAGTAAGGATATCGTGGAGGATGTGGCGTTTGCGGATTCGAGGATTAGGGCGGAGACGGTGGCTGCCGAAGACGTGTTGCAGGATAGTGGCGCTATCTCCATGATCAGTAGTGATTCGCAGGCTATGGGTCGGATTGGAGAGGTTGTTTCGAGGACTTGGAGGACTGCTAGTAAGATGGCTGGCTTGATTGGACCATTGCGAGTGCCGGAAGGGGGAGTGCGGGGGGAAGGTGGATTTAGGGTGCCACATCCGAGTGAAGCTGTTTCGGACAATCTGAGGATTAAGAGATACGTGGCAAAGTATACGATCAATCCGGCTCTCGTTCATGGTTGTTCGCATCTGATTGGGTCGATCGAGCCAGGCAAGCTGGCTGATCTGGTTTTCTACTTGCCGAGCAAGTTCGGTGTCTGCCCGGAATTCGTTTTGAAGGGTGGACAGGTGGCGTGGGCGCAAATGGGTGATGCAAATGCTTCCATTCCAACGGTGCAGCCGATCTATGGAAGAGGCATGCATGGTGCGAACGCCAATGCTGCGCCGCACAATTCGGTGCTTTTCGTCTCTCAGCTTTCCGTTGAGCACGGTATTGTGAAGCGTTACGGAGTCACCAAGAGGGTCGAGCCGGTGAAAGGATGCAGGAAAGTTAGTAAGAAGGATATGAAGCTCAACACGCATATGCCTGATCTCAAGGTCGATCCGGAGACGTATGAAGTGACGGACGCGGGGATATTGTTGACTGTTCCGCCTGCGGAGGAGCTGCCTTTGACTCAGAGTTTGCATCTGTTCTAGCTTGATGGAGCTCTCAAAGATCATTCCTGAGATTTTGCTCAGGTATGACATCAAGAAGCCGATTGTCGCACCCACAGTGCAGAGGTATGGTGCGACCAGTGGCCTTGGAAAGAGCGCAAAACAGCCGTCGTTTGAGGGAAGAAGCTTGCTGGTTCCTTGAAGCACATGTAAGTTCATCATGCTCATTTTTCCTTTCGTCGAGTAGTATTGAGATCGGCATACTGATTCTCAATTGCCCTTGCTTCCTTTTCGTCTTGAAAGAATCTTTATGTCGAGCTTGTATCACTCAACACAGTCTAATGCGTGGACTGTATGTCGCTCTGTATGAATATTCACACGAGACCGGCTAGTTGAAATCGCAAGGATGAGGAATGAGGAATGTGATGCATTGCATTCAAGACAGACGACGACAGACAGCGGTGAATGGGGATGGGTGGGGTGAGGAATATTCGAAGCACAAGTAGCGGACGCATGGAGACTACGCCCGGCCAAGGTAATGACTCAAGTCTTTGAAAAGCACCCCGCCGTCTTTATCTAATTTGAAGCCGAGCAACTTGCCACGAGCTGAATCACGAATTTTGAGGTAGTTATACTGGTCAAGGGTACTGCGCAGATGCCTGAACCTTGTGTTTTTCAGATCGTACACGGTGATGTCCGGCTTTTCTATAGCTTCCCATTCAGGCACCTTATAAGGGCGGAATATTGACCCTTTTCGTTTGTCGAACGGACGCCCGTATAGAAGGCCCTGAGCTTCCTTACCATTGTCCAACCCGAACTTTTGCGCTTCCAGGATATGCTTATGAAGCTCCTTGTCTAAAGCAAAATTTGTGGTGTATCCTTTATCAATTTTATATTTTAGCAAGTTCTCATTGGCTTTTTTAGAGTTTATAAGCCAGATTTTCTTGTAGTTGCTCAGAGCGCTCCTCACTTTGATTTTAGGATCGGTGCCTGTAAAAAGCACCGGTATGCGTCGGTAATGAATCTGATCACCGAAGTGCCTATCCAATTCATCCTTTGTCAGGGTGTGCTTCTCTGGTTTCCACTCGAAATTGGGATCTGCATATTCTTCAAAGTCCCTGAAGCCAGACGGGCGACTAGGAACGCCGGGATTAGCGTCGTTGGCGGGATAATAAGCTCCAGAGCTAGAAGAAGCAACATCCATCGGCGTTGCATGGCAAAGTAGGGCTGGGAGAAGCAATAGGACGAGTGCTGATAGCAGCACTATCCATTGCTGAAAGGTTTGACGCATTGCCAGCATTACTCGAGAGGACGAAGTGGCAAGGAGAGGTCGATGAGGGAGAGGTCGATGAGGGAGAGGTCGATGAGGGAGAGACCCGAATGAGACAGGGATACGCGGGTCTTCTTATACCTTCTCAGCCCTCCTTCCAGAAGGACAAAATTTTGCTGTTACATGGCTACGTGTGGCGATAGCTCTCTCACGTCTTTGCGTTGTGTTGCGCATCTCGGTCAGCCACCTTTGTGGAGCCTTCATTTTCCCTCTTTGTCTGAGATCAAACTTCAGCAACATTGCGTCGTGGTCCGTGGCACCGATTGATCTGGTGCAGGTGCGAACTTGAGTGGGTACAGTACATTTAGACATCAAGACATGAAGATGCGAACTTGAGTGGATACAGTACATTTAGACACCAAGACATGAAGGTACGAAAGTGCTGTGAGGCAAAGTGCTAAAGCTATCGACAAAGAGAGTATGCCAGCAAACAATGCTTATTCCACCAGTACAATGTGGGTGTGTTGCCCTAGGAGATTCAACGTGCAGTTTAAGGCAACATCAGAAAAGCCCACCGCATCGACACTGTTAGGAGTAACTATCCTGTGCATTCGTTATCGACTGGCAGACACCTTGGAGGTGAAGCTTGCTTTGCTGCTCGACCTCTTTCACTCGTTCATGTTTTTTCTTAACAGTCCGAGTCAAGAAGAAATGTAGCATTGATGCATAATGTGGGATCTCTACGCCACGAAGGAAGTCCTCATCTAGACTTTTGTCGTTCCTCTTTGCTGTTCTTGTTCTTTGCAAAGCCTGCAAACTTGACCCTGAAGTTTCTCTGATCATTCGATGCTGAAGATTACGATCCAGCAAGACGCTAAAGTATGACATAGATCCGATTTGATAGGAAATCGGGCAGAACAGATCTGATCGAGAAAAAGGCAAAGCCGATACAAGCGAGGGATCATTTACGACTGTGTCCCACTCGTTGTCATACTTTGTCATTGAGGATGATGCTCCCACATGTGGGATGTGCCGATAGCTCTCTCACGTCTTTGCGTTGTGTTGCGCATCTCGGTCAGCCACCTTTGTGGAGCCTTCATTTTCCCTCTTTGTCTGAGATCAAACTTCAGCAACATTGCGTCGTGGTCCGTGGCACCGATTGATCTGGTGCAGGTGCGAACTTGAGTGGATACAGTACATTTAGACACCAAGACATGAAGGTACGAAAGTGCTGTGAGGCAAAGTGCTAAAGCTATCGACAAAGAGAGTATACCAGCAAACAATGCTTATTCCACCAGTACAATGTGGGTGTGTTGCCCTAGGAGCTTCAACGTGCGGTTTAGGGCAACATCAGAAAAGCCCGCCGCATCGACATTGTTAGGAGTAACTATCCTGACTGTGCATTCGTTATCGACTGGCAGACACCTTGGAGGTGAAGCTTGCTTTGCTGCTCCACCTCTTTCACTTGTTCATGTCTTTTCATAACAGTCCGAGTCAAGAAGAAATGTAGCATTGATGCATAATGTGGGATCTCTACGCGACGAAGGAAGTCCCCGTCTAGACTTTTGTCGTTTCTCTTTGCTGTTCTTGTTCTTTGCAAAACCTGCAAACTTGACCCTGAAGTTTCTCTGATCATTCGCTACTGAAGGTTACGATCCAGCAAGACGCTAAAGTATGACATAGATCCGATTTGATAGGGAATCGGGCAGAACAGATCTGATCGAGAAAAGGGCAAAGCCGATACAAGCGAGGGATCGGTTACGACTGTGTCCCACTCGTTGTCATACTTTGTCATTGAGGATGATGCTCCCACATGTGGGATGTGCCGACACTTTGTATATATATATACCAAGCGGAGAGCTCGAGGCTCCCATCACATTCTTTTCCCAGGTCAATATAGTATAGTGTTTTTGCTCAATAGCTTCAACACTGTGCTTAGACCATCGCCGACCACTAAGTGTCGACACGCGTATTCTTTCATTATTCCAACATTCGCATGTCCCGCTGGCCGCAACCAATAATGAGGATATTTCGCCCTGCCCAAGTTCATCCATAGCAGCACCCACACTTCCATGATGACACTGGAGAGTAGCACTACCAGCAGACACCTCCAACCCAACTTGACTACCGGAGAACTGGTTGAGGCCAACAGTGCCGTCGCTCCACCAGGTGGATGTACGGTGTCGGTCAAGATCATGAGACACAGTGCTGTTCCTGTAGCAATGCCTCTAGCAACCCAAACCAGACTGCTCTCTCGCAGCTAGAGCAGCTGTGATGGTATAGACGGCCCTCACAGGGACCCGGCGTAGCGATGTTCGTTGGCCGTGGCGACAGTCTAGGTGGGCATGAACTTAGTGGTGGTAGAACACGTTCGGCTATACAAATCGGCATTGGCGAAAAGTGACACAGAAATTCTGCACCAAAAAAGTATTGGTAAAAAAAAAAGTGTTGGTGTGGAGCTTTTGAGTCAGCTCTGTGTCACTTGTCAAGTCGAGTCTGTCACTCTTCCTTGCCATCTGACCTCCATCAACCCCTCAAACTGAAGCCATGTCGGCATCAAAAACCTTTCGTGCCGAATTCCAAAAGCCATACCCTGACCTGAAGGGCCCTGGTGCGAATGAAGCCCTCGATGCACTCTTTGAGAAGGTCACCAAGGCCAAGAAGCAATATGGGGAGCCCAATGAAGAAGATTACGAGATTGCAAACGAACCACTTTGGCACCTTCAGGGCCGCCTCATTATCAGCCAAGATCTTACTCTGAAGCGCGTACTCGAAGCAAGAATCCGACTTACTATCCAAGCAAGCCTCACCACCCATTGTCTGACGGCCTTTCCATACGAAGAGGCGCTCGAGGAGGCTGAGAACATGGAGCTGTCTGGCGACGATGATACGGCCAAATCTGTGCTCGACTGCTATCCGCTGTACGGCCTTGTCTTGTTCATGGTTGTTCGCATCTGATTGGGTCGATCGAGCCAGGCAAGCTGGCTGATCTGGTTTTCTACTTGCCGAGCAAGTTCGGTGTCTGCCCGGAATTCGTTTTGAAGGGTGGACAGGTGGCGTGGGCGCAAATGGGTGATGCAAATGCTTCCATTCCAACGGTGCAGCCGATCTATGGAAGAGGCATGCATGGTGCGAACGCCAATGCTGCGCCGCACAATTCGGTGCTTTTCGTCTCTCAGCTTTCCGTTAAGCACGGTATTGTGAAGCGTTACGGAGTCACCAAGAGGGTCGAGCCGGTGAAAGGATGCAGGAAAGTTAGTAAGAAGGATATGAAGCTCAACACGCATATGCCTGATCTCAAGGTCGATCCGGAGACGTATGAAGTGACGGACGCGGGGATATTGTTGACTGTTCCGCCTGCGGAGGAGCTGCCTTTGACTCAGAGTTTGCATCTGTTCTAGCTTGATGGAGCTCTCAAAGATCATTCCTGAGATTTTGCTCAGGTATGACATCAAGAAGCCGATTGTCGCACCCACAGTGCAGAGGTATGGTGCGACCAGTGGCCTTGGAAAGAGCGCAAAACAGCCGTCGTTTGAGGGAAGAAGCTTGCTGGTTCCTTGAAGCACATGTAAGTTCATCATGCTCATTTTTCCTTTCGTCGAGTAGTATTGAGATCGGCATACTGATTCTCAATTGCCCTTGCTTCCTTTTCGTCTTGAAAGAATCTTTATGTCGAGCTTGTATCACTCAACACAGTCTAATGCGTCGACTGTGCATCGCTCTGTATGAATATTCACACGAGACCGGCTAGTTGAAATCGCAAGGATGAGGAATGAGGAATGTGATGCATTGCATTCAAGACAGACGACGACAGACAGCGGTGAATGGGGATGGGTGGGGTGAGGAATATTCGAAGCACAAGTAGCGGACGCAAGGAGACTACGCCCGGCCAAGGTATCGACCCAACTTTTCGAAAAGCACCCCGCCGTTTTTATCTAATTTGAAGCCGAGCAACTCGCCATTAACTGAATCATGAACTTTAAGGTAGCTTTTCTTGTGGAGGTGATTGCGCAGTTCGGAGAGCTCTGTCGTCGCCAGATTAAACTCCTTGGTGCTCGCTTTTACCTTTTCCCATTCAGGCACCTTATAAGAGGAGAATAATGACCCTTTTCGTTTGGCGAACGGAAGCCCGTACCTAAGGCCCAGAGCTTTACTACCATACTTTCTCTCGAAGTGTTGCGCATCCAGGAAATGCTTACGAATATCATCTTCGTCTTCATGCCTTACTAAGATATCTTCACCACCGCCTTTAATTAGCTGCATGTACTTGTACCCCCCTGTAGGAGAAGGACGACCAACAATCCAGACCCGTTTGTAGGTGGCCATAGCGTCCTGCACTTTGCTTACAGGAACTTTTTCTACATTCAAAATCGGTACGCCATCATGATGTAGTTCAGCGCCGAAATGCTCCTCAAGATCACTGCCTTCCAGGGCTTTTCTGTTTGGATCGTACCCCACCCTGCCGCCAGAGTAATAGGAAAAGTTTTCGATTTCAGATCGAGCTCCAGAGCTAGAAGAAGCACTAGGGTGCATCGGCGCTGCATAGCAAAGTAGGGCTGGGAGAAGCAATAGGACGAGTGCTGATAGCAGCACCATCCATTGCTGAAAGGTTTGACGCATTGCCAGCATTACTCGAGAGGTCGAAGTGGCAAGGAGAGGTCGAAGTGGAAGGGAGAGGTCGAAGTGGCAAGGAGAGGTCGAAGTGGCAAGGAGAGGTCGATGAGGGAGAGACCCGAATGAGACAGGGATACGCGGGTCTTCTTATACCTTCTCAGCCCTCCTTCCAGGAGGACAAAATTTTGCTGTTACAGGGCCACGTGTGGCGATAGCTCTCTCACCTCTTTGCGTTGTGTTGCCCATCTCGGTCAGCCACTTCCTCAGAGCCTTCATTTTCCCTCTTTGTCTGAGATCGAACTTCAGCAACATTGCGTCGTGGTCCGTGGCACCGATTGATCTGGTGCAGGTGCGAACTTGAGTGGGTACAGTACATTTAGACATCAAGACATGAAGATGCGAACTTGAGTGGGTACAGTACATTTAGACACCAAGACATGAAGGTACGAAAGTGCTGTGAGGCAAAGTGCTAAAGCTATCGACAAAGAGAGTATACCAGCAAACAATGCTTATTCCACCAGTACAATGTGGGTGTGTTGCCCTAGGAGTTTCAACGTGCGGTTTAGGGCAACATCAGAAAAGCCCGCCGCATCGACATTGTTAGGAGTAACTATCCTGACTGTGCATTCGTTATCGACTGGCAGACACCTTGGAGGTGAAGCTTGCTTTGCTGCTCCACCTCTTTCACTTGTTCATGTCTTTTCATAACAGTCCGAGTCAAGAAGAAATGTAGCATTGATGCATAATGTGGGATCTCTACGCGACGAAGGAAGTCCCCGTCTAGACTTTTGTCGTTTCTCTTTGCTGTTCTTGTTCTTTGCAAAACCTGCAAACTTGACCCTGAAGTTTCTCTGATCATTCGCTACTGAAGGTTACGATCCAGCAAGACGCTAAAGTATGACATAGATCCGATTTGTTAGGAAATCGGGCAGAACAGATCTGATCGAGAAAAAGGCAAAGCCGATACAAGCGAGGGATCATTTACGACTGTGTCCCACTCGTTGTCATACTTTGTCATTGAGGATGATGCTCCCACATGTGGGATGTGCCGACACTTTGTATATATATATACCAAGCGGAGAGCTCGAGGCTCCCATCACATTCTTTTCCCAGGTCAATATAGTATAGTGTTTTTGCTCAATAGCTTCAACACTGTGCTTAGACCATCGCCGACCACTAAGTGTCGACACGCGTATTCTTTCATTATTCCAACATTCGCATGTCCCGCTGGCCGCAACCAATAATGAGGATATTTCACCCTGCCCAAGTTCATCCATAGCAGCACCCACACTTCCATGATGACACTGGAGAGTAGCACTACCGGCAGATACCTCCAACCCAACTTGACTACCGGAGGACCGGTTGAGGCCAACAGTGCCGTCGCTCCACCAGGTGGATGTACGGTGTCGGTCAAGATCATGAGAAACAGTGCTGTTCCTGTAGCAATGCCTCTAGCAACCCAACCCAGACTGCTCTCTCGCAGCTAGAGCAGCTGTTATGGTATAGACGGCCCTCACGGGGGCCCGGCGTAGCGATGTTCGTTGGCCATGGCGACAGTCTAAGGTGGGCATGAACTTAGTGGTGGTAGAACACGTTCGGCTATACAAATCGGCATTGGCGAAAAGTGACACAGAAATTCTGCACCAAAAAAGTATTGGTGTGGAGCTTTTGAGTCAGCTCCGTGTCACTTGTCAAGTCGAGTCTGTCGCTCTTCCTTGCCATCTGACCTCCATCAACCCCTCAAACTGAAGCCATGTCGGCATCAAAAACCTTTCGTGCCGAATTCCAAAAGCCATACCCTGACCTGAAGGGCCCTGGTGCGAATGAAGCCCTCGATGCACTCTTTGAGAAGGTCACCAAGGCCAAGAAGCAATATGGGGAGCCCAATGAAGAAGATTACGAGATTGCAAACGAACCACTTTGGCACCTTCAGGGCCGCCTCATTATCAGCCAAGATCTTACTCTGAAGCGCGTACTCGAAGCAAGAATCCGACTTACTATCCAAGCAAGCCTCACCACCCATTGTCTGACGGCCTTTCCATACGAAGAGGCGCTCGAGGAGGCTGAGAACATGGAGCTGTCTGGCGACGATGATACGGCCAAATCTGTGCTCGACTGCTATCCGCTGTACGGCCTTGTCTTGTTCATGGTTGTTCGCATCTGATTGGGTCGATCGAGCCAGGCAAGCTGGCTGATCTGGTTTTCTACTTGCCGAGCAAGTTCGGTGTCTGCCCGGAATTCGTTTTGAAGGGTGGACAGGTGGCGTGGGCGCAAATGGGTGATGCAAATGCTTCCATTCCAACGGTGCAGCCGATCTATGGAAGAGGCATGCATGGTGCGAACGCCAATGCTGCGCCGCACAATTCGGTGCTTTTCGTCTCTCAGCTTTCCGTTAAGCACGGTATTGTGAAGCGTTACGGAGTCACCAAGAGGGTCGAGCCGGTGAAAGGATGCAGGAAAGTTAGTAAGAAGGATATGAAGCTCAACACGCATATGCCTGATCTCAAGGTCGATCCGGAGACGTATGAAGTGACGGACGCGGGGATATTGTTGACTGTTCCGCCTGCGGAGGAGCTGCCTTTGACTCAGAGTTTGCATCTGTTCTAGCTTGATGGAGCTCTCAAAGATCATTCCTGAGATTTTGCTCAGGTATGACATCAAGAAGCCGATTGTCGCACCCACAGTGCAGAGGTATGGTGCGACCGGTGGCCTTGGAAAGAGCGCAAAACAGCCGTCGTTGCAGGCAAGAAGCTTGCTGGTTCCTTGAAGCACATGTAAGTTCATCATGCCCATTTTTCCTTTCGTCGAGTAGTATTGAGATGGGCATACTGATTCTCAATTGCCCTTGCTGCCTTCTCATCTTGAAAGAATCTTTATGTTGAGATTGTATCACTCAACACAGTCTAATGCGTCGACTGTGCATCGCTCTGTATGAATATTCACACGAGACCGGCTAGTTGAAATCGCAAGGATGAGGAATGAGGAATGTGATGCATTGCATTCAAGACAGACGACGACAGACAGCGGTGAATGGGGATGGGTGGGGTGAGGAATATTCGAAGCACAAGTAGCGGACGCATGGAGACTACGCCCGGCCAAGGTAATGACTCAAGTCTTTGAAAAGCACCCCGCCGTCTTTATCTAATTTGAAGCCGAGCAACTTGCCACGAGCTGAATCACGAATTTTGAGGTAGTTATACTGGTCAAGGGTACTGCGCAGATGCCTGAACCTTGTGTTTTTCAGATCGTACACGGTGATCTCCGGCTTTTCTATAGCTTCCCATTCAGGCACCTTATAAGGGCGGAATATTGACCGTTTTCGTTTGTCGAACGGACGCCCGTATAGAAGGCCCTGAGCTTCCTTACCATTGTCCAACCCGAACTTTTGCGCATCCAGGAAATGCTTACGAATATCATCTTCGTCTTCAGGCCTTACTAAGATATCTTCACCACCGCCTTTAATTAGCTGCATGTACTTGTACCCCCCTGTAGGAGAAGGACGACCAACAATCCAGACCCGTTTGTAGGTGGCCATAGCGTCCTGCACTTTGCTTACAGGAACTTTTTCTACATTCAACATCGGTACGCCATCATAATGTAGTTCAGCGCCGAAATGCTCCTCAAGATCACTGCCTTCCAGGGCTTTTCTGTTTGGATCGTACCTCACCCTGCCGCCAGAGTAATAGGAAAAGTTTTCGATTTCAGATCGAGCTCCAGAGCTAGAAGAAGCACTAGGGTGCATCGGCGCTGCATAGCAAAGTAGGGCTGGGAGAAGCAATAGGACGAGTGCTGATAGCAGCACCATCCATTGCTGAAAGGTTTGACGCATTGCCAGCATTACTCGAGAGGTCGAAGTGGCAAGGAGAGGTCGAAGTGGAAGGGAGAGGTCGAAGTGGCAAGGAGAGGTCGAAGTGGCAAGGAGAGGTCGATGAGGGAGAGACCCGAATGAGACAGGGATACGCGGGTCTTCTTATACCTTCTCAGCCCTCCTTCCAGGAGGACAAAATTTTGCTGTTACAGGGCCACGTGTGGCGATAGCTCTCTCACCTCTTTGCGTTGTGTTGCCCATCTCGGTCAGCCACTTCCTCAGAGCCTTCATTTTCCCTCTTTGTCTGAGATCGAACTTCAGCAACATTGCGTCGTGGTCCGTGGCACCGATTGATCTGGTGCAGGTGCGAACTTGAGTGGGTACAGTACATTTAGACATCAAGACATGAAGATGCGAACTTGAGTGGGTACAGTACATTTAGACACCAAGACATGAAGGTACGAAAGTGCTGTGAGGCAAAGTGCTAAAGCTATCGACAAAGAGAGTATACCAGCAAACAATGCTTATTCCACCAGTACAATGTGGGTGTGTTGCCCTAGGAGTTTCAACGTGCGGTTTAGGGCAACATCAGAAAAGCCCGCCGCATCGACATTGTTAGGAGTAACTATCCTGACTGTGCATTCGTTATCGACTGGCAGACACCTTGGAGGTGAAGCTTGCTTTGCTGCTCCACCTCTTTCACTTGTTCATGTCTTTTCATAACAGTCCGAGTCAAGAAGAAATGTAGCATTGATGCATAATGTGGGATCTCTACGCGACGAAGGAAGTCCCCGTCTAGACTTTTGTCGTTTCTCTTTGCTGTTCTTGTTCTTTGCAAAACCTGCAAACTTGACCCTGAAGTTTCTCTGATCATTCGCTACTGAAGGTTACGATCCAGCAAGACGCTAAAGTATGACATAGATCCGATTTGATAGGGAATCGGGCAGAACAGATCTGATCGAGAAAAGGGCAAAGCCGATACAAGCGAGGGATCGGTTACGACTGTGTCCCACTCGTTGTCATACTTTGTCATTGAGGATGATGCTCCCACATGTGGGATGTGCCGATAGCTCTCTCACGTCTTTGCGTTGTGTTGCGCATCTCGGTCAGCCACCTTTGTGGAGCCTTCATTTTCCCTCTTTGTCTGAGATCAAACTTCAGCAACATTGCGTCGTGGTCCGTGGCACCGATTGATCTGGTGCAGGTGCGAACTTGAGTGGATACAGTACATTTAGACACCAAGACATGAAGGTACGAAAGTGCTGTGAGGCAAAGTGCTAAAGCTATCGACAAAGAGAGTATACCAGCAAACAATGCTTATTCCACCAGTACAATGTGGGTGTGTTGCCCTAGGAGTTTCAACGTGCGGTTTAGGGCAACATCAGAAAAGCCCGCCGCATCGACATTGTTAGGAGTAACTATCCTGACTGTGCATTCGTTATCGACTGGCAGACACCTTGGAGGTGAAGCTTGCTTTGCTGCTCCACCTCTTTCACTTGTTCATGTCTTTTCATAACAGTCCGAGTCAAGAAGAAATGTAGCATTGATGCATAATGTGGGATCTCTACGCGACGAAGGAAGTCCCCGTCTAGACTTTTGTCGTTTCTCTTTGCTGTTCTTGTTCTTTGCAAAACCTGCAAACTTGACCCTGAAGTTTCTCTGATCATTCGCTACTGAAGGTTACGATCCAGCAAGACGCTAAAGTATGACATAGATCCGATTTGATAGGGAATCGGGCAGAACAGATCTGATCGAGAAAAGGGCAAAGCCGATACAAGCGAGGGATCGGTTACGACTGTGTCCCACTCGTTGTCATACTTTGTCATTGAGGATGATGCTCCCACATGTGGGATGTGCCGACACTTTATATATATATACCACGTGGAGAGCTCGAGGCTCCCACCACATTCTTTTCCCAGGTCAATATAGTATAGTGTTTTTGCTCAATAGCTTCAACACTGTGCTTAGACCATCGCCGACCACTAAGTGTCGACACGCGTATTCTTTCATTATTCCAACATTCGCATGTCCCGCTGGCCGCAACCAATAATGAGGATATTTCGCCCTGCCCAAGTTCATCCATAGCAGCACCCACACTTCCATGATGACACTGGAGAGTAGCACTACCAGCAGACACCTCCAACCCAACTTGACTACCGGAGAACTGGTTGAGGCCAACAGTGCCGTCGCTCCACCAGGTGGATGTACGGTGTCGGTCAAGATCATGAGACACAGTGCTGTTCCTGTAGCAATGCCTCTAGCAACCCAAACCAGACTGCTCTCTCGCAGCTAGAGCAGCTGTGATGGTATAGACGGCCCTCACAGGGACCCGGCGTAGCGATGTTCGTTGGCCGTGGCGACAGTCTAGGTGGGCATGAACTTAGTGGTGGTAGAACACGTTCGGCTATACAAATCGGCATTGGCGAAAAGTGACACAGAAATTCTGCACCAAAAAAGTATTGGTGTGGAGCTTTTGAGTCAGCTCCGTGTCACTTGTCAAGTCGAGTCTGTCGCTCTTCCTTGCCATCTGACCTCCATCAACCCCTCAAACTGAAGCCATGTCGGCATCAAAAACCTTTCGTGCCGAATTCCAAAAGCCATACCCTGACCTGAAGGGCCCTGGTGCGAATGAAGCCCTCGATGCACTCTTTGAGAAGGTCACCAAGGCCAAGAAGCAATATGGGGAGCCCAATGAAGAAGATTACGAGATTGCAAACGAACCACTTTGGCACCTTCAGGGCCGCCTCATTATCAGCCAAGATCTTACTCTGAAGCGCGTACTCGAAGCAAGAATCCGACTTACTATCCAAGCAAGCCTCACCACCCATTGTCTGACGGCCTTTCCATACGAAGAGGCGCTCGAGGAGGCTGAGAACATGGAGCTGTCTGGCGACGATGATACGGCCAAATCTGTGCTCGACTGCTATCCGCTGTACGGCCTTGTCTTGTTCATGGTTGTTCGCATCTGATTGGGTCGATCGAGCCAGGCAAGCTGGCTGATCTGGTTTTCTACTTGCCGAGCAAGTTCGGTGTCTGCCCGGAATTCGTTTTGAAGGGTGGACAGGTGGCGTGGGCGCAAATGGGTGATGCAAATGCTTCCATTCCAACGGTGCAGCCGATCTATGGAAGAGGCATGCATGGTGCGAACGCCAATGCTGCGCCGCACAATTCGGTGCTTTTCGTCTCTCAGCTTTCCGTTAAGCACGGTATTGTGAAGCGTTACGGAGTCACCAAGAGGGTCGAGCCGGTGAAAGGATGCAGGAAAGTTAGTAAGAAGGATATGAAGCTCAACACGCATATGCCTGATCTCAAGGTCGATCCGGAGACGTATGAAGTGACGGACGCGGGGATATTGTTGACTGTTCCGCCTGCGGAGGAGCTGCCTTTGACTCAGAGTTTGCATCTGTTCTAGCTTGATGGAGCTCTCAAAGATCATTCCTGAGATTTTGCTCAGGTATGACATCAAGAAGCCGATTGTCGCACCCACAGTGCAGAGGTATGGTGCGACCGGTGGCCTTGGAAAGAGCGCAAAACAGCCGTCGTTGCAGGCAAGAAGCTTGCTGGTTCCTTGAAGCACATGTAAGTTCATCATGCCCATTTTTCCTTTCGTCGAGTAGTATTGAGATGGGCATACTGATTCTCAATTGCCCTTGCTGCCTTCTCATCTTGAAAGAATCTTTATGTTGAGATTGTATCACTCAACACAGTCTAATGCGTGGACTGTATGTCGCTCTGTATGAATATTCACACGAGACCGGCTAGTTGAAATCGCAAGGATGAGGAATGAGGAATGTGATGCATTGCATTCAAGACAGACGACGACAGACAGCGGTAGTGGTTCTCATTAGCTGTTGAGACGCATGGCAAACGAATGAAATTCGAATCAAGAGATACCAAATGGGGGTGAGGAATATTCGAAGCACAAGTAGCGGACGCAAGGAGCCTACACCCGGCCAAGGTAATGACCCAAGTCTTCGAAAAGCACCCTGCCGTCTTGATCTAATTTGAAGCTGAGCAACTTGTGATGAGCTGAATCATGAATTCTGAGGTAGTTAAACTGGTTGAGGGCCCTGCGCAGATGACTGATGCTTGTCTGTTCCAGTTCGTACAGTTTTGGCTTTGTAGAAGTTGGCAATCGAAGCCACTTCAAAACGGATGTTTTTGGCTTTGGTCGTTCGCCGAACGGAGACCCGTACCTAAGGCCCAGAGCTTTACTACCATACTTTCTCTCGAAGTCTTGCGCATCCAGGAAATGCTTACGAATATCATCTCCTTCGTCAGTCCTTAATGAGGGTAGTTCATCACTGCCTTTAATTAGCTCCATGAACCTGTACCGCTCTGTAGGAGAAGGGCGACCAACAATCCAGATGTGGTTGTAGGTGGCCATAGCGTCCCGCACTTTGCTTACAGGAACTTTTTCTACATTAAACATCGGTACGCCACCATAATGTAGTTCAGCGCCGAAATGCTCTTCAAGATCACTGCCTTCCAGGACTTTTCTGTTTGGATTGAACCCCACGTTGCCGTCAGAGTAATAGGAAAAGTTTTCGATTTCAGATCGAGCTCCAGAGCTAGAAGAAGCACTAGGGTGCATCGGCGCTGCATAGCAAAGTAGGGCTGGGAGAAGCAATAGGACGAGTGCTGATAGCAGCACCATCCATTGCTGAAAGGTTTGACGCATTGCCAGCATTACTCGAGAGGTCGAAGTGGCAAGGAGAGGTCGATGAGGGAGAGACCCGAATGAGACAGGGATACGCGGGTCTTCTTATACCTTCTCAGCCCTCCTTCCAGGAGGACAAAATTTTGCTGTTACAGGGCCACGTGTGGCGATAGCTCTCTCACCTCTTTGCGTTGTGTTGCCCATCTCGGTCAGCCACTTCCTCAGAGCCTTCATTTTCCCTCTTTGTCTGAGATCGAACTTCAGCAACATTGCGTCGTGGTCCGTGGCACCGATTGATCTGGTGCAGGTGCGAACTTGAGTGGGTACAGTACATTTAGACATCAAGACATGAAGATGCGAACTTGAGTGGGTACAGTACATTTAGACACCAAGACATGAAGGTACGAAAGTGCTGTGAGGCAAAGTGCTAAAGCTATCGACAAAGAGAGTATACCAGCAAACAATGCTTATTCCACCAGTACAATGTGGGTGTGTTGCCCTAGGAGTTTCAACGTGCGGTTTAGGGCAACATCAGAAAAGCCCGCCGCATCGACATTGTTAGGAGTAACTATCCTGACTGTGCATTCGTTATCGACTGGCAGACACCTTGGAGGTGAAGCTTGCTTTGCTGCTCCACCTCTTTCACTTGTTCATGTCTTTTCATAACAGTCCGAGTCAAGAAGAAATGTAGCATTGATGCATAATGTGGGATCTCTACGCGACGAAGGAAGTCCCCGTCTAGACTTTTGTCGTTTCTCTTTGCTGTTCTTGTTCTTTGCAAAACCTGCAAACTTGACCCTGAAGTTTCTCTGATCATTCGCTACTGAAGGTTACGATCCAGCAAGACGCTAAAGTATGACATAGATCCGATTTGATAGGGAATCGGGCAGAACAGATCTGATCGAGAAAAGGGCAAAGCCGATACAAGCGAGGGATCGGTTACGACTGTGTCCCACTCGTTGTCATACTTTGTCATTGAGGATGATGCTCCCACATGTGGGATGTGCCGACACTTTATATATATATACCACGTGGAGAGCTCGAGGCTCCCACCACATTCTTTTCCCAGGTCAATATAGTATAGTGTTTTTGCTCAATAGCTTCAACACTGTGCTTAGACCATCGCCGACCACTAAGTGTCGACACGCGTATTCTTTCATTATTCCAACATTCGCATGTCCCGCTGGCCGCAACCAATAATGAGGATATTTCACCCTGCCCAAGTTCATCCATAGCAGCACCCACACTTCCATGATGACACTGGAGAGTAGCACTACCGGCAGATACCTCCAACCCAACTTGACTACCGGAGGACCGGTTGAGGCCAACAGTGCCGTCGCTCCACCAGGTGGATGTACGGTGTCGGTCAAGATCATGAGACACAGTGCTGTTCCTGTAGCAATGCCTCTAGCAACCCAAACCAGACTGCTCTCTCGCAGCTAGAGCAGCTGTGATGGTATAGACGGCCCTCACAGGGACCCGGCGTAGCGATGTTCGTTGGCCGTGGCGACAGTCTAGGTGGGCATGAACTTAGTGGTGGTAGAACACGTTCGGCTATACAAATCGGCATTGGCGAAAAGTGACACAGAAATTCTGCACCAAAAAAGTATTGGTAAAAAAAAAGGTGTTGGTGTGGAGCTTTTGAGTCAGCTCTGTGTCACTTGTCAAGTCGAGTCTGTCACTCTTCCTTGCCATCTGACCTCCATCAACCCCTCAAACTGAAGCCATGTCGGCATCAAAAACCTTTCGTGCCGAATTCCAAAAGCCATACCCTGGCCTGAAGGGTCCTGGTGCGAATGAAGCCGTCGATGCACTCTTTGAGAAGGTCACCAAGGCCAAGAAGCAATATGGGGAGCCCAATGAAGAAGATTACGAGATTGCAAACGAACCACTTTGGCACCTTCAGGGCCGCCTCATTATCAGCCAAGATCTTACTCTGAAGCGCGTACTCGAAGCAAGAATCCGACTTACTATCCAAGCAAGCCTCACCACCCATTGTCTGACGGCCTTTCCATACGAAGAGGCGCTCGAGGAGGCTGAGAACATGGAGCTGTCTGGCGACGATGATACGGCCAAATCTGTGCTCGACTGCTATCCGCTGTACGGCCTTGTCTTCAGCGTCAAGGATTGCGTCCACGTTTATGGGCTTCCGACTACCCTGGGTTGTTCATCTAGGGCAACACAGGAAGAAGCTGCTAGTGCCGAGCTGGTCCAGAAGATGCAAGACATGGGGGCAATGTTGATTGCGAAAACTACGGCACCTCAGTTGATCATGTCGAACACCACACACTCTCCTCTCTGGGGCACTACGCACTCTCCCATCCAGACTGCCGAAGGAGATGAAAAGCAGAGCAACAAGTTTCAGGTCGGCGGCAGCTCCGGTGGTGAAGCCGCCTTAGTCAAGATGGGCGGAAGCCAGATCGGTATTGGCACCGATATGGGTGGATCAGTGCGACAACCAGCCTGCCTGAACGAATTGTTCGGGTACAAGTATGTCTCGAAACCTCAGGATTTCCGCTGGAAGCTGCCGAAAGACTTTATGACTGGTCTTCCCCATACTTCGGTGCCCGCAATAGCACCAGGTCTGCTGTCAAGGTGCATGCCGACTTTGGAGCTGGTGGCGAGAGTAATTGGCGGTGGCGAAGCTCAGGACTTTGACAAAGAAAACAAGTGGATGGATGAAGTGGATGAAGACGAGCTAGAAGAGCTCGAAGCAAAGGAGCATAACAATCCTCGTATCGTCTACACAACGCAGAAAAGCTCGCCCGAAGTAAGCGAGCTCATCCAATGGCTAGTCAAGTCATTGAAGGATAGGGATATGTACACTTGTCCAGAGCAGTGCGACGCTCTCGGCGACATCGATCTAGCAGCCTGGGCCACAGCATGGACCGAACACGCCAAGGAACATGGCTTTGACGAAGCACGCGAAATGCTTGGCGACGATCCACTTATGACCCGCACCCTCTTCGACGAATCTCGCCTATCCTCTGTCGCTTCCGACTCGGACAAAAAGTCATGGAAACCCGACAGCGAGCGTCTGGCCAAACTGGAAGAAAGATTCATCAAACAAGCCGGCATCACCGACGAAATAGTCGAAGAGCCCGAAAACGTCATGTTCATCACCCCAACCTACATCCTGGGTGGGGCGGTTCAAAACGAAGCTTTTGTCCAACTGGACGATGCAGGAGAGAGCGAAATCTGGTGTCAAATCTTCAACCTGCTCGATTGGCCCGCCATCTCGATCCCCTTTGCGCATCTGCCTAGCAAGGTGAGAGAAGAGTTGAGGAACAAAGCAGAATCGGATCCCAAATGGGCAAAACATTTGCCTGGAAAGGTGAAAGGGGATGTCATCTGGTCCAAAACATCAGACGACGAGGTGGACAGACTTGCACATTTGAGTTTGCAGCTTGCTACGCTTCCCGGTAAGCACGCTTCGTTGCTCGATTATGCTCGTCGTATTACTGAGCCTCAGAGATGAGATGGCAAACCAACACTTGGCTCAGTTTTTGCCACATGCAATTTCAATCCACAACGCAGAATCGTGGACAAGTATCAACATTGAAAACTGGATGATGCAGTTGGATGCAAGGAAACCTATCGAGACGATGTGAATGTGTTGAGACTAGTGTTTGTTGTACAGGGGAAGGAAGGAGGGGGGGGGGGGGGGGGGATAGTGAGGGTTGAAGCCTCAAACCAACGACATTTGGTTTTTAGATCTCTTTTCGAGACTGGTTGTTCAGTTGGCCTTAACCGAAGCCGACTGTTGAATCTGCTGATGTTTGGGCTTGACTCTCTCTCCGTTATACCCTAGCACCTTCTGTCCAGCAATCTCTTCAACGTCATGCCCATCCTCGGCCTTCTTAGCATGTTGCTGTCCATACGCTTTGACTCTCAGCCTTTCCCAATCTCCGGCTGTGGGAACGTTTTGGCGCTTCTGCTTGAGATGGTCCCAGAAGCCTTTTCCGTCTAGTTGCTTTTTGTTTTTGTATGCTTCTCTTACTACCTCGCTCTGCTGTTCTAGTGGTTCTAGAGATACGTTGTCGTTGAAGAGTGCAAAGTAAAAGATACCTAGTCTGGTATAGTGAGCTTGGTCTGCAGGTGGTGCAACTACGCGGTGAATGGTTTGTTTGAGGTATCCACCGGAAAGGAAGTGCATGGCATCGCCAAGGTTGATTACGAGTGCATTGTCTCGGTGTTTGACCAAACGCCATTTGTTGTCTGGCATGAGAACTTCTAGCGAGGTAATAGGTTGGCTCCAAAGGATGCTGACAGAATTGAAATCTGTATGACCTTGCAACCTGACCCCGCCCAACTTTTCATCATCTTGTTGATCCGGTGTGTGATAGATTGCATATCTCAACAGATCCAATCCCCTCTTCTCGGGTTCCTTACTCAAGTTCCAAAGATAATCCGCCGGAAGCTTAAGAACCAAACTAAGCACGCTGAGAACCTTTCGAAGGATAACTGCGTGGTTGAACCTTGCGAACTGCTCAATCTCAGGGATGAAATCTTGCAGCGAAGGTGGGAAAAGCTTTTCCCTTTTCTCAGGAGCGAAGGATTGAGATCCAAAGTTGAGCTGTTCGATGCGGTCTTTAACGCCGTTAAGCTTCCAATGCCCTTGCTCCTTGTAACCTACGAAGGAGCCTGTGGCGAGAATGTCAGCTTTGTAACGAGCTTTGTCGGATTCAGATACGCCCTTGAAGGCGTACTGACCAATGGCGAACTGGCGAAGAACTTCAGACCAGGAAAGACCATGGTTGATGGCATAGATGAATCCGTCGCGGTGGAAAGCTTCGCCTACGGAGGAGACGAGGGAGGGGGGTACGGAGGTCAAGTCCGGACCTGTGATTTGGGATAGGTCCAAGGTGGTTAGGGGGGCCCATTCGAGGTCTGTTTCGCGGGTGGGCTGGGGGGGAGTCCAGGGGGGCAGGCTTGGGCGTGTGGCGGATGGCATGATTGAACCAAGTGATGAGGGGAGAGCTTTGGGAGAAGGTGTGAGGGTGGAGAGTAGAAGAGAGGAGCGAGATGGGAGGTAGGAGGGGGTTATAAAGCATCTCAGTTCACGCCATCATCAGACACTTTCACCACCGACCAAGCAGAGCAGGGAAGGGATGACGAGATCCACCACCACCGTGAGCAAATCTTGCACACCGCATGCCAACTTCTGTCGATTCTTGACAGGCTGCAGAATGGTGTGCTCCAATCCTTTCGTGCATCAGAAGAATTGCAGTTGGCCGGGGCCAGCCAACCATGCAGTGACTGAAATGCACGGTTATCCATCTTGTTACACCACCTTGTTAAACCATCTTGCCACTCTGAGCATCGACCATCTCCACCCGTCCAATGAGACGGTGTCGAGTGGCGAAAGAGAGAGGCGGAGGCAATAGTGTGGAGTGAGCAGCTGAGGAAAGGCGCAATCTGACGTGCTCCCTCTGTGCCAATCACGCAATTTTGCTCATTCTCGCTTGCGATTATGCATTTCTTGTTGAGTCATGTCCGAAGCCCCACGTTCCTACTGAATCGCCCGATCTCATCCCACAGCATCTCACAGTAATCGAGATTGGCCGATCTAAATCTCGATCTAGATCCCGATCCACACCCCCTTCTCTCACCACACAACTTTCAACGAGGCTCGAGGAGCAGATGCTATCACAGACGTTCGAGATTCAGGACAAAGCATCGTAAATTGTACCATAACGAAGCGCTAATCGGAGTCATACATAACTTAGCCAACCACAGGAGGGAGAAGAGAAGAACCGGAAACTAGAAGACGACATTTACTATGAGAGAAAGACCAAGAAGGGGGGGGGGGGGGGTATCAAACTGCCATGGAGCTTTCAGCGACGCTTGGAGGAAGAGTAATCAGTAGCCTGGCTCCTACCCGATTCAGCTCTGGCCCTTCCATTGCCATTCGAAGGCCTGTACCCCTCCTCAGCATCATACCTGTTACTTTTAATACTACCCTTACCCGATCTAGAACTCATACTAGTACCCCTACTTGTGATACTCTTACTTGCCGACGAGCTAGCCAACGAGTTACTCCTCGTCGACTTGGATGCAATGCTCTGACTAGCCAAGGAGCCCTCTGCACCGTGGAAGAAGGAAGCGCGCGATCTCGACTTCTGGATACGCATCGTCTCCATCGCAGCGTGAGCACGAACCTGACACATGTTGGAAAGCAAGTAGTTAGCCTTGCTTCCACCGCCGATCAGGCCTTTACCCTTGGCCTCCAATGGTTTGCCGCTAAGCACTTTACGGAATTCGAGCTTGGCAGCTTCATCCTGACCCATGCAGCTGCGCAGACGGCCGAGTTCGTAGTGAGCAAAGTAAACGAGGTATCGGTCGATCTCATCCAGTTTCTGACCGTGCTCAAAGACTTTGTTGAACGACTGAATTGCGTCGGCTTGAATCTCTTCGATCGGTCCAACGGTGTCTTCGGCTGGCAAACGAACCAAAGTCTGAGGCTCGGGGTAAGCAACAAAGCGAAGAGCAACACCCCGGAGGAAGAAAGCCAAACAGTAAGCCGACCAGTACTCGTTCTCTCCTGTACCGTACGACTTGGGATTGTGGTAGGATTCGAGTTCGTCGATAAACTCATCGATACGCGTCAGTGTGTTCTCCACCAACAAGAACACTGGCGTCTGACCGATACAGTGCCACAAGTACGAAAACTCGAGTCCTGGCAAAGCAAGTCGGTTCTGCTGAGCAATGTACTTCTTAGCCTTTAATGCGACGAATCGCTCAAAGGAAATCTGTCGACCTGCTACCCTTTTGGTCAGCTTACCAACCGTGCGCATGATGGTGGCACTCTTGGCTCGGTCATCCATACCCGTCTCGTAGAGCATGACGGCTTTGGCGTACTGATAGATGGCTTTGGACCAGTTGGATTCGCGCGAAAGAACATCGTAGCACTCGTAAGCACGGGCGAAATCGCAGGTGCAGAGGTAGGTGAGCGAGAGATCCCAGAAACACAAGTGGTGCAACTGTTTGAACTCGCGCTGCGACTCAATCGCATTCCGGTAGTACTCGATTGCCTTCTCGGGCAAAGCCTGGGCGGCGTAGAGTCGAGCAGACCAGAAGAGGTAGAAGATACCGTTAGGGAAACGGACCAAGTTCCATGAGAGGATCTTGTCGGCAAATTCGAAATCGAGCTCAGTGACGGGGATGTAGCTCGAGATCCAAAGGTGGTACATGAGAATGGCAATGTCGCACAAGGGTCGACGAACACCTTCCTCATCAGCCGAGATGGTGGGAAGAGGCTTGCTCTTGCTCCATCCACCAGCACGAGCGAACAGGTCGAGCGAGAACTTGCGGTCACCAACGAATCCAAATCCTTCCATTATCTTGAGCGTCTTGGTAGGCAGCATGGATAGAACCATCGAGCAGATAGCGTTACCGAGGTAAACGCCCGATCGGAAGTCCTGGTCCAAGTGAACCGTCTGGCAACGCTTGCCCGAAACCTCGGCCTCTTCAGCCTCAGCATCAACAGCCTCGACAAACTTGAAAAGCTCACGAACCTGGAAGTAAGCAGCACGCAAGCTGAACGCCTGCTTCACAAACCCGATGCTGTCACCCGAGTAGAAGATACCCAGCACGGATTTGAGCAGCTGCGACTCCGAATGAACCAACTCGGCATGAAGCTGAACAAGACTCATGGAACGGTAGTTGCCCATCTTGCCGCCACCAATCAACTTGCCAATGGTACCCTGCTTCTTGCGGAGGAAGCCAGCGATCTTCATCGAGTGCTGACAGCACATGATGGCCGTCTCAAAGTCGGCAGGCTCGAAAGTCATGATCGACTTGACCGAGTTGATAAGGGCCATACCTTCGGCCTTGTAGAGACGAGTACCGGCACCGTTCATGCAGATCTCTTCGGCTTCGCGCATGCGAGAGTTGAGGAAGAGAGCCATGGCTTCGCGGACAGCTGCAAGATCCTCACGGCAGTCGTTGTCGTCGATCTTGCAGTCGGAAGTGCTGATCTTCTGCTGCATGTAGTCGGGTCGGACAGCGGTCTCGGGAGTGATGGATTCGTCAGAGTAAGCCGACATCTGGTCATCGATGGGGCTCTCCTCGTCGAACTCGTCATCCTCATCGGGGTAGTGGTCAACGGTGCGAGGTGCCTGCTGACGCTGGCCAGGGCGGGCGACGCCGTGGTCCTCTTGGTCATCCTCCTCTTGGTCATCCTCCTCTTGGTCATCCTCCTCGTCGTCTTGCTCGTCGTGGTGGCGGTTCTGAACAGCATCGTTGGCAGCGTCACCATTGTTCTTGTTAGCACCACGGATGTAGTTGAAGCCAGCAGCGGCAGCACCTGCGGCACCAGCAGCGACACCAGCAACGGCACCGACAGCAGCACCGGTGTAGCTCTGAGGCTGCTGCTGGTCATCGTCGTCGTCATCGTGCTCGGGTTGGGGTTGGGGTTGGGGTTCAGGCTTAGCAGCTCTGCTAGGCTTGCGGTTGAGCGACTTGTTGGCCGAAGGAGAGCGCCTGGCACGCGCAGCAGGCTCAGGCTCTGGCTCGGACTCGGGGTCCTCGAAACCATCTTGATCGGATTGCTCGGTTTCAGGTTCGGGTTCAGGCTGCTTTTTCTTGCTCTTGGACCTCTTAACGCCTGCAGCACCAGCACCAGCACCCGCGGCAGCAGCGGCGGCTTCACCCTTCTTGGACTTTTTGCCGGACTTTACGGAAGCAGCATCGCTCGGTTTGCGGCCCTTTGCGCCGCCACCGTAAGACTCCTTGATGGTGCCGTCATCACAGAGCTCGACAAGCTTCTTGTGACCGAAGGAGCTCTCGAGCGTGTCCTCGTTGTGTTCCTGGAGCCACTTGATGAGGGAGCCGTAGTTGTGACGGTCGTTGACGACTTGAGTGATGGTCTTGCCGTTGGTCTGAGGGTACTTCCAGGTAATGGTACCGTCGTAGGTGATGATACCGGCACGCTGGTAGATGTTCTTAGCTCGAACGAAGGGCAAGATCTGGTAGTGCTTGAGACGAATCTGCTTGGAGAGCACTTCGCGGCGGTAAGCGAGATCAGGGTTCTCGTCATCGCTGCGGGTGGTCTCGAACCATTCGCAAGTGAGTCTCTCGAACTCGTCGGTGAGCTGCTTCATTTCGGCCTCGATCTTGGAGCGAGACTTGGTGTCCTTCATGACATCGTTCTCGCCAGCCTGAGGCTCAATGTAGTCCCAGTCCCAGTCCATAGTACCTCCCATACCCTTCCGAATCTTGGAAGCGGGGACGAGTTCGGCGAGATCCTGGGCTTTACTGGAGAACTTGATCTTGTCACGAACGACAGGGTCAAGCATGGGCTGCAAAACTTGCCAGATACCCTTGAAGATCCAAGGAGCACCGTGGACGTAGATACGCTGAAGCGATTCGGGGTAGTAAGCTTCGAGACACTTGACGAGGAAGAGAACACACTGCCAGTCCATGTTCTTCAGACCGAAACCAGCCATGTCGAAGATGACGACGGCCTTCTCGTAAGGAGCCGTGGTGATCATACGAGCGTTCTCCATGGCAAGCAAGACGTAGTCCTGAAGAACTTCGTGCTTCTGTGCACTGGTAAAGTGGCGAGCGACGTGGATAAAGTAGATGGGGTTCTCCATCTTGTCGGTGGAGCCCATGATGTACGAGATACCACGACGCATCTGGTTCATAAAACCGGGGACATCCTTGAGACCGTCTTCACCCTTGTAGATGATACCGCTAACGTCCTTTTCGAGACGAAACTTGCAGGCAGCTGCCAACATGGCAAGTGCACGGTCAATGTCCCACTTACGAGCACGAAGGAAACGAAGAACCGAGGTATCGGGGTGATCCATCTTGGTGAATTCCCACATGGTTTGTCGCAAGATGGGTCCACCGTACTTGTCGATAAACTCGTTCATCTCTTTCATCTCTTCGGCCTTCCTGGCCTCTTCTTTGGCCTTGTCATCCTTGGGGATGTCCTTGCCGGCGTCCTTTTCGTTTTTGGGAGTGGCGGCGGCGCCTTTGGGGACCTTGGTAGGGCCACCTTGGCGCATTACACGGTCCGAGACATCCTTGTTCTTTTCAAAGAGCTCGAAAAGACGTCTCCACATCTCTCGGACGTCCTTCTGCTGCGAGGCGGAAAGGTTGCCTGTTGTAGCAAAGAAAGGGGAAAGGAAAGAAGGTTAGCTTTGTTGCTCTCTGGGAGATGAGCTCTGACTGCTCAGGAGGCTGGAATGAGTGGCCTAGAGAGGAGAACAGATGGCATGGCGCCGCTCATCCGCGCCAGGGCGAGGAGCAGAGAGAGAAAGAGAGAGAGAGAGTGTGTGTAGCTCGGAGGCGGCCATGGAGTCAAGAGAAGTGGAAGAAAGGGATTTGGCGACTTACCTCGGTAGGCGGGCTGGATCTCCTCACCGAGATCGTTTGTTACAGACGCCATTTCTGTCGACTGTGCTGGATCAGTGCTGCTGCGTTGAGCTGCACGGGATTTGTGAGGGAAAGAGGGTTTGGGTTGAAAAGGAGAATTGGCAGGTGTTGAGGAGCGAGACTGTCTAGACTGCGGATCCTGCTGTTTCTGGAAAAAGGGAAGCGACTGCTGCCGAAGCAGGGGGACTGGGAGGTAGTAGAGGCTACGAAAAGCGTTCCTATGCAGTTTCGCCGTCTAGAGGACAAGGTAGAAAGAAGCAAGAGAAAAGCGGATGCAAGCTGTGCTGAGCTTTGCGAAGACGGCTTTTCGGTTGAGACAAGAAAAGGCGTAAGAAAGAGGGAGAGAGGGAACTCGTTCGTTACAGTAGAAACGAGTGGAAGATACTCTTTTACGAATAGAGAAGCAGAGGAGCGTGTTGAACAAGAAAACGTGAACTCCAAGCACGGGTATCCAAAGAGAAGAGGGCAGGGAGAGAGTGTGTGGCAGTGGTAGTGGCAGTGGTAGTGGTAGTGGTAGTGGTAGTGATAGTGGTAGTGGTAGTGGTAGTGATGATGATGATGAAGGAGAGAAAAGCCGCGTGCTCTTTGGTCGTTAGAATAGAAAGGATGATAGCGAGAGCAAAGGAGGGGGGCCGAGCTTTTGATAAACGTGGATGGGCGACTCGCGCTGGGAGGATTATATTGGATCAGAGCGGGGAAAGCGGAGGAGCGGCTAGCCAAATGAGGCTAAGTTCGCTGCTGCTGCCGTGCGTGTGGACGAATGGAGGCGAAGAGCAAGACAAAAAGGCGGACAAAGACAACTGGGAAGCCGTCGTGCACTGAGCGAGAATGGAGAGGCGAGACACTTGTTACAGTAGTTGAACAGAATGCGGCAAAACAAAGCGTCGTTATTGGTTACAGTAACGCTCGAAATTTGCTCGGTGTGAAAGAGAAGAGCAAGGATTGGATCCAAGTGTGGATCTGAGTGTGGATCGATTTGATCAAGAGGGAGAGAGAGAGACGGGAGAGACAGAAAGGGAGAGAGAGAGAGGCAGAGAGGCAGAGAGAGAGACGCTATGATGGATGACCTCGGCTACTACTCGACTTGCATCCCAAACTGATGCCGACGACCTCGCCTATGTTGCGAATTCCATAACTCCATCTTTCGTGGATGTGTAGATATATGTGTCTGTGTGTACCTTGCCTTACTGTCTGGAGAAAGTCAAAGTGCGAGCAGAAAGAACAAGAAGGAGAGCAAGTTTTCAACCCCCGACGTTTACTTTTTTTTCCCACAATGAGAAGCATGACGACAATCATTCACCACTATCCGCGGTGAAGCGGACATGACAGCGACGTCAGAGGCGTCCATAAGAGCTTCAAGGAGATGCACGGAGCTGGTTACTGTCTCGACTGCTGCTGTACGCGACAAACAATCATAGAGCAGCCGAGTTGGAGATGACGACCAGAACTTGCTCCTCCTGGCGAAAGCGGGGTAGTTGAGAAGGTTACCACCGCTCCTGCCAGCTGTTCACACCAAGTCGGCTTGGCTTGCTTTCGCCTGCGTTTCCTCGCTATCTTTCACAAGCAAACACAGCAACTCGTTTGAACCGCCGTATCGCCGATCCGCCTTTGCTCCCCCACAATCTTGTAGCATGCGTGGGGCACCACAACTTGACCCTTCCAACGCCCATCAAACCGCGTCTTCTGGGCCAGTAGAGCGTCACCTTGCTGATCCTTAGACGGTCCTATCTAAGCCTAAGTTATGACAAATTTCACCGGGGTTTCCATCGATTTAATGTACCCTGTGGCAAGATCCGGGATACAGGAAACAAGGTCACCATGTCGATGTGCACGACCGTTCCAAGCTGCAGATGAGTCTGTGCACTGTGGCAGCATGGCAGCAATCATTGGGCAGACGACTAGGTTTTTCTCAGTATCAGACAAGCTTGCACAGGCAGGCCTCGGCGTTAATTGGTATCCATTTTGGTTGGTTCAATGTCATGTTGTTACATTCTCGCACAGCTTCTAGGCTCATTTGAGAAAGAGGCAATGAAAGCATAAGTCAAGGGAGCCAAGAGAAGAACAAAAAGTTATCCGCATCGCTTCCACCTGTGCGAGTGAGAGATGAGATCAAGATTGATATTTGGTGGCTCACAGAGATCGGCAAGGCACGGTAACATGGGAGCAAGGAGAAGAATATTAAGCTGAGCAGAAAGAGTGATAGCGACCACGGTGAAGAGGAGCATGTCGTTATTGCACGTCATCCATCTCCATGTTGGCCATCACATCGCCGCCTGCATCAGCACCGTATCGCTCCTCGCCCTCATCCACTCGGTCCTCCTCATCCACATCCTCATCGTCATACATCTCTGCCGAACCAGAACGGTCAGCACGGTCGCTACCACTGCCACCATCATCAAGACGGTAAGGTGGCAAACCGCTGTGCTTGCCATCGGTCTCAGTGAGACGCATGTTGCCCAGTCCAGCAAGTGGACTCATGGTAACACTGCGCATCGAAGGATCGTAGGTGCTGGTAGTGCTGCCATCGCTGCTGTCGTTAGGAACCAACGAAGGAGTAGGTCCACGTGCTGGGCTGGCACCAGCATTGCTCGAGACCGTGTTGCGACGTTTCGAAGCCATCAGGGTTTCAAAGTTGATCGATTCGGATCCCAGCAAACCAGACGACGGAGGGCTGACAGCTGCAGGCCACAGTGCCTTTTCTTCGGGCAAAGATCGCGCGTTGGCATCCATACCGACCAAGATGGCGGCGGCTTCGAGTAGCTGTACCTGTTGATGCTTGCTCATGAGAAATTTGGAGGCTTCCTTCCAGTAGACGGTGTGCTCCCAGCGATGCTTGATGAGACAACTTGGGTGACGGTAGACTTTGGCACAGCTTTCGCAACGGTGCAGCTGCTCGTGCTTGCCGCCCTTGGAGTCATCATCCTCGCCAACAGTGCCTGTTGAGCTGACCGAGGCGCGACGGTCACGCTTAGCTCCGTTGTCAAGGGCACCACTGACACTCGCGTTGGCAGTGATCATCCCTGGACTTGGCATAGGCATGGAACTGTCGAGACTGGAAGGACCAAAGCACTCAACACCGAGATGCGAGTGACCTTGCGAGCGCCCCTCGTTTGCAATAGGTTGCGCATTGCTTCTTGCCTGGAAAGAGCCAGGGGCGACGGTGGAGTTGGATGCGATGGAAGACGAGAGAGAAAGAGCTTCAGCAGCAGCTCCAAAGGAAGTGGAAAGACCGCTCATCTCAGCAGTGACCATACGGGGGGAGCGTGCCATCATGGGGATCGCTCGTCCATTGGGAGAGGTGGGGATGCCAGCAGCACCACGGCTCATCGAGAGGCCTGAGGCTCCACCAGCGCCAGCAGCCGAAGCTGTGTCGGTGGCTTTGCGACGCATCTGCCCGGTGATGGATTCTCTTCTGCGTCCACGGCTAGGCACAGAAGAGGAGATGCCGCCGTTTGATGAACCATCGGCCCTTGCGTTGGGCATAGAAGAGGGTGCAAAGAAGCCTTTGTTGGGCGGCGAGAGGCCAGCGAGTGGCATAGTCATGGTCATGGCTTGAGGCTGGTCGTGATAGGCTCGACGAACGGAACTGGCGACGGTCTGATATCGCAACGTTGAAAGGAATGCAGCAAAGCAGTGAAATGTGATGAATGATGACGGTCAGCCTGTAAGGCTCTAGCTAGTTTTGTTGTGAGATGGCTTTCGGCTATGCTGCTCTGTTTGTGCAGTCGCAAGAATGCTGCTGCCAAACACTTACAGTAGTGGTAGTGCTGCCGCTGCTTTCAGAGAAACAGCCGATGGGGTTGGAGAAGCTCATACGTTACGGTGTGTCGCGTTCAAAGTCGGACTACGTCGGGAAAGAAGGCGAGAGGGTTGGGATTGGGATTGCAAATTTGTCGTAGCGTTGCGTTGTTGTGTCGAAAGAGACAGAGAGTAATGGCCGAGATTGACGAGCAAAACAAAACGGGAGGCAAGAAGTGGGAAGAGATGAAAAAGAAACCAAGGAATGGAGCGGTTAGGCTTTGAAGGCTCTCATAAACGTCTGGCCAGATTTGGCGGTGCTGCATATCAGTGCACAATTTGCGATCTGAAGAAAGAGGCCACTGCGGAACACCGGAAGGAATCCTATGAGGAGAGGTTCACTCCAGTCGATGGGAAGAAGGGACAGAAGAGAAAGTTCGAGGGCTGGCAGGTGCCTTGCTCAGATGCGAATAGTGCGTGTTGCCGCTGCTAGCGTCGTCGACGTAACTATCGAGGCAAGCCGGTAAAGACGAAGCGTCGGCGGCCAGAGCTCCATAGAGCTGAGGGCGTTTGGGGCAACAGAAAGGTGCAGAAGCAGATGGGAAGAAAGATGAGAGGCAAAAAGAAAACTCACGACTTGCAGCCAAGTGAAAGGTTGATTGAGAAGATTGTGGACTGGTAGGAATGGCGGAAGAAATGAGGTGCTCCTTGGGGTTTCGAATCGAAGAAAGGCAAAAGACGAAAGCAAGACTTGAAGCGTATGCTAGTAGGCAAGAAGCGCTACCAACACAGAAAGATGAATGCCGCTTGATGAGGGGGGTGATTTATAAGAGGCGAGTTTCGACTGAAACCGGTCGTAGAAAGGTACTTGCTTTGGCAAGAACCAGGGAGCTGGGTTGTCAGAAGCTAGGACAAAGAGCGAGCAGAAACACCAAAGAGAAAGAAAAACCGGGCTCCTGATAGCGAAGAGCGAGCGAGATGTGCTTGCTGAGCGATAAAAGTCCCGAAAACGTAAACTTGGCGCTTCCGGAATGCTTTTTGGCAGGAGTCGGGTTCTGCTGCGAGTCTTGCGTCGAGGAAGGATGTGATGAATGCGGTCCTGAATATTGTAATGGGCCAGGAACAAGATCAGTTATGAGAACCTTGAGATCGGGAGAGGGAGCAGGAGCGAACCAGAGAACCGGTGACGAATCGTAAAGGAAAGGAAGTCTGAATGGTGTCAAGGCGATAGTGTCAAGGCGATAGAGTCCAAGACGAAGGATTTGACAGGCGCCAGTGAGCAAAGTGATGAGACCAAGTTGAAGCGATTGAAGAAGCGAGAATAGTCGATGGTGATGATGATGATGGTGTCGGAGGTGGTAGGTGCTGGTCGCTGGAGAGGATGTTGCAGCCAGACATTCAAGCCAACGGCATCGTATCCAATCGAATATGGAAGAGTTGTGCTCAAATCAGAACACACTTGGAAGGTGCCTGACTTTTTTTTAATTTCCTTTTTTTTTTTTTTTTTTGCCCCTTGAGGCTTGAGAGTGAGCGTGTGGACACGCAGACAGCGTCGGGCCAAAAAAAATCAAAAATCAAAAATCAAAAATCAAAAATCAAAAATCAAAAATCAAAAATCAAAAAAAATAAATCACAAGGCAGCAGAACCCACACACACAGTCGAGAACACATAGTCGAGAACACACAGAAAATAAATAAATAAAAAAGCGGAGCGGCTGCAGGGGAAAATTTGGAAGCGACTCGACTCGACTCGACTCTAGTTATAGCCTCTTATAACATGTACGTAGTCCCGCTCTTGGGTCAGGAATGTAGACACACTTTACTCCCTTGCTTGGGTGATTCTGAAATTCGATTGGTCGATGCAGGTCTGCATGTCTCGACAGCTGCAGCGCCTCTCAAACAGCAAATTGAACAAAGCATACAGGGGAAAAAAATAAAAATAAAAAATGGAGGAGACGCTCAAGTCGGCCAAGCAGCTTCCGCGACTGTTCGGCCTGGGAATCGGGAGTGGCAATAGGCTTGCTGCTGTTATTGTGCCCGGAAGACCAAATTGCTTGCGGTCATTTGGATTGCGTGCGAGGCAGCCAGAATTCTCTTTTTTTTTTTTTTTTTTTTTTTTTTTTTTTTTCTGCGGTCGCTCTGCCCGCGGAACAAGCACTTTAGCAATCCGAGATTCGGTTGGCCTTTCTTGCCACCTTTGGCCCAGCCATGAAGCTCGTAGTCAGGGCTCCTAGTCCGGAGCCGGGCGCTTGCTTCGCTGCCAAGCCTAATATTAGGCAAGGCCTGAGACAGCTATCGGGTCTAGTCCGATGATAATGACAAAGCAAAGTCTATATTGGCGGATACTCCGAGATGGCTACCAACTGGCTGTCAAAATCAACTCGCTTGCAATTACCGCAGTGCGAAACGCGGGAAAAGAGGAGACGGGCAAGCACATTGAGATAGCTTAACTTGCCTACCAAGCGACAACTACACATTGCAACTCGTTGTTACTTTGAGGCTCGATCTCTTTTTGCCTCGATCTTTTTTTTTTTTTTTTTTTTTTTTTTTGCCTCGATCTTTTTTTGTCTCGATCTCTTTTTTCGCCTTTCAGCTTTCAGGATCGGCCGATCAATTCAGCTCTATTTGGACGAGACGAGAAATCACATGTGCTGAGCAATACACAAAAGAGGCTTGGCCATTTCGCGGCAAAGCCACAATTCAGCCACAATTTCAATTCAGTCGCCAATCCACGCACAGAGAGACTCTATCAGTGGCATGGGGGAGCAAGACTTGGAATGCAGCTTTGGGCCTTTTGCACCTGCAGTTGCCGTTGCAGTTGACCGGTAACCGCCTTTTACCGCGAGAGCAAGCACCTTTCGGAACAGCTGACGAGCTACTCTACTCAGCCAGAACGTCAACTTTAGAGCCGCTGTTCAACCAACAGAATTGACCGGCCGATACTGTTGCAGCCTCTCTTTCTGCATGCTTTCTTGCATTGCTTGGTCAGGAACCGATCCCGTTCGCAACAACTGCTTGCTGTGGGGAGTGGGCTTGGGGTCAAGTGACCTTATGGATGCATTCATATGTAATCAGTTTAGCTTGGCATCGAGATGCTTGAATCGTATTGGCTCCTCGACCTCCACCAAGCTGTCATGGGGCTGTGATGTGGAATTAAGCGAGCAAAACTCTCGGAGAATTTCAAATGCGTGCCATACTGATCGGAGAGAACAGATGGCAAGCTTGTATCGCCAAGTCGGCCGAACGTCGGTAGAATTCGAGAAGAGCAGATGCTAATCTGATAGCATATCTCAAAGCCTAGATCAATCCATCGCTCATCACTGAGAACGGTTTGCTTCCCTCCAATCCGGGTTTGAGAACGGTTTGCTTCCTTGGCCGGCTAGCTCCTGGTTGCTCACTCTCGTTTGGTACAACAATTGTCGAGTCGAGCCCCGAAATGTTTGTAGTCTAGAGACCGCCATTGTCTATGGCTCTCGCATGATCGCATGATATTTAGATTGGCGACATCCAATCCTTTTGGCTCATATCGATCATCAATGCGTTGCATAAACTGACCGGCAAGGATATAAGCTCTGCCTCAGCACCACCTCATCCGATCTCGTCCTGGTCTTTGTTCGGGAAATGTGGCGCGATGAATACGTGGAGCCTCGGTTGCTTTACTCTATTCATACACTTCTAAAGTGCCTGACAAGCGAGATTGAGGGAGGGGGCTTTCCCGTGTTGTAGGCCAAATCGTTGACATTTCCCTGCGGAGTTGGAGGTCAACAAATCGTTCTCAAACCCGGAATGGAGGCAAGCAAACCGAGTATTTCCCCAGATTTCGTCAAGACCCGTATGTTTCCCTCCAACTCCACGCTCTGCTGCATGGAAAGCGCTCTCTCTCTCTCTCTCTCTCTCTCTCTCCGAGTGCCAGAAGGTCGGAGCTTTACTGCAAGTCCGTGTAGGTAATGAAGGGACCTCAACGTTAGTCACCGCAGCCTTGCTTGTCTCCGCTGCCTTTCGTGGCAAGAGTGAGATGCCCACTCCTCCTCTCCCTTTGTTGACAGCCATGATGGAGAGGCTTTTGATCCGATGAGCGTGAGAACGGCTGCCGTCTAAGCGCAGAGGAGCGGCGGCGCCGAAAGCTGTATGTGATGAGATGGAAGAATCAGAAAGACACTTGCGCAGCACATTCGGATGTGCCTTCTCAGGCTCTCAAAGAAGAAAGGACAGTAACGATAGCTGAGCTTGTGTGTTGTGAGATGAAGTGAATGCGCAGGCAGATGTGATAAAAGTGAACAACCGATTGATGCTACTTGTTCTTCCTTCTCCCACCAAGCAGACAACACCTTCCCTCTCGCCACCTTCCTCCTCTCCACCTCCTTCTCCTTCTCACAAATAGCACAGTGCTTCCTGGCGAGGCTTGTCTTGGCGCCTGTGCAAGTGATCTCCGACATTATCACACGGAAGCTCAAAAAATAAAATAAAACACTCTTTCAATCTGGCCACTTGATCAGCTGCGCTTCCTTCATCCTTCCTTCCGACACACTCCAACCTCCCACGACAGCAGCGCATACTCTCAGCGAACGGCTTCTTCTCCTGCATCTGTATCAACTCCCACAAGCCTCTCGAAGGACGCCCCATTCCTCTCTTCCCTCTCATCAATCGGGCCTGCTCCTGGACTGAGGACCATTCACGGTGGAACTCAAGCACAGGCCTCCGCGATCCCAAAACGGTAGCTCACCAGCGCAGTAACAGGCTCGGCTACCTTCCGACAAAGAGGCGCCGCCCCTCTGATTTCGACAGAGCTTCCCCCTCAAGCTCAGCCTCTTCGGCTTTGCCGACACTATTCCTCGCGCTCACGTGCCCCGCCCCTCTCGGAGCGAGCGAGGGGCAGCATCCCGAAGTAGCTCTATCGCTTGCTCGCTTTCCCACGCCACTTGACACGCCATGGTCGCTAAAATCTACTTCGACCCGCCTCTCTGGCTGCAGAGGCAGTCTTGGGTGCTTGGCAAGCTAAGGCAGGAGCGATCCGACTCTGTCGTCGATGTCGGCTGTTCCAACGGTGTCCTTCTCTCCGCTCTCATGCAGCCCGCCTTCCAGCTGGACCAATTCCCCCTCGACCGCTTTCCTGCTCTCGCTCTCCCCTCTACCGCATCCAAAACCAATCCCACCAACACCAATGATGCCACCAACACCAATGATGCCACCAACGACTCTGCCCTTCTCTCCAGCAGACACTGGATCTACAGTCCCAACGACATCGTCCTCTCCCGTCTCATCGGTATCGACGTCGAACGCAAAGTCCTCGACAATGCCAAATCCAGTCTCTCTGTCCACGGTCTTGCTCTCGCCAAAAACGGTCCACGCTGGAAATCCCTCGATGTACGACTCTTCCAAGGTCCCGTCGAAACGGAAAACCAAAATCTCGACGACTACGACGCTTTCGTAGCCACCGAAGTGATCGAGCATCTTGACGAATCAGCACTCCAACAGTTCGCTCCTACCGTATTCGGCAAATACCGTCCACGCATCGTTCTCATCACCACACCCAACTACTGCTTTAACGACAACTTTGGCCAAGATCTCAGCACCCGTCCTGGCTTTCCTGACCCAACCGGCCGCACGAACAGAGTATTTCGTCATGAGGATCACAAGTTCGAGTTCACACCAGACGAGTTCAACAAGTGGTGTGAGACCATCGCCGATGATTTCGGCTATCAAGTCAGCATTTCCGGTATAGCATCTGGCATCTATAGGGTGCCAAAGGATCAGATGCAGCCACCCGTACCCTCTGAGCAAGGAGGAAAGATTTGGAAAGCTACTCGTCCGCGTACTAGTAGTAAAGAGGATAAGGATTTGCGTTATGCCACCCAAGGTGCATTCTTTGTCAGACACTCGGCGAGTAGTATTGCTGCTCAACGACAACAGAGTGGTCAAGCAGGCAATCAAGGTTCCCACCCGTTCTCGGATAGGTTTTTGCAGTCTCGTTCTGTCCCCAAACCTCCTGTCGAGACGAGGGTGCATGATATGTTCGATGAAGCCATAAGCCGCGAAGGAGACGAGAATGAAGAAGATGGCGACGAGCGAGGCAGGTCCGGAAGGAGAGCACGCAGTCGACGTCCAGAAAATCTGCCTTTTTTGAGCAGTCCTTCCCCGCAAACACCCATGCTAGCGGCATTTTCGAGCGAGATCATTTCTGGCGTTCCGAGCTATGGACTTGCCGAAGCCTCGGCACCTTCGACTCAATTCAGCGGTCACGAATTGGTTTGGAGTCATCGATACCAATGCTCCCTTCCCTCTGGGCAGGTTGCGGAATCGGGGAAACGAAACATTCAAACTGCTCTACCGCTGCCCGCTGACGATATTTTGGCGAGCGTAGTGGAAAAACAGAGGCAGCTATACGTCAACGCCCAGTGGCACGGCGATGATGGCGCCTCTTCCCCCGAGGCAGTTGGACGAGAAGCCGTGGCAAAACTGTGGGATGTTTGGTCGGATGATCAAGTGAGAGCTGCCTGTGGAGGTAGAGTTGCCGTTCTACTCGATGCTTTGCGACTCGTAGCATCCGAAACAGATACTTCACCAACCCCACCAGGCGTGGCTGATAGGATCAACATTGTCGTTGCCTCCGACACAGCTTATTGGGAACTGAGAGTGCAGACTATCCGGCACAGTAATGTCGCCAATGGTGCCCAAGACTTTGTCGAGTCGGATCTTTTCCTCGTTTACACCCACCAAGATGTAGCGAGATGGCAAGCGGCTATTGATGAGGCGAGGCAATGGGTACCATTGGATCTAGGTGGAAGATGGGGCGGCTCGGGAGGAGCGACGAAAAGAAGCAATAGCAACGGCCATAAAGTCTCTCCTACGCGTCAAGGAGTAAAACCATTGAGAAACGCCAGTAGTCTCAATCCTACGTGGAATTAAGACTGGTCACCAAACAATATCAAAAAGCATATCGCTGTCGCTATGGTCAAAGCGCACTTGAAACATCATAGCACCGCTCAATAGCCACAGAACTCAAAACAAGCAGTCAGAACAAACGAATCAAAACGCAATTCAATCATCTTGTATTTTGCAATGTCAAAGTAAGATCCAACTGACCTAGGCAGGTCGAGCAACTCTACGACCAGACCTGGTAGAACCAGGGGGCAAGCTCAATGCTTCTGCCAACAGTGCCTTTTCATCACCTGGAGCGACTGCGTTGGTTACGATGACGTCGAACCCTGGTTTTCTGGTTTCTTTTGAAGTAACTTTCTCGGTTTGCTTTGCTTTCGCCTCCTTTCCTCTTGTCTCCTCCACACTTTCTTTCTCCCGTTCTCGTGAGGTCTGTAGGGGCTTTTTAGTGGAAGCGACCTCTCTAGCACTAAGCCAAACCTCACCAGGACCTTTCTCCTCTTCATCGTCAAGCCAGATTCCCATCTGAGGCGGAGCAGCACCTCTCCCCACCAAACCCCCTTTTCCACCGTCCTTCTCCCTGCGTTTCCCCCTCCCACCTCCCTCTCTACCCTCTCCACGCGGAGAGGAGTAGTGTCCGCCAGACCAAACAAACGCGCCCTCCAAGACCCTCGTTATTACTTTATACGCAAGCGCGTTAGCATATGGAATTCCCGTTCGCGGATCTTTGTATATTGCTGGCAGTCCAGTAATCGGACAGATGCTCTGTCGTGGTTTCACCGGACGGTTGCGAGAGGGCACGTAGGGGTAGCAGGACCAATCAACGTGAGAGCCAAAGATAGAAGCATATTCGTCCAGCCAGGAAAAGTCGCCAGGCCGGCGTTCGAGGGTGAGTAGTGTTCGCGCTTGCAGTTCCCTTTGAGGCGCGTTTAAAGTAGGCTTGCACCGAATCGGTTTGCAGCCGGTGGAGGAGCGGATGGAGGCAGCTTCTTTTCGGACTGCTAGCACTGGGTCCAGTGTTAGCGAGCAAGTGGACGCGGCTTGGGGTGCGCAAGTGGCATCAGTTGCAGTTTCGTTTTGTGGGGCTGATGTCGACGCTGATGCTTGTTCGGACGTTACCTCTTTCCCAGGCTCTTGCATCGTAGCGTCACTATCGCCAGCCACAGCTTGCTTGACCTCCGCGCTCCCTTGCTGAGACTGCAGCCGGGCACCAGATGCCATTTCCTCTCTCCGGTCCGCCTTGCCATCCTGCACCGCCTCCTTCCTCTGCAGCCCAGCATTTGGATCAGTCGAAGCTGCATCCACCTGATTCTCTCCCTCCTTGTTCCCCTCCTCCTGAACGACTCGCACCCACATCGCGGCACTAACCCATCTCACAAACGGCCCTTGAATGCGCTCCTTCCTCTGTCTCTGCTTCGCCCTCCTCTCCTCCTCTTGCTCCAAAAACCTCCTCAAGCTTTCCCTGTTCTCCTCTTCCACCTCCAACGCTTCTGCGATTAACGCATCCTGTGTCAAACTAGCCTTTTTCTTCTGTACCACTTTCACCGGTTGCGCCGCCCGTCTCTGTTCCGCTTCTTCCAGCCTGGATTCTACTTGAAGTTTGCTCTGCACTGTTGCGGAGCGAGCTGAAGTTCTCCTTCTGCTGCCTACTTCCAGCACACTTGAAGAGGTAGAAGAGGAGCGTGTGTCAGGTGCGAAACTTATCCGTCTTCTTTTCGCTTCCCTGCCGCCTTCCCCTGCTCCCGGTGGTGCTGGTGGTTTGCGTATTGCAGCTGCAGCTGCAGCAGGACGCTTGATGATCCCACCAGCAGCTCTAGCCGCAGCTCTACGTTTAGACTTGTCAACTTTCTCTTGCGCTTCAATCTCCCTCTCCCCCTCACTCTCATCCTCTACTGCTGCCCGAGCATCATCATCAGAATCGCGGTCGAAATCGGAATCGACAATGTCAACTCCATCTTCGTTCTCGTTCGCTTCAAAGTCGATGTCGTTCTCGACTTCGGTGAAGATTTCGTCTCTTTCAAGTTCTTGGTCGAGAAGTTGTTTGAGTCGGTTGCCGGCGGTGGAACGTTTTGAACGAGAGGTGACCATAAGGTCTGAGGCTGGGATTGAGGTCGAGTCGAATCGCTCGATGCGGTATGATGTGGAGGGGGTGGGGTCGGAAGGAGAGGTGGAGCGACGTGAGGGTCTGGACATGGTGTATGCTGGTGCACTGAGCGCGCTTGTGTGGTGATCGGATTTGGTTCGGTGGGATGTTTGAGCTTAGCTACAGTGTTGATGCTGAGGCTAGGTAGTGAGGAGAAGCGATCCTATGAGCCTGAAAGAGAGGCTGCGTTGATGGAAGATGCATGGTAACAAGGTAAGGCGAGTGAAAGAGGACTTTGAGCGCGCCAAACGTCAGCTTCACCTTGCATTTCCGATTTCCGAGACTGTGACCACTTGCCGATTTGCACCTTCTCGACATCTTCTACCAACCCTCTTACCACGATAGCCTCTACACTCGGCCCCGTCTCAACCATACCATCCTTCTCGCTCAGCCATATCATTGCCACCGTACTGCCTGGTCTCTAGCCCATCTTCCCTTCGACCCCCGCATCGAGCGATCCCCAACGGCAGCCATGTCAATGGAAGCATTCACCCAAGCACGTAGAGCCAAACTTGCCCTTCTCCGCGCACGTCGTTCCGCCGAACAATCCGGCCATACCCCGTCCTCCTCCTCCTCCTCCTCCTCCACACCTTCTCTACTCATCAAACGCCATTTCCGAAACTACGACCCGATCACAGGCCAACTTAAACGTTTCACTTCCGCCCGCGACCTCCCCGATACAGTAGAAAAAGACGTCTGCGGTCTTCAAGCTGAAACGATCGCTGAAGATGAACAAAGGAGAAGAGAAGATCTACACCTCACAAATGTCGCACCGAAACGAGCGAATTGGGATCTGAAAAGAGACCTGGAGAAGAGGTTGAGAAAGTTGCAAAGGAGGAATAAGGAAGCGGCGATTCTGTTGATTAGGCAAAGAATTCAAGGACAGCAGAAAGCGGCCGGGTTGGATGCAAATAGTGGCGAGAGCAAGGGGGAGAGTCTGACCCGGCTTAGTGCCGAGATCGCTGCTAGTGCGACTAGCGATCTGCTTCCTGGAAGGGACCATGTGTCTGAGGATGAGAGCCAGAGTGATGGGTAGGAGAGCAGGCTCATAGGCAACTTTAGAATCTAAGGATTAACTTGATCTACTACTATCGCAACTATCGCAACTATCGCAACTATCGCAACTATCGCACACTTGTGCTTGTATCATTTCCATCACAGCATACGCTTCACAGTTCCGAAAAGCAAGCTCAGTTGGATGAGAACTATTTGACCATTTCAAACCCGGACTGAGCTACACACAAGGAACGTATGGTGACAACGGCAAAGGAATAACTAACGAGTCCAGCTATTAAACAGGCCAATATCATCCGCACCATTCATCGGGCCCGAGCATCCAACGTTGTGCTGCTGCTGCTGCTGCTGCTTCTCCTCCTCCTCTTCCTCCTCTTCGGCATTCAACCTCCTCTTTCTGTTGCCATTCGTGCCGTTCGCGTTGGCAGCAGCACCGTTTACCACCGCCCCACTTGGATCCGACGCCATCTTCTCGTCATTAGCTCCGTCCATCGGTCCACCGGCTACACTAGAGGCAGCCGGACTAGCTCGACTTGCGTAGATCTTCTTCTGGTTCTCCGAGATGACCGGAATGTTGGTCGCCGCCTTTTTAGCTTTTGCATTTTCGCTACGAAGATGTTCGAGATGAGCAATGTATTCTGCATCAACACCACCGGTGACGTAGTGACCGTCGAATACGGAGCAGTCAAACTTTTTCAAGTCCGGGTTGAATTGCTTCACGGAATCAATCAGATCCTCGAGAGTCTGGTAGATGACCATATCCGCTTGGATGTATTCTGCGATCTGTTCGACTGTTCGGCCGTATGCGACGAGTTCTTGGCGAGAAGGCATGTCGATTCCGTATACGTTGGAGTAGCGGATAGGTGGAGCACAGGAAGCCATGATGACTTTTTTAGCGCCTGCATCTCGGGCCATCTGAATGATCTCTTTTGACGTGGTACCACGAACGATGGAGTCGTCGACGATGAGCACGTTTTTGCCGCTGAACTCGAGAGCCATGGCGTTGAGTTTGCGGCGAACGTTCTTGCGGCGAACGCTTTGGCCGGGCATGATGAATGTTCGGCCGACGTAACGGTTCTTGACAAAGCCTTCGCGGTATGGGACGCCGAGGTTCTGTGCGAGTTGCAAGGCAGCAACGCGAGATGTGTCGGGGACGGGAATAACGACGTCGATCGACATGCCGGTAGCCTCGAGTTGACGGCGAACCTCATCGGCGAGCTTGTCACCCATAGCCATACGAGATCGGTATACAGAGACACCGTCGATGACGCTGTCTGGACGAGCAAAGTAGACGTACTCAAAGATGTCGGGGGAGAAGGAGTATGCGTCTGGCGAGTCGGCGGGAGGAGTCAAGATGCGACGCGAAACAGCGTGTTTTGTGATAATGACAGCTTCTCCAGCCTTGATATCCTCAAAGTCCTCGAATCCGAGCGCATCGCAAACGACGGACTCGGAAGTGAAGCAGTAATCCTTGCCATGACCCTCGACCTCAGCCGACTCTGCAGAAGAGGAAGGACGAGAGCAGATACCGAGAGGCCGAATACCATTCGGATCACGGAAAGCAATGATACCGAACCCAGCAAGCATAGCAATACAGGTGTAACCGCCCTTGCACTGCTTCATCAAGTCACGAATAGCAGTGAAGATGTCCTCCTCGTTGATACGAAACTTGCCAGTCTTTTGAAGATTGTTGGCAAAGATGTTGAGAAGCACTTCCGAGTCCGAGTCGGTGTTGATGTGTCGGTGAGCATCTGCGTCAAGGAATCGACGAAGCTCGTCGGTGTTGATGAGGTTACCGTTGTGAGCAAAAGTGATACCGTAGGGCGAGTTGACGTAGAAGGGTTGCGCCTCCGAGTGAGCAGAGGAACCAGCGGTGGGATATCGAACGTGACCTACGCCCATGTTGCCCTGAAGACGAGCGATGGCGTTGACGTCCAAGACATCGCGAACCATACCGTTGGCCTTGCATTGGTAGAATCGACCCTTGTTACCGCAAGTGACGATACCAGCAGCATCCTGACCACGGTGTTGAAGCAAAGAAAGAGCCTCGTTGATCTCCGGAGCAGCTGATTGCTCGACCGAAGAGAGGAGGAGAGCGGTGATACCACACATGATCGATATCCAACGTTTTCGAGCGATGTCGATGGTGACCAAAGAGTGCAAGGTGGATGGGAGGAGCAACAAGAACAAGCGACGCGCGAGTCGAGTGAGGTTTGGATGACCTAGAGGAGGGAAAGGTAAGAAGCAGCGCCGGAGTTGGAGGCCAACATACCTTTACCTCGATGTGCGCCCAAGAGATCGCAGTCCAATCAACCAGACTGATTTCCTTCACGCCTGCTGCGCCCTGGCCAAGAAAACGCCACAAAAATTAAAATTAAAATTCCCACCAGTTCCTCGGCACACATCCGACGAAACTGTGCCCCCGATTTGTATCCTAATCGGAATTGCCGCAATACAGCGACGATAAGGTCGCAAGTGCCGTGCGAGCACGAGGGAAAAGGCATTCTGTCAAGGCAGAAGGAATCGCTCAGGCTCTGCAACTGTGCAAAGCGCGGTTCACCAGTCCACGACTCGGAGCTGTTTCGTGACTAGCCTCACAAAATGATCTCTTATCGGGAGCCAGACCATCACTATCGGCGATGTACCTTCACTTCGTAATGCCCCAAATCAAAATTTCGGAGGCAGCGTCGCCGTCTTTCTTTAGGTTTTGTCTGTCACCACCGTCTCTTTTGCATCCTTGCCAACTTGGATTCTCGATTCCGACAATCCTGTCTCGGAGCCATTCGCGATGACTTCCGCCACTGCTGCCCAGACCAATGGTGCGGCTGCATCTGTCGGCAAGGTTGCAGACCAGCTCGCACAGACCATCCTCCCCGCCACTAACGGCACCCACACCAACGGAAACCACGACAACAACGATGATGAAGCCGACGAGGACGATGATGACGACGAGGACGACAACGAAGCCGGTGCCGGTGCCGCCGCAGACACGGATGCTGCCAAAAAGAAAAAGAAGAACAAGAAGAAGAAGAACAAGAAGAAATCATCCAAGGCCAAAGCCACTCAGACCGCCCCTCCTCGTGTCGGTCTCACCAAGATCTTCACCAACGGCCAATACCCCGTCGGTGAGATTCAGCAGTACGATACCTCCAAGTTCAGCGAAGAGCGCAAGCGCGTTACCGACGAAGAGCTTCGCGAACGAGAGCGCATCCTTCAGCAAGAAGAAGGCTTTGACTACAACCTCATCCGTCGTGCTGCCGAAGCCCATCGACAGGTTCGTCAATACGCCCAAAGCGCCATCAAGCCCGGTATGACCATGACTGAGATCGCCGAGCTTGTCGAGGACGGTACCCGGGCCGTGGTTGAAGCGCAAGGTTTCGAGTCCGGTATTGGTTTCCCCACCGGTGTTTCGCTCAACGAGTGCGCTGCTCATTACACTCCCAATGCTGGCGACAAGCGTGTTCTGCAGGCCAGCGATGTGCTGAAAGTCGATTTCGGTGTTCATGTCAAGGGTCGTATTGTCGACTCGGCTTTCACTCTCAACTTCGAGCCCACTTGGGATCCTTTGCTTGACGCAGTCCGTGCAGCAACCAATGCCGGTATCAAAGCTGCCGGTATCGACGCTCGTCTAGGCGAAATCGGTGCTTCCATCCAAGAAGTCATGGAATCCCACGAATTCCAAGTCAACGGCAAGACTCACCAAGTCAAGTGTGTCCAGAACCTCAACGGTCACAGCATCGAGCGATACTCGATTCACGGTGGCAAATCCGTCCCCATCGTCGCCATGCCCGATCTCGACGTAAAAATGGAAGAAGGCGAATACTACGCCATCGAAACATTCGGTTCCACAGGTCGAGGATACGTCATTGATCAAGGTGATTGCTCGCACTACGCACGGAAGGCAAAGATGCCCAAATCGATCCCGATTCGTGTTCACTCCGCACATGGCTTGTTGAGGACGATCAACAAACACTTTGACTCGCTCCCCTTCTGCAGGAGATACTTGGATAGGATCGGGGAGAAGAACTACTTGTTGGGATTGAAACATTTGGTCTCCTTGGGCGTTGTTCAGGATTACCCGCCGCTTTGTGATGTTGCTGGTGCAATGACGGCGCAGTATGAGCATACAATTTTGTTGCGTCCTACTTGCAAGGAGGTTGTTTCTCGTGGTATGGATTACTAAATACACAAAAGCCAGGATCGCAATCTCTCAACTCTAGCTCTTGTTTCAAGCAGTGGTCGCAAGACTGCTCGATTCTGTTTGTACCATCACATCTCAAAGCATCACATCTCAAAGCATCACATCCATCTCAAAAGCACTGCATATTGATTGTTTCTCTGTCTGCCTCGTCTCTTGCAATCTAGGCCCTTTCCTTCTCATTGCTTAGGATTGGGATGCTATGACGTTTTTGCATACTTCTCAAACACGTCTTTGGGCGGCAAGACGGTTGGTGCAAGTTCCACGTACTTGTCGTAGTCTTTTTGAGAGAAGCAACACAGGACTATCCTCTCGATCTACACCGAATCCAAGTGGAAACATTGTCAGCTATCGTGCTCACTGATCTCATCTGTTCCCTTCTGATCCTATACTTACCTGCTTGTGATTGCCATCAGTCTCCAACCAATTTCCAATCTCATCCAATGCAGCACTTGCAGCTTTTTCAAACGGATACCCGTACACCCCAGTCGAAATGCTTGGAAAAGCTACACTCTTGCCACCCACCCTTTTCAACTCTTCCAGGCTAGTCCTATATGCACTTCTTAGCAGCTTTTCGCTTTCATCGTGTTTTATTTTGCTGTACACCGGGCCGACGGTGTGAATGACGTGTTTAGAGGGGAGTTTGTAGCCGGAGGTAGTTTTGGCGGAACCGGTGGAGCAGCCGTTGAGAGTGCGACATTCTTTGAGGAGGTCTGGGCCTGCAGCTCGATGGATTGCACCGTCTACTCCGCCGCCGCCAAGAAGCGAGGTGTTGGCTGCGTTGACGATCGCGTCGAGTGCCAGGGTGGTTATGTCGCCGCAGTGGAAGGAGAGGAGGGAGGCGAAGGGGTAGATCGAGGAAGAGAGAGCCGAGGCGCAAGGGGTGGGGATGGTGGAGCTATTGTAGAGAGAGGCGAGCGTTGGCATGCTGGTTAGTCGTGTTACCATATTGAGCTGGGCGGTGGCGATGGGAAGCCGTGGTGGTGTGAGAGAGAGGAAAGAGGATGATGAGTGGGGTGTTGGTGTTGGAAGAAAGCAGGGTCTGGGAGGTGGTCAAGGCTCACTGAGCATTGACATGTGCAGATCGGGCTTTCCTTTGTGTGTATAGGCGATCTGACATCTCGTTTTCACTTGGCCGCGCAACTCAACACCTTCACCAACAGACACTTGACCGTACTAAGTCCCATCTCCTGGATGACATGCAAGCACGATGTATCATTTGACGACTCGGTACAAGATCTTTCCACTTGCTTCGTCTCGCACTTTATAGTTGGTCTAGTTCTTCAGTATGTAATGCACCTTCTCGTCCTCACCTTGAAGCCGTTTGTGTTAGGAAGCTCAGGATCTTGGGAATGATGTTCAGCAAGGCGATCTAACAGCGCTCGAAATTCTTGGCCTCTTCGCTGCAAGATCGGATCCGTGTCCACTTTTAACCTTTCTTTCCGCCTTTGCACCCTAACAAACACCTCCCTCTCTCTGTCTACCACACCATCATCTCCACACCAACACCCTCACCTACTTCGTCTCACCTACTTCATCACACCCCAAGCGCTGATCCGACATGCCGCCCCCGCCTCAAATGCAAGGTATTCCAGGCGCCGAGCCGACCGTCTTCCAAAAGAGTAAGCTCCGCCCCCTTTCTTCCCCTACTTTGACTCACCTTCTCATCCCCTAACTTACCCTTCTTCTCTCCGTGCTTCGTGCGTGTTAATAGTCAAAATGGGAGTAATGACCGGAACACTAGTCGGCTTGACTATCGGCTTCATCGGGGGATCGATTCAAATCTTACGTGCTGGACCTGGACCGAGAGGAGCATTGGGAACATTGAGTCAGTTCATGTTGAGTTCGGCGGCAACGTTCGGGTTCTTCATGTCCATCGGTACTGTGCTCAGGACGGAAGGGATTGAAGCAAACCCCTACTTGACACCAAGTCAGAGGCGGGTGGCGTTGCAACAACAGGAGAAGATGATCGAGGCTGCGAGGAGGGGGGAGATTGAGGTTGAGGAGCCAAAGTTGAGGAAAAGGTGAGAGGAGGAAAGAAGAAAGTGAAGATATGGAATCAAGAAGAAAGCAAACTTAGCCTCGAATCAAGAATACTTTCATTCGTTCAGCTGAGTGATGTGCTATGCTCTTACCCGTGTATACTACCCACCAACGACAACAGACTTGAATCCGTACATCAATGACCTTCACACAACTCATTAGGTTCGCTCGAGTGAGGCTTTTCTGGGCTACTGAACGAACAGCTCGTTGGCACAGCTCGCGCAAGAGTCCAAGTAGAGTGGTGCAAAGTGTTCTATTGAGGCAGTCATGCTTGGTTTCGCTACTAGTCACCGCCAAAGAAGCCCCCGAATCCACCCCATCCACCTCCACCGCCTTCACTGTCTCCACCACTACCCCAGGAACCCCAGAAGCCTCCATCGTTCTGTTTCTGGGTACCATCCGCTCCTGCCCACGGATCTGAGCTTTCAGTACCCCAAAGATCTCCTTCCTGCTGTTGCTGCTCTTGTTGCCACCATGGGCTTTCACCACCCTGCTCCTGCGATGGTGTCTGTTCGATTGCGCCGCCAGCAACGCCTGTTCCCAACCCGCCATCGCCGGCAGCACCGCCGACGTCGGGCTGAGCGGGAACATTCTCGCCATGGGGACCCGGCGCTGGAGCAGGCTCCCCTCCGCCACCGCCCATCCCACCCATGTAGAACCAAGGGAACATACCTCCTCCACCGTGCATGCCTTCCGAATGCCTACTGAAGTAGTCAAAGTCGATACTGACTGCTGTTGCCAGTGCCACGGCCCTCTCATCAAGGGTGAGTGGGCGGGTGCCATGACTCTGCACAAGTTCCATCGCCTCCGCTATCCCCGTCTTCTTGTCTTGCCCCGTCGAAGATTCAGGAGCGGAGAGCCGAGCATCGGTCATCGCCGTCTCCCCCACCGAATCGAATCGCAGTATATACTGTCCAGTATCGGTGAAGATCTCCCGACCAAAGCCTCTGAAATTCCTATCAATAGCACCAACCAACTTACTCTCCGCATCCTGCATCAAAAACGTCCAGCTGAGTAAGCCTGCATCGATCTGCGCGAACTGTTCCATCCTTTCCACCTCGCCCTCTTCCTCGCCTTGCCTCCTCAAGAAGAGCTCATACCTGCGTTTGTAAAGATGCCAACGCTGTTGAACTTCACCGATCAACTCCAGATCGCTATCTTGCGGAGCACCGTATCCGACCGGACCGTCCCCTCGTACAGCATAGATGTGCGCTGTCGAGTTAATCCAAGTGAATGGTCTTCGAATCATCAAAACGGGTTTGCCGGAAGCGTCCATTACAGTAGCACGAAAAGGTCGATGTGTGCGAAGCAGTTGACGTTTTAGTGAACCTCGGAGAAGTCCTTGTTCTTCTTCTGCTAGGTATCCGACGAGCTGACCGTCAGGAGCATGGATGGAGTATTTGTTAGCTTGTTCGAAGCCGAGGAAGATGTTGATCATTTCGATTTCGCGTGTTACGACAAGAGCTGACTGGGAAAGGAGGGTGGTAGCGGATGCGAAAGAGCATGGTTGGAGGACATCGCGAGGTTCATTGGGAACTACGGCTGGGATCTTGACTGATGCGTCTGCGGGAAGGTTTGACGAGGATTGCAGCGGGGGAGAGGCTTCGGTGGCAGATTGCTGTGGTGCTTTAGTCGTGGGTTCATGTGGTAATGACTGTGATGCTACGGCTGGATGTGAAGGTGCTGCCGGTGGTGGGTCATGGTGTGGTGTGTGAAGTTGAGGTGTTGGGCGTCGAGGAGCCTTATGAATGCCATATCTTGTTTCTTTGGGTGTTCTCAACACTTGTGCAGGGGCGGTGGTAGTGATGGACCGAGTAGCCGCTGTTGGTAAAGCACTCGCCCATCTGGCTGGTTGACTTGGACCGGATAAGGACCGTTGTGCCAGGTGCCGTTCGGCTATACTGGCAGCTGCCCTCACCCTCGCCATAGTGAGAAAAGGAGGGGTTGCAGCGGTTGCAATCCAGATCCGAAGTTGTTGAAAGATGTTTGAGAGTGTTGAATGGTGGAACAGAGAGAGAAAAGGCATATCTCAAAGGGACCTCTCATGTTGCAACATCGCCCCTTGGCACACTGGAGATTTGCAGCATTACCTTTTTCTCGGAAGGCGGCCAGCTGCGCTTTTTGTTAGGCTTCCAAGCAAGCTTCCCTTTTTGCTGCTGTGCCATTGAAAGCAGGCTCAATGCACAAGTGCCATACGACAGATGGCAAAGCTGGCTTCACGAGTTCTCATCAACGGGAAGCTGCAAGATGCTGTCTCGTTCCCGTTGGAATACAGTGTCCGGGTGGACAGTAAAGCTAAGGATAAGGTGAGACCCACGCTGTTCACCCACCCTTGGCTTGTGGTTGACAAATGTAGAAAAGCTTCACATATCATGCCGACACCTCAGAAACAGGCAGACAAGCAGCTAGAGCGGTGAACTGTTTTGATTCTGTTGGGGCTAATCAGATCATACTTTGTGCTTGTCGTCGACCTCTGTGGTGACAGGACCAGCGTTGGAACTGGCACCAGGCGCCCTGACCTCTGCGAGATCCGAGAAGTCGTCTTGCTTGACCTGCAATATAATAATAATAGCGATGCCGGCAAAGGTTGTATAAGTGACGGTCAGCATAGAGCCGACAACAGGATACAAAAGACCTGGCATCAGCTGACTTACCTTCGAGATCGAGTAGAAGTAGACACCGGCGGCGAATCCCATGATTAAAGAGCCGGTAAGAATGTTGCGGAAGCGATATGGCTTTCGCGCTCGCTTGAGACCCTCCGAGATACCGTATCCTCCTGGGTGGTAGGATGCGTGTGTCGAACGAGGAGGCACTGTGGAACGAGTTGCTGAGCCGTAGGAAGCGTCGGGTCCGCTGCCAGCCTGGGTCGAGTTAAATTTCGCCGACACAGGTGTGCGAGCAGCAGATGCTGATAATGTCCTGAGTGCTGGAAGTGTGAGCATGTTTGCGATAATATAAGCCGTCGTTGTGATGATGATGATACAAACAGTGACAAGCGAAGAGGTGAGGTCCAAGATCATGAATGAGCTAAGAAGCCCTCTGAGGTTGCCAAAAAAGCTGCTGACAAAGTTCCGACTCCCGAAATTCGTCCTTGTTGGTTGGCAAGGCCTAACAAATGAATTCAGCCAAGGCGACGCTAAAGGATGACGCGGAGCCGATCTGATCGGATATCAGGCAGAGCCGATCCAGTCAGATGACCGATCTGATCAGAGATTGAGCCAGTGAACAGCACGTGAGCATGGGCCATCTATCATCAATGAGCATTCAAGGGTCATGTTACGTTATTACGTGCGCAAGCTGTATGCGCGATGGAATGGTGTAAGTTGATAGAATGCAGGAAAGAGGAGATCTAGATGGGAGCTGGTTATAAGTACTAACTTCCGTACAAGCAAGATCGTATCAGCAAAGGTTTGCAAGATAGCTATCCAACTTTCCTGCGCGACGAGTATTAGTTGAGGGAAATGCGACGAAGCAGGGATCCCGGCCGGGATAAACTCTCGCTGCAGCCCCGCGCATGCGCGCAAGCTACAAAGACTTTGAAACATCCAGACTCGAGCTTGTATTTAGACCATCATCATCCATGCAGAATATCAGATTCCTCAACTGATTAAGAGTCTGAAGCTCAGCAGCTTCTAGCGCCTCGCCACCAGGATGCCACCAAGAGTAGATAGCGTAGCACTACTTGAACGCACCATGCAGATGATCAGGGAAACTAACACCAACTGGGATGAAGACCAAGTCTTGGAGCATGCCTTCTCGCTAATGAACCTCCAACCCAGTTGAAGATGCGTCGGCATCTCAAGCAAGATGCACGTGTTACAGCCGAGACATCGAGATACGGGAGGCTCACGTAAGCGAGGAGCACAATGAAGTACGCAATTGTAGTCATGGTGACAACACAGTGGCACCCGGTATCATAGCAACACAGGGGTACAAATGAAGGAACACACCCTGCCTCGGATGGGATCAGAGCAGTGAATGGAGTATATATATGTGTTTGTCATTTAGTCTCACACTAAGAAAACTAAGCATTACATAGAACATACGGCTGTGGTAAAGGGAGTCTGATCGTGACCCCGATAACGCCGTATATTAATTGTTATCTTCAATTACCAACCAAGCAGAGAAGATCCCCAAGTCGGTGCTCAGCATCATCTTGCAAATCGTCAAGCTCAACGAGAACAACTGGGCCATCTGGGAGCCGATGTTCATGGACTGCATCCGCCCAATCAAGCACGCCAAGCGGATCCTCACTGAGGAGATTCCCAGTGGCCATACTGACTATGATGAGGAACTGGACAGCCACTTGCTGGGTCTCATCTTGTCCTCCTGTGACCACGGACCCACCAGCCATATCAACACCTACACTGTGCAGGAGCAAGGTGAGGAGGAGCAGCTCGGCTCTACACTCTACAAGAAGCTCAAAGCTGCTCTCACAATAAACGACAAAGTTAAGCTCTCCACCATTCACGACCAGGTACACGAAGTCAAGCTAGTCCAGCGCAACATTGTCAACCTTGGTAAGGAGCTCGATCAAATCTGGAATGACGCAGCCAGGCTCGGCAGCCGCATGGACAAAAAGCTCAAGAAGTCTACCCTGTACCGCTGCGTCAAGGACGACTGGCTCTACACCCAGACAGTAGACTCCCTCAAAGCTGCTCAACCTGGTTGCAGCTATGAGTATGCCTATCATGCACTAGCTAAGAAGCACCAAGAAGCCGAGCTCTCAGGTTGTATCCGAGCCACGGCCAGAGTCGCGAGCAATAAAAGTTCAACAGGCCAAGCTGGCGAGCATAGGCAGGTTCTTAACCAAGAGGGCTACAATAGGGGCAGGCACGACCCCGCAAACCCTAATGAACCAGCCAAGTGCTATAAGTGTAGGCAACCCGGGCACATTGCCATCAACTGCACCAACAGTCAGGAGCGAACTCCTACTCAGCAGGGATAGGGACTCGGGTGCACCTTCTTCATAAGCAACACTGGCAACCACAACCAAGACAGTACGTGGATTCTCGACTCTGGAGCTACACATCACATGGTACGTGATGAGGGTAAGCTCATTGCTCCAACGCCGAAGCAAGGATCCATAGATACTGCTGGACATGAACAGTTGCGAGTACAGGCAATAGGCGACGCAACTTTGCGAGTAAGAGACGTTAAGATACCACTTACTGACATACTTCACGTTCCCAACCTTAGCAAGAACCTATTGTCCATCCTAGCACTGACTGAAAATGGTGCACGCATGATATTTGAAGAGTCTGGAGCTACTATCCTCCAGCATGATGGGAGCATGGTCAAGAGCAAGACCAACCGGTGCAAGAAGAGATGGGAGGTTTACGGTGACTCCCTAGCAGCACAGCTCAATGATCCCCTAGAGGGCATTGATGCCACCACAACACCAGCAAAACCCGCAAGCCACACGACGAGCAAACTATGGCATGAACGATTCGGTCATCCTGGCAGGAACAAGACCAAGCAAATCCAGGCCCACTACTTAGGAAAAGAGACACAGCTTGGACATGACGCAAGGGACTGCAACTGTTGCAGCCAAGCAAAGCAAACACGCGCAAGAATGACAAGTAGCAAAACAGAGCGAGCCCAGGTGTCATGGGCCTGGATGCTCAAGAAGCAGGAGGGTCACTGGTTCATATGGAAGGAGCACAGGTATCGAAGACCTAGTCGATACCAGTAGAGAGCATGGTCGTAGTGCAGTCTCCATGGAGACCATGGACTCCTATGGATTCACATGCAAAGGAGCACTGAGCCCATATGCGAGGAGGGCCAGGCACAGCCACGAGGAGGACCAAGCTCAAAGAGCAGGCGCAGCCACGAGAAGGACCAAGCTCAGATGGTTACCACTCAGGGGCTCGAGAGACAAGAGTCATAGGACACTGGCAAGCAGGTCCTGAGGAAGAGGAGCAGTGTCGAATGAGTTGACACCACTCAAGAGACACAGGGGTACCAAGCAGGAGAGGCCCCTGAACAGTACTCGATGAAGAAGGTACTCTCTGGAGAGAGAGCAGGAGCAGCATCGCTGGCGATGCTGTGAAGAGGTATATAACCATGCTTTCTCATCATCAAAGGTCGAGTGGATCCTCATCCACTCTACACTCACCATAACTAGTTATCACTTCAGCATAAGTATATATTAGTTTCAGTCAGCATAGCAGCAATCCATCAAAGGTTGCTCCTCATCGTAGTGTGTGTGTTGTATCACCACTACCTGACATCCGAAGGCGCCCATAGCAGGTTAGCAGTCCGGATCAAGATAGAACCGAAGGCAGTAGTCCACTGCGGTCCGGGGATCACTTCAAGCATCAAGTCAACACACTGGACACTTGTGTTGACGCCACCAACCTTATCACCAACACCATCAACCTCATTATCATCAACACTCACCAACCTTATCACCAACGTCATCAACCTCATCATCATCAACACTCACACCAGACCTTGGTGTCATCATAACATTGATATTGATTGTGCCGAGCTACCCCTGAACGGAGTGTCCACAGAGGTCAGCCGAAACCTACGATAGTATATACAACGAATGCCACCTGCTGTCACTGCACAACTTGATAGTCACCGATACCGAGACAATAGCTGTCGCACAGTTTGATAGTCACCGAGTATCTCGACAGACCGACCTGGGTTTCAGGCGCGAGACCCCTGACACAGGGATCCCGGCCGGGATAAACTCTCGCTGCAGCCCCGCGCGCGCGCGCGAGCTACAAAGACTTTGAAACGTCCGGACTCGAGCTTGTATTTAGACCATCATCATCCACGCAGAATATCAGATTCCTCAACTGTATTCGCGCGAGAGGATTTCGATTGAGCATTCTCGTGCGGCTAGTATTCGTGCGAGAGAGTTCCCAGGCGTGACAAGCCACTTGATTCTTGGATCATACCATCATCTCTCATCATTGTTCATCCAGCTCCTTGATACAACCGCACAAGCTCGATCGAAGTCAGCATAGTTCACACCATCAACGACACACCATCAACGACACACCATCAACGACACACCATCAACGACACTCCTTCTGCACGCGCATGCCGACAAGGCATCGACCTCGGCAGACTACATTTCATCTTGCAAAACCGTGTCACACCTCCACCATAAAGTATCGCGACAGTACATCGATAAGTTACCCACCACTTTGAGGAATATCATCACGGCCTCTTGCTGAGGTCCTTGAATTTTGCACGAGCTCAGACATGCCATGACATTGTAGCGGAAAGGTAACAGAACTAGCAAAGCAAGTGAGGAAGCAAGGCAGCCAGCTCCATTCCTCGGCACAGCGCCATCGCCATGCCCGGCATACCTTCCAAGCCTAACAATATACCTTTGGCATCATCACTGCCAAAAGTCAGCTTCCGCAAAGTACCACCAGATGAAGCTTTGCTCTTCTCCATTCCACCCGGCATCGTTGACCCCCATGCCCTTCCATTCGGCTACCACGACGGCTCAGAGTTCGACAAGCCCGACCACTACATTCGCTACCTCGAGCCTATCGAGGGCGAGCTCAAGAAGCAAGTCGAATATGACATGGACGAGCAGGATCAGGAGTGGCTTGATGCGCTCAACTACGACCGCCGCAAAGAGGGCCTCGATACCATCTCTTACGAGATCTTTGAAATCATCTTTGATCAGCTTGAGAAGGAATGGTTCGGCCTCATGAAACGTGTTCCGCCCAAAGCACGCCATAGTGCAGGTGCAGATGCTGCTGGTGCAGATGACCAAGACGCCGACTCGGAAGATGGCGAGGATAGCAAGTGTGCCATCTGCGACGATGGCGAGTGCGAGAATTCCAACGCTATTGTCTTCTGCGACGGCTGCAACCTCGCCGTCCATCAGGATTGCTATGGGATCCCATACATCCCCGAAGGTCAATGGCTCTGTCGTAAATGCACTGTCTCGCCTGACCGTGCCGTCTCTTGCATCCTCTGCCCGCACGAAGGAGGAGCTTTCAAACAGACCACCACAGGCAAGTGGGCACATCTGCTCTGTGCCATGTGGATTCCAGAAACAGGCGTCAGTAACCCGGTCTACATGGAGCCAATCGACAGCATCGAACGCATCCCAAAAGCGAGATGGAAGCTGCAGTGTTACCTTTGCAGATACAGGATGGGCGCTTGCATCCAGTGCGACAATCGTTCTTGTTTCACTGCCTTTCACGTCACCTGTGCTCGCCAAGCAGGTCTTCTGTTTCGAACAGTACGCACGCGAATGGCGCATCACCTCTACGAGGATTTGGACAACAGCGATGATGAAGGCGCCGAAGTACTCCGTGCATGCTGCCATCGTCATATGCCCGCCGACATGCGCGATCAGTTCAAGATCGACTTCAGCAGGCCCGGTGCCCTCGACGACGACCGATCCGAGACCCACTATCGCGCATCTCCCTTCGCACGCACGAGAGAGCACTCGGTCGAGTCCGGCTTTGGTGCACCTTTGATCTCGGTTAGTCGTCGTAGCTCCATTGTCGGTGCTCCCGAGGGTGCTGCTGCATCCAACAATGATGCAAGAAGCTCGTCCAAATCGGCTCGCGCGTACAAGAAAAGCTTCAAGCCTGGTCCGCCTCTGGTACCCGCATACATCGCCAATCGCGTGCTCGAGTACATCACCAAGATCCATCTTCGCAAGAAGACAACGGCAGTCCAGCTCATTGCGAGGTATTGGTCTCTCAAGCGAGAAGCACGTCGAGGCGCTCCTCTGCTCAAGCGTCTGCATCTCGAGCCTTGGACCGCCTCTTCATCCAACAAAGAGCAGACCGAGGCACAAAAGGCCAAAAAGCTCCACTTTCTCCGCAGCATTCGTGGAGATCTGGAACGAGTCCGTATGCTCGTCGAGCAAGTCCGCAAGCGCGAGAAGGAGAAGTTGCGACAAGCGCAAGAGATCCGCAACTCGCTCGTAGAGCCTGTCTTCTTCCCATTCCATGCAGACTTGCGAGCGGCTATCTCCAAGTTTGAAGCCGTCGATCGATACGGCTTCTTTGCACAACCGGTCTCCAAAGTCGATGTGCCGGATTACTATGACATCGTCAAAGAGCCGATGGATTGGAGTGCAATCAAGGACAAGATTGCCAATAAGGTCTACGACTCAGTTGAGGAGATGCGACAGGATGTGCTCAAGATTGCTACCAACGCCATGACATACAACAAGGCAGATACCCCTTATCATAAGGCCGCCACCAAGGTTCTCAAGATGATACCCGACCTCTTCAAGCACTTGGCCGCAATCGAGTCGTCCCACCTTCACGTACAGCAGGACAAAGTGCAAAGACAGTCGAAGGAAGCACAGCAGCAAGATGAGGACGCAGATGGCGAGACGCAAGTGCAGACAAGTTCGGTAGTGTTGAGCGGTGAAACACCACGACTGCTGCTCGAGTTGGGACTTGAGCCTCCATCGGATCTGATCTCTTTATTGCAGAATTACAGCAAGATGGAGGATGAGGAACAGCTGGACATACGACAGCAAGCGTACGATCCATATCCCTTGCCGCCGTCTGTTCATCTCAAAGGGGAGGAAGATGGGCAGGCGGTAGGAGAAGGAGCAGAAGAGAGGGCTGCTCAGCCGGCCAGCAGTCGCAAGAGGCTAGCCATGCCGGTGGTCAACTTGATGGAAGACTTTGTGCAACAGATCTATGTTCCACCGCCGCCGCCAGCTTCCACACCTGCTTCGCCACCAGGAAAGGCGAAGGAGCAAGCTTCAAATGCAGCAGGCGTGGCAGGATCACCACAGAAGGCGCAAAAGACAGCACGCAAACGCAAGACGTTGGATGCACCACCACATGAACCGGCAGAAAGAAGGAGCATACGTCGATCTGCAGCGGCAGATGCTTTGCCTGAACCCAAAGCTTCGACTGCGACAGTTGAGCCAGTCGCTGCTACACCAGTACGCATTACTCGACGTGCGCAAAGTCATGTCTCCACCATATCTACCGCATCTGGACCCACAGCTGAAGCGGACGGGACTGATGCAAAGTCAGGTGCAAAGCCGCCACAGTCGACAGCAATGTCCAAATCGCTTTCGACACCAGCAGCCGCCAAGCCAAAAGATGGAGTGCAGCTCAAGGAAGATGTTGGCGCACATGATTCTTTCCTTCTCTTCAATACCGGTTGGGTTCTTCCGCCAGGCTCCAAGCGTCATCGCAATGCGGCTGCGAGACCAGAGATGATCGGACAACGACCACGCAAGGTCTCTGCTCCCGAGTCGCCTGGCCCTTCTGCCGTAGCAGCAGCAGCAGCAACAGCAAGCCTGGCGGTAGAACAGCAAGCGACGCCTTCGACACCACAGCAACGACCAAGATCTCGTACTGTGCCCTCGTCCAATTCGCGTCCGAGATCGACGTCGTCCATGAAGGGGAAGCAGCCGCAGAGCAGTGCACGCAAAGCGTCACGGGTGACGAGGCAGGTGAAGGATGAAGGTCAAGAAGGTGGAGAGGGTGGAGAGACTACGGGTAGCTCTCCGTTGACGTCGGATGACGAAGGTGACAAGCCTGTGAAGGCTGAAGCAGACGCAGAAGAAGCGGAGGGAATAAACGGCAATGGCAATGGAAGAGAGCCAAGGTCGTCGAAACGGGCACGAGAGCGTGAAGCGAGCCAAGGATCCGAAAGCAAATCAGAAGCAGAAGCTCGGGACACGCCCTCTGCTCTTCTCCGACGCAGCGCTCGTGTGCGCACAGCGTCGGCTGAGCCACCGACTTGGCCGTCGAATGCCAAGCGTCCACGTCTCAACCCATCGCCATCATCCTCATCTTCTATCGGCCATGAAGCGGACTTTGGCTCAAGTCCTCCAGCCAATGGCACCAAAGTATGGGCCAAAGTCGACACGTTCCCTTACTTCCCCGCCGTAGCTTACACCGACGAAAAGCTCATCCCGGGAGACATTCTCCGCAAACGTCCCGACATGGAAGACGTCGTAGCAGTCGAATTCTACGGTAGGCCCAAAACTTGGGGTTGGGTCGCTCGTACCAAACTCGCACACCTCTTCGCCGATGAGTCGATCGATGAGAAATACCTCAGACTAGCAGCAAAGAAAGGTCGGACGAAACAAGTGAAAGAAGCGTACGAAGATGCATTATCCCGCACCTAATCATGTATACTAAGTCAAGCGAATAAGTAGAAACATCAACATCCAACTAACGATAACGACGAGTATTGCTGACAGAGTGAACCAGCCCATACTTCTGGCTTTCTTAGAGTAGATACCCAAGCGGCCACGCGTGCGTGTGATTAGGTTTAGGTTTTGGCCGAGGTCGGTGTCAGCTTTTTCGAGTAGGAGACGGTCGCGTTCGAGAGAATCTGCGAAGGCGAGCGAGTTGGATTTCAGGAGGGAAGCCATGCGGAGGAGTTCTGATGAGAGGGCTTCGTGAGTTGCTCGGTCGGATTGGAGGATGGTGGTGTCTCCTCCTGCGGCAGCGGTGGAAGGGGCAGAGGCGGTGGAAGGGGGAGGGGGATAGGTGGTGGAGGATGAGGATGATTTGGGTGCTTTTTCGTATTGTGCAAGTTCCTCCTCCTCTTGTTCTTTGGAGAGGCCTGCGAGGGGGTGGGATGTGGACTTGGGTTTGAAGAGGTGGGTTTCTGGATCGGTTAGGATGGAAGATGTTTCTGATGCCGCATCATCTTCGTCGTCTTCGGTGCCGAGGGTGGAAGGTGAAGCCTCATCGTCGTCTTCGAGTGCGGATAGGGTTTGTTGCTTCCAGTATTCGTAGCTTCTTTCTTGCGCGCTTGCTGCAGTTGCGCTTGCTGTTGGCGTGGCAGTTGAAACCTGTGGCTTGATGGGAGCAGTAAACATGCCACCACTCATCTCTTGAGCTCCGGAAAGGGAGATCAAGCGCAGCAGCGACTCGACAATGTCCACGTTCTGCAGTGTTTTCGCTAATGCTTCAGCTGCTTTCCTCTCCGACCTATGTTGCTGGAGCTGTGCCGAGAGAGATCGAAGGTTGGTTTGCAGCGTGAGAGTGGTCCAGAACAGTTGAGGGTCATCATTACCGCTGGACAAGGAGTTAGATAGTTGTGAGTGAAGCTCGTCGACGTTTGCTGTGAGATGTGCGGTGCGCTGTAAAAGGGCGTTCAGGTCCGTGCTTGCAGGGTGAGAAGAGCTCGTTGAGGTTGAGCATGACGCATGGACTTGCGAGAGGTATTGCTGGAATTGATTCCGCGCATTGGCTGAGATAGGGATATTGTGCATGATGGCCATTGTGCCTGATCTGCAGCGCTGCGAAAGGGTTGCTTTAGGAATGCGGAGGTTATGGATAGAGGAAGAGTGGGAGGTAGGTGTCGAGGTGGAGCTGGCCACAGTTGAAGTAGATAAAAGCTACACAAAGCGTAGAGACTGCGAAGGTAGTGCTTACGGCCGAGTAAAAGGCTTGAGCATCTGAGCACGGACCACATGTGTCACAACCTACTCAAGACAAATGCTTTGTTATGCTCCGCAGTCGATGCGGCTCTCTGCCGCTCTTCTTTTGTATATATAGACTCCTTCTCACTCCTCGTTCTCTCTCTCTCTCCCTCTTACAATCATCATCATCAATCATACGAAAACTTCAACTGCCACCTCTTGTATAACGCACAGACCTCGGATCTCGGCGGCCAAATTCTTAAACACTGTTAGATTCCCGGGAGCTTCTTGTCACGTGCGTTGCGCAAGAATGAGAGAAATGTGTCAAAAAAGTCTCCTTCAAGCTTTCTGACTCGCTTGAGCTCTGAAAGCTTCTTATCCAACACTCTTGTCCCACAACCTCATTCTACACCACGTCAGCATCCTACATCATCTCAAAGAGCACCCTTCTCTAGCTCTTTTCATGTCCCTCTTGCGGCCTTTCGTCCGTACAGCCTTCTCGCTACACTCTTTTGCATCAAGACCCGCTCCAATTTTCGCGCAAAAGCGCTGCTTCACCAACCAGCAAGTGCCTCCCGAGCAACTTCTCAAATACCTACGATCCGGTTCAGCCATGTCTTCCACCGACACCAACGCCGATCAGAAGATCGCCTCCCTCCAAGCCGCTCGCACTGAACAAGATGCCAAGGTGCAAGAGCTCCGCGCTGCCAACGCCGAGCAGTCTACCCTTAAGGCTGAAATCGGCAAGCTTAAAAAGCTCCAACATCAACTCGCCCAACTCGGCATTGGCGGCTCTTCCAAAGCTGGCTCCTCCAAGCAGGAGGTCAAGTTCACCCTGAAAACCCCCAAGGGAACTCGCGATTGGGAACCTCTCGCCATGTCTCTGCGCAAACGAATCTTCAGCACGATCGAACAAGTCTTCTCTGCCCATGGTGCAGTTACAATCGACACACCCGTTTTTGAGCTCAAAGAGATTCTATCTGGAAAATACGGCGAGGATTCTAAGCTCATCTACGACCTTCAGGATCAAGGTGGTGAACTTTGTTCCTTGCGATACGATCTTACCGTCCCTTTTGCGAGGTTTGTTGCGATGAACCCAAGCGAACACGGTAACATTAAGCGATACCACATTGCTAAAGTCTACCGTCGCGATCAACCCGCTATGTCGAAGGGCAGATTTAGGGAGTTTTATCAGTGCGATATTGATATTGCCGGTGTTTATGATCCCATGCTTCCCGATTCGGAAGTGCTTTGCATCCTTGTAGAAGCACTGGATGCTTTGGGTATCGAGGGTTTCACTGTCAAAATCAACCACAGGAAGATCTTGGATGGTATCTTTGACATCTGCGGTGTTCCCGCCGATAAGATCCGTACGATCAGTAGCGCTGTTGATAAGTTGGACAAATCTCCTTGGGCCGAGGTGAAGCGCGAGATGACCGTGGATAAGGGTCTCGCAGAGGATGTTGCGGACAAGATCGGAGAGTATGTCAAGTTGAAAGGTGGAAAGGATTTATTGGAGAAACTGAAGCAGGATGAAGTTATGATGGCACACAAGGTTGCTTCGCAGGGTGTTAGGGATATGGAGCTGTTGTTCGACTATTTGGACGTCTATGGGATTGCGGATAGGATGAGTTTCGATTTGAGTTTGGCAAGAGGACTGGATTACTACACGGGCTTGATTTATGAGGCCGTGACTGCAGCTAGTGCTCCTCCTGGCTTCAACCGCTCTGACTCTGCCGCTGCTGCGGGTGGTGAAGAGAAGAAGAAGCCTAAGAGCAAGAAGAAAGGTGCTGATGGAGAAGAAGAGGTTGATGAATCCACCGTCGGTGTGGGATCGATTGCTGCTGGAGGACGTTACGACAACTTGGTTGGTATGTTCTCTGGTTCCAAGAAAGCCGATGCAGTCCCTTGTGTTGGTGTATCCATCGGAGTCGAGCGAGTGTTCGCAATCATGATGCAGCGTCTTAAGGAGAAGGAAGCTAAGGGTGAACGTACTTCTGTTCGATCTAAGGAGGTTGATGTTTACCTCATGTCCGTTGGAGAAGGGTTGTTGAAAGAGCGTATGCAGGTGACAAAGATGCTCTGGGATGCAGGGATCAAGGCCGAATTCATGCACAAGGCTAAGCCCAAGTTGCCTGCTCAATTTGGTGTGGTTGACAAGGAGGGTATTCCTTTCGCTGTGATTCTTGCACCGAACGAGTGGAACGGAGAGACAAGAAAGGTCAGGGTCAAGCAGCAGAAGGGTAAGGATAGCGATGAGGGTCAGGGTCAGGGTGAGCTCGTAGACCTTAAGCAGTTGATCGAGTACTTGAAGGGATTGGGCGCCGGTCAGGGCGTTACTCCGTTGGCTGAACGCAAGAGCATTATCTAGATTCAGAGCTTTCTTGCCTAATTTGCAACATCAGAACGCTTGTCGAAGGATCCAGGTATAGGATCCAGGTATGTGCATCTTTTTGTCTTTGTGTGTTGGCGAGGTTACGATCAGTGAGAATGGCAATCTGAGCGGGCCCGAGATGCGAGAGAGTCGAGGCAGGCAGAGAGGCGTGTTGCTCGAGATCAACAGCAAGACGATATCTTTGCGATTGTTCGTGCGCTCTCAAGCATGACTAGCAGTCATCACATGAGCTCTTACTAGGCCACATTTGAGAAGTTCTTTCTAGGATTTCGATTACAGAGCGGGGTTTGAGGTTACGGCTATGGTACAAGGACTGGAGGCTGGACGGTGTGCTCGGAAAGCTCGATCTAGAGCATGCCACCTCGAAGCGCAAGTACCAACTGTTGAAGGAAGCCAGAGTGAAGAAAGAAAGAGAGAGACTGTCAGCGCACTGTGTTCATTTCCCGCCCTTGTGGCCCACGCCGCTATGGCATCAGGAGGGTGAACTTACATGAAGAACACTTCCGCCTTCGACGCCAAAGTCTTTGGCTGTCTTTTCGTCGTGCCTGATCAGGTTGTGATGGAAACATGTCAAATATGCGTCAGCGAAAGTCCAAAGGAGATGTTCGAGTCAGACTGATTGTGAGGAAGCGGTGCTTACATCTGCTTTCCACCGAAAATAAGGCGTTGCTGTGCTGGTGGGATGCCTTCTTTTTCCTCGACACGCTCTTTGATGCGCTGAATCTTGTCGGTTTGTTCGATATCCAACTCGATCTCTGTATTGTTGAGCCATGCAGCGGGAGTGTTTTCGTTCAAATTCAACATGAATGGTCTGTAGGCGAAGTGAGAGGTTTAGGAGAACGGGCTTGAGCAGGTGGTAACTTACCCTTGCCGGTAAGGGTCTTGACTTTGATCAACATATTGAACAGCTACTTTGCTTGCGTAGAGGCTGGTGCGAAGAGGATGGTGGAAGACGAACAACAAGACACGACAAGGGTCTTTGTTGAGAGTTGCTGCGCACACGCCTTCGATCCCACAATGTGGAGTTCTCTCTTCCGATCTCCCGATTTCTGGCAGCCTTTGATTTTTCCCAAAATTGTTTTTCAAGTCGCCCTAACACCCTGCTCAATTTTCAGTCAATTGACCAAGAGTCACCATGCAGCACGTCGTCGCCACGCGAAGCCTTGGCCAAGCCCGGTAACGCTACTGTAACTCACGGCGCTATTCGGCAGCTTTTAGTCGCCGATCCCCAATTTTGCCTCCCCTCTTCATCCTCTTACCCCTTTGGCCTCGCTCCACCAACCCTTACCCTCACAGTCGCCATTGGCCCAAAATCCGAAGTTGAAAAGATGGTTTAAGGGTTACATTGCGAGTGTGCTAAAAGACAAATAGAGCGCGGCGAACTCACTGAACTCGAGTATTGTCCATGTGTGTGTGTATGTGTGGAAAACAAGATGAAGCACATTGGTGTCCATAAAAGCATGGCATCTTGACTGCTAGCATATGCTAGTCAAGATCCCTGTAGGAGTCAACGAGCGCTCTACATGCGTCTGTGAGGATCAAAGTTGTCCGAGAGACCATCGTTGCTTCCGGGCACAGCGAGACCTGTTGGCAACTCGGACCTTGATGCGTCTCCAAAGTTGGGAGACGGTCCAAATCGACCGGTATGCGTGTTTACAGGCGCTGTTCGGAAGCTACTTCCATTGTTTCCGTAGCCAGATGTGGCACTGCCGGCGTTGGTGAGTTCGGCAAGATTCATGCTGTTGCCGTCCATGCCGTCCATCGGATGTGGCAGTTGTTGCGAAGGGACCAGCTGTCGTTGAGGTGGTGAGATGGGTGAGAGGATGAGTGACGCGCTTCCTGCAGAGCCTGAGCCCATCATCTGTGGGGCAGGCATGCGCGTGCTGTTAAAGTTGGTATACCCTCGTGAGCCATCGAAATAAGTGCTGCTAGACGATCCTCCAGCCATCGCGTCAGGGCCAGGCCAGTGACTGCCCGCATAAGAGCTCGAGGCGTTCGACTGCGTATCGTCGAACAAGTTGGATTGGCGAGGACTTTCCTGCTTCATGAATGAGGTAGGTCGATCACTGTACGGGTGCATACGGTTGTTGCTGTACGAAGCGACGGAATGACCCTCGCTCGAAGAGGTACTGCCCGAAACTGAACGACCGTAGTGGATGGGTGCTTGCAGGTCACCACGTTCCCTTCTGTTTCCGTAGTTGGTCTTGCGCGCAATCAAGTCTCTGCCGACTTGATTGTGCATGCTCGAAGGACTCTGATTGTTCGTTAGGCGGTGCGTTTCAGCTCCACTCTTCCTATCTGCGATGTAAGCAGACGAAGCGTTTCCCCGGGGTGAGTAGCGCTCCTGGTATCCGCCCGAGAAGGAGCCATCAGTTTCCTTCTTGCTAGGCGAGTGGCCATCGGAAGGGCTGCGGTCGCTATTCTGGCTGGCTGCAGCTTGCTTGGCCGTCTTGCCCTTCTTCTTAGGACGATACCTATAGGTCGGGTACATCCTTTGATGGGCGAGCTTCTTCTCATCAGCCAACGCCTCGAACTTCTGCTTGACGACGCTCGTCTCGTTCTGCCACATCTGTGAGATCATCTTGGAGATCTCAGCTTGTGATTTCGGCTTCTCGGATGACCCCGAGCGCGATCGTTCGTTGCGGCTCTGCTGAATCTCCCTGAACTTTTCTGAGCGATACAGAATCCAGGCATTCGGAGGTCGAGGTGTGTGCGGCTCGGCGGCTTCAGCACGGCCTGAATCCTTGCGCTGCGCGTCGGACAAGCCTTGCGAGAAGTGAGGTTGGCGAGGCGAGTGGGGATGGAAGCCGTACTGCGCCGTAGCATGGTGCATACCCATCGGTTGAGAGCTGACCAGGTCGCCCCCGATCTGCATGCCAAGCGAGTACTGCTGCTGTTCCGATGGATGATGAAGGTGATGAGGATGGTAGTTATGTTGTTGATACCGGTAGTGCTGACCCTGCTGATGATGCTGGTGCTCCTGGAAAGGTTGTGAAGATTGGCTGGCGTGCGAAGATGACTGAGCCTCGTCCGAATAGTGCAATTGTGGATGAGAAAGAGCGCCGCCGTACTGGCTCAAAACTTGCGAATCACTAGCGGACTGGCTGTGCATGCTATGAAGCAAGGAATTAGAAGAAGCATCCGCACGACTACCTGTGCTGGTGTGATCATACGACGATGTCAAGGAAGGGAGCAAAGAAGAGCCGTCCAACAAGGGAGCGTAGCGGCCGAAGGTCTCTGATTGAGACACGCCTGAGGTCAGATCGCTATACCCTTGTCGCGCCTGTCCTGCACCTCGATCATCATACTGACCAGCGCGGGAAGGCCCAGATCCGAGACCATATCCCTGTTGCGCCATACTAGAGTGTAACGAGCTTGTGCCTCTTGGTATCTGAGCAAGGCAAGGTGTGAGTAGCAGCATTGTAGACGAGAGCAAGGAGCATCGAGCAGGATGCGATACATATAAAGGAAGAGTAAGGAGAAGAAAGATGTCAGCACCCTAATCATATCAAGACATGCATTGACACTATCAATGCATTTTGCCAGAATGCAGGAAGAGATTCACCTGCTGCATTCTACGAAAGAGAGTGAAGTGCGGAAGAAAGCAGCCGCGAGAACAATGCGTAGAAGAGTATGCCGAAGCGCATCAAGCCTTTAGCGCAGAACAGCGAATGCAGGACTCGGCCGCCTCTTCATCTCGCTGCACTGCGTCTACAAAAGGCTTCACAAAAGGGCGTATCATAACGGAATGTGGAGACGTACACCCGAGCTCGATACTTACAGATTCGGAAATGCTCCAATTAGGCCGCTGTGGTTTGTTATACTTGCTTTTTTTGTGGTTGCGTTGTATGACATACGGATGAACGCGAAGAGGTGAGTGGAAGGTGCACAAAGTGCAGAGAGTGAGATGGAGTACGGAAGGAAAGAAGGAAGGAAGGAAGGAAGGAAAGAAGGAAGGAAGGAGTTAGATTCTTGTCCCCACAATACCATTCGCTTGGCGCATGAGTCGAAAAAAGGCACCGACTGCTTCAAAAGGGGAAAAGGCGATGCGCATCAATTGTCGCCATTCCGTCCTGTAGCATCACCGCGCACTGCGACAAGAGCACTGTCAAGTTTTCACTGCGCAGCCAATGGGGGTTGCAGCCAAGACTTGGGCAAGGCATGTAGCGATGTTCCCCCCACCGACCGAATTGCTGGGCCAACCAGAGGTCTAAAAAAGGGGTATACCTTATGAAGCTTTCTGCGCCCACGTCGAGATGACAAAGACGATGGATGTGGGAGAAAGGAAGGTGGCCGACTTACAATAAAGGCCTTGAAATTACTTCCATGTCAGCAGTGCCGTTCCGTTCGGTTTATTGAATGGTGGTGACGTAGAGCCGACTCCAAGTGGTCGAGACGGGATTGCTGCAGAGGGCGTTTCTCTCGGAGCAGAAAGACAAGGGTGGAAATGAATGCAGATAAGGCTGAAGACGAAGATGGTGATGAAGTTGAAGTGAAAGGCGAAGGCGAAGGCGAAGGCGAAGGTGAAGATGAAGGTGGTAGTTGCAATGCAAGAACGCCGGTCGGTGGTGACAAGACGCACCGGAAACGGTTCTGCCGAGCAAGCGTCGAAGAGTGGTTCGTGTGGGCAGAAGTCTGTGCGCTTCGCTCTTCAAACTTTTCGCTTGGCTCAAGGCGATTTGAGCAGGAACGTGCGGCGAATCGACGAGTGAGCTTGCCCAGCAGTATTAGCCGCTGTAATGGAAGCGTGATAGGGTAGATATGGAAGACAGAAAAGTAGTACAGATGATGACGCCTTCTAAGCGATGAGGTTGTTGGAGGGTGAGCGACGGGTTTCAAAGGAGATGAAAGATAAGGACGTATGAATAGGAATGATGATTGTGTAACAATAAGCTACAGTCTACGAAAAGTTGACTTCAGCGGCTAGAATGCAGCTGCTTCTACAGCCTGTAAGGAGCGCCTAGCCTGGAGCGTCGGATTTGGGCAGACACAATGCAAGTGAAATCTAGTATGCAACCTGTTCGACGCTACTCCTGGTTTTGCAATCTGCTCGACAGAATTAAAGGATCTGTGCAGTCTAGAGCCGATAAAACTAACAAGGGAAGCAGGGACGCGCAGCTTAAGCAGTCTGGTGGGAACACTGAAGACCGATCTGAAAGAACGAGGTGTACTGCTGGCCGCGTCCAGGAAGACCAAAACTGATCGAAATACACAGGTGCAAGGCTGTGGAAAAGGAAGAGGAGAGGAGGAGGAGGAGGAGGAGGAGGAGGAAGAGGAGGAGGAGATTCCAAAGATGCAAGTCAGGTGGGATTGTGGTTGCAGGAAAGGATGAAAGGGTAGGAGGCGTGGGTGAAAGTGAGGACCAGGAGTAGGTCGGATCGGAGCCGAGGATTGAGTGAGGAGGCTGATGGGCAGGCACGTCGGTAGGGTGGGCGGGTGGTCGGGATGAGCACAGATGAGTAGGTCAATGACAGGTGGATCATGCAGGCAACTATCGCGCGAAACAATGGAGGCAAGAGTTTTGTGTCCATGACGACGACGGTGTTCAGCCCTCACGTCGCATCACCAGGTTCTCTTCCGGTGAAGGGCATAGGAAACAACAGAACCGAACAAATGGTCCTTGGTGTTGGTGATACCTGGACACCCCTCGTGGCTGTGCCGTCGGATGCTGCCAAGTGGGGATTAAGCATCTCTATGGAAACGAGTGTGGAGGGAAGGGATGGAAGGGTTCAGGTTTTTTAACACTTGGACAGTGGACAGCAAGGTACGATAGAGTATGTACATTGGCTTGACAAAACTTCCAAAGGAAAACAAGGAATTGGGTCGACGATGAAAAGGGGGGGGGGGGGACAAGAAGCACATGAACAAAAGACAAGAGGATCGCTGGCGAAACTATGTAATTAGGATAGAACGATAGCCACAACAGCATCTGCATTACTTGTGTGTGCTGTACGAAGCGACGTCGTGTCGCGTCGTTCAAGTTTGCAAGTCAAAAAAACCAAAAATCAAAAAACCAAAAACCAAAAACCAAAAACCAAAAACCAAAAACCAAAAACACCACAATGCTCGCTGAACTGAGCTGATTGAACTGCAGTCCTGGGTTGTTGCTTTTTTAAACGAACACCTCTCGATGGACAGTATCTGTTGTACCATGATGGTGAGCTCTTCTCGGGTCTGGTTCGGTGCTCTTCAGCACCGAGAAGCGAGAGTCCGACTTGCCATCTGCTCGAAGGTCTTGCTGCTTTCTTTTTCGACAAATTCGAACTGTTTCACTTTGCTCCCCGTTTGTGTCATTTTGGGTATTGTTGTTGCGATGAGTGCAGCTTCAATAATGACTTCTGACTGCGACTTTGGGTGCGACTCCTTGTCGCTTCTATGCAGATTTTGCGGCCTATGAACGCAACTCCAGTGTTTGGACTAATGGGAGAGAGTAGATGGGAAAGCAGGAACACGCAGAAGGGCAAGGTGATGCAATGCCACGGATTTAAGAGGATTAACGTCGCATAAATGGCTCAGCAAAACGGCGCCACCCCGAATCCGAAGAGCGCATGGCTGCATGTTTCAGTCTCAAGTATTCGTCTTTTGAATCGGCCTAGAATAATGGGTTCCGACGGGTGACTGTGTCGGGACAAGGTTGATCCCGACAATACGACCTCGCCAGCAGAGAGACTAGCGGCCTGCCAATGACTCTATCCCGGAGGTATTTGCCGGTGTCGCTACCAACCTCGGGTAAGCGGGATTGTGAAAGTGGCTGACGGAATTTGAAAAAGAAAAGACAAAAGAAAAAAGAAAAAAAGAAAAAAAGAAAAAAAGAAAAAAAGAAAAAAAAAGAAAAAAAAAAAGAAAAAAAAAAGAAAAAAAAAAAAAAAGAGAGGCAGGAGCCAGTCTAACGCAGTTGGTCCCGAGAAGTCGGGCCAACCTATTGCTTACCGCCCTCCTGGACAACTCGAATCTCGTGTCCACAAGCCTAATTTTAGAACTTCTCGGATGCGCGAGGGGTAGAAACAGCAGCATCAGCCACACCAAAACAAGTCACCCCATTCAAGTGTTGAGCAGAGGGCATTCCGCTGAGCGTCACTCTGGCTCGCACGAGCTAAGCACAGCAGTCCTCATCGCCATTAGACCTGCGGATCATCAACAAACCCTTGCCCAATGCCGGTTGCCGCCCAAACATTCAATCGCAACGTCTCGATACGATGAGCGGTGGCTGCTCCTGCTTTTTGCTGTAGGCGCAAGGGGAGGAATGGCAAAATCGAGGTTCGCATCAAGCCAAGATTTCTCTGGCTCTTTTGCACAGTGGCCAGCTTGCATGCTTGCAAGCTAGATCCGGGAAGGCGAGGTTTTGTCGAGCCAACCAAACAGACAGAACAATATATGTGCCCTGAAACCACGTCAACGTAGATGTAACCCTAACCCTAACCCAGACCGAGAAACAGAGCGGTATAATGACATCCTTCTTCCGCCTTTGTTCTCCAAATCTAGCGTCTCCTCGAATCTGCAACGTGACAGACGAGTAGACGGGTCCCACATCAACTTAGTGTCTAAGGGACCTGGAAATTTGAACACCGACGATACCGCCGAGAAATCCGACTCCCCCGTTCCGGTTCGAGTTGCCACGTTTTCATAGCGGCCATCGATCCATTCACAGCCGCATTTTTCGCATCGGCATTGTTGTTCGGTAGAAGCAAACACACCATTCGTTAGTGTCCCCACCTATCGCTCTCCCGACTCTTGCCGTTGATCTAATGTTAAAAGCATCAGTTAGCATCGATTTGGCAACAGGCAGATAGCTTGCCTACTGCAACATACACTGCATGCATCACTTCCTTTGTGAATCCGAGGTTCTTTGTGAGTTTGCATTGTATTTCAGCGAGACTTTGCGCAAAAGGTTCGCGTTCACAGTCGTTTCCTCGGAACCAATGTCGGAATGCGAATGGTGTGACAGCTTGTGTGATTTTGCCGAGACTGGTTGCAGGAAACCAAGCGATTGTGCATTGGCTGGGCCCAATCAAGAAGGACGAGTCAAGGAGCGCGCTACTGCTTGTGCATGTGCGCACAAGGCGACCACGTGATTTTTTTTTGCATTAGGGCGCCACAAAGCAGAGCCCGATCGAGAAAGACTATTGTATGATGCGCGGCAAGCTTCTGCTCATACACTACTCAAGTTCGCAATCCAGCCTCCTCGTCAGTCATTGCCGAGGAAAGAGCTCTGGCTGCGGAATCGTCCTTGGCGTTCTTTATTGCAAATGCTGTTCGCGCGCTCGACCAAATGCGATCGGAAACAATGATGCCAGGCCCATATTGTGCTGATCAACACCGCCTCGTACCTTTCGCTCTTCTATGAACGTCCGGCACGCATGATGTCAGGTTGAACATACCCATCAAAGTCTCGTAGCCACGTCATCTGCGCCACAAAGCCCGGATTCGGTCTGGTCGCAGCCGATGAAACCCATGAAACCCCCGGTCGGTCCAGTCCCGGAGCGTCTTAGGTTAGGATCTGTATCAGTAGCAGTAGGTGATGCATCGGGCTAGAACTTACGATGGCATCTGAGACGTGCTTTCGCTTGACAAAGGATAATCCATCGGCATTCTGTCTAGAACAGCCACCGGCAACCTGGATGCAAGCACCTTTTTAGAACTTAGTCTCTACTCGACTGGACAGTACACTGTACCGTTCCTGTAGCTTGGCGAGAACATGTGGCCACCAATTGCAAGGGGCACCTGTGTTGGGCTCTAAACACTGCCACATGTCAGTCATCGATCTGAACAACGTGAAAGCACACTGCCTGATAGCTCGCAGCCGACGCACGAGGACCGCTGCTTGTTCCCGGACATCAGAGCTCGCACCCAGATTTTTTCTGAACGAAGGTATAGGCAGCATGATAGGAGAGTCGTTGATTGGTGCGTCTATCATTCGACAAGGTTGCGATAGCTTATTGTGTCGGCGCCACAAATGTCATTTGCAGCTGGAGTGCTGGAGTGCTGGAGTTCGGCTCGCTCATTGTTCCTTCTTTTTGCTCTATTGTTGGGCCCAAGTGTTACCGCGATAGGCCATGCAACGCTCGCATTATGGACGGCACGCTCTTCATGCACCGGACTTGGCTTGACTGATCATGCCGTGCAGGTGATTGGTTTGCATGTTGTAATGATTGAGAGTGCTTTCACGGTGTTGCAGACCAGGTGAGATGTCAACGCTTGTGCCATAGCACCACGTCGTCCTTGCCAAACTTAGTCCGGCTGGGTTCGCACCATTGGTTCGCAGACCTGAGTCTGAATTCGTCTGGCAGTTGCGAGTTGAAGCCGAAACCGTGGGGACCGACTGTAACCGGTGCTATTGTGACAAGAAGAGCATCAATGAGTTGTGGCTGCCTCATCAAACTGTCAATCACGGCAGCACCTCCTTCCACCATAAGTCGATGTATGCCTGCCTCGTGGATGTACTTCAAGAGCGTCTTCCAATCAGGCAGAACATTTGACTCCTCCTGACTGACTTGAATGATCTCGACACCGGCATCTTCGAGCACCTTTCTTCGTCCCGCACTAGCGGCATTCGAGGCCAAGACGAGAGGTTGTCGACCCACACCGGCATTGTAGTTGCGGACGAGTTTGCTGTCAGCAGGCATTCGTAAGCTCGAGTCCAGAACGATTGGTCGTGGCAACTGCGACACTGGAGGCGGTTGCGAGAGCAAGCGTGCATTGAGTTGAGGGTTATCGTTGAGGACTGTACCAATTCCCACCAGGATTCCATCGTGCAGAGTTCTGAGTTTATGGGTCATGAGCATGCTTTCAGACCCACTCAAAGCAAGCTGAGTTTTGCCAGCGCCTGCGATCTTGCCATCCTGAGACTGAGCGAATGTCAGTGTCACATGCGGTCGTCGATGGTCAGCATTGCTTGCAAAATGCAGGCTCTCCTGCAGGAAAGCGCTCGCATGCTGTTCGGCAGCCAGATCCGAATGCATCGGAAGCGAATTGTCGCAGCTGATTGTCTCTTTTCTTCCCTGGTCAGAAGCTGACGAAGAATGAGAGCAACCAGGATGTGGTTTTAGCAGCTTCTTGGCGTGGCGTGGGAATTGGAGGCCTAGATGCTCGCAATCCGCGGCTTGCTATGGTCATTTACCTAGAGCGCAGCGGCTCCTAGGATGAGCTTGCTTGCTTGCTTGCTTGCTTGCTTGCTTGCTTGCTTGCTTCGACTCGGGAGTTAAACGCCAATCTGCCTTTGTGTAGCGCGCGAGAAAGTTGCTGTCGCAGTCGACCTTGCAGGGGAGCAGCGTACAACCTCGTAAGAGAGCAGGAGCTTATACCTTTTCTTCTTGCTGTCACCTCTTCTTCTTTCTTCAGCGCGCGAAAAGCGCTCAAGCCACCTCGAAACAAGATTATTACTAACCTAACCTCTACGTTCAGAAAACCGAACCCTTCAGTAAAAGCATGGGATCTAGCGCGAGTAAGCAACTTCTACTCCGAGCTCACATTAACGCCGACCTCACTCACTCGGGTATATACCACATTACCCGAAACGGCTGCCGCGATCGGCATCGGCATGCCGGATTGTAGATAGCCGACACAGTTTCTCCTTAGTCTCCACGCCATGCTTCAGTCTCATCGTCCTTGTAACACACATGTATACACAGAACACCGAGAAATATATATACGCTGGTGATCATCATGTACTTAGTTATGCTTTTTATCGCAATCGATACTTGTGATCAACAATTATTCGCTGCACACCCTTCAACTGCTGAAAATGACGATCCAGTAGAACACGATCTGACGATGAATCGGCGAAAGACGATCTGATCGGAGATCGGGCTGACCGATACGATAGGGATCAGGGACTGGGTCCCGCTCCTTGACATACTTCGTCATTAAGTGGGATGCTCCCACATTCAGCCACATATCACTATTGTATATAGATACCAAGCGGAGAGCTAGAGGCTACTGCTACGTTCTTCTCTTAGGTCAATATGCCGAAGGAAGCGATCTAATATGATGATATATGATTCCATAAACATAATCAGGGATCTGACAGAACAGATCTGTCCAGAGATTGGGTACAACACAATCCCACTTGTTGTCAAGCTAGATCATGAAGTAGGATACTCCCACATTTGGCATGTACCTCATAGATGTATAGATATCAAGCTGAGAACACTAGGTTCTGCTGGAGATTGTGATCCAGTGCGATGCCAAAGGATGACGCAGGGCCGATCTGATCAGAGATCAGGCAGAGCCAATCTGGTTAGATGACCAATCTGATCAGAGATTGAGCTGAGCCAATCTTGCCAGAGATTGGGTGCAACACAGTCCTGCTTGTTGTCATGGTAGATCATTAAGTAGGAGTACTCCCACCTTCAGCATGTGCTGCTCACATGTATATATATCTCACAGAGAGCACTAGGCTCTCACCACATTCCTTCAGTCAATTGAGTATATATGTTTCTGTCTTTTCACAGCAGTGACATTGTACTTAGACTCTCCCTGATTGCCAGTATTGGGACCCAAACTTCCACAGGTTATGAGCTCAACTAGCCAATATGCTACCAAAATCTGATATCAACAAGAGGTTTCACCATTGACATGTCAAACCCTGACTACTCTTCATACAAATATTTCGTCGAGGTGATCAAGGAGCTCCTCCCTTGCCTTCCAGACATAGTACAAAACTGTTATTGTTGATTGATCAATGAAAATACCTATGGTACACCAAAAAAACCAAAGGCCAGACTGATCTTCAAATACACCAGAAAGACAAATGTCAAGCAAGTAGTGACACCCCTCACTATCATGATCAAGTGTGTTGCCACACTCTACCATGCAATGCATGTTCTCAGCCCCTTTTGTAGCTGCTTCAAGCTTGAATGGCAAATGAGAACATGTGTGACCTTGTTCATCAGCAATGAGAAGGATCCAACCTGCATCCTCCACTTCATGACTGAGGATCCAAGGTGGTTTGAATTGGAAGCTGCTGCTCTGGAACAGGAGTTCAACACAACATTGTCTGAAGGGGGAAATGTCATACAGGTCTCAATGATGGATGAAGCTTCTGATCTGGAAGAGGAGCTGGACATGGCATCGTCCAAAGGGGGAAATGTCATGCAGGACTCAATGATGGACGAAGCTTCCGATCTGGAAGAGAAGCTCAACACGGTATCGTCCGAAGGGGGAAATGTCGTGCCTGTGTAAGCAGTCATGCGCCTGAAACCAGATTGGGTGTTTCCGATTGATTTCGGTGAGATCGATTGAGTAAGATCAACTTGGTATGTTTCAACTGAAAGTAACCAGACAGTTTCGTTCTGGTAGGTTTTGGCTGACCGCCTTGAACATGTCAGCGGTCTCGCACCTGAACCCTGAAACCTGTAATAGAAATGCGTCTATTACAGATCCTGTCGAAATATGTGATAGAGTGCTTTCTATTATTGTTCCCATCGAGATCTGTCTTAGAAGGCCTCTATGACTTTTCTCATCCGAAGATGTGATAAAGTGGTTGATACTGCAGGTCTTGACTAACTGCCATGGACACTCTGTCCAGAGGTAGCTCGGCATGATCAATAACAATAGGAACTTCATACTGACACCAAGGTCTGGTGTGAGTGTGCTTGTTGATGGTGCCGACACGAGTGTCCAGTGTGTTGACTGAGTATCGAGCTTATTGTTGAGGTCTGGGTCCGTCATGGGGATCGTGAGGAGCTGCTTGAACGATCCACTCTAATGTCAGGGGTCTCGCGCCTGAAACCCAGGTCAGTCTGTCGAGATACTCAGTGACTATCAAACTGTGCGACAGCTATTGTCTCGGTATCAGTCTTGATGAGCTATGTCGCTTGGCAACTATCAAGTTGCGCAGTGACAGCAGGTGGCATTCGTTGTATATACTATCATAGGTTTCGGCTGACCTCTGTGGACACTCCATTCAGGGGTAGCTTGGCACGATCAATATCAATGCTTCGGTTATGATGACACCAAGGTCTGGTGTGAGTGTTGATGATGATGAGGTTAATGATGTTGGTGATAAGGTTGGTGAGTGTTGATGATAATGAGGTTGATGGTGTTGGTGATAAGGTTGGTGGCATCAACATGAGTGTCCAGTGTGTTGACTTTGATGCTTGAAGTGATCCCCGGACTGCAGTGGACTACTGCCTTTGGTTCTATCTATATCTGGACTGCTAACCTGCTATGGGGCGCCTATGGATGTCAGGTAGTGGTGATACAACACACACACTACGATGAGGAGCAACCTTGATAGATTGCTGCTATGCTGACTGTAACTAATGAGTACTTATGTTTCTAAAGTATTGACTAGTTGTATGGTGAGTAGAGTGGATGAGGATCCACTCGACCTATGATGATGAGAAAGCATGGTTATATACCTCTTCACAGCATTGCCAGCGATGCTGCTCCTGCTCTCTCTCCAGAGAGTACCTTCTTCATCGAGTACTGCTCAGGGGCCTCTCCTGCTTGGCACCCCTGTGCCTCTTGAGTGGTGTCAACTCCTTTGACACTGCTCCTCCTCCTCATGACCTGGTGTCAACTCCTTCGACACTGCTCCTCTTCCTCAGGACCTGCCTGCTAGTGTCCTATACACTGCTCCTTCTCCTTTGACTGGTGACAGTTCCTTTGACTCTTGTCTCTCGAGCCCCTGAGTGGTAACCATCTGAGCTTGGTCCTCTTCGTGGCTGTGCCTGGCCCTCCTCACATGTGGCTCATGTCCTCCTTTGCATGTGAGTCCATAGGAGTCCATGGTCTCCATGGAGACTGCACTACGACCATGCTCTCTACTGGTATCGACTAGATCTTCGATACCTGTGCTCCTTCCATATGAACCAGTGACCCTCCTGCTTCTTGAGCATCCAGGCCCATGACAGTTCCCATGAAGCAGCTTCTTCTGAGTACCCTCTCCACAACACTTTGTACTCTGTCATCCCATTGTGTGAACACTTGTCAATGAGTGCTTTGACTTCGAAATTGAGGTCCTCATCTGGAAGTGATGGTATGGTGGGCTGTTCAGCACATTGAGGAAGAGAACTTGTTCTTGCTGGCTTGAGCATGGAGACATGGAACACATCATGCACCCTAAGGTTTGCTGGCAATGTGATCCAATAAGCTTGGCGTCCTACTCTTTCCAGAACTGGGTAGGGTCCTGCAAACTGGGTATCTAACTTGGGTGTGGGTCTCCTTGTCTTCCAGTTTTGACAGTTGATATAGACCATATCACCCACCTTGAACTCAATGTCCTTGTGCTTCCTGTTATACTGGTCTACTGATCTTTGTTGTGCCTCTCTGATCTGCTCCTGGAGGTACTTGCAACACTCCTTTCCATCCATGAGGTACTCGAAGCGACCTGGATCATTGACTCCTAGTTGTTGAGGGATATCAGGATGAGCCTTAGGGTTCCATCCATAGCATGCAAAGAATGGTGAGACACCAATGCTGTTGTGGACAGTGTTGTTGTATACAAAGGCTGCAGTGTCCAGCCGGTCGGCCCAGTCATTCTGCTCATAGTTGCAGTACATCCTTAGGTACTGCTTGTCAGGGGTCTCGCGCCTGAAACCCAGGTCGGTCTGTTGAGATACTCAGTGACTATCAAACTGTGCGACAGCTATTGTCTTGGTATCTGTCTCATCGAGCTAGTTGTTCAGCAACTATCAAGTTGCACAGTGACAGCAGGTGGCATTCAGTGTATATACTATTGTAGGTTTCAGCTGACCTCTGTGGACACTCCATTCAGGGGTAGCTCAGCACAATCAATATCAATACATAGGTTATGATGACACCAAGGTCTGGTGTGAGTGTTGATGATGATGAGGTTGATGGTGTTGGTGATAAGGTTGGTGGTGTCAACACGAGTGTCCTGTGTGTTGACTTGATGCTTGAAGTGATCCCTGGACTGCAGTGGACTACTGCCTTTGGTTCTATCTTGATCCAGACCACTAACCTGCTATGGGGCACCTTCAGACATCAGGTAGTGGTGATACAACACACACACTATGATGAGGAGCAACCTTGATAGATTGCTGCTATGCTGACTGAAACTAATATATACTTATGCTGAAGTGATAACTAGTTATGGTGAGTAGAGTGGATGAGGATCCACTCGACCTATGATGATGAGAAAGCATGGTTATATACCTCTACTCAGCATCGCCAGCGATGCTGCTCCTGCTCTCTCTCTCCAGAGAGTACCTTCTTCATCGAGTACTGCTCAGGGGCCTCTCCTGCTTGGCACCCCTGTGCCTCTTGAGCTGTGTCGACTCCTTCGACACTGCTCCTCCTCCTCATGACCTGGTGTCGACTCCTTCGACACTGCTCCTCCTCCTTTGATCAGTGACAGTTCCTTTGGCTCTTGTCTCTCGAGCCCCTGAGTGGTAACCATCTGCATGCTCCTTGAGCTTGGTCCTCTTCATGGCTGTGCCTGCTCCTTGAGCTAGGTCCTCCTCATGGCTGTGCCTGGCCCTCCTCGCATATGGCTCGGTCCTCCTTTGCATGTGAGTCTGTAGGAGTCCATGGTCTCCATGGAGACTGCACTACGACCATGCTCTCTACTGGTATCAACTAGATCTTCGATACCTGTGCTCCTTCCATATGAACCAGTGACCCTCCTGCTTCCTGAGCATCCAGGCCCATGACAAGACCCTCTTAGCTCTCGACCCATGGGACCAAAGGTCATGGTCACCACAGCAGACCCCTTCGAGGAGGCCACCGACTCAGGAGATGGCCACACAGGCAGCACTGAGACTGACCCCGAGGCCATGGACCTCAGCTCATACCAGCAACCCATGGACCTCGACCATGAGGAGGAGGAGCACGATGATGATGACGATGAGGGAAACATCAGTGGGGTGATGCATTGATGGCATGCATTGCTCTACAAACCTCCTCGCCATCACTCTGTATATATCAAGATTGTCAAGTATGTTTCTCTACCAGTGGAGGCAAAGCAGTACTGGAGCTCTCTGGAATGGTTCAAGACCATCCTGCTCAGATACTAGCTGATACCAGTGCTGGTTTGTCCATAGTCTCAGATTCTTTCATTAGTAAGTACCAAATACCCACGAAACCCATAAAAACAAGATCGATCCATGGTGTCACCAGACACCAACTCTCCATCAATAGTTCTGCAAGCATGCAGGTATCTATTGGTACATACAATCTGGGTGTGGTTGAAGCTTCAGTGGCCGACACTGCTGACTATGACCTCATCCTGGGGTTCACTGAGCTACGGAGACTCAAACCCACCATACAATGGGATACAGGCCAGCTGGAGTTCAAGACTCAGGAGCAGGACTGACCCCCAAGGAGACCCCCTGAAGCAGCAAGAGCAGGGGACCTAACCATGAGGAGACCAACCCTCCATGGTAACGAGTTTGTCTTGGCAGAGCGCATACTATGAGCAGCTCTGGAAGATGGACCCATAGGGTTCATGCTGTTGGAGGAGCCACCATCATCACTCCCGGCCTTTGGTTTTGTACCTACAGGCGCAGACAAAGGAGTCGAGATGGAGGTGGAGGTAGACAAGGTGGTGACAGCTGCAGACATACCAAAGCCATACCAACACCTGCGAGATGTGTTTGATGAGGTGGAAGCAGACAAGCTGCCCCATCATACCAAGCATGATCTCCACCTCGAGTTGATAGAAGGAGGTAAGCCACCTCAAGGGCCCCTATACCTTAAGGGACCCAAGGAGATGTCCAAGTTGAGAAGGTACTTGGATGAGAACCTCGAGAAGGGGTTCATAAGACCATCGAAGAGCTAGGCACAATCACCAGTGCTCTTCATACCAAAGAAGGATGGAGGTCTCAGACTCTGTGTGGACTACAGAGGTCTCAACGAGATCACTGTCAAGAACAGGGCACCATTGCCCCTCATCGAGGAGCAGCTGTTCTTACTCAGGAAGGCAAGGATCTATACCAAGCTAGACCTTAGGGCAGCATACAACCTCATCCAGATTGCTAAAGGAGATGAATGGAAGACAGCTTTTGGCACTCAGTTAGGACTCTATGAGTACCTAGTGATGCCCTTTGGCCTAGCCAATGCTCCGGCTCACTTCCAGTCATTCATCAATGACATCTTCCGAGACATCATTGGGATATATGTGGTAGTATACCTAGATGACTTCCTGATCTTCAGTGACACTGAAGAAGCACATGTGAAGCATGTCACCGAGGTCCTCACTCGCTTAAGGAGCAACAGGCTCTTTGCTAAGCTGTCGAAGTGTGAGTTCCACACCAAGACAGTCGAGTTCCTGGGGTACATCATCAAGCCAACGGGCATAGAGATGGACCCAGAAAAGGTGCACACTGTCAAGGAGTGGCCAATGCCAGAGTCAATCCATGACATCCAAAGGTTCCTGGGTTTTGCCAACTTCTATTGAAGGTTCATAGCCCACTTTGCTCGCATAGCCAAGCCCTTGACAGCACTGGTAAAGCCTATAGAACGGTTCAAGAAGTTCGAGCTACCAGAGGAGGCCCAACAGGCCTTCCACAAGCTCATCCAGGCCTTCACATCAGCAGGAGTGCTTCAGCACTTTGACTACCACCTGTCAGGGGTCTCGCGCCTGAAACCCAGGTCGGTCTGTCGAGATACTCGGTGACTATTAAACTGTGTGACAGCTATTGTCTCGGTATCGGTGACTATCAAGTTGTGCAGTGACAGCAGGTGGCGTTCGTTGTATATACTATCGTAGGTTTCGGCTGACCTCTGTGGACACTCCGTTCAGGGGTAGCTCGGCACGATCAATATCAATGTTATGATGACACCAAGGTCTGGTGTGGGTGTTGATGATGTTGAGGTTGATGGTGTTGGTGATGAGATTGGTGATGTCGATGATAATGAGGTTGATGGTGTTGATGATAAGGTTGGTGATGTCAATGATAATGAGGTTGATGGTGTTGGTGATAAGGTTGGTGGCGTCAACACGAGTGTCCAGTGTGTTGACTTGATGCTTTGAAGTGATCCCCGGACCGCAGTGGACTACTGCCTTCGGTTCTATCTATATCCGGACCGCTAACCTGCTATGGGCGCCTTCGGACGTCAGGTAGTGGTGATACAACACACACACTACGATGAGGAGCAACCTTGATAGATTGCTGCTATGCTGACTGTAACTAATGAGTACTTGTGTTTCTAAAGTATTGACTAGTTGTATGGTGAGTAGAGTGGATGGGGATCCACTCGACCTATGATGATGAGAAAGCATGGTTATATACCTCTTCACAGCATCGCCAGCGATGCTGCTCCTGCTCTCTCTCTCCAGAGAGTACTTTCTTCATCGAGTACTGCTCAGGGGCCTCTCCTGCTTGGCACCCCTGTTCCTCTTGAGTGGTGTCGACTCCTTCGACACTGCTCCTCCTCCTCATGACCTGTGTCGACTCCTTCGACACTGCTCCTCCTCCTCATGACCTGTGTCGACTCCTTCGACACTGCTCCTCCTCCTCTTGACCTGTGTCGACTTCCTGTCTCTCGAGCCCCTGAGTGGTAACCATCTGCATGCTCCTTGAGCTTGGTCCTCTTCGTGGCTGTGCCTGCTCCTTGAGCTTGGTCCTCCTCGTGGCTGTGCCTGCTCCTTGAGCTTGGTCCTCCTTGTGGCTGTGCCTGGTCCTCCTCGCATGTGGCTCGGTTCTCCTTTGCATGTGAATCCATAGGAGTCCGTGGTCTCCATGGAGACTGCACTACGACCATGCTCTCTACTGGTATCGACTAGGTCTTTGATACCTGTGCTCCTTCCATATGAACCCATGACCCTCCTGCTTCTTGAGCATCCAGGCCCATGACACCACCTTCCAACAAGGTTGGAGACTGATGCAAGTGACTTTGCTATAGCAGGAGTACTCAAGCAGGAGCATGAAGGACGATGGCATCCAGTGGCCTTCTACTCTAGGAAAATGTCTTCTGCCGAGAAGAACTATGAAATCCATGACAAGGAGCTCCTAGCTGTGGTTGCCTGCCTTACTCAGTGGCGACACATGCTAGCTGGACTACCAAACCAACTGGTCATCCTCACTGACCATGAAGCCCTCAAGTACTTCAAGTCACAGAGACACATCACAGGTCGACAGGCTCGATGGGCCATACTACTAGCAGACTTCGACTTCATATTGCAGTATCGACCAGGAGACAAAGGTGGTGAACCCGATGCCCTCACCAGAAGGACAGACATGCAACCAGCTGGTGAAGAGCAGGAGCACAATGTGAGGCAACTACTGCCTCCTCGAGTGTTCAAGGAGACAGCAGACCATGACTCGACCCTAGTGGCCCCTATGCTCTTGATGGAGTCCATAGCATCAAAAGGTCTCAGAGACCTGGTCAAGATCTTCCAGCCCTTAGACCAAGAGCTACAGGAGATACATAGGAAGAATCCCTTTGAGGTCAAGGACAACCTATGGTACAGTGGAGGAAGGTTGGTTATCCCCAAAGTGATCATGCCAGGGAGGACCAACAACTGACACTCAAGGAGTGCCAAAGAGGTAGATGGACAGTCTCTCTCTGTAGAGCATCTGCGATTCATGGTGATGACCCAATGCCATGATGGTATTACTGCTGGACACGTAGGAAGAGATGCTACCATCAAGGCAGCTCAATGACATTACTGGTGGCCAAACATGACAGCTTGGATTGCAGACTATGTAGCAAGTTGTCCTGTATGTGCTAGGTACAAAGCTCCTTGTCACTGTCCATATGGTTTGCTACAGCCACTAGCAACACCAGACAGGCCCTGGGGCTCCATATCCCTCGACTTCATCGAAGGACTACCACCATCAAAGAAGTATGACTCCAAGACCTATGACTCTATCTTAGTCATCATCGACAGGTTAACCAAGTTTGCCATACTAGCTCCAACCCATAAGACAGTCATGGCCAAACAGACTGCAGTATTGCTATATGGACACATGGTTAGACTCTTCGGATATCCAGATCACATGGTCTCGGACCGAGGCAGGCAGTTCATATCAGGAGCATGGAAGGCATTTGCAGAGCAAATGGGTGTGAAGCACTCACTTAGTATGGCTTACCATCCTCAAACTGATGGTCAGACAGAGAGAGTCAATCAGGTCATAGAACAATACCTCAGGATGTACTGCAACTATGAACAGGATGACTGGGCCAATGTGCTGGACACTGCAGCCTTTGTATACAACAACACGGTCCACAACAGCATTGGTGTTTCACCATTCTTTGCATGCTATGGATGGAACCCCAAAGCTCATCCTGACATCCCTCAACGACTAGGAGTCAATGATCCAGGTCGCTTCGAGTACCTCATGGATGGAAAGGAGCATTGCAAGTACCTCCAGGAGCAGATCAGAGAGGCACAACGTAGATCAGTAGACCAGTATAACAGGAAGCACAAGGACATCGAGTTCAAGGTGGGTGATATGGTCTATATCAACTGTCGAAACTGGAAGACAAGGAGACCCACACCCAAGTTAGATACCCAGTTTGCAGGACCCTACCCAGTTCTGGAAAGAGTAGGATGCCAAGCTTATTGGATCACATTGCCAGCAAACCTTAGGGTGCATGATGTGTTCCATGTCTCCATGCTCAAACCTGCAAGAACAAGTTCTCTTCCTCAACGAGCTGAACAGCCCACCATACCATCACTTCCAGATGAGGACCTCGACTTCGAAGTCGAAGCACTCATCGACAAGCGTTCACACAATGGGACTACAGAGTACAAGGTGTTGTGGAGAGGGTACTCAGAAGAAGCTGCTTCATGGGAACCAGTAGAGAACCTCAACTGTCCCGACCTCATCCAGGAGTATGAGGTGTTGGAGGGGGGACGAGTGAGTAGACAAAGTAGAGAACAGGAGGAGTAGAGAGAGGAAGAGGAAGGAGGATGACGTTGAGAGAAGGAGGAAGGATGATGTTGGCGATGTTGTCGAGGAGGAGGAGGAGGAGTCAGCATGGACCAGACCAGAGCATGCCTCGACGGAGCTCGGCTCTTAAGAGGGGGGTAGTGTCATGGGCCTGGATACTCAAGAAGCAGGAGAGTCACGGGTTCATATGGAAGGAGCACAGGTATCAAAGATCTAGTCGAGATCAGTAGAGAGCATGGTCGTAGTGCAGTCTCCATGGAGACCATGGACTCCTATGGACTCACATGCAAAGGAGGGCCAAGCACAGCCACGAGGAGGACCAAGCTCAAGGAGCAGGCACAGCCACGAAGAGGACCAAGCTCAAGGAGCATGCAGATGGTTACCACTCAGGGGCTCGAGAGACAAGAGCCAAAGGAACTGTCACTGATCAAAGGAGGAGGAGCAGTGTCGAAGGAGTCGACACCAGGTCATGAGGAGGAGGAGCAGTGTCGAAGGAGTCGACATCAGGTCATGAGGAGGAGGAGCAGTGTCGAAGGAGTCGACACCAGGTCATGAGGAGGAGGAGCAGTGTCAAAGGAGTCGACACAGCTCAAGAGGCACAGGGGTGCCAAGCAGGAGAGGCCCCTGAGCAGTACTCGATGAAGAAGGTACTCTCTGGAGAGAGAGCAGGAGCAGCATCGCTGGCGATGCTGTGAAGAGGTATATAACCATGCTTTCTCATCATCATAGGTCGAGTGGATCCTCATCCACTCTACTCACCATACAACTAGTCAATACTTTAGAAACACAAGTACTCATTAGTTACAGTCAGCATAGCAGCATTCTATCAAGGTTGCTCCTCATCGTAGTGTGTGTGTTGTATCACCACTACCTGACGTCCGAAGGCACCCATAGCAGGTTAGCGGTCCGGATATAGATAGAACCGAAGGCAGTAGTCCACTGCGGTCCGGGGATCACTTCAAGCATCAAGTCAACACACTGGACACTTGTGTTGACGCCACCAACCTTATCACCAACACCATCAACCTCATTATCATCAACATCACCAATCTCATCACCAACATCATCAACCTCATCATCATCAACACTCACACCAGACCTTGGTGTCATCATAACATTGATATTGATCGTGCCGAGCTACCCCTGAATGGAGTGTCCACAGAGGTCAGCCGAAACCTACGATAGTATATACCACGAATGCCACCAGCTGTCACTGCACAACTTGATAGTCACCGATACCGAGACAATAGCTGTCGCACAGTTTGATAGTCACCGAGTATCTCGACAGACCAACCTGGGTTTCAGGCGCGAGACCCCTGACAGTAAGCAGTTCTGTTGGATTAAGAATGCCAGCTTCAACAGCAAGCTTGTCAGGCCAATGGTCAAGTTTGGCAGTGGCTCCATCATGATCTGGGGCTATATGATGTGGGAAGGGGTGGGAGGTATGCACTTGGTGCTGGGTTCAATGAATTCAGACCAATACATTGATATCTTGAATGACAAGCTTTTAAAAACAATCTCAGATTTGTGGCTTCAGCATGCATACACTGATGTCACATTTCAGCAAGACAATGACCCAAAACACATGTCGAAGAAGACAATAATGTGGTTGGAAAGTAATAGCATTAAGGTTATGCAATGGCTGGCACAGTCACTGGACTTAAACCTGATTGAACACCTCTGGCACCATCTCAAAATGCAACTTTCACAGTATAGTATGATTGCAAAGTCCAGGGATAAACTGCTCAAGAGATGTGAAGCTGAATGGACAGCAATCACTCCAGAGACATGTAGGACACTAATAGAGAGCATGCCAGACCACATCAAGGCAGTTCTGAAGGCCAAAGAAGGGAATACAAAGTACTAAGGTGTTGTCAAGGAGCACTCCATAAACTGTCCCACAATAATAATAAAAATCAGCTCTTCTTCATAGCACAATTTTTTTTAGTCAATGTCAATCTCAATTACACAGTCTTGGAGAGAAGAAGCAGGGCTTTCAGATGATATCAGACAGTGTGGCAATACAACTTATGGCTATTGAGCATTAGAGTGATGTATGGTGACATGTAAAATTATGGGACAGTTTATGCATGTGCTGTATATCAAGCAGAGAGCACTAGGCTCTCGCCACATTCCTTTAGTCAATCAGTGACATTGTACTCGGACTCTCCCCGATCACCAGTATCGGGACTAAAACTTATCTACATTACAAGATATATTTCAACAATTTGTGCCTGTTGATGAACCCTTAACATGTGAAAGAGAAAAAGTGAAAAGTGCGACCGCCGATCTTCGATCACAGCCTCAACCTAATCTGACAAAATTTCTCACGGAACAGCTCAGACGGGTTTCCCTTTCGAACCTCTCGTTGGAAGGGCAATAGCGGTGGCGAGGATGGCAATCGGAGCATCAACCAGCAGCGCATCCGCCGTGATCGAGGTGTCCATCGACGGCAAACCAGCTTCCATCGGACACGATCACGAGTTCCTCTACGTCGTTCGGGGTCATCACAAGCATGTCGAAGCGCAGACAAGCAAAGCTTACGTTCGGGTACCGTTGGCACTCGTGCTGAACGCTTCCTTCGTATCTGACTCGGATGGCGGCTCCCTTCTTGTTCGGCTTCTATCACCACCGTTACAGGCGCAAAACAGCGAGGCACCTGGTCCATTCTCGTTCTTCAAGAAGACAAAGGCGCCACCAACATGTATGGAATCGTTGCCGCAACATGCCTACACGGCAATGACATCGTCGGCGCGGGCCGAAAGACTACGAGAACAGCTCGAGGGCCCATGCTCGAGCCTTCGCCTAGTCAAGATCGAGGCGCGAGTCGTAGCGACCAAGCATGGAGCGGATGTCGAAGCGAGCACACAAGCCTGGGTTGACACGGTGATGAGGGCCGCCTACCAGCATGTCAAGCCATATAGGCGTGTCAAGATTCTCATCAACCCGGTTGGTGGTCCTGGAAAGGGTCGACAACTGTTCGAGAGTCGAGCTCGACCTATCTTGGAGGCGGCGGGGTGCAAGCTGGATGTGACGATTACATCGCATCGCATGCATGGAGTTGAGATGGCTAGAGACCTCAAAGTGCAAGACTACGATGCGGTCGGCATTGTCAGCGGTGATGGTCTGCTGCATGAAATGCTCAACGGATTTGCGACACGGAACGACGCTGACAAGGCGCTCGCTTTACCATTAGCGCCGATTCCGGCAGGAAGTGGCAATGCTATGTCGATCAACTTGCTCGGTGTTCAACAAGGTCTCAGTCTTGCGCTGGCGTGTCTCAACGTCATCAAAGGTCGTCCGATGAAGCTTGACTTGCTCAGGGTCACGCAGCCCGCATCGGCATTCCCACCAGGTCTTCCTGTCCCAGGGAGATTGGCAAGTGATACCCTGGGCAAGCGAGCGGAGGCACAAGCACGGCGCGATGCCACTCTGATCGGCAGTAATGGTGGCAGTGCAAGAGGCTCAGAGGACGTTGCAAGAATCATCGACGCTCCATCATCGCCCTATGTGCAGTACTATTCGTTCTTGTCACAAGCTATCGGCATTGTCGCTGATCTTGATTTGGGTACAGAGCATCTCCGCGCACTTGGCGACACACGCTTTGTGATCGGTTACGCGACGTCGGTGCTTCGAAACGCCAGATGTGACGTAGACATTGACATCAAGCTGGGGTCCCGTGGTAGTAAGAATAGAGCCGAGATGCGTCAGAGAGTCATCGACTTTAACAAGGGCAGTCAGTCACACAGGGAAGTCGACAGAGAATCCAGCAATACAGGAGAAGGAGAAGCGGATGCTGCGTCTACGATGGCACAGCTCGTCCATGGCGATGTTACAGAAGTTCTTACAGCAGATGGCAACCCACCACCACCGTTTGACCTGCACGACCCATCGTGGCCGCACACCTTCCTCCAGCGATCTTGCGCTAGACAAGCAGCCGCTGCCCTGGATCCCTCACAAGGAGACTCCCAGGCCTCTACCTCGGGTTGGGTGCGCATCCACGAGCCAATCGCAAGCTTGTATGCAGGCAAACTTCCCTTTGTCAGTCGCGATCTGATGCAATTTCCCTTTGCACTCCCCAACGATGGTACCATCGACGTCGCTATGATCCTACACGCCGGTGGTCGAGTCGCAAAAGTGCCTGAGAACGGGTATGCCGAAACAGGTCAGCTGGTGTATCAGAAGGCGATGTCGTATCTCAAGGTGGAAGCTATTCGTGTGACGCCAAAGCGGAAGGAAGGGGACAAGAAGCTCAAGAATGGTGGCTTGATTAGTATTGATGGTGAGAAGGTGCCTTATGCTGCTTTCCAGGTGGAAGTGGCTCAAGGTTTGCAATATTCGGTCTTGTCCTTGTACGGACGCTTTTGTGTTTCGCTTCCGGAGTCACCGACTGTGAGGTGATAAGTTTGTTTGCTTTGTTTGTTTGATGCTAATGGATACCATGCTTTGTCGGGATCACAACTGGAACTTGGAATATATGTGTGCGACTGCTCCGCTCCCCATCAATTCTGACATGGCAAGGTCAAGCTTATGCTTCTCGCAACGGAAGTCTTGCGGCATTATCTGTGCGGGAAGAAGAAAAGGCGACATCTCACAAACTGCTGCAGGGTCCAAGCCAAATTTGGCGGGAAAGGACCGTTGGGGGCCCTTGTGCGGCTATATAACTTTCCCAGTCTCCGTTCTTCTCTACTCCTTCTCACCGAACCTCTCCACCCGCAACAGACAAGGCAGAAAAGATGTCTCTCGCAGCCACAGCAAAGCAAATTGTAGTCATCATAGGCGCAGGTCCTGGCCTAGGCTGTGCAGTGGCACGCAAATTCGCTGAACAGGGACACTCCGTAGCCATCCTTTCTCGATCCAAAGAACGACTCGAAACAATCGCATCCCAAATCAACTCACTCAACCGTGGTCGAGCAGTAGCCTAGGCTGGCAATGATATGGATGCAATGCTATGTTGATGATGCCGAAAAGTGTCTGTCTGTCATGTGACTTGATTGATGCTGCTTACTGCTGCTTGATAGCCGGGCAGATGATCAAATTTTTAATAACGCTCACGCTCACATGTGACCGAAAATGTGCAGAGCGTGCACGGACCATCATTCAACGCTTGCTTTTTCGGCTGGAGCAAGTCATGCATCACGTGATCGTCAAGAAGGCGTGCCTGTCTGGGCTGGACTCAAGAATCGACTCGCTACGCTTCTCCTCTCCTCTCTTCACTACATCCATCTTGACCAAAAGCCAAGCGTACTATCAGCAGCCTGGTTCATCGTTGTTTGCCCTCCCTGTAAACAGCCTCTCCTTGTCGAGCTTGGAGGAGCTCATGGGTCTTTGCCTGCAATTCTATACAATTTCGGTTATGTTTCGTGCGATTGAGTCCAGGCGGGATGACAATAAATTTCCGGCACAAGAGCTGAGGGAAATGCCAGACTCGGCTTCTTGAGGCGCGCTCCACACCTGACAACTGAACTGCTTTTGGCAAGGTTGTCCTCTGAGAATCATCATCAATCACTACCTTTCCCCGTCGGACTCAGGATCGCTTTCGACGACGCTCATCCCAGTCGCACCCAGCCACCCTTAATCTCAACGCCGAGCCCTCGAGAGCCAAGGTAGACTTGTACGCTGCGCATCGGTTGCAACCTCCTAGGAACGGATCAACCCCATTCTTGGCTTCCACGCCATCAATCCTGACCACGGACAGATCACTTCAGACGCTCGGCTCGGCAGACGACCGAGAGATCGCATCGGGACAGCAGCGATGCCATTTCACAACCCACTGGCCAAACAGCCAGAGTCCTACGTTAAGAAGAAGGAGTACGAGTTCAAAAAGACGTTAGGCGAAGGCACATTCGGCATTGTCCGTTCAGCATTATGGAAAGCGGCAGACCCACCCATCAACGTCGCAGTCAAGGTGATCAGCAAGCGCATCCTCAAAGGACATGATGAGATCGTTAAGGATGAAATGAACGTTCTCAAGGGCCTTGACCAACCGCATGTGGTCAAGTTCTTGGATTGGTTCGAGAGTAAAGATAAGGTAAGTGCAACTTCTCCACTCCAAAGCCACCTCTTGAACTGAAACTGACACTTCACTTCTTGCAACATTGCGCGTTGTGCCGAGACAGTACTATCTGGTATTCGAAGAAGCAACCGGAGGCGAACTCTTCGAACGCATTCTCTCCCGCGGACGATTCACCGAACTCGATGCTTGCCGAACCATCCGAGCCGTCCTCTCCGCCATCCAATATCTTCACCATCACAACATCGTCCATCGCGACATCAAACCCGAAAACATCCTCTACCGCACTAAAGAAGAAGACGCAAATGTAGTGCTAGTCGACTTTGGTATCGCAGCACATATGAAGAGCGATGACGAACTGCTCACCTCCGTCTGCGGTAGTTTTGGCTATGCCGCACCCGAGATCCTTGCCAAGAAGGGCCACGGCAAAGCAGTAGACATGTGGAGTCTGGGAGTGATCACATACACTATGCTCTGCGGCTATACACCCTTCCGCTCGGACGATCCGGCAGCGCTAGCGGCAGAGACGCAGAGAGGAAAAGTGGAGTTCCATGATCGATATTGGAAGAACGTTAGTAATGAAGCCAGGGACTTTGTCAAGGCGTGTTTGACAGTGGATCCGAAGAAGAGGTTGACGGCGGATCAGGGTATGGCACATCCATGGTTGACCGAGCACAGTGCAGAGACGCAGGGTTCGCACGATATCAGTGCTGGTCTCAGGGAGAACTATAGAAAGAGGTGGAAGTCCGCGATTGCTGCAGTGAGGGCGTCAACCAAGTTCAGAACGTTTGCACAGTTGGCCAGTGAGAGTAGGGAGCAGAGCCAGGCGAATACACCGTCAACGGACAGTGCCTCTTCGGCAAATGCGTTTGCGGCGGATGCGGGGAAGATTTCGCCTCCGACGAAGAGGGAGTTGTATAGCGAGGAGGAGGACGAGGAGGAGGAGAAGCAGGACGAGGAGGAGGATCGAGAGGCGAATGAATGGTTTGATACGGAGGAAGGGAGCTCGAAAGCAGCGACGGGTGAGGAAAAGAAAGAGGAAGGATTTATGCAGAAGCTCGAGGACAAGCTTGATGGCTTGCATCTCAACTTGTCTAGCAAGTAAGCAGCACCAAGGCGTCGGCGTCGGAATGGTCTCTATCTGTCTCGTCTTTTGTTCCACCTTGTACTTCATATAACTGCTCAAATAATGCTCTCGCATTGTCAATCCGTCATCGGCCGTTGTGTAACTAGACTGTCCATCGAGAGACGAAGGGTCTCTGTGTCTCGGTTGTGATACGGATTTGATGTTCGTGATGCTGTGAATTTGATGTGACAAAAGAAATCCAAAATCTGAGTTGAAATTCAGGCATCAAAAAGCGAGTTGAGGAGAAAGCGGTAGAGAGAGTGTCTGTGTCTGTGTCTGTGTCTGTGTCTGTGTGAGTGTCTGTGTGTCTGTGTGTGACACGCACAGCAACGGTAAAGCGCCACACAGTTGCTTATTTGTGTGCTTGGACCACACTCAATCCCACACTTTTTCTTCGTGTAACGCTCGCACGCACACACACCCTGAATGCTACCTCACCAGTTACGCCCTTCTGTTTGTGCTTCTTCCTTCTCACCACGGCGCATATCCTTCCTCCGTTCCTCACATACACCCTCCTGGAATCGACCTCCGTTCGCGAGCGGGATTGGACATCTACATCCAACCCTCATCTTTCGTTGCAGCTTCGGATCTCAGCTCGCTCGAACCGTCGTTTGGCAGCATCGAGGTCGAAACCGTGCTGTTCAACATAGAAGGTCTGAGCACAACCACCCGAGCCGATGCCTCCTTCCACACAAGACGAAAACTACTCTGCTTCTCCTCCTCCGCAACCTTCTTCTGCACGCACGATTGCTGGCGATCGTATACTCACTGACTCTCGTGCAGGCAACATCTCGACCATCAACGGGAAGGCCGCGAGCCAGCCCACCACGGATTCCTTTTCCTCAGCAGACAAGACTCATACACAAACCCCATCAACACTTACCCACAAACGCTCGGTCAAGTCCATCACTAAAGAGTACGAAGTGCGCAAAGACAACACAACCACAACCTTCCTTCGCCCACCTTCTGCTTCGTCTCGCCCTTCTTCGCCCACCTATTCCCCACCTCAGCGTCCTGCTACCGTATCCAGTCTAGACGTTCCATACACGAATCACTCCTCCGCACCTGTTTTGCAGAAGCGCAATTCGTTCTTTCTATCTAGTCAATCCGACCCTAGCACCCTCACGGCTCCTACTCCGCGTGCTAGAAGTCTCAGCAACAGCTCAGGTGCCGCTTTCTCTAGATCACCTTCGATTCGATTAGCTAGTGGCTCGTATCCTTCGACGCTAAGACCACCGGTGGACAAGGCTTCGAACAGCTCTATTCGGTCTCTTCCGCAACTACCCCACGCTTCTGCGATTGATACTGCGGATAAGCTCTTTGTTTCCACCTCGCCAACAGGGTGCGAGAATTCAGCTTCTCCTCGAGTGTCTGTTGACGAAGCTAGCAAGATGAGCGCACCTCAAGATGACACAGCTGCTGCGCACATTGGCAAAGATGCAGGCAACCGCCATCACCACCATCATGAGGCTACTGCGGAGGACAACGCCCAAGACGAGGCCCTGTACGAAGGCATGGACAGCGTCGCCGACCTTTCCAACTCCTCCACCAACAGCGCAGCCTCCGGTCTATCCTCCGCATCAATTGACTTCTCCAAAATGACCGTCGCCGAAAAACGCGAGCATTCCCGCCGACACTCCAACATTCACAGTCGCAACCTTAGCGTCTTCTTCCCTCAACCCGGAACCGAAGCAGAAGCCGAATCCGACGCCATCAAAGCACGAGAGCATTTCGAGCAAGCCTCTACTTCCACCGCCACCTCCACGAGTGACTCGGCTACCAAAGTGCATCGTAGGGGCAACAGCGGCAATCGACCTCAAATCACAGTTAGCACCGATGCGACCACTCTCTCTCCCCGCTCGGCTAGTTTTGCTGCACTCACGGCGAATGAGCATTCCCAGCACATGCTTAACACTCCTGATAATGGTTTACCAGACCTTAGCCCGAGTCCGATGAAGAGTAGAAGAGGGCATCATCATAGACATAGTGTTGCGATGTTGGATTCGGCGTTGAGTCCGATGAATGGACATGGGATGGAAAGGTCTACTTCTTCGACTAGTTATGCTTCGAATCCTTCTTTTGGTGCGGGCCATGGTGAGGGGCATACTCATGGGCACGGGCATGGGCACAGACACACACACCGTCGCTCGCTGCATTCAAGAACAGTCTCTGCACTGGGTCATATTCCGCAAGCCTCGCGACCTTTGCTTTTGTTCGGCATCTCGCATTTTGGATTGGGAGCAGCACTCTGGATGGCAGGGCAAGAAGTCGATTCGCTTTCCGCTACTGGGTTGGGTTACCTCGTTGTATTCGACGCAATGGGTATCCTTAGTAGTGCGATTTCCGATTGGGCCTTAGAATGGGAGCAGCACGCCAGCGATCTGCGTAGGAGAAGTGGCAAAGCGGAAGGTGGGACTCTACGAAGACCTTATGGCATGCACCGAGTATCTACGCTGCTACACTTTGTTCAGACGATCTACCTCCTTTTTGCCAGTGTGTACGTGCTTAAGGAGTCTGTCGAACATGCGTTGCTCGAAGGCGGTAGCGGTGTGGATGCGACAGCTCTAGAAGCGTTGACTGACTCTGCTTCGGGACACGACCGTTCGCATGCCCATGCAGAGCATTCCGTCGGTATCATGATGCCAAACCTTCTCTTGGCGCTGTCTCTGGCTGCTTGTGTGTTTAGCAACATCGTCATGGGCAATCACACACGGCTGGTAGCAGCATGTGGGATTAGTACAGCTGCTTCTGGTGGTGCGCCTGGCGGGCCGAGACATGGACGAAGCGGATCCGTTCTGATGCGACCATCCGAGCTCGCTTCGCCTCTGCTGGCGTTGTTGGCAAACCCGTTCAGTTTGACGGTGTTATTCTTCAGTTCAGCGTTACTGTTTGCGGGATTGACAATGCCTTCGATCCAAGTCGCTGCTCTGGATAAGGTGCTTGCTGGTTTGGAATCTGTTTCGATGTTCTATGTTGCCTATCCCGCCTCAGTTGCACTTGGTAAAGTGCTTTTGCAGACAGCCCCGAGCGACACTTCACCGGACAAAGAACAACTCAAGCGAGCACTTAAGCTTGTCGGACAACATCCTCTTGTCTCTTATGTTCCTCCTCCGAATCTTTGGCAGCTTACCGCACCGACATCAGCGCTTGTACAGGCTGATAGGGCTGGAGCATCAGGCATGCTTTCTGGCGGTGGGGGTGGTGGAAGAGGAGTGCATTTTGGGAGCAAGTCGGCGTCGCTTGTTGCTTCAGTGACAGTGTGGTTGAAGCAAGATGCGAGTGAAGAGGATTGTTTTGAAATGACGAAATGGATTTGGGAGAGGTTGGCACCCAGTGTAGGAGCAGGGAGAGGGTTGTTGGCGGGGGAAATGTTGAGAGGGACACAGAGGGCAGGTGAGTTGACGGTGAGTGTTAGGAGGGAGGGACATGAGGGTGATGGCGATGAGCATTTCGGATGCGATCATGGCCATGGTGATAGTCATGATCATCATGATCACGGTCACGGTCATGGACAGAGTTACGGCCATCATCACCACCATCACTAGATCCAGTGCTACCTATATATACATAGCTTTATCAGCTTATCTCCTACAATGCAAACACGCGGTTCAGCATAGAACTGCTGGACAGTCAAACACAGAGAACATGTACATACTGTACTGTACTGTACAGTAGATGCAGTTGTGACGTCTTGGCTATTGACGCATGGCTACGGCTAAGCATTTCTGACAGTCGGAGTTGACCGAGTGGTCGCGGAGTTGGAGGGAAACATACCTTTTTTGACGAAGCCGAAGAATGAGAGTCGCCGTGTGCTTGCTCAAAAATGGCACGCACGTGCCCAGGGACTTATCGGAGATCCTCATCTGCTTTTTCCTGCTGCCGATACACACGATCAATTTCCCGATTGCCCCGATTTGAGCGTCATGGCGTCTTTTTGGCTTTGGGAAGAACTGAAAATTTGGCGGATCTTCGGATGCACAACAGAGTCACCTGACGCTTTTATTGATCTTCCAAGAGCCTCACTTCTCATTCCCACCACATCCCGTAAGCCACCGTCTACGCCTAGCACAACTATACACTCTCCTTTCATTCGCGTTGCTGCCGTCGCCACACGCGATATCATCTTTGCACGACTCGACCAAACCGCCATCAGCAGCTTCCTAGCATCGATTGTCAGGATGTCGAACCTCCTCAGTGCCGAAAACCTCAACGGTCGATTACTCTTTGCTATCCCCAAGAAGGGTCGACTTTACGAGAAATGTCTCGAAATCCTCTCTGGTGCTGATGTCCAGTTCAAGCGTCAACACCGATTGGACGTTGCTCTCGTCCAGAATCTTCCCATCGCACTTGTTTTCCTTCCAGCTGCCGACATCCCACGTTTCGTAGGGGAGGGTAACTGTGACCTCGGCATCACCGGGCAAGATATGGTTGCGGAAGCAGGAGACAAAGTTTCCTCTCTCGTCACTGAAGAGCTTCAGCTCGGATTCGGAAAGTGTTCGCTGCAGGTCCAGATTCCAGACCCCACCCTACCAGCTAACTCCACCAAAGGGATCAAATCTGTCGAGGATCTCGTAGGCAAGAAGGTCGCAACATCATTCGACTATCTCGCAGGCAAATACTTTACCGAGCTCGATGCAAAAGCATCCTCCGCACAAGGCAAAAAAGTGAAAACACAAATCGAATACGTCGGAGGCTCAGTGGAAGCTGCTTGTGCTCTAGGATTGGCCGATGGAATCGTCGACCTCGTAGAGTCCGGCGAGACAATGCGCGCTTGCGGTCTTTCAGCTATCTCCACCCTACTCACTTCTCAAGCTGTGCTGATCAAGGCGACTACACCTCACCCGAGGAGTGATACAGAGTTGATCAAACTCATCACTGCTAGAATTCGCGGTGTTATTGCTGCCTCCAAACACGTGCTCTGCCAATACAACGTGCACAAGAAGGATCTAGCAAAGGCACTGGAGATCACGCCAGGAAGGAGAGCAGCAACGGTTAGCCCACTGGAAGAAAAAGATTGGAACGCGGTAAGCTCGATGGTGCTGAAAGCGAATGTTGCGACGATTATGGACAGGTTGGAGGAGATTGGAGCTAGTGATATCTTGATTGTTGGTATTAACAACTGCCGAGTCTAACCAGACTGAAGAGGAGTGGGCCTTATTGTGTACGATGCTTTCCAGAACAGTTAATATAGATCCTCGTCACTTGCTTTTATCACTGCCGTCGAAGACTTGTGATGTTGTGTGTGGTCTCAGCTTCTCCGTGCCAAGACGGAGTATGTGTGTGTGTGCGATTTCAGTGGTTCCATACCAAGACGGAACGATTTGTCGTGGAGCTTTGATTGCTCCGTCGCTCGACGAAGCATACTCAATTCTCACAGAAGCAAGCACTATCATGCTCCTAGACAGACTCACTCTCGTTCGGCTGACATTGGTATCTACGGGAATAAGATGTTCCGTCATGCTGTCTACCTCAGAGATGCACACATATGATGTGCTTGCTCACTCCAGCTTATCCCGTCCCAAAATGTTCCCAATCTCTCTCCTAGGCTGCAGCCAACCCAAAAACGTAGGAAACTTCCTTCCTCCATCCGCCGCGTAGTTCGTAAACGCTGTTGAGCTCGATACTTGCGAAGAGATCGACTCTGATCTTGCTCTTGCGCCCGTTGCCCCGCTCTCCTCCTGCGCCCCCTCAATCGGAATTGCAGGTCCACCTCCACCGAGCGGCGGCAAGAGCGGAATGAAACCATCAGCTTCGCTCTTCTCCAACAGATAATTCGCGAAAGTGATCAAGTAGCCATATCGCTGCAGGTAGTTGGTGAAAACGGTTGTCAAGTGCTTATGCTTCTTCGTACCCGGCTCTGCATTGTCTGCGCGGAGCTTGGAGTCGTAGATGGCTTTACGAAGGTTTTGGACCGCTTCCATGCGATCTATCGCTCGATCGGTTAGCTTCTTGGCGAGTTTGCCGTGGGAAAGAACACCAACGAGTTGGAGAATTGTTCGCCATTCACCCTGGAGCCAAAGATCGTCTTCACGATTATCGAGATTGTCTTTGGGTTGACCAAAAGCTTCATCTTCCGCGCTTTGGGAGGTGGCAAGGTTGGGTGCTGCGCCGTCTTCGGATGCGGAAGCTGTCAGGGACGCTAAGACCATTGAGCCGGACATTTCGTAGCCGGCGACTAGCTGGTCGCCGTAGTGCCAGACAGTCGAGACCAGGGAGGCGATGACCATACCTGTGGTCGTTCGTCCTCGACCCATCTGACAATTGAACACGCAAGCTGATCCAGTCTGAAGTGCTGTGATCACTCGCTCCTCCAGCTGAGAGAATACTGCTGGCACAGGCGCTTGTTCGTCAGTAATGGCAAGTCGTGCATAATCGACCTTGTAGCCTTCTCTCTGTACAAGCTCGTAAACTTCACGAGGCGTGAGCACGTCACCTTCCTTAACCGTCTCCCACACTGGAATGATATCAAACTCTCCTTGTCGGATCTCAGTCTCGTCGTGCAAAAGCACACGGCCACCTCGCTGAGCGGCTTCCTTGAGCATGTCGTTTTTGAGCGCCAACTCCATGCTTTCGACTACGTCAGTCGTGACACCAGTAGCCTCGATGTTGGTGACTGGTTGGTCGGCTAATCGCAGCACATGGGGGCGGCCGTTGACGTACAAGACAGGCTCCTCTCGGAGCGATGTCCAGACCACTTTGGCCGGTCCGTTCGGTGCTGCGCCCATACGTGTCAATCCGCGACAGAGACCATCGACGGTAGGCATGCCTGAACCCCATGTCTCTCGACCGTGGCTCACGAGCGGTGTCTTTGGCGTCATTGGCGTAGAAGACTGGTTACCTGCGCTGTTCTGACTTGGTGGCGTAAGCAACAATGGCACGCCACGCAGGTTGGGCATACCATCGATGCGTTCTGGCAGACCAAGCTTGAGAATACCACTGAAAAAGTCCGACTTGAGCATCGTGTACGCCGACAAAATACTTCCACTTCGGTGTGAGACCACCTCCTGCACCTCGTCAGACAGCGCCATACCATCGCTCGCATCCACCTTCTGCAGCGGCATGATGGTCGAAATATCGATCTTGTCAAATTCTTTGGCGATGGTCTCGAAGACAGGTTGACGTGTGACGAAGGAGCGGAAGCTTGGTGCAGCCTCGAGCAAGTCTGGCCGGGTTTGCGTGAGATAAGACTGGAAGACGATGAGGAGGAAGTATCGACGGAGATTGTGAATGGCACTTTGAATGCGCTTTTTGCGGAGAGCTTCGTCTTCGGTGTCTTCGGCTGCAAGACGTGCTTCTTCGATGGCCTCGCGCAGGTTGGTGACGGTGGCACATTGATCGATGCAATCATCGACCATTTTCTTCACCTCAAGACCCTTGGGAATGACACGGAGAAGACTGTTGATGACGTGATAGCTGAGAGGAGCACGCTTCGGTGTTTGAGTTTCATCAGCCGACGGAGAAACGGCAGTGTCATCAAGCAGGTCTGGGTTGATCGTCTCACATGAATAGGGTGTGGCAGTACCGCTGTTCTGATCGGAGCCAGAGAGGCGAAGTCCATCAGAATCGCTCTCTTCAGCAACGCCGCCTTTGGGTGCAGATTCGTCGTCTCTGACTTCCTGAAGCCTCGATTCGGGTAGCTTACTTTGTCCTTGCTTGAGCCATCTTGTGATCATCAGAATAAGCACAGCGGTCATGGTACTTCGACCTCGTCCGAGCTGACAGTTGAGCACAATCGGCTGCCTCTCCACATTCGCCTGCAGCACCGTCGAGAGAAGCTCGCTGATGTCGGAAAAGTCAGGAGGCTTCTCTGCGGTCATTGGAATTCTGCGGAATCGAAGCTGGACCTTGTCTTTGAAGTCGGCACCGATGGATGTCATGATCTCCTGCACTGTATCGACGTCTGACGGATTGGCTTCTTCCCAGATGGGAATGACGGTGCCGTCCGATGCTTCGGTATGCAGCAACAGACGACCCTCGCCGGATTCGAGCTCGTTCACAACATCGTTCTTGAGTCTGTCCTCAAGAAGTAGGAGACGATCCCAGTTGATACCGCTGTACGCCTTGATGTTTCGCAGAGACATGCCCTTTTGGCGAAGACAGTAGGGCTTGCCGTTGATGTATGCAATGGGCTCCTCGCGCAAGTTGATCCAGGTTACTGTACGAGTAGGGTAGCTGGCCGCATCGGTCTTGGACGCATAGTGCTCTTGAAGAGCAGCGACAACGTTTCGGATGCCATCCACTGTGGGCTGACCGGTTGCAAAAATGTTGCTGCCCGGGATACGACGGAAGTTGACGGTACCGCGGATGGGCAAGCCTGCATTCTTCTCGATGAACTTGCGCCAGATGTCGCACTTGAGCAGTGTGAAAGGACGCAAGACAATACCAGCTCGATTGCGAATGACGTAGTCAGCAAACTCGTCGCCGGGTACCTGAGCACCTTGACCTGAAACTTCTCCGAATCGACCTCGTAGTTTCTCCGAGGTAGCAACCAAATCGCCTGCTTTGCCACCGCTAAGAATGCGCAGATCCCCGACGGGATCGAAGAAGTAGAGGCGTCGACCCTTTGAACGGATCAGCTGGATACCCCGCCAGATCTCGGCACGATTCTTGAGCCAGTTGGCGAAGCGGTGCTGGAAGGTGGCTGTCATGCTTGCGTTGACGTAGCTGGCGAATGCGATAAGGAAGAAGTACTTCTCTAGCGATTTTGCTGCTTTTTCGAGGTGCAGAGCGGCCTGCGCCTCATCCAGGGCGTCGGTCGAATAGCGGATTCTTGACGAGAGGATCGTCTCACGAAGGTTGGTGACGTGAGCACAGCAATCGATTGCGACGTCGACAACAGCCTTGTTCTCAAGACCTTCATCGAGAAGACCTGCGAGCTGTCTGATGACACCATAGTCTCCCGAGTTGGCTTTGCGCAGCGATTCAAGCAGTGCTGGGTTGGAAAGCAAGATCTCGATCGTGGTCTGAGAGTCACGCGTTGAGAGACTGACATTAAGAACGCGAATGAGCCTCAGCAATGACAGGTTCTGAGCTTGCTGTTCACTAGCCTGGCGCAGAGAGCGGGCGACACGAGAGTGAGGTGTTCCATTAACGGGTGCTTGCAGGGGCGATTTCTGCTGTTCAGAGATGGGCGCAAATGGATCTTGATAGCCGAGCAGGAGCATCTGCTTCCTACGTAGAATCACGGCAGCGACCATGGCAAAGGTAGTTCGCGTGAAACCAATTCCGCAGTTGGCAACAAGACTGGTCTCGGTAGGGTCGAGATCCTTGATGACCTGTGTGTATGCGTCGAGATAGTTGTTTTCGATGGCTTGATCTTCGGCGATGGGGATGCGGTGGTAGTCGACCCTCCAACCTTCAGACTTGACACGGTCCCATACTTGGCGCACAGTATGAACAGAGGCCTCATCTACGGCGATCCATGTTGGCTCGATCTTTCCTGTTGCAGTCTCTTCGTGTACCATAAGAAGGCCGCCATACTTGGACGACTCACGCAGAATGTCCTGCTTGAGACGCGACTCGATAGCTTCGAGGTTGTCAGCACGAACAGTTAGCTCGAACGTGCTGACAGGACGTTCGGCTTGGCGAAGTACAAAAGGTCTGCCTCCAACATAGACAACTGGTTCTTCCCTAGTGCAGACCCAGACGCACTTGCGCGGCTTCTCTGAGCGATTCGAGGCCTTAGGAGGATTCGATTGAGTCTTTGGATCTTGTGCCTGAATGAGGGAAGGGGAGCTGAAAGGCGAAGATGTCTGTAGTAGCGAAGTGGAAGCTGCGCCACTTGCGCCAACGCTGGAAAGGCGCGAGTCGAAGCTCTGAGAGCCGACTGCATCTTTTGTGGGTCGAGCATTGAGAACGGAGAGGATAGTCTTGAGACCGGTGATGGTAGGCTGTGCGACACCGTACACCTCGAGGGAGCAGTCGGCTTTGCGGAAGTTGGGGGCGCCCTGGAGGTGAAGATCGAGATGGGCATGACGGGCGCCGCCGGCAAAGTGATCAGTTTTGAGGATCAGACCACGCGTCAGGACACTACCCTGTCGATTGCGGACGACACTCTCCTCTCGCTGTGACCAGAGCTGTGCACTCAGCTTGCCGAAACCATCCGAGGCTAACAAGTTGTGCTTGGCACGATTGCGAGCGGCGCATGAGCCTGCTGCGGACCGGGGGAGGTCAGCTTGCGGTTGTGGAGCTGGTTGTTGTGGTTCTGGAAGCGGCGATGCGAGCGCTGGGATATCTTGGATGCCATTAACGTCGTCGATTGAATCGTCGCGAGCTGGCGTCCGGGCGAGGGGAGTGGAGCTCATCGTATTGCAGTCCGTCACGATCCGAAACAGGGACCACGAGGGAACGTCTCTGCAGTCGAGAGGAACCACGAAAATGCGAGAGGGACAGGACTACTGACAGAGATGGTGGATTGGAGAAAGAAGGCAAGACAGTCGACAACGACGAAGCGATCCACAGATCCTCAACAATTGAAACAGCGCAACGAGAGGCTTCCAAGCTGTGACACAAGCGAAAGAGCAACACAAATTACAGCTGAAATCCGAGATCACCATCAAAATCGGGCAAAAAAAAAAAAAAGGGGCAAACAGCCCGATTGCCAAATCCGGAGAAGACCGAAGATACATTCACCATGACGAGCCGATTGCTCATTTTGACCAGAACCTCCACTTGGAGACCCAAAGAAATTCCTCTAAAGTTGTTACCACTACCGTCCTAACATAGCTTTACTAGGCAATTTAAGGAAAAGAAAAATCAAGCCACACACAGCCACAGCCACAGAGTTGAGGAATCTGATTTTCTGCATAGATGATGATAGTCTAACTACAAGCTCGAGTCCAGGCATTTCAAAGTCTTTGTAGCTCGCATGCGCGCGCGGGGCTACGTTGGGAGTTTTATCCCGGCCAGGATCCCTGCTTTGTCACATCTCCCTCAACTGCATCCCTCAGTGGCAAGGCAGGAGACTGCTGGGCCACTGCATCATGCTGGGCCTTTAGGCCCAGTTCCTGTCGTGCGCGCTGTAGTATAGTCTTTCCCACTGGTTTGGTAAAGAGGTCTGCCAAGTTATCTGCAGTGTTAATGTACTTGATCCTGACCTTTCCATCTTGCATGTTGTCTCTGATGAAGTGGTATTTGGTGTCAATGTGCTTTAACTTCCAGTGTTGCGCAGGGTCCTTGCTAACCTGGATGGTGCCAGTGTTGTCTGAAAAGATTGTAGGGATACCAACATCAATTCCGACGGCCTTGAAGAGGTGTTTGAAGAACAGGACCTCTCGTGCGGCTTCTGTCGCAGCTACAAATTCTGCTTCCACCGCCGATAAGGCAGTGCAGCGCTGTAGGGCTGATTTCCATGCTACCAGGTTACCACACACGAACACCACTGAACCAGATGAGCTTTTGCGTTGTGCTGTAGCGTTGCTTGCCCAGTTTGCATCGCTGTGCGCCATCAGAAAGTCTTGTTGCTTGTTGCTGCCATATTGCAAGTGGATATCTCATGTGTGGTCCAAATATTGGAGTACTTTCTGTGCGGCGTTGTAGTGCTCCCTTGATGGTTGTGTCATATAGCATGCAAGGACGCCGACGGCTTGGCTGATGTCTGGACGTGTTCCATTAGACAGCCACAGGAGTTTGCCAACGATCTGTGGGTACTCCTTATGTTCTGCTATGCTTGCTGCTGTTTCTGGGACTGGGATGTCTTGGAGTGGTACGCTAGACTTCCTTCTGCGCTTGTCCAAATGTTCATCCAGAAGCTGCTTAACATAACTGGTTTGCTCGAGGTCCATGGTTTTCGCTTCTCGATCCCTGGTGATTTTAATCCCGAGGAAGTGGGAGACACTGCCACCATCCTCCATCCGCCATCTTTGGCCTATTTCCTCCTTGATACGCCTTACTGTTTCTAGGGTTGGAGCTATAATTAATGTGTCGTCAACATAGATGACCACTATTGCAAAGTTATCCCCTTCTCCTCTGGTGTAGATGCATGGTGTGCAGTCGAGCCTGTGGAAGTTTGAGCATTGCAGGAACTTATCAAACTCCATGTTCCATTCCCGTCCCGACTGTTTAAGGCCATACAGTCCCTTGATGACTCGGTAGGCTTTCCCTTTCGGCACCTTGGCACCTTCTGGTGGTTTCATGTAGATCACATGGTTGAGCGTGGAGTTGAGGTAAGCCATTGTGATGTCAAGCTGATGGACTTCCCAGTTGCGCTCCACTACCAAGGATAACAGGGCTCTTATTGCACTGAGCGGTGCCACAGGCGCAAAGGTTTCTTTGAAGTCGATACCCTCCCGCTGTGTGAAGCCCTGTGCGACGAGTCTCGCTTTGTGCCGGACAGGTATGCCATTGGCATCCAATTTGAGCCGAAGGACTATTTTGGAGTCGACAAGTCTAGTGTTTGGTGGAACGTCCACAATCTCCCATGTTCCCATTGCCTCAAGTCCATCCAGCTCCTTGCATATGGCTTCCTGCCATTGTTGTGCATCATTGCTGGCAAGTGCCTCCTTTAAGGTCAGCGTGAGGTTCAGGGTGGCTGTGTGTGCTTCTCCAATTATCTCTTCAACATCGAGCTCTGACCTGTTGTCATCTGTAGGGTCAGTGGGTGGTGCAGTGTGTATCTTGGGAAGTGGGTCTTCCATGTCGAGTACTTCCACCTCCAATTTGGGCTTGTCGCTATCTGTCTCGGGTCTAGTACCTTCTGCTTCGAGGCTCTCGAAACCGAACTGCAGTGGGCTCTGCACACTGGGGCGATCATGCCAACCTTTGGCTTCATGGAATGTGGCTGAGTTGCTCCACCGTATAGATGGGGTGTGGCTGGGGGTGAAGAATTTCCAGCCCTTGTGCTCGTCATCGTAGCCGACCATGATTCCTGGGATTGCTCTTACGCCATGCTTTCCAGTATGATCCTTCCTGGGGAGGTGGACCCAAGCGAGGCAACCAAAGACATGCAGCTGCTTGGCCAAACCATGTGCCGACTTGCAGTGGAAGTCCTCATATGGAATCCTATTTGCTTCGGTAGAGGGCATCAAGTTCAGTGTGTGCCCTGCAGCCATGATGGCGTAGGGCCACAGCTCCTTTGGTACTGATCTCTGGACAAGCATTGCACACATCTTTTCTTGAAGGGATCTGATCATGCGCTCTGCTCTCCCATTCTGGGCACTGACATATGGTGTGGTTTTCTGCCATTTGAACCCTGCTTCTCGTTTCCATTCTTCTGCTCCAAAGCTGGACCACTCTGTTCCGTTGTCACTGCGGATGCACTTTAGTGTGTGGTCCATTGCTATCTCTGCTGCCTTGATCCATGCCTTTAGAGTGGGGAATGCTTCGGCCTTGCTGAGGAGTGGTTTCACATATACATAGGATGACGAGTCATCTACAACTACCAGTGCATGGTGGTAGTTGGGATGACCTTTCAGGTCCGTCATCAAGTCAATGTGTACCAGCTCCAGGGGTGCCTGGGCTCGCTCTGTTTTGCTACTTGTCATTCTTGCGTGTGTTTGCTTTGCTTGGCTGCAACAGTTGCAGTCCCTTGCATCATGTCCAAGCTGTGTCTCTTTTCCTAAGTAGTGGGCCTGGATTTGCTTGGTCTTGTTCCTGCCAGGATGACCGAATCGTTCATGCCATAGTTTGCTCGTTGTGTGGCTTGCAGGTTTTGCTGGTGTTGTGGTGGCATCAATGCCCTCTAGGGGATCATTGAGCTGTGCTGCTAGGGAGTCACCGTAAACCTCCCATCTCTTCTTGCGCCGGTTGGTCTTGCTCTTGACCATGCTCCCGTCATGCTGGAGGATAGTAGCTCCAGATTCTTCAAATATCACACGTGCACCATTTTCAGTCAATGCTGGGATGGACAATAGGTTCTTGCTAAGGTTGGGAACATGAAGTACATCAGTGAGTGGTATCTTAACGTCTCTTACTCGCAGAGTTGCATCGCCTATTGCCTGTACTCGCAATCGTTCATGTCCAGCAGTATCTACGGATCCTTGCTTCGGCGTCGGGGCAATGAGCTTACCCTCATCACATACCATGTGATGTGTAGCTCCAGAGTCGAGAATCCACGTACTGTCTTGGTTGCGGTTGCCAGTGTTGCTTATGAAGAAGGTGCACCCGAGTCCCTATCCCTGCTGGGTAGGAGTTCGCTCCTGACTGTTGGTGCAGTTGATGGCAATGTGCCCGGGTTGCCTACACTTATAGCACTTGGCCGGTTCGTTAGGGTTTGTGGGGTCGCGCCTGCCCCTATTGTAGCCCTCTTGGTTAAGAATCTGCCTATGCTCGCCAGCTTGGCCTGTTGAACTTCTATTGCTCGCGACTCTGGCCGTGGCTCGGATACGACCTGAGAGCTTGGCTTCTTGGTGCTTCTTAGCTAGTGCATGATAGGCATACTCATAGCTGCAACCAGGTTGAGCAGCTTTGAGGGAGTCTACTGTCTGGGTGTAGAGCCAGTCGTCCTTGACGCAGCGGTACAGGGTAGACTTCTTGAGCTTTTTGTCCATGCGGCTGCCGAGCCTGGCTGCGTCATTCCAGATTTGATCGAGCTCCTTACCAAGGTTGACAATGTTGCGCTGGGCTAGCTTGACTTCATGTACCCAGTCGTGAATGGCGGAGAGTTTAACTTCGTCGTTTATTGTGAGAGCAGCTTTGAGCTTCTTGTAGAGTGTAGAGCCAAGCTGCTCCTCCTCACCTTGCTCCTGCACTGTGTAGGTGTTGATACGGCTGGTGGGTCCGTGGTCACAGGAGGACAAGATGAGACCCAGCAAGTGGCTGTCCAGTTCCTCATCATAGTCGGTATGGCCACTGGAAATCTCCTCAGTGAGGATCCGCTTGGCATTCTTGATTGGGCGGATACAGTCCATGAACATCAGCTCCCAGATGGCCCAGTTGTTCTTGTTGAGCTTGACGATTTGCGAGATGATGCTGAGCACCGACTTAGGGATCTTCTCCGCTTGGTTGGTGTTGGGTTGGAGGTTCATTAGCGAGAAGGCGCGCTCCAAGACTTGGTCTTCATCCCAGTTGGTGTGAGTTTCCCTGATCATCTGCATGGTGCATTCAAGTAGCGCTATGCTATCTACTCTTGGTGGCATCCTGGTGGCAAGGCGCTAGAAGCTGCTGAGCTTCAGACTCTTAATCAGTTGAGGAATCTGATTTTCTGCGTAGATGATGATAGTCTAACTACAAGCTCGAGTCCGGGCGTTTCAAAGTCTTTGTAGCTCGTGTGCGCGTGCAGGGCTACGTTGGGAGTTTTATCCCGGCCGGGATCCCTGCTTCGTCGCATCTCCCTCAACTCACAGCCACAGCCACAGCCACAGCCACAGTCACAGTCACAAATCGACGAATCACACGCAACATGCTCTCGTCATCTGTCATCCCAACGGCCTTCGAGTACGCTAGCATCCCTTTGGCTCCACAACCGTCACCACCGTATCCACGACACAGCAATCCGGCCATCCGCTCAAGCCTTGCATCTCAACATCGACGTACCACAGCCTCTGGTCTACTCTCGTCACTGCAAAGGCGACCAAGGTTACTTTGAAACCAACGATATTCGACAAGCATTCAGCATCGCTGTCATCGAACCTACCCTTCACCATCGAGTACAGAAGTCTGCTTGATACGAAAGCCGAAGCCAACGCAACACACTTTACTAAAGCGCACATCCGTATCTCTCTGATTGCGTTTTCATGACGACTTCGACCTAGGTGTGCTCTCGAACCCGAACCCGAACTAGAGCTGGACGTCGGTTGATACTTTCAGCACCCAAGGTTTCAGCAGTCCTAGTGGTTGCAGACTGTCACCATGGGGCATGCGCAGTCTCGTCTACAGCGCGATTCCCAGCAGAGGCGCGCTCGTCGCAACCCGGGTACGTCCGGCCAGTCGAGATCTTCCTCGCCGGCAGCCTCGTCTACAAACGCAGAGAACAGGGGCGTAGCTGATGCTCATCCTCATGGGGGAAGCCGCAAGCGACGTCGGTGTTCTGCCTCTCCTGATCCTCAGACCGCTTTGACACATCAAGATCCGCCTCTGACTCAACGACGCAGAACGACTCAGGCCTCCAGCAGCAGCGTCACCAGCGATGCCATCACAGTTGCCCAATCAACAGCGGCAGCAAGTGATGCGATGCAGGTGGATGAGGTACCCTCCTCGAGTGCAACCTCAACTTCTCTGCAACCAACAGCCGGTCCACAAGCCACAGCAAACAACGCAACAGCAGCACCATCGTCTCAGTCCGATTTTCAGCAGAGATTCAATGCCATTCAGTCAGGCAACGCCTCGCCCTCCGAAGGCGACAGTGGCGCCACGCCTCCTCCGTACCTTGATGCATTACGCCAAGAGCGAGAGCGTGCTCGTCGACAAATCCTCGAGGCCTTAGGCGCTGCAGCACCCGCAGTTGCCGCCGCATCTGCACCATCGACGACAGATCAATTAACCACAGCGCCAGCCCCGCTTCCATCAACTACCCCGAACACAGCAGCTCTGCCCTCGCAAACGATGGCCTCTGCGACCATCGCTGCCTTGCTTGGAGCTATGGCGACTGGCCATGCACCACCGGGCATCCCAGCCATCCCTAGTCAGACAGATTCGGCGACAACATCCCAGTCGACGGCTGAAGCTGCGGCCGCTCCTGCTACCGGAACGACGTCTGCCTCTGGCTCCCAGGCTCAGCAACAGCAGGATCCTTCTGGCCCTAGATCACAAGCCATCCGTATTCCTTTGCAGCCGGAAATGATCAACGGTACTTCCATGGTGGTCCAAGGTGCACTCGTCGCTCGAACTATTCCCAACCGCGCTGCTTCTGTCACAGACGATTCTGCACCAACTTCAGCTACCAGACAGGAGGCGGATCAGCAAGCGGGTTCGAGTGCAGCAACCGCAGTCCCACCTGCATTCGGCGAGTCGCAAAGCTCAGCCGGTAGCTCTGCAAGACGACCCGATGCAGCCGGATTGACACCGGATGGCGAAGATACGCGAGGTGCTGTGACGCTGGAGGAGCAGGCAGTCATGCTCAGCCGCATTTTGGGCATTGCAGCTGCAGCTACTGCTGCCTCGTTGCTCAACACGTCCGAGTCTCACCATGTGGATCCCTCTTTACTTCAAACCAGTCTTCGTCGTCCTTTCGAACGACGCATGAATCAGACTTCAACCGACCGCAACGAGCGATGGCTCGGTGATTGGCAGCGTTCGCGTCCCAGCACCGAAAGAGCTGCTTCCTCCGGCTCAGGCGATGACACAAGTGGACTGCAGCAGAGCGGCGCGGGTACTGTCGCAGGTCTCGGCAACGGCCTTCGTCGCCGGTTGTCGGCTCTGTCACGTCGAGTCAGTAGTTCCACCCTCAGCTCCGTTCCGCCGAACCAAGACGCTCCAACGTCTCCCTCGGGCACTACCGCTGCTTCTGCCACTGACACCGACGCTGCCAACACAGTGATCTCAAGGCAGCAAGAGATCATTGCTCATCTTCTCAGTGCAGCAGAACGCCAAGCCGCTTCGCAACGTCGAGGCCGGGTTGATTCTGCTCAGGAGCCATCGACCAGAGCAACTTGGTCAGAAGCCGTTCGATCGCGCTCTTCGAGTCTCAGCTCGTCGCAACCACAGACCACGTCTTGGCAAGAGAATTCGCCTCGAAGCAGCCTCTCTCGGCTTGTTCGATCGACCATCGGCACATTCATGCACCCAGGCCGCCTTCTGCCCGGTCGCTCCCGTTCGGACGGTCCGTCGCCGGCGAGTTCCGAAAGCACTCGAGATGGTTGGACAACTGCGGGCCGAGCTTCTGGCTCCACTGCCGCACCGTCATCAGAGTTTCCGCTTGGTAGCAATGATGTTGCGGGCACGCTGCGTCAGGTTCGAAATGGCGTTCTACCCGACGGCGTGCCGGGCAGTTTCGGCAGCTTTCTCAACCATCTGGTGCGCGATCTGATGGCTGCTGTACAGCTGATGCGGCCCTCGAGCGAAGTTCCATTGGAGCGATCTGAGGCTCAGACAACCAACTACTTTGAACACGCTACGCACCGTGACACAACCTCTGGAGCCGAGGTTTTGGACGGAGAAGGCGGTGAGGCCACTGCTACGGCCAGCTCGACTACGACCGCAGGAACCTCGCATGCACAGGCTCAGCAAGGCTACACTTCAAATTCGGGCCCCAACGAGACACGCGACTCTTCGCAGACCAACACTGAGCGAGTAGACGGCGAGACACAGGCTAGGCGTGAACGAGACTTTCAGAATGGCAATCTCTCTTTCTTCCGTCTCTTCCGATTTGATCCTGTTGCTCCATCGCAGCTGGTCCCATGCATTGTCGTCGGTGTACGCAGTCTCAACGTCACTGAGCGTTTCGGCGAGGAGATGCTTGGCGCAAGAGCTGCAGGTCCCGGACGGGAGTTCAATGGTTCGCGTCAACAGACTTGGCAACCCACCACACTAGGTTCTGATCGACCGACAACCTCAACGTTCCGTCAGCGAGCTCAATCAGAGGGCGCCCAAGCTGCTCCCACCACTGCAGCTTCCGCTTCAGCACCTTCGGCACCTTCGGATGGAGAAGCAGCAGATACAAATGGCCAAGAGCTGCCTGCATCGCGTTTCATGCTTTTCGTCTCTGGCGGCCGCTACCCACCCAATCACCCTCTGCTGACCTCGAACCCAGCCACAGCAGGTCGTGATTTGATGATACTAATGGACCTGCTGAGCACCATGCAGGCAATGCAGCACAAGCCCAGCACGGTGACACAACAAGAGATTGACGCAAGCGAGCTTCGCAAGATCAAAGGCTCCGAGGTGGCTGCTTTGGTTCGATCCGGTGACATTACCGAAAACATGGCAGAGCGCTGCTTGGTCTGTCTGGAAGACTGGAAGGATGACGACGAATGCCGCATCATGGCTTGCAAGCATGCTTTCCACACTCTCTGCGTCGACAAATGGATGTCAAAGTCTTCCAACACTTGTCCCATGTGTCGTCGCCAGGGTGTTGCCAAAGACGGTCGACATGCCGATCAAGAGACGGCCGATTCGCAGCGAGCAGCACAGGCCTGATCAACGTCCACCTCAGCCACATCATTCTGCAATGTTTCAACACCATCATCGTTCCATAGCACACCTCGATGTTGCTCTGATTTTCACATGCGGCTTGGCATTACATCCGCATCCCTTGGTATCATCCATGTACTTCTATGCATCCTTTGCATAATTCTTCAACATCAATTCGCCATCTTAGCTGTTGTTCAAGCTTATGCTGTCCGTGACTTGGATCGTGTTTTGAAACGTTCATGACAAGATTGGAAAGAGTTCTAGTGTACAAGGTCATGGAATTGAGATGATCTGTGAGAGTAATCTTCAAGAGCCTTGCGAGGTGTTCGACTGGTTCCACTCGTCCGCAACAGCGATTCTCAATGCTCCAAGATCCGATTGACGCTCTCCTTGATTCTGTGTGGCTCGATTCTTAGCATCCTCGATGATTTGTGATGTTGATCGGCTGCCATCCTTTGCCTCTGTTGCTGTAGGAGCCATTTGTGATGCTGAAGGGATGTGGAAGATTGATCGTTGGGTTGCCGCTGGGCCGCGGTAAAGCTCAGCAGGAGCAGGCTGGTTGGCTAGTCGGCGTCGAACGAGCTCCGGAAGCGAACGACCTTCTGGGCGCTCATGTGCGTTGCGTCCGTCGTTCTCCCAGAGGAAGTAGGCCATCACCCCTGTGGCGAGACCGAGGATTGGGTCGAATAGCCTGATAGATTGAGGAGAAAGAAAACGTCAGTATCCGAGCACGTTGGTATTGCAAGGAGTGGGGGCACCTTCATGAAGACGCACCTTCCTACGAGGTATGCTGGCATTGTGAATGTGTCTGTGCAGAACGGGGTCTGCTCGCTAAACAAAGCCGTTGTCAACGGTGTTGAGAAGGTCGAAACATGTCGGACAAGAATCGTGATGGATTGTGAGTGTGGAGGATCGATGGATCGGGAGCAAAACTTTCTTGCAATCGCGATTGTTGTTGCTTCCGGTTCAAAGGAGGCTTGCAAGGCTAGGTCGTGAATACACTTCTTGGCAAGCTCGGAAAGCTCTACTTGGAGAGAAGTACAAATTTGGAGGAAAATCAATTCCCAAGCCTGAAACTGACTCGGCCGTGTCTGCGAGCTGAGGTGTTCTTGCAGCCTGGAGCCTTGGCTCGAGACACACAAGCAGACAAGCACAGACCATTCGAGCAAGGCTGTGCCGCCATTGCTGTTCGACCCTGAGATCGGCACTTGCTCTCCCAACGCTGACATCCTTCCTTTGTTCCCCATCACACGCATTTACCTTTCCCATCCATTCTTCCGTCCTTCTTTCCTCACCCTCTCCGTTCTAACACGGAGATTAGCACTTCCCACCGTCCCTTCCGAATTTGATCGTACCCTTTCACCTCTTCTCAAAAGACGAGCATCAAGGCCGTTTTTCACTTGGTCAACACGATCTTTCTCCACACATAGCGATCGGTCCCGAACGCTGCACTCTTCCCTTCCGCCCATCATGTATAACAACATGCAGGGCCAAGGCTGGGGCCGTCCACAGCAGCAGCCGATGCAGCCCCAAATGACCGGTTACCCACAACAGCCGCAGCAGCAAGGCAGTGGCTTCCTTCAGCCGCAGCAGACCGGCTATCCTGGCATCTCGCAGTTCCAGCGTCCCATGCAGACCGATTTCGGCTACCAACAGCAACAGCAACAGCACCAACAACCACAAGGCCTCGCTCCTCAACAAACGGGTATGATGGCCGGCATGGCGATGCAATCCATCCGACCTCAAGGCAATTCCAATTTCCTCTCTCCCGGTCCCACGGGCATGGGCATGGGCATGGGCATGGGCATGGGCATGGCCGGTGGTCTTCAGCCTCAGCAAACAGGATACATGGGCGGTCTTCAACCTCAGCAGACCGGCTACATGGGTGGAATGGGCGGTGGAATGGGCGGTGGAATGGGCGGCGGAATGGGCGACGGAATGGGCGCTGGAGGACTTCAGATGCAGCAGACTGGTCTCATGCCTCAGATGACCGGTATGCTCATCCGTGATCCTCGGATGCAGCTCATGAGCGCACAATTCTTGCCTGCCTCTCAGCCTTTCTCTGGTGCACCCATGGCCAGCAACATGAACTTCAGTCAAGCCAGCATGCAGCCTTCCAACTTCCAGTCGCAAATCCAAAACCTCAGTCAGCAGCAGCAGGGCTTGAAAGAGCCAAAGATCCCTTGGGCTCTTAGCAAGGAAGAGCGCAAGAGCTACGATTCTATCTTCCGTGCTTGGGATGCTCAAGGTACTGGCTTCATCAGCGGTGATGTTGCACGAGAGGTTTTCGGCCAGAGTGGTCTCGAGACTGAGAAGCTCATGCAGATCTGGCATCTGGCCGACACAAGCAACCGTGGTAAGCTCAACGTCAACGAGTTCCACGTAGCCATGGGTCTCATCTACCGAGCCCTCAACGGTAATGAGGTGCCAGAGACCTTGCCTTCCGAGCTCATCCCCCCTTCGGCCAAGGACCTCAACGACTCGGTCGACTTCCTCAAGGACCTTCTGAAGAAAGACACCAATGTGCGACACAGCACCGGCCTCAACATCCCCGAGGCTGGTTCCAACAGCGGCGCCTCCTACGCCAAGACACGCTCCTTCCATGAGAACCCTGTCGCTCCCAAAAAGGATGCCACCGCCTACAAGCACGATGATGCCGACGTCCCCGGCTACAAGAGCAGCAGTCGTCACCTTGACCGCAAGACTGTCCGCTATGAGGGTCAGAGCGCCACTGACGACCTCAGCGAGATGAAGCGTCAGCTCGAGAACACACAGAAGATGCTCGACAAGCAAGGCGCCGACGATGATGAGGATCGCGAACTCGAACGCGAGATGGACGACCTTCGTTACCGCATCCGACGCATTCAGGACGACATTGAGTACTACAACCGACGTGGCGGTCGAGACTCGGCAGACCTCCGTCGCAAAGCCGAACGTGAACTCATGCATCTCATGCATGAGCGCCTCCCCCAGCTGGAAAAGCGTATTGAGGCTAAGGAGAGCCGACAGCGCGATCGCAAGCTCGGCGAAAGCCGCGAGCGTGACCGTCGCAACGATCCTTACAGCCAATACTCCTCGGGGTCAGACGACCGTGACCACCTTCGTGGTGACCATCGGGGCAGCAGTCGTTCGGCTTCGGCTCTTGGCGATGGCGAGTACCTCCGTAGCACCTTTGAGCGCGACAGCGACAGGCGCAACAATGACCGATACGATGATCGTGATAGCTACCGTCGTCGAGACGATGACAGAGATCGCGATAGTGGTCGATCAGCTCCTTCGTCTTCGTCTGCACCCCCTCCCCCTCCACCAGCCGAGCCAGTCAAATCTGCTGCTCCCTCTCCCGCACCTTCGACTCCCGCTCCCAGCTCAGGTCCTCCCAAGAACATGACCCCGGAGGAGCGTGCTGCTTGGATCCGCTCCGAGGCTCAGCGACGTGTTCAGGAGCGTATGCGCATGCTGGGTGCCGTCGCTCCTGCCGGGCCCACTCCCGTGGACACCAGTGTCGAGGACAGACTCAAAGATGAGCAGGCTGAAGCTGCTGCCAAGAGCGCTCAGGCTGACCAGGAAGCCGCTGAACGCGAAGAAGCCCGAAAAGCCCGCCTCGAAGAGCAACGCCTTCAGACAGAGAAGACCAGCTTGGCCACCGTCAAGAAAGAGATCAAGGAGGCCGAAAAGGGCGACAACCCTCCTCCCGCTCCTATCGTCCAAGCTGCCAAGGAGCAGATCAATGACCAGGAAGACATGATCCGACGACGCGAGGAAGTGCTCGCCAAGGAGAAGGCTGAACGTGAGGCTCGACTCAAGAAGCTCGAAGAGCAAGAGGAAGAAGCTCGAAGACAGGAGGAAGCTTTCAAGGAGCGCCAGAACATGTTCAGCAGCGGAGCAAAGTCTTCATCGTCGGCGCTTCCTCATCCTTCTCGCAAGTTTGGAAAGTCGGCTGCCCCGCCCCCGCCCCCTCCTTCCCGATCGCGCGGTGCTCCTACTTCTGCCCCCGCACCTGCACCTCCCACCTCGCTCGCTCCTCCTACTCTCGAAGCACCATCTGCTCCGCCTCGGCCAAGCCCAAGCGGAGGATCCAGCACAAACCCCTTCCACCGCATGCAACAAGGTGCCGGAGGTGCTGCTGCCGCCAGTCCATCTTCAACGGCACCACCCGCTCCTGCCGCTTCGACACCGGGCGGAGGCACCAACCCCTTCTTCCGATCGCAGCAAGGGCAGCAGTCATCTGCCGACCCGAACCTTCCTCCCGCTACTCGTGCCACGCCACCGGTCTCGGCTCAGCCTACCGGTGCTACCCCTACTTCCACTTCGCGCACCATCCACACAGCACCCAAGCACGATGACGACGACTGGGAAGAATCCGACAAGGAGGAGGACGATGATGACGCTGACGGTCCTGGCTCCAGCACTCGTGCCACTCGCCAGAACCTCGCTCAGGCCTTGTTTAGCAACTTGATCCCTAGCAGTGGTCGATCGACTCCGCCAGCCTCCGCTTCTGCTGCTCCTCCTGCGCCTCCCGCTGCTCCCGCTGCACCTCCTGCTCCTGCCGCCCCTGCCGCTCCCGTTGCTCCTGTCATCAAGCCCGCATCCGGACCTGTTGACCGTGGCGCTTTGCTTGGCCAAATTCAAGGCGGCCTCAGTCTCAAGAAGGCTCAGACTGTTGACCGCTCCAAGCCTCTTGTCACCGGAAGCGTAATCGGCGATGCAACTCCACCCGTGCAGTCATACGTTCCGCCTCCTAGTCCACCTGCGGCTCCGGAACCATCATCTGCCGTCGCCGAGCGCTCTACCGACGTTGGTGCTGATGGCTCTGTACCTCCCCCTCCTCCGCCAGCACCTCCTGCACCCCCCATGCCCGGATCCTTTGACGCTGGTGCTGATGCCGGTGACTTTGCAGCCGGCAACCCGAATCGACAGAGCGTTGACTGGGCCAACAGCCTCGCCAACGACCAGGCTAACACCAAGGCAGCCTTTGTTCCCGATGAGCCCTCGGTCCGTGAGGAAGCGGAGGAGGACAGCCCGGATGAGGACGAAGGACCTGAAGATCTCGACCCAGCTCGCAAGCCTGCTAACGGTCACGCTACCTCGAGCCAGGATGAGGTCGAGGGCTTTGACCTCTCGCACACTGTGCGTGTCCGCACCTTGTACGGCTACTCTGGACAGCGAGATGAGGATCTCACCTTTGAGGAGAACGACATTTTGTCGGTACACCCGCCCAAGGATACCAGCAGCGACTGGTGGTACGGTTCGCTGGCAAGCGGCAGCAAGAAGGGATTTTTTCCTCGCTCATACGTTGAGCCGATCGAAATGCGTAAGTGCAATTTACGAGACACGCTCTGAAAACGTCTCATACTGACTCTTAATCCTCTTTCCTTGTCTCACAATCAACAGATGCCAAGGCAAAGGCCCTCTACGACTACTCGGGAGCTTCTGCAGAAGAGGCTACCTTCTCTGAAGGTGACGAGCTCCTTGTCATCGACCAGGAGGACGCTAACTGGTGGCGGGTCGACGTTGGCGGTCCCAAAATCCTTGTTGCCCCCGCCACATACCTGGAGCTTTCTGGTTAGTAATGTCTCCTTTCGAATCATCTCCTCCGACTCGCCTCCTGCATCTGCCCTTTCTTCGTCTCCCATCCCGTCTATCTCTGTATCTCCATCCTACCCTGTCACACAAGCACTCGCAGATGTGTCCCAGGGTCAATATGAATAGAATTCCATACCGTGACGCATTCGCCTCGTGCCTTTGGCCTCGTATGCGTACAAGGCCGGTAGGCCGAGAGGGAGGGCGGCTAGGTTGGGGGTTCCATGTGATCCTGGGCCCCTGCCTTGCCTGACCCTCGTCCTCTCCCTGAGAGAGATTGGGTTCTTGTGCTTGTGCAGGTGGATGAAGCATCCGCGTTGAGAGCAGTGTTCGCAGAAGGAGACGATTTGGTCCGCTTCGAGGCGAGCAGATGAGAAGGCGGTGGAACTCGAAGATCATAATACTGAGACTCTATCTTGTGTTCCTTTCGTCGTTTCCAACTGCGTAAGCAGAGATTCCAGAGACCGATGTAGGCAAGACGGTATCGCGAACACCTCCAGCCCGAACGTCACTTCACCCGAACGATGACAGCGATGGTGGATCCGGCGTTCTAGTTCATGCCCACTCGCAAGACTCTGCCCACGAAAGCAGAACAGCACTGTCCCGCGCTGACACGCAACCGAAAAGCGCTGATTGGGTCATCGTCGACGAAGAGAGTCGAAGTCTCAGCTCGTCCACTGTCAATGTTCAGCCACCTACATCAAGAACGGCCGACGCTGACGCCGACGAAGAAGCCCAGCTTGCCACTGCACTGGAAGCATCGCAGAAGGAACAGCGCGATAGAGAGGTAGACCGTTTGCGCGAGGACCGACAGATGCAAAAGGCGATCGAAGTGTCCAAGATGGAAGCTGTAGCCTATGCGCTTGGCTCTATTGACGCAGGAGCAAGTGGTCAAGCGGCTCAAGATGATTTTGCAGGTGCAGACAGCTCTGAGGACACTGACTCGACGACTGGCTGGACTTCGAGCGATGACGATGACGATGACGATGACGATGACGATGACGATGACGGCGGCGCAGTCGCAGTAGGAGCAGACGAGGACGTAACTCCGCACACAGACGAGGAGATCCGTCAGCATACTATCGAGCGACTGCGTGTGCTCGAAGCTGCCGGCGTGTTGGTATCGGCAGAGTCAAAAGTGAATGAGGGGGAGACCCGTGCTATCGGAAGTGCTGATACTGGCAAATCGTCAACACCTTCACGACGTCCACCTCCACCACCGGGCCAAAAGAGACATAAGAATATCGATGAGCTCATGATGCTCTCTCGTCCACGCACCGCCAAGCGACCATCGAAGCCAGAGGAACCGCAGCGTCGTAAGCCGCCTCATCGACCTCGCAAACGTCCAAGTCGAGACCTGCCAACTGTTCCAATCGATGCTGGACGAGACCCAGCTCAGTCGGCCACCGGCTCCACTGCTCAAGCTGACATCGCTCCCGAAGACCGCATGGAGGACGCCTACGATCGTTATCTCAAGCTTACAAAGGAAGTCTCGCTGCAGCCAATCTTGCCTGCTACGGCTGCAGGAGCTGCAGCGAAGAACGCCGCTGTTCCACCCAAGGCTCCACCTCCTGTTGTCCCTAGCTCGCCTGCAAGGCCCAGCTCGGCAGCTGGCGAGTCGTCACGCACATCCGGCTTCCTTTCGACAATCAAGAACATGTCCCATCGCAGTGCTTGGAGTGGCGCCGCACCTCAGCGTCAGGACTCTGGCATTGGAAGCAGAATTGTCAGTGGTCCCATTGCTATAGGCACCGCTAGCCCGTCTAGCGGCTTACTGCAGCCTGCTTCAATCAGCGAGCCACAACGTTTCGGTGGAGAGTCGACAGAACCGTCAGAAGCAGCACGAGCTGGCGCCCCTTCCTGGTCCAGCCTTGTTGGTCCTGAGCTGCTTTCAGGCTTGTCAGACATGGAGCGGAAGAGGCAAGAGGCCATCTTCGAGCTTATCTCCACTGAGACAGCTCATGTGCGCGATCTGCAAATCATCGTTGAAGTCTTCTTCAACTCGATGCAGAGCATGCTCTCAGAGAAGGCGAGCACCGTCATCTTCGCCAACATCGAGAGCGTTCTTTTCACCGCCGTGACGTACCTCTCAGATCTGGAGGCGAGGCAGAAGGAGGACCGCCTCTTTGTCACCACCATTGGTGACATTTTGAAGCGCCACATGCCAGCAATGAGCGTCTATTTGCCTTACTGCGTCAACCAGCAGAACGCAAGTGAGATCCTCGAGGCTGAGCGGAAGCGAGACACCCGCGTGGACATCCACTTGATGAACCTCCGTAGTAACCATCCTGCTGCTCGAGGCCTGGACCTCAGCCACTTCCTCCTCACGCCCATGCAGAGGCTCACGCGATACCCCCTGCTGCTTAGTCAGATTCTCCGCTACACACCGGAAGATCAGGCGGACTACACCCAGATCAAAGCAGCAAAGGAGACATCCGAAAGCATCCTTGCCAAGACCAACGAAGCTATCCGCGATAACGAGGATGCAACAGCTCTCTCCAAGCTCTCCGAGAACCTCTGGCTTGGCGAAGAAGCAAGACTTGATCTCACCAAGCCGTTCACTGATCCTTCACAGCCCAACGTGAAGCGTCATCGAAGGGTCCTCCGTGATGAGATGGTATCCAAGTGCAAGTCGGGTCGCAAACTTCGACTGGTACTCACCACAGACTTGCTCCTGGTGCTTCATGCTCAGGATAGCAGTCTCTACCGAATGCCAATTCCAGTCAATGTGGTAAAAGCTCAAGGAGCAAAGAAGAGCTCAAAGCATGCTGATGCGTTCAACGTCATCCATTCGATGCCTTCTGTTGCGGACGACACGCTCAAGCTCAGAGCGGTCAATCCTAGGAGCGCGCAAGCTTGGATCAGGAGTATTAACGGTGCTCGCGCTGAAGCACCGAGTGCAAAGGTCTGAGATTGGATTACGTATTGTCGAGGAAATGGACATTTCGTTGCAAGTGTTCGAGTTCGAGTGTGTGCCGAATGTGTGTGTTTGCGGTGTTGCGACTGAGGATGTGAGACGGAGGGTGGACAAATAGTTGACAGTAGCACAGAGCGTCCGTGGAATCGATGGTACGCAAATCGAGGTCCGTTGTGAGATGGAACACCAAGCAATCTATGCGATCTGCGATACAATTGAGTCCGAGCAAACTCAAGCGGAACCAAGGAGGGTAGACACACATAACAAAAGCACCTCACAAATCGCGTTGGACGAGAAGCAGAGCGGCAACAACTGACAGAAGCAGGTCACCAGGCTCGTCGTGTCACGCAGCATTGTTGAGCCGGACATTGTGAAAGCTTTTCGTCCACACGGTCGCCAACAGCATTCTGTGCTATGGAAGACCTCGATCCATGAGCTGGAAGTGAACAGGACTTCTCCAGTGAATCTGTCTCGCAACGGGAAGTCTTTGTGGCTCGTGATATGGCGTCCATTCGGTGCTGAAAGCCATCTGTTCGTTCTTCAAAACAGCTCTCAAGTGTGGAAAGCGCGTTTTGGATGTTGGCAAAGATGATAATGCTCGCCTTCTCCGAGAGCATGCTCTGCGTCGAGCTGAAGAAGACTTCAACAATGATCTGCAAGTCTCGTACGTGAGCTGTCTCGGTGGAGATGAGCTCGAAGGTTGCCTGTTGCTTAATTGTTCTTCGCTCAAATGTTGTGGTCCACAGCTTGAAGCAGGCTGCAATTGAGCTGCCAGAGGTGTTGCTGTTAGTTATAGCAATGGAAACACTGACGATCTTGCTCCCAATGCCAGACCCCTGGATCTGGGCCGTAGCGCCGCTGCAACCACGGCAACCGGACATGTCCTTGATGGTGGAAAGGAAGACAGAAATGAGCAAGTGAGCTGTGCCTTTAAACGTTGGCAATGGAAGTAGAGCGACATCGGCGCAGACTGGCTTCGTTGTGTTCGCTGCTATCAAGGTCGTAAATCAGACGCTGTCGGATGTGTTCAATCAGCGTCACAGGCTTAGATCTGACCCCTTCACGATGCTATTGCTCCAGCCAAAACAGCTGCCACTTGAGCAACACAGGAGCACAGACTCGAATACATTGATTGCCCTATCCCCGTCAATTGTGGCGATGGGAATGCTGAAAATAACAATCCAGCGGAGAACAAAAGCGACGAAGAATCGGGCCGGATTGATCTAGAGTATGATCGGGAAAGGAGATCTGATCATGAATCAAATGGGGCTGATACGACGAGAGATCGGATACAACACAGTCCCACTTGTTGTCAGGCTAGGTCATGAAACAGCATACTCCCACAATAGGTATCAGCCTCATGAATGTATATATATCTCACAGAGAGCACTAGGCTCTCACCACATTCCCTTAGTCAATTGAGTATATTTGTTTCTGTCTATAACTAGCAGTGACATTGTACTTAGACTCTCCCTGATTGCCAGTATCAGGACCTAAATGATGTTTATATTCAACAGGTTATGAGCCCAAACTGATAGCCTCCTTCACACTATCAGCAACACCAACAAGAAGTATCTCTATCAATATGTCTAATCCAATCTACTCAGACTATGATGACTTTGTCGAAATGATCCAGGATCTCCTACCATGTCTGCCAAAGATCCTCCAAAACAGGTTCAATTGAGAGATAGTGAATGAAACCTATGGTACCCCTACTGCCCCAAAAATCTCACCTCTATCCATTCTAATTGAGTGTGTTAGTAGCCTTTACAAGGCTATGCACAACCTCAGTCCATTTGCTAGCCGAATTGAACTTGGTAAAGGGATGCAAGCTAGAGTGGTCCTCTTCCTTGCCAATGAGGAGTGGGATGCAAACTGCATACTTGACCTCAAGATCAAGGGTCTGGTCAAAGCCACCCAGAATATTGAATGACACTACCACCCCATTAAGAGTGAAGCGCCAATGTCAGCTAGAGGCAACACTCCCGCTCTAGACCTAAATGTCACCAGCCGTCGTCTCGTTGGGTATTGTCAGGGGTCTCGCGCCTGAAACCCAGGTCGGTCTGTCGAGATACTCGGTGACTATCAAACTGTGCGACAGCTATTGTCTTGGTATCAGTCTCGACGAGCTAGTTGTTCAGTGACTATCAAGTTGTGTGATGACAGTGGGTGGCATTCGTTGTATATACTATCGTAGGTTTCAGCTGACCTCTGTGGGCACTCCATTCAGGGGTAGCTCAGCATGATCAATATCACTGTGTAGGTTATGATGACACCAAGGTCTGGTATGGGTGTTGATGATGATGAGGTTGATGGTGTTGGTGATAAGGTTGGTGGCATCAACACGAGTGTCCAGTGTGTTGACTTGATGCTTGAAGTGATCCCCAGACCACAGTGGACTACTGCCTTCAGTTCTATCTTGATCCAGACTGCTAACCTGCTATGGGCACCTTCAGATGTCAGGTAGTGGTGATACAACACACACACTATGATGAGGAGCAACCTTGATAGATTGCTGCTATGCTGACTGAAACTAATATATACTTATGCTGAAGTGATAACTAGTTATGGTGAGTAGAGTGGATGAGGATCCACTCGACCTATGATGATGAGAAAGCATGGTGTCAGGGGTCTCGCGCCTGAAACCCAGGTCGGTCTGTCGAGATACTCGGTGACTATCAAACTGTGCAACAGCTATTGTCTCAGTATCGGTGACTATCAAGTTGCGCAGTGACAGCAGGTGGCGTTCGTTGTATACACTATTGTAGGTTTCGGCTGACCTCTGTGGACACTCCATTCAGGGGTAGCTCGGCACGGTCAATATCAGTGTTATGATGACACCAAGGTCTGGTGTGAGTGTTGATGATGATGAGGTTGATGATGTTGGTGATAAGGTTGGTGAGTGTTGATGAGAATGAGGTCGATGGTGTTGGTGATAAGGTTGGTGGCATCAACACGAGTGTCCAGTGTGTTGACTTGATGCTTGAAGTGACCCCCAGACCGCAGTGGACTACTGCCTTCGGTTCTATCTATATCTGGACTGCTAACCTGCTATGGGCGCCTTCGGACATCAGGTAGTGGTGATACAACACACACACTACAAAGAGGAGCAACCTTGATAGATTGCTGCTATGCTGACTGTAACTAATGAGTACTTATGTTTCTAAGTATTGACTAGTTGTATGGTGAGTAGAGTGGATGAGGATCCACTCGACCTATGATGATGAGAAAGCATGGTTATATACCTCTTCTCAGCATCGCCAGTGATGCTGCTCCTGCTCTCTCTCCAGAGAGTACCTTCTTCATCAAGTACTGCTCAGGGGCCTCTCCTGCTTGGCACCCCTGTGCCTCTTGAGCTGTGTCGACTCCTTCGACACTGCTCCTCCTCCTCATGACCTGGTGTCGACTCCTTCGACACTGCTCCTTCTCCTTTGATCAGTGACAGTTCCTTTGGCTCTTGTCTCTCGAGCCCCTGAGTGGTAACCATCTGCATGCTCCTTGAGCTTGGTCCTCTTCGTGGCTGTGCCTGCTCCTTGAGCTTGGTCCTCCTCGTGGCTGTGCTTGGCCCTCCTTTGCATGTGAGTCCATAGGAGTCCATGGTCTCCATGGAGACTGCACTATGACCATGCTCTCTACTGGTCTCGACTAGATCTTCGATACCTGTGCTCCTTCCATATGAACCCGTGACCCTCCTGCTTCTTGAGCATCCAGGCCCATGACACTACCCCCCTCTTAAGAGCCGAGCTCCGTCGAGGCATGCTATGGTCTGGTTCATGCTGACTCCTCCTCCTCCTCCTCCTCCTCGACAACATCGCCAACATCACCCTTCCTCCTTCTCTCAACGTCATTCTCCTTCCTCCTCCTCTCTCTACTTTGTCTACTCACTCATCCCCCCTCCAACACCTCATACTCCTGGATGAGGTCGGGACAGTTGAGGTTCTCTACTGGTTCCCATGAAGCAGCTTCATCTGAGTACCCTCTCCACAACACCTTGTACTCTGTAGTCCCATTGTGTGAACGCTTGTCGATGAGTGCTTCGACTTCGAAGTCGAGGTCCTCATCTGGAAGTGATGGTATGGTGGGCTGTTCAGCATGTTGAGGAAGAGAACTTGTTCTTGCTGGCTCGAGCATGGAGACATGGAACACATCATGCACCCTAAGGTTTGCTGGCAATGTGACTCGATAAGCTCGGTGTCCTACCTGTTCCTGAACTGGGTAGGGTCCTGCAAACCAGGTATCTAACTTGGGTGTGGGTCTCCGTGTCTTCCAGTTTCGACGGTTGATATAGACCATATCACCCACCTTAAACTCGATGTCCTTGTGCTTCCTGTTATACTGGTCTACTGATCTATGTTGTGCCTCTCTGATCTGCTCCTGGAGGTACTTGCAACGCTCCTTTCCATCCATGAGGTACTCGAAGCAACCTGGGTCATTGACTCCTAGTCATTGAGGGATGTCAGGATGAGCTTTGGGGTTCCATCCATAGCATGCAAAGAATGGTGAGACACCAATGCTGTTGTGGACTGTGTTGTTGTATACAAAGGCTGCAGTGTCCAGCAGGTTGGCCCAGTCATCCTGTTCATAGTTGCAGTACATCCTGAGGTATTGCTCTATGACCTGATTGACTCTCTCTGTCTGACCATCAGTTTGAGGATGGTAAGCCGTGCTAAGTGAGTGCTTCACACCCATTTGCTCTGCAAATGCCTTCCATGCTCCTGATATGAACTGCCTGCCTCGGTCCGAGACCATGTGATCTGGGTATCCGAAGAGTCTAACCATGTGTCCATATAGCAACACTGCAGTCTGTTTGGCCATGACCATCTTATGGGTTGGAGCTAGTATGGCAAACTTGGTTAACCTGTCGACAATGACTAAGATAGAGTCATAGGTCTTGGAGTCATACTTCTTCGATGGTGGTAGTCCTTCGATGAAGTCGAGGGATATGGAGCCCCAGGGCCTGTCTGGTGTTGCTAGTGGCTGTAGCAAACCATATGGACGGTGACGAGGAGCTTTGTACCTAGCACATACAGGACAACTTGCTACATAGTCTGCAATCCAAGCTGTCATGTTTGGCCACCAGTAATGTCGTTGAGCTGCCTTGATGGTAGCATCTCTTCCCACATGTCCAGCAGTGATACCATCATGGCATTGGGTCATCACCATGAATCGCAGATGCTCTACAGAGAGGGACTGTCCATCTACCTCTTTGGCACTCCTTGAGTGTCGGTTGTTGGTCCTCCCTGGCATGGTTACTTTGGGGATAACCAACCTTCCTCCACTGTACCATAGGTCGTCCTTGAGTTCGAAGGGCTTCTTCCTATGTATCTCCTGTAGCTCTTGGTCTAAGGGCTGGAAGATCTTGACCAGGTCTTTGAGACCTTTTGATGCTATGGACTCCATCGAGAGCATAGGGGCCACTAGGGTCGAGTCATGGTCTGCTGTCTCCTTGAACACTCGAGGAGGCAGTAGTTGCCTCACATTGTGATCCTGCTCTTCACCAGCTGGTTGCATGTCAGTCCTTCTGGTGAGAGCATCAGGTTCACCACCTTTGTCTCCTGGTCGATACTGCAATATGAAGTCGAAGTCTGCTAGTAGTATGGCCCATTGAGCCTGTCGACCTGTGATGTGTCTCTGTGACTTGAAGTACTTGAGGGCTTCATGGTCAGTGAGGATGACCAGTTGACTTGGTAGTCCAGCTAGCATGTGTCGCCACTGAGTAAGGCAGGCGACCACAGCTAGGAGCTCCTTGTCATGGATTTCATAGTTCTTCTCAGCAGAAGACATCTTCCTAGAGTAGAAGGCCACTGGATGCCATTGTCCTTCATGCTCCTGCTTGAGTACTCCTGCTATAGCAAAGTCACTTGCATCAGTCTCCAACCTTGTTGGAAGGTGGTAGTCGAAGTGCTGAAGCACTCCTGCTGATGTGAAGGCCTGGATGAGCTTGTGGAAGGCCTGTTGGGCCTCCTCTGGTAGCTCAAACTTCTTGAACCGTTCTATAGGCTTTACCAGTGCTGTCAAGGGCTTGGCTATGTGAGCAAAGTGGGCTATGAACCTTTGATAGAAGTTGGCAAAACCCAGGAACCTCTGGATGTCATGGATTGACTCTGGCATTGGCCACTCCTTGACAGTGTGCACCTTTTCTGGGTCCATCTCTATGCCCATTGGCTTGATGATGTACCCCAGGAACTCGACTGTCTTGGTGTGGAACTCACACTTTGACAGCTTAGCAAAGAGCCTGTTGCTCCTTAAGCGAGTGAGGACCTCAGTGACATGCTTCACATGTGCTTCTTCAGTGTCACTGAAGATCAGGAAGTCATCTAGGTATACTACCACATATATCCCAATGATGTCTTGGAAGATGTCATTGATGAATGACTGGAAGTGAGCTGGAGCATTGGCTAGGCCAAAGGGCATCACTAGATACTCATAGAGTCCCAACTGAGTGCCAAAAGCTGTCTTCCATTCATCTCCTTTAGCAATCCAGATGAGGTTGTATGCTGCTCTAAGGTCTAGCTTGGTATAGATCCTTGCCTTCCTGAGTAAGAACAGCTGCTCCTCGATGAGGGGCAATGGTGCCCTGTTCTTGACAGTGATCTCGTTGAGACCTCTGTAGTCCACACAGAGTCTGAGACCTCCATCCTTCTTTGGTACGAAGAGCACTGGTGATTGTGCCGGGCTCTTCGATGGTCTTATGAACCCCTTCTCGAGGTTCTCATCCAAGTATCTCCTCAACTCGGACATCTCCTTGGGTCCCTTAAGGTATAGGGGCCCTTGAGGTGGCTTACCTCCTTCTATCAACTCGAGGTGGAGATCATGCTCGGTATGATGGGGCAGCTTGTCTGCTTCCACCTCATCAAACACATCTCGCAGGTGTTGGTATGGCTTTGGTATGTCTGCAGCTGTCACCACCTTGTCTACCTCCACCTCCATCTCGACTCCTTTGTCTGTGCCTGTAGGTACAAAACCAAAGGCCAGGAGTGATGATGGTGGCTCCTCCAACAGCATGAACCCTATGGGTCCATCTTCTAGAGCTGCTCATAGTATGCACTCTGCTGAGACAAACTCATTACCATGAAGGGTTGGTCTCCTCATGGTTAGGTCCCCTGCTCTTGCTGCTTCAGGGGGTCTCCTTGGGGGTCGGTCCTGCTCCTGAGTCTTGAACTCTAGCTGGCCCATATCCCATTGTATGGTGGGTTTGAGCCTCCGTAGCTCAGTGAACCCCAGGATGAGGTCATAGTCAGCAGTGTCGGCCACTGAAGCTTCGACCACACCCAGATTGTGTGTACCAATAGATACCTGCATGCTCGCAGAACTATTGATGGAGAGTTGGTGCCCGGTGACACCATGGATTGATCTTGTTTTTATGGGTTTTGTGGGTATTTGGTACTTACTAATGAAAGAATCTGAGACTATGGACAAACCAGCACTGGTATCAGCTAGTATCTGAGCAGGGTGGTCTTGAACCATTCCAGAGAGCTCCAGTACTGCTTTGCCTCCACTGGTAGAGAAACATACTTGACAATCTTGATATATACAGAGTGATGGCAAGAAGGTTTGTAGAGCAATGCATGCCATCAGTGCATCACCCCACTGACGTTTCCCTCATTGTCATCATCATCATGCTCCTCCTCGTGATCGGGGTCCATGGGTTGCTGGTATGAGCTGAGGTCCATGGCCTCGGGGTCACCCATCTCAGTGCTGCCTGTGTGGCCATCTCTTGAGTCAGTGGCCTCCTCGAAGGGGTCTGCTGTGGTGACCATAACCTTTGGTCCCATGGGTTGAGAGCTAAGAGGGTCTACCCTCCTGCTGGGGCAGTCTCTGGCCCAATGGCTGATACCCTTGCATACATGACAGGTGTTGATACCTGATGGAGCAGGGCTTCCTTGCTTCGAGGGTTGGGTGGGATGATGAGGAAGGGGTCGGTTTAGGTTTTGTATAGTTGCTTGTGTAGTTGCTTGTGATGGTGATCGAGCTGGATAAGGTTGAGTGGGTTGTCGGATGGGGATCGAACTTTGATTTGGCCAAGACCCAGTTCTTAGTGGAGGTGACATGGCGTTTGGGAGTGAGTGTCTAGCTGAGGACTGCTGTAGTAGCATCCTCTGTCGATCGATCTCCTCAACCTCTCGGTACCACTCCCATCTCTTCCCAGGTGGATTCCTCTCGAACTTCTCCTGTATGCTGCGAGTGAGACTTCCTCTGAAGAGATCAATTACTAGCTCGTTATCATCTAGGTTGACCTGTCCCTCCAAGTCTCTGAACCGCTCTACATGACGTGTGGCAGCACCAGGAGCATCACTTGTGAGTCTGAGAGCCAACAGCTTGTTGTATGCCTCCATCCTAGCATTGCATGGGTTGAACTGTTCTGACAGTCGCTCTGTGAAGTAGTGCCAATCATTGAACAACCTTCCTTCTCTAGCTCTATCAATACGGAGCTTGGAGGTCCACCACTCTCTTGCTGTCCCTTCCAGTTGAGCACCCATGTGGTTGATCATCCTAGTCTGCTCATACACCTGGTTGAACTTAAACCATGCTTCGGCTTCTAGAATGAAGATCTCCATGTCTCGGGGATTGAACTTTGGGAAGGGGGTGGCGATGGGCTTTGACTGGTTAAGCTCTGCCATGATGCTGGTGTCCTCCTCATGGTCCAGGGGGTAAGGGTCCGTCTTAGTCCTGCTGTAGGGGTCCACCTTAGTCTTGACATATCTTGGCCCAGTAGGTGAAGCATACTTCTCGTAGTTGATGTCCTCCTGCTCATCTAGGTTGAATGAGACTGATCGTCTTGGTCGTGGAGCCGGAGTAGGAGTATGTGGGTCTCCTATCATAGACTCATCTCCTCCTCCTGCTTGGTCTTCTGAGTGAGAGAGGTCCATTGTCTCCTCCCTGCTCAGTTGAGCTCGTTGTAATCGTTCCTCTCGATGACCCTGTCTGGTAAGCTCTAGCTGTGCTTCCAATAGAGTGAGTAGTCTATCAAGCTTATTGTTGAGGTCTGGGTCCGTCATGGTGATCGTGAGGAGCTGCTTGAACGATCCACTCTAATGTCAGGGGTCTTGCACCTGAAACCCAGGTCAGTCTGTCGAGATACTCGGTGACTATCAAACTGTGCAACAGCTATTGTCTCAGTATCGGTGACTATCAAGTTGTGCAGTGACAGCAGGTGGCATTCGTTGTATATACTATCGTAGGTTTCGGCTGACCTCTGTGGACACTCCGTTCAGGGGTAGCTCGGCACAATCAATATCAATGTTATGATGACTCCAAGGTCTGGTGTGAGTGTTGATGATGATGAGGTTGATGGTGTTGGTGATGAGATTGGTGGCATCAACACGAGTGTCCAGTGTGTTGACTTGATGCTTGAAGTGATCCCCGGACCGCAGTGGACTACTGCCTTCGGTTCTATCTTGATCCGGACCGCTAACCTGCTATGGGCGCCTTCGGATGTCAGGTAGTGGTGATACAACACACACACTACGATGAGGAGCAACCTTGATAGATTGCTGCTATGCTGACTGAAACTAATGTATACTTATGCTGAAGTGATAACTAGTTATATGGTGAGTAGAGTGGATGAGGATCCACTTGACCTATGATGATGAGAAAGCATGGTTATATACCTCTACTCAGCATCGCCAGCGATGCTGCTCCTGCTCTCTCTCTCCAGAGAGTACCTTCTTCATCGAGTACTGCTCAGGGGCCTCTCCTGCTTGGCACCCCTGTGCCTCTTGAGCTGTGTTGACTCCTTCAACACTGCTCCTCCTCCTCATGACCTGATGTCAACTCCTTCGACACTGCTCCTCCTCCTTTGATCAGTGACAGTTCCTTTGGCTCTTGTCTCTCGAGCCCCTGAGTGGTAACCATCTGCATGCTCCTTGAGCTTGGTCCTCTTTGTGGCTGTGCCTGCTCCTTGAGCTTGGTCCTCCTCGTGGCTGTGCTTGGCCCTCCTTTGCATGTGAGTCCATAGGAGTCCATGGTCTCCATGGAGACTGCACTATGACCATGCTCTCTACTGATCTCGACTAGATCTTCGATACCTGTGCTCCTTCCATATGAACCCGTGACCCTCCTGCTTCTTGAGCATCCAGGCCCATGACACTCAGGTTATAGCAAATGACCCTCAACACTTCAAGAGGACAAAGCATATTGACATAGCTCACTTCTTCCTGCATGACGAGATCATGAACAAACAACTTGTGATTGCTCCTGTTCAGAGTTGCGAAAACTTGGCCAACATCTTGATGAAGCCACTCGCCATGCCAATGCTCTCACACATTCAACAACTACTTGGATTGACCATTTCATTGGAGAATGTTGGATCGAGAGGGGGTGCTGAAAATGACAATCCAATGAGATGGTAAAAGGGCGACATGGAGCTGATCTGATCAAAGATCAGATAGGGCTGATCTGGTTGAGCTACCAATTCGATCATAGATTAGGTCAAGTCGATCTCAGGAGAAATCAGGTGCAACACAGTCCCACTTGTTGTCATGATAGACCATGAAGTAGTAGTACCCCCACATCAGGCAAGTGCCACTCACATGTATATATAACTCACAGAGAGCACTAGGCTCTCGCCACATTCCCTTAGTCAATTGAGTATATTTGTTTCTGTCTATAACTAGCAGTGACATCATACTTAGACTCTCCCCAATCGCCAGTATCGGGACCTAAACGACGTTTATATTCAACAGAGAGAAGAGCGAGCGGAAGAGAAATCAAAGCATTGCAACGAAATTGAAGTTTTGTGCGTTGGTCACGTGCCCCTTGTCATGGGCCTGAAGGCTCAAGAAGCAGGAGGGTCACTGGTTCATACAGAAGGAGCACAAGTATCGAAGATCTAGTTGATACCATTAGAAAGCATGGTCGTAGTGCAGTCTCCATGGAGACCATGGACTCCTATGGACTCACATGCAAAGGAGGACTGAGCCATATGCAAGGAGGGCCAGGCACAGCCACGAAGAGGACCAAGCTCAAGGAGCATGCAGATGGTTACCACTCAGGGGCTCGAGAGACAAGAGTCAAAGGAACCAACACCAGGTCCTGAGGAGGAGGAGCAGTGTGTCATGGGCCTGGATGCTCAAGAAGCAGGAGGGTCATGGGTTCATATGGAAGGAGCACAGGTATCGAAGACCTAGTCGACACCAGTAGAGAGCATGGTCATAGTGCAGTCTCCATGGAGACCATGGACTCCTATGGACTCACATGCAAAGGAGGGCCAAGCACAGCCACGAGGAGGACCAAGCTCAAGGAGCAGGCACAGCCACAAAGAGGACCAAGCTCAAGGAGCATGCAGATGGTTACCACTCAGGGGCTCGAGAGACAAGAGCCAAAGGAACTGTCAATGATCAAAGGAGGAGGAGCAGTGTCGAAGGAGTCGACACCAGGTCATGAGGAGGAGGAGCAGTGTCGAAGGAGTCGACACAGCTCAAGAGGCACAGGGGTGCCAAGCAGGAGAGGCCCCTGAGCAGTACTCGATGAAGAAGGTACTCTCTGGAGAGAGAGCAGGAGCAGCATCACTGGCGATGCTGAGAAGAGGTATATAACCATGCTTTCTCATCAATAGGTCGAGTGGATCCTCATCCACTCTACTCACCATACAACTAGTCAATACTTTAGAAACACAAGTACTCATTAGTTACAGTCAGCATAGCAGCAATCTATCAAGGTTGCTCCTCATCGTAGTGTGTGTGTTGTATCACCACTACCTGACGTCCGAAGGCGCCCATAGCAGGTTAGCGGTCCGGATATAGATAGAACCGAAGGCAGTAGTCCACTGCGGTCCGGGGATCACTTCAAGCATCAAGTCAACACACTGGACACTCGTGTTGACGCCACCAACCTTATCACCAACACCATCAACCTCATTATCATCGACATCACCAATCTCATCACCAACACCATCAACCTCATCATCATCAACACTCACACCAGACCTTGGTGTCATCATAACATTGATATTGATCGTGCCGAGCTACCCCTGAACGGAGTGTCCACAGAGGTCAGCCGAAACCTACGATAGTATATACAACAAACGCCACCTGCTGTCACTGCACAACTTGATAGTCACCGAGTATCTCGAGACAATAGCTGTCGCACAGTTTGATAGTCACCGAGTATCTCGACAGACCGACCTGGGTTTCAGGCGCGAGACCCCTGACACAGTGTTGAAGGAGTTGACACCACTCAGGAGGCACAGGGGTGCCAAACAAGCAGCAGGATAGCAAGGAGGAGGAGCAGTGTCGAAGGAGTCGACACAGCTCAAGAGACACAGGGGTGCCAAGCAAGCAGGAGAGGCCCCCTGAACAGTACTCGATGAAGAAGGTACTCTCTGGAGAGAGAGCAGGAGCAGCATCGCTGGCGATGCTGTGAAGAGGTATATAACCATGCTTTCTCATCATCAAAGGTCGAGTGGATCCTCATCCACTCTACACAACCATCATAACTAGTTATCACTTCAGCATAAGTATATATTAGTTTCAGTCAGCATAGCAGCATTCTATCAAGGTTGCTCCTCATTGTAGTGTGTGTGTTGTATCACCACTACCTGACATCCGAAGGCGCCCCATAGCAGGTTAGCAGTCCAGATCAAGATAGAACCGAAGGCAGTAGTCCACTGCAGTCTGGGGATCACCTCAAGCATCAGTCAACACACTGGACACTCATGTTGATGCCACCAACCTTATCACCAACACCATCAACCTCATCATCATCAACACTCACACCAGACCTTGGTGTCATCATAACCTATGTATTGATATTGATTGTGCTGAGCTACCCCTGAATGGAGTGTCCACAGAGGTCAGCCAAAACCTACAATAGTATATACACCGAATGCCACCTGCTGTCACTGTGCAACTTGATAGTCGCTGAATGACTAGCTTGATGAGACAGATACCAAGACAATAGCTGTTGCACAGTTTGATAGTCACCGAGTATCTCGACAGACCGACCTGGGTTTCAGGCGCGAGACCCCTGACACCCCTTCGCTCACCTTTGAAAAATGCGCTTTTATCCATTCGCACGATAAGCCTTGGAGAGAGGGATCGTCAATTTTGACCGTGACAAAGAAAGCGTTAAGTTGAAAATGCGTCGGCATCTCAAGAAGAATGCACGAGTTGCAGCCGAGACACTGAGGGACCAGATGTGTGCATAAGCAATGAACACAACGAAATACATGAAGGTTGGCATGACAACGGTTCAGGGGCATAGCAGAAAACGGCAACTCAGGAGGTCACAGAAGAGGTGACTCATCTGACTCGGACATGACTAAAGATAGCAACAAGGTATATATATGTGCTTGTGATAGTGATCCATACAAACAAAATACTAAGCATTACCAGAAGCAAATGACTGTGGTAAGGGAGCCTGATTGTGGCCCCAATAACGGCGTATACTAATTGTTATCTTCAACTGTTACGTTACAAAGTGCATGAGACCTAGGAGATGTGAGAGAAGAAAAAATGTAGCAAGGATACAAGGTGGAGAAAGAGAAGAAGCCTTGTGAAGACGGGTATATATGTTTGTTTGTCTAGGAGATGAAGTTCCAGACCTTGCCGGCGACGGTGGTAGGCTTCTCTTCAGGGACCTCAGCCTCAAGGATCTCGCGAAGACCGGTGGTAAGGTCAACCTCGCTGGCAGGGATGTGAGCGCCGTTTCCACGGTTGTAGAACCAGTTGCCGATGTAGAGGATGATGAAGAAGGGGATGGGAATGTAGTTGGTGATGAAGTCGCTGGTGGACCAGTTACCGCTGAGGAAGATAGACCAACCGCTGAAGAGCATGACAATGAAGGTGGTGGCGCTGGTCCAGTAACCGCAGAAGGGCTGGAGGCATGCACGGTAAGGGAGGACGTCGCGCGACATGCCCTGAATCTTCATGGCGGCGTGGAAGCGGATGTACATGACACCAATGCAGAACCAAGTAACGAGGCCGGCAATGGAGGTCATGTTAGCAAAGTAGCCGAAGACAGTGCTGGCACCATCGCGGACCGACATGTAGGAGAGGAAGGAGAAGAGAACCGAGACGCCGACAGCCATGTAAGGAAGACCGCCCTTGGTGGTGCGGGCAAAGATACGGGGAGCAGATCCTCCGATAGCGAGCGAGTAGAGAGCACGGCTCGAGGTGAAGAGATCCGAAGAGGCAGCCGAGACAGCTGATGTGACGAGTGCGGCATTGACGAGTGACGGCAAAACCTTGATGCCGGCGTTGTTGATGGCAACGACGAAGGGGGAACGAGCGGCGGTCTTGGCACCCTTGGTAAGCTCGGGAGCCTGGGAAGAGCAGACGAGACCGATCATGAAGGTACCAAGGAAGTAGAAGAGGCAGATACGGATCCAAACCTTGCGGATAGCGCTGGGGACAGACTTGCGCGGGTTCTTGGCCTCAGCAGATGCGATGGCGACGATTTCGGTACCGATAAAGGAGAAAGCGGCATTGATTAGGACGGAGAAGAAGCCGAGGAAGCGACCAAGAGTACCTGGGATGTTCTTGTACTGGTTCAAAGGACCAAACTCCTTCCAGTAGCGGAAACCGAGACGGCCCTGCTTGCCGACACCGAGGTCGATGCAGATGGAAAGGATAATGAGACCGACAATGGTGATGATCTTGATCGAGGCAAACCAGAACTCGGTCTCACCGTAGGCACGGGTACCGAGCAAGTTGATGGCAACGACGATGACGAGGTAGATGGTGATCCAGATAGCAGGGCTGAGGTCGGACCAGTAAGACATGAGGACGGCAGCGGCGGAAAGTTCGGCGGGGAGAACGATGACCCAGTTGTACCAGTAGTTCCAGCCCATGGCGAAGGCAAGAGGCTTTCCAACGAAACGCTCAGCGAGCTTGATGTGGCCACCAGGAACGGGAAGATATGAGATCATCTCCCCGAGACACATCATCATGGCGTAACAGACGGAACCCATGAGAAGGTAACCAAGCCAGAGACCAAGGGGACCTGCGTTGTGGAGGGAAGAGGCAGTACCGAGGAAAAGACCTGTACCGATAACACCGCCGATGGAAATCATGGCCATGTGACGGGGAAGGAGGGCGTGCTTGAGCTCTTCACCCTTGCGTTGGTCGAAGGCGTTGGTCTGGTTGGCATCGGTACCATCTTCGAGAGTGGCGACATAGACATCGTGCTTCTGTGTGAAGGAGTCGGACTTGACCTTTTCCTCCGAGGGAGAGTAGTGAGCGGCCATTGTGATAAGGGATGAGTCTAAGGGGTGCATGAATGGGGAAGGAGGGAGACGCTGATGGGGGATAAGAGGTGGTGCGGCTGTTCAGAGTGGGATCTTTATACCTTTGTATAAGGTGTGGGGATGGCGGAGTCGTTTGTCTGGAAACGCGGTGAAAGAGCGCGGTATCATAGGCAGAGATAGGAGTTTCGCTTGCTGTGAGGAAGGGAAGGGGAACGGGCAGCCAATGAGGTAGGATAGTACAATCAGACAAGTGTGGGGTCCAGATTCGGCTTATCGAGCAGATCGTGGGTGTATTGTGCAGAGGCGAGAGTCGCATGGCTTGCACAGTGGAGCAGGAACACAGACACAGAAGAAAGTGAGCTGTCAAGGCGATGCGTATCTCGACGGGAAGCGAATTGCCGTGCCTGCGTTGTTGCTGAAGACGGGCACTTGGAGTGGGTCTAGACACATACTGTAAGGTGGCGAAACTCACGGCGAAAGAGCAGAGGCCGAAGGCAATGAGAAAGCGGCCACGGTTGGCTAAGCCAACACTGAGGCGGTATGCAGATGGGCAATTCCGCGTGGCGATGGGCAGTAACGGCGTTGGAGCGGGCGGGAAGAGGAGAGAAAGTGGAGAAAGGAGCCATGAGAAAGACAGGAAGTGGGAGTCTAGATCACAAGCAGGAACGAAGTCGAGAGGGCCAACCAACAATGGCGAATTGGCCCGCCATTCAGACGACGTTTCCTGACCAACCTCGGCAGTTGTCCATTGTCCTAGTATGGATTTGATGTTGGTCTCTATCTCTGTTGGGCCTCATGCTCGTGGGTGCTGCCTAAATCCTTATCTTTGACACTGAGGCTGGCAACTGTGGGGCATACGGCCTTTGGCTTTAATTTATGGAGGTATGGAGACGACTTGGCTTGAGATACTGCAGGGAACAGGTGGGTTCCAGGGTTGACCCAAGATAAGGGCTACATACGAACATTGGCGGCGCTCATGTCCCACTTTTCTTCTTCCGTTGGAATGCTGATCACCTCATTTGTATCCTCGAACTTCACAAGATGTGAGTGGCACAGGCACATCAAAGGTTGGCAAAGATTTGTGCTCAGCGTTGCTGCTTTGATAGAATGACAATTGGGAAAGCTGTGTTGAGATGCCAATCGATGTCGACGATGACGATGCGTGTCAGTGTCATTGGCTGGCTACAAGGTTCAACACAACCGGGCAACTGGCATTGAGCAGGAAAGCATCTCAGTGGCCGACGTTGAAACGGGTCTGGAGCAATAACCAGGCAAACAGCCAATCAGAAGCGTACCTGTCTCATTGTCTAGCAACCTAGGAAAGCAGTATAAGAGCTGCTGCGCTGTGAGTTCAGCTGATCAACTCTGATTGGTTCCAAGGAGAAGGGACAACGGCGACGAGAATGTTTACTTCTTTGCCAAAATGACACTGCTCGGATGCTGTTTGACAGCGGCTCTCTCGAAGCACCGCAGGTCCACCAAGTGCTTCCGGCGGCGGTCATTGCAATAAAAAGAAAAGAATTTCGATTCCAATTTGTGTGGCTGCTTTTCTGCAGAATGGAACCCCGTTTGTCTTGTTGAAAGATAAAGTCTGCAGAAAACGGCGGTCCGGACAAGTAAGCGAGTTGAGCCAAAAGATTTTTACAGCTCGCCTGGCTTTCAATTCTCCTTTTCTTTTTTCTTTTCTTTTCTTTTCTTTTTTCTTTTCTTTTCTTTTCTTTTTTCTTTTCTTTTCTTTTCTTTTTTCTTTTCTTTTCTTTTCTTTTTTCTTTTCTTTTCTTTTTTCTTTTCTTTTTGTTTGCCACTCTCCGTCCCGCCGTCTGGCAAGCTATGCTCTGGCTCTCGAGCTGTTCGTCGGATGAGGATGGAAGGCGTGTGACCTCAGCTACATACTTCCACTTTAGATGGCCCTGACTTGGGGGATCCACTGTTGCTAGCCTGTGTGACCAAGACAATAAAGAGACACTTTTAGCACCTTCCCCCACCGTGGGTCAGACCGAACTGGCTTCATCCGTGCAGTTGACCTCACATGGCAACAATCGCAGCTCCCACCATTCGCTATCTTGTCTTTCTGCTGCCTTATCTTCCTCAACGCTCGACACAAAACTTTGCTATCGACGTCTGCCCTCATGCAGTGATTGCCGACGATGCCTTATCTCAAAGGAAGTGGTCAATATACTGGGTGAGCACAATTGTAAATCGTCATCTCACCTAGACATCAGGTGACAATGCAGGCGTTCGTTGCTTCGTCTTGTATGTGGATGGCGTTGAACGAGTGTCTCGTACCTTGCGCCCACCCTCGACCCACCCGATGCATCGTGGCTTCATAAGATCACTTGAATGCATGAATAGCAGATCGAATAGCATCACGAGCTTCAAGTTCAGCAGTCAGCGAGGGCAATGTAATCTAATGTCACCTCCAACCGCGAGACATCTGACATTGCGCCTCTCTTTCCTCTCTCATTTGTCATCGCTGCGTTGGTTCTTCTGTTGTTCACCTGCGATCTAGGCGGTCCGGCAACAGACTGGCAACGTGACCTCCCTGCCGCCAGGCACATCAATCTCTCCGACTCTCTCCTTTTACGACTCTTGACGCTAGAAGAATAGAGAGAGCATCTGATTTCCATCTCCGTTCTCATTCATTTCTCCCGCCCCACGACAAACGAGGAGAACAGATTTTCCCTCTTTGCGATGGAACGGTTGAGCCGGTTAGGCGACCCCGGACTACGTCGCTTGCTCCTCTTCTTCTTCCCCGCGTCCCTCTTCCCGAATCGCCTGTGATAGGCCGAGGACCGATAAAGCCTTTAGGCCCTAAGCTGTTCTTCTTGGTATCGCTTCTCGGGAGTGAAGGGAGGATGGTTTGATGATGCAGGGTATCGCGATTCTGACGGATGGACGAGATCGAGTGAAGCTCATCGCCAAGTTTTCATTTGTTCTCCCCACATTGGGTGCGTAGTCCACGTGTGGCTTGCGTTGCTATGTATCTACAGTAGCAGCGTAGTTCGTCAACCAGCTTGTCGTACTGTAAAGTACCTGGGCATGTCAGATGCAGCATGCGCGAGATGTAAGCTGCCAGATGCCGCTTCATCGGCAGTGACATGTGTAGGCATACGTTGCATCACGTCTTGCACTTCCAGTCGAGCGCCCGCACTGACAAAAGCGCACCTATGTGAACAAGCTAGAGCTTTCGCCTCTGCCTGAATGGTAATTCCGGGCAAGTGGGGCCGACGAACAAGCTTTGTCCATCATGTGAGCACCTACAGTAATCGTCTCTTCCACCGCACAGTTCTTCCAACTGATCAACATTTCAAAAGTGGCGTGCCCCGTTGATTGACTTTGAAAGCACACCATTGTTACCCCCTCGATCCTCTCATATCAGCACGTCACACAACGAGTGATTCACACTCGGTCCGTATTCTCCTTACCTTCATGGTCAGAGCATAGAATCTCATCCGAGTCTCAGGGTCACGCGCAGAACGATCATGTCGGATTGGTTCGGGGGATGTGCTGTTTTAGCTTCCTGTACTTTTTAAACTTGTAGAGTGTGCAAGGATCTAACAATTCAAAATCGCGTTCAAGTCTAACAGCTTCTTGCGAGAGAGGAAGAAAACAGTATCACGTGACCATTATTCTTCGGCCGATTTCAATTCTTTTTCGCGCCTGGATTCACTGTTAGTTTCGACTTGCTCGCACGTCTCGTTTTTCTTCGAGTTGCGCGATCTGGAAGCTCGAGAGACTGAGTCTCGCTCGCTGCCCGCTTCACCATCCTCAAGACCACCACCTCCATCACACATCTCTTCACACATCAAGATGCCCGCCGCCGGTGTTGCCAAGAACAAGCCCCAGGCCGTCAAGGCCACTGCCGCCAAGAAGGCTGCCCTCAAGGGTACCTCCGGCGCCAAGGTTCGCAAGGTCCGCACCGACACCACCTTCCGTCGCCCCAAGACCCTCGACCTTGCCAAGAACCCCAAGTTCCCTCGCAAGGCTATCCCCCACGCTCCTCGCATGGATGCTTTCCGCACCATCCTCTACCCTCTCAACACCGAGTCGGCCATGAAGAAGATCGAGGAGAACAACACCATCGTCTTCATTGTTGACCGTGCTGCCAACAAGCGTCAGATCGAGGGTGCTCTTAAGAAGCTCTACGATGTTTCAGCTGCCAAGATCAACACTTTGATCCGCCCTGATGGCAAGAAGAAGGCTTTCGTTCGTCTTACCCCTGACCAGGATGCTCTTGACGTTTCCAACCGCATTGGCTTCCTCTGAACGCTTTCGCTTCTCGATAAGCGGCGCTTCTTTTGAATGATGACTGTTCTGTTCGTCACTCGAGAACCCAAAAAGGGATAGGATCAACATCGAACAGGGTCAACTCACCCGCTTCGGTGTTCAGCAACTCCAACGTCTGCCTCGATCATCGACGTCTCTCGGAACTCCCCACGAGGTACCGAAAGACATTTCCGGCGCATCGACTTCAAGCCAGAACTTCGGGTTTGCTTTTACGTCCAACTCCCAAACTCTACTCTATCCTCTCTTCTCCTACTTGCCCGTATACTGTTGCGTTGCATTCATGGCATCTCTCATTCACACGGTGTAATCATACTTCCTTTTCGCGCCCATATATCAGGGGTGCCTCTTGCAGGTATTCCCATCTTTTGACCCAAACGTCCACCAGAGCGTCTCTTAAGTCTCGAATTAGGCTTTGGGTCACCCCCCTCCCTCACATCCATCTTCTTCGCCGTAGTCTCTTCTTCGCATCGTTGGAGTTGCTCTTCACTGGCTTTGCATTCGCAACGACTTGGTGGCGATGACATTCACAGCCATCTTCTGGACCAGTACAGGCTGCAGAGGCTCAAAGCCCGTAGATTATTGTGCAGAAGATGACGAAGGGCGATCAAGATGAAAGGGATCGAGGGGGTTCTGACTCTCATGTGTGCTTGCCTTTTTCACTGCTTGTGCTTCTCTGCTGAGCTTGAGACCATTTGGGGGAACGCTTTCGCCTTCGGGAAGATCGCTCTCTTGAGCTTGTGAGACCTTTCCTATCCTTTGAGTTTCCTCTTCCCTCCTCATCAGCTTGTTCACTCTCTTTATTCAATGCATTCGTTCTCAACCTCGTTTCTACTTCTGTTCATGTTATCTGTGTTGTCTGTTTGTATTGTCTCTCTGCCTTCCTCTCGGCACAACAATCGGGTAAGGTGTGAGCGATAGTTTCCATGCGACAGCGTCTTGACGGTACACATCACAGCAGCATCGTCTCTGATCCGCGCTCGTCTTTTGTCACTCTCATAAGCTGTGATAGCAGACGTGTTAATAGGGTATCTTCTATCAACACACATCAGCCGAATCATACCAGATCTCGGCGCTGACGGATGCCACTTTAGGGCCATCTAAACTGATAAACCCATTCACCAGCCCCAACGTACAGATCCTTCCATCGTTTCTCCGGCACTCCTCTACCTCCTGTTTCCTCCTGTAGTTGTTCGATTGCGATGGCTTCATCTCTATCGCATCCTTCCCAAATACTCCTTGGGTTCCAATGTAGAGCTTTTATGTCGGCTGGGAAGACTGTGGTGCTAAGTGTTGAGCCTTTTCTGACTGCTGCGGTTCCGGATTCGGCGTTTTCTGGTGGGGGATGGGCTTCTCGAAAAGCTGGTAGGTGGGATTGATCCCATAGGTTCACCTCTGAATCTTTACAAAAGTTCTTGGGAGCTAAAGTTGTTGCTGTCGTCCCGAGTGGGATGGAGGATTGAAGGGACCAGACTCTAACTCTCCTGTCCAGCCCCGCCAAGGCCATCAACCGTAGATCCGGATCAACAGCAAACCCTAAGCCGTATTGATAAGAGTTCACATGGCCCTCATATCTTCTTATTGTCTCTCCTGTCATCGTATCTATCATCTCCACAACCCCATTGATCCTCACAACCAGCAACTCTCCTTCCGAGAGCATTTTCAACTGCGTGACTGACCCAGCATCTTTCTTCGCCAAATACCGGAACTGAGGCATAACACCCTTCGGCTGATCCCAAGGCATTTCCACCACCCCACCTGATCTCAATCCACAATACAACTTCTCTCCACCGTAGCTGAAGGTTAGAGCCATACAATCGCTGTCGCCCGACCAATACTTTTTGAGTTCTCCACTCAAGTACAGCCCCGGTGGCTGCGTGTGAAAGACATATATGTATTTGCAGTTTGAGATAGCAAGGATGATCTTTCCATCTTCCTTCTCGGGTACGCCCAGGGTTTGCTTCTCTGCTGTCTTGGGCGGAGGATTTTCGTACAACGCCCAGGAGCAAAGTTCATGCACGGCGATAGGATCGGGAAAAGCAGTAGATCGACTTATCTCTGGATAGTCAGGAAACATTCCAGTCGCTGGAGGACGAGGTCGTGGACGAAAAGGAAAGTTGTCCCGCAGAGGAGACTAGAGACGGAGGTAGGATAGTTGTTCGTAGTACCCTTCATCGACGAAAGGACTGTGGAAAAGAATGTTTCGACTGCGAAGCAAGACTGGTGCTATTGGTCGTTCGCCTGTATGAAGGATATCTACCGCTCCGAACAGCTGAGGTAGCCGGAGGATGCTGTCATTCTGTCGGCGCACCTTTCCCAGGTGGCTCATCTCTGCGCACCTTTCCCAATCGATCACAATGCACCAACCACAAAGTGACGAAGCAGATGAATGGATGTTGTCAACCCATGGTAGAAGCTCTGTGTGACCATAGACCACTATCGTTGTGCAATGTCGCCATGGATAGACAAGAATGAGGATTCCAATGCTTTTTGTGAGACTGAGGTTGATTTATGCAAACCTTCGAGCTTTTGGCACTTGTGGCACTTGAGTAGTGCTTCCAGCTGATTTGACTGGGTCAATTTGGATGCAACACTTCGCTGTAGGGTCCAATGGTGGCTCTTGAATGGCAAAAGTCAAAGTATGTGGTGCCATTGCAATTTCAATTGCAAAAGAGTGTACCTCTCTTGAGCTGCCTTTTGTGCTACTGTTTTTGTCTCTTTTCACCTTGCTTCTGACTCCCCTCTCCCTGCTGAGTGTCACTGTGCACTTTGGCCACATAATGGAAGATGTTCTGGATGGAAGGCTCCATGTGCTGCTCAATGGCCTTATGAAAGAAGCAGGTGATTGCCCAGCATTCTGCCACATCACTGCCTACAGCTTGATCTGAGAGGTGCTGAGTGGTTTTGTGGTACACTATGTTGGAACAAAACAGCACAATATCCAGTGGCTGAAGTTCCAACTTGATATTGTAGTCAGGAAGCTCAAGTACAGCATGCTGGCCAAAGTTGAGAAGGATTGAGATGGCAGAGTCAGCCATGTCGGTGTGATCTCCAATGGTGAAGCCTCGAAATGGGACAAAGGTCAAGTAGAGAGGATGGCAGAACTTGTCATAGCCAGCAACATGCTCTTTCACCCATGGATAGTGAATCGACTCTTGTTGGTGAAGGATAGCTGCAAATTCATCGCAAAGACCTGTCTTGATCTGGTTGCCAGCAACAAGCGGTGAGACATGCTTGGTAGTATAGTGCTGTAGCCATTCAGAGAACTTGCCAACAGCCTCCCTTGCTGTGTGTGTGCCATTGTTTTGAAGGGTGTCTGCTGTGAGCTGGAGCCTTTGGTAAGCTTGATCATGCCAAACACCGAGGTGGATCCATTTGAAGATGTGTGCATGCTGGGGATCCTCACACAGAGTCTGGATAGGCATGCTTTCTTCATGTATGGTAGGCAGCAATTCAGGTAGGTCCAACATTGGTTCAAGAGTGCAATTCTCAGCAGCTTCCTGCCAGGGCCAAGCTGGCTTAGCTGCACATCGAGAGGTTGCCACCAGTGCTGGTGCTGCAAGTCATTTAGCTGCCCTGGAGGATTGAGTGGAAGCACTTCTGTCTGACTTGCTGGGGGTATCCAAGCCTGCATGGGTGGCAGAAGGTGGTGAATTGGTTCGAACAGTCTTGGACTTGCTGTTGCAGATGGTGTGCTTTGTGAGGTTCATCAGCAGATCATTTCCTATGGCAGCTTCTTCCTTCATGGCTTGGGCAGCATACTGCATGGGAGGCCCAAATCGCTGCAGAAATGCTCCAGAAGCATCACAAAGGGTAATGTTGGCAGTGTACAGGCTGTCACGCCTATCTTGGTACTGTGTTGCATGGTGGCCAGAGAGATAGTGCAGTTTGGCAGAGCCGTTACTCGAGTGCCTCTCCACCTTGTAAGTGATGCACTTTGAGAACGAGAGATGGTAGACTTCTCGTTCAGTGATGCATCTTTCGCTGTTGCCATTGAGTTGGGGAGGTGAATCATACATATTTTGCCGGGGAATGTGTCTGACTATGGTTGATGATTAGTGATAGCATATGGAAGCCAAGAGCAGTGAAAAGTGTCATGGGCCTGAATGCTCAGGAAGCAGGAGGGTCACTGGTTCATATGGAAGGAGCACAGGTAGAGATCTAGTCGATACCAGTAGAGAGCATGGTCATAGTGCAGTCTCCATGGAGACCATGGACTCCTATGGACTCACATGCAAGAGAGCACTGAGCCATATGCGAGGAAGGCCAGGCACAGCCATGAGGAGGACCAAGCTCAAGGAGCAGGCACAGCCACGAAGGGGACCAAGCTCAAGGAGCATGCAGATGGTTACCACTCAGGGGCTCGAGAGACAAGAGTCAAAGGAACCATCACCAGTCAAAGGAGAAGGAGCAGTGTATAGGTAACCAGCAAGCAGGTCCTGAGGAGGAGGAGCAGTGTCGAAGGAGTTGACACCACTCAGGAGGCACAGGGGTGCCAAACAAGCAGGATAGCAAGGAGGAGGAGCAGTGTCGAAGGAGTCGACACCACTCAGGAGGCACAAGGGTGCCAAACAAGCAGGATAGCAAGGAGGAGGAGCAGTGTCGAAGGAGTCGACACAGCTCAAGAGGCACAGGGGTGCCAACCAAGCAGGATAGCAAGGAGGAGGAGCAGTGTCGAAGGAGTTGATAGCTCAAGGAGGACAGGAGTGGTGCTAGAGGGGCCCCCTGTACAAGTACTCGATGAAGAAGGTACTCTCTGGAGAGAGAGCAGGAGCAGCATTGCTGGCGATGCTGTGAAGAGGTATATAACCATGCTTTCTCATCATCAAAGGTCAAGTGGATCCTCATCCACTCTACACAACCATCATAACTAGTTATCACTTCAGCATAAGTATATATTAGTTTCAGTCAGCATAGCAGCAATCTATCAAGGTTGCTCCTCATCGTAGTGTGTGTGTTGTATCACCACTACCTGACATCTGAAGGTGCCCCATAGCAGGTTAGCGGTCCAGATCAAGATAGAACTGAAGGCAGTAGTCCACTGCGGTCCGGGGATCACCTCAAGCATCAGTCAACACACTGGACACTCGTGTTGATGCCACCAACCTTATCACCAACACCATCAACCTCATCATCATCAACACCCATACCAGACCTTGGTGTCATCATAACCTACACAGTGATATTGATCGTGCCGAGCTACCCCTGAATGGAGTGCCCACAGAGGTCAGCCAAAACCTACGATAGTATATACAACGAACGCCACCCACTGTCATCACACAACTTGATAGTCACCAAACAACTAGCTCATCAAGACCAATACTGAGACAATAGCTGTTGCACAACTTGATAGTCACCAAGTATCTCGACAGACCGACCTGGGTTTCTGGCGCGAGACCCCTGACATTAGGGTCCTCTCAAGCCTGAATGAAAAGATGTGATGGGATGATCACAAACTCCTGGATCCAAGAGTGGCCTCAGTGCATGCATGGCAATGCAAGATTTTCGCAATGCTATCTGTCATCCCTTTTGCAAGAAATGTACTTGACAGAAAGGCAACTACCTTCGAAGATGCCGACTCAATGCTTAGCTCAATCATCATGTGGAGCTTCTCCAACAAGTTATGCACTGAGTACTTTGCCAAGCACAGTGACAAACCCATGCTCATTGCAGTAGATCTCTTTGATTGGGCAGTAAACAAATGTACAGTACATTCCAACATTAAAGAGTATGAGCTCCTTGTGGTAATTCTGGATCTGCATTGGGATCAAGTGGGGAGTCATGCATATGACTTCCTCATCAAATGGGAAGCACATGTATCAGAACTACATGAGTACCTGAAAGACACATGGATGCTGGACTACCATTATAGGACCCTCAAACATGCTCTTCCCTCCAGTCAAAATGCCCTCTTTAACTCAGTATTTGTATTGCACGAGAAGGTACATGGTAGAAACCAGACTATTGAGAGTGTATCAGATGTCCTCCACCAATGCTATGAGCTGGCTGCTGAAAATACACCTATGATTCGCTGCTGCACAACTGAGGAGTCAGAGCTGGTTGCATTGCATGTGTCAGGGGTCTCGCGCCTGAAACCCAGGTCGGTCTGTCGAGATACTCGGTGACTATCAAACTGTGCGACAGCTATTGTCTCGGTATCGGTGACTATCAAGTTGCGCAGTGACAGCAGGTGGCGTTCGTTGGATATACTATCGTAGGTTTCGGCTGACCTCTGTGGACACTCCATTCAGGGGTAGCTCGGCATGATCAATATCAATGTTATGATGACACCAAGGTCTGGTGTGAGTGTTGATGATGATGAGGTTGATGGTGTTGGTGATGAGATTGGTGGCATCAACACGAGTGTCCAGTGTGTTGACTTGATGCTTGAAGTGATCCCCGGACCGCAGTGGACTACTGCCTTTGGTTCTATCTATATCCGGACTGCTAACCTGCTATGGGCGCCTTCGGATGTCAGGTAGTGGTGATACAACACACACACTACAATGAGGAGCAACCTTGATAGATTGCTGCTATGCTGACTGTAACTAATGAGTACTTGTGTTTCTAAAGTATTGACTAGTTGTATGGTGAGTAGAGTGGATGAGGATCCACTCGACCTATGATGATGAGAAAGCATGGTTATATACCTCTACTCAGCATCGCCAGCGATGCTGCTCCTGCTCTCTCTCTCCAGAGAGTACCTTCTTCATCGAGTACTGCTCAGGGGCCTCTCCTGCTTGGCACCCCTGTGCCTCTTGAGCTGTGTCGACTCCTTCGACACTGCTCCTCCTCCTCATGACCTGATGTCAACTCCTTCGACACTGCTCCTCCTCCTCATGACCTGATGTCGACTCCTTCGACACTGCTCCTCCTCCTCATGACCTGGTGTCGACTCCTTTGACACTGCTCCTCCTCCTTTGATCAGTGACAGTTCCTTTGGCTCTTGTCTCTCGAGCCCCTGAGTGGTAACCATCTGCATGCTCCTTGAGCTTGGTCCTCTTCGTGGCTGTGCCTGCTCCTTGAGCTTGGTCCTCCTCGTGGCTGTGCTTGGCCCTCCTTTGCATGTGAGTCCATAGGAGTCCATGGTCTCCATGGAGACTGCACTACGACCATGCTCTCTACTGATCTCGACTAGATTCTTCGATACCTGTGCTCCTTCCATATGAACCCGTGACCCTCCTGCTTCTTGAGCATCCAGGCCCATGACAGCATGCTGCCACACTTATTAACTGTTGGGCATGCAGCAAGCTTGGCCATGCAGCTAACTGTTGCCCTAATGATGCTGCTCACACTTGTTGGAAAGATGGCAAGGTCAAGGTACTGCCAAAAGGCTGTGCTAATACATGTATAGTATTACCACTTGAGAACCCTCAGGAGGAATAGGATACAGTGCCAGTCTTAGCATTCTCCACAGAAGTTGAGCCAGCACCATTTAGCATACCACCTCAGCTTGTACTGTTTGTGTTTGATTCAGGTGCATCCTGTGTGATGGTCAACTCCACACATCATGGGAAAGGGTGGTGAGACATGATGGAAGCAGTCAGCATAACTACTGCCAATGGTGGGCAGCTCTCAGCAACCAAGATGGGAGAGACAGTCAGCCTCCTAAGCTTCAGTCCCAAGATGCAGTGCTGGGAGCAGATGACATATCAAGACTGTCTCCTTGTCCCTAACCTGGTAATGAACCTTATCAGGACCAAATCAGTCACACATGCTCAGGGCAAGGTGACATTTGAGAATCAACTTGTAACTGTTCAGGATAAACATGGTCATGTGATCTGTGTACCAATGAGTGGCAATGGTTACCCAGCTGCTGCCATAATGATCTGGAATGACAAAATGGCCAAGCCTGCCATCTCCCTTGCCTTCACAGCAACCCCTTCACATATGGAAAGCACTCATGGAACCCATGGCAAGGCAAACTTGTGGCATCGCAGACTAGGTCATGCCAGTCATGAATCAACCTTGTGAACACAGATGGTGACACTCTCCCATGACATTCCTTTGGCCCCTGCTATTCATCCTGGCACCCTTTGTGACATCTGTGTTCAGAGCAAAGCAACTGCCAGAACCACAGCTCATCCTCAGCATGTTAAAGTGCCACTTGAGCTAGTGTCCATGGATGTAATGGGACCACTGCATGGCACAATGACATTTGCCTATGTCCTTATCATTCACAATGCATACTCAGGTATGATCTGGATATGAGGACTGATGAACAAGGGTCAAGCAGCTCAAGAGGCAGGATGGTGGTTCTCCGAGGTTCGCATTGCCACACATCGGAAGCCCTCAGAAGTAGTATTTGATCATGGTATTAAAGAAGTGAGGGTGGATCAAGGTGAGTTATGGTCCACTGCCTTTTGTGATCTATGCTCCTCAACAGGTGTGAAAGTCACTGCCTCCCCAACCCAACAGCATTCTGACAATGTGTTCACAGAATGGGCGATCCAAATCATTCAAAAGATCACCCGAAGCATCCTCTATGATGCTAATGTGGCCAAATGCTGGTGGCCATATGCTATCTCCCAGGCTGCCTTCATTCACAACAGACTGGCAGGAACAATGCAGGGACATGTCACCCCCTTTGAGCTCTTCTACAGGAAACATCCTGAGCTATGCCAGATCTGGCATTTCGGCTGCATAGCATACATCATCCTCAGAGGAAACACTTGCACAACATGGTTGTGAAAACACCTGATAGTTAGTAAGCACCTCTGCACACAAGCTCTCCATGGAGTCTACTTGGGGTTCTCAGATGCTCCATGTGCAGTCAAGGGCCACTGGGTATGGCTTCTGGAACTAGACCACATCATCATTTCAAAGGATGTATGATTCTCAGAACTTGAGCAACTGGAACCTGGAGCCACTCCAGCTCATCCACCAGTTCTCGCCAGGAACAGTGAGCTCCTACAGTCATACACATGGCTCCCTCACAGTGATGACCATGTTCAGGAGGAACCCAATGATGATGCAACACTGTATCTGCCATCTTACTCCCACCAGAGGAACTCGAGCTCATGTTCAGTTTCACCAAATGCACCAAGCTACAACTGGGAATGGGATCATATGATGGCTGAGATCGAGGCAGCAGGTGAGGTTGTGGTGGACCTCAACATGATTGCTGCTGACCTGGAAGCCAAACTTGATGCCACTCCATCTGAGGGGGGGAACAGTTCACTGAGCCAAGACCAGGTACTCTGGAATGATCTGGAAACCGTGTCTCTACTCAGAATGCTGGGCAGCAACATAATGACAGACATATATGATGATGTCTCTGTACTTGGGCCCACTCCTGCTGAGACACTGACTCAACCCAGTTTACTGGCCTTTGCAGCAACATGTTTGGGAACTCAGGCACTCACATTTGGGAACAATCATCTCGACCACATGGCATTCACTGTCACAGTAATGAATGGTACTGCACTCATTGCAAGTGGTCAACAGATGCACAGTGCCAATGGAATCCTACTAGAACCACTGTCACTCAACAAAGTGAAGATGCACAGTGCCAATGGAATCCTACTAGAACCACTGTCACTCAACAAAGTGAAGATGCACAGTGCCAATGGAATCCTACTAGAACCACTGTCACTCAACAAAGTGAAGATGCATGACAACTGGGACAAGTGGCAAGAGGCAATAATAAGTGAGATGGCCAGTATGAAGAAGATGGATGTGTTTGAGCTTGCTGACACCCCAAATGATGGCAAGCTCATTGGCATATGTTGGGTATTCAAACTCAAGCTTGACACACAACAGCAGGCTACATGGTACAAAGCATGCCTAGTCACTCAAGGGTATGCACAGTGGCAAGGCCTGGATTATGATCAGACCTTCAGCCCTGTGGTCCACCTACAGACTGTCCACATGCTACTCACCCTTGCCTGCAGGTACAGACTACATGTCATTCAACTTGACATCAGTATGGCATTCCTGAACAGAAAGATTGACAAGGATGTCTATGTCCAGATACCCCCAACATTCAAAATGAATGAGACCAATGGAAAGTGTTACAGACTAAAGAAGGCACTTTACAGCCTCAAACAAGTGGGGCACCTGTGGCATGCTGCACTCAACAAGCAACTACAAGCCTTCAGATTCTGACAATGTCGATCAGAACCATGCATATATATGCATGGTTCAAACAATGCAATGGTGTTCCTGGCAGTCTATGTAGATGATCTGCTTGTTATCAGAGCAACTGCTGCATGGATACAATTGGTACAACAACAACTTTCTAGCATCTTCAGCATCACTGACCAAGGGGACATGGCCCACATTATCAGCTTAAGCATACAATACAATTGTGAAGCATGTACCATCTCAATCAACCAGAGTGGGTACATCAAAGGAACTCTGGCAAAATTCAGAATGGATGATGCATGGGCAGCCTCAACACCTGCAACCAAAGCAATCAATACTCTCAAGCCATGAGAGGGAGACATCACAAGTGCTGAAGAGGTGAGAAACTATGCTTCACTTGTAGGATCATTGTTGTGGATCACACAAGGCAGCAGGCCTGATATTGCATTTGCCATTGGTAGATGTGCAAGATTTGTAGCGAACCCATTGGGAGAGCACCTCGCAGCTGCTAAATGGATCCTAAGATACCTCAAGGGAACTACAAAGGTGAGTCTGACAGCAATGACCCAGACAAAAGGACAGATACTCATGGGGTGGGCCAACAGCAACTGGGCTGGTTCATGTGACTGCAGGAGGTCTACTTCTGGGTACATTTTCACTATCGACAGGCTTGTGTGCAGTTGGTCTTCTTGGCTCCAACCAATGGTGGCAAACAGTTCTGTGGAAGCCAAGTATGTGGCACTAGCAGTAGCAGCTAGAGAGCTGTTATGAACCTCAATATTTTTGAATGAATTGGAACAACCCATGTTGAAATCAACCAGGATCAATGTAAGTGCCAGGACGTTGGTTCTACACTCCCATGATGGGGAGCTCACCTTCAATCAAGATGTACCAGTCCTACACAGCAACTCATCTGGTGCCCACACTATCACAAGTGACCCTCAACATTTCAAGAGGACAAAGCACATTGACATTGCCCACTTTTTCTTGAGAGACAAAATTGCAAGTCAGTGGCTCACTATTGCCCCAGTCCAGAGCAGCAAGAATCTAGCTGATATCATGACCAAGCCACTTGCAGCACCAATGATTCAACATCTCTGTCACTCATTTGGGTTGACAACATCAGAAAGACATGCTGGATTGAGAGGGGGTGTTGAAGGACACAATCCAGTGACAATGCTAATGGGTGATGCAAAGATGACGAGATCAGAGATTGGGGATAACTGATCTTGTTAAGGATCAGGTACAACCAAGTCCTGCTCATTGTCAGGCTGGATCATTAACTATAGAGACTCCCACACTCAGCATGTGCCATACTTTTGTATATATATTGAGCAGAGAGCACTAGGCTCTTGCCACATTCTCTTAGTCAATTTAGTATATGTTTCTGCTGTAACAAAGTAGTGACATTGTACTTAGACTATCCCCGATCACCAGTATCGGGACCATAAAACTTCTTTACTTGTAACATCTTACTGGATCGTAATCTTCAGCAAGTGTTGCTCAAAAGCACTTTTTTTTTCCCTTTTTCTTTCATGTGGAGTTGATTTTCCGACACCCGCGATCCGCGATTCGAGTGCATCGTACAACCAATAGAAGAATAAGCAACTAGAGCTTTGAAATCTGTTTGTCGGTACCTGCACATCTTCTTCTCGTGCTCTCTGTCCACTAACGGGAATGCCTCGCTGGCTTCCTTGCCGGTCAAGTCAATGGGTTTGACACAGTTCCATTTCCGTAGATGGGATAGATACTGGAAAGAAAGTCATGCAAGTAGGGTATCATAGTGTGAGAGGTGTGATTCCTTCATTCATCTTCGATCGCGCGCCCGCCCTCGCGCCTCTTGGCCTCGCTCCAAATCTGTCGAGGCCTTGTCATCATCCAGTGGTACTGAAACTTTGCTGCTACTGTTGTTCGTGCTCAGCGAGGGAGTGCTTCGACTGGCGATGCCTTCAGAGCGTGACGGCTCTGCACTACCACTCGCTCTCGATCGACTTGGTGATCTCTGGCAACCGAGAATCTGCGCCAATGCGTCCGGGGCACGGGAACGACTCCTTGCTGTTGATGAGCGATGAGCTTGTGTATGATCTGCCGTGATGGGTGCTGCCAGAACTGGCTGTGGCTCTACACTGCGCCCGTACAAGAAGCCGGCAGCACCACCTGCGTCGTGAGACAGCGAATAGTTGGACTTCGATCTCGAGATAGATCGCTGGGCAAAGCGCTCTGGTGACCCTGATTCTCCACTGTGACGGCTGCGGCTCCTCGAGTGGCTTCGACCACGGATAGCGATGGGACCTGTCCTGTGCAGACTAGCAGAGTGCGATCCAGCACGGCTGTCGCTGCTTGTTCCGTCTTCTCCGTTCCAGGTTGTGTTCTCATCAAGATCAGCCATCCTTGCCCTTGGCAAACGGCCGCGACGTTCAGAGTCGGCTGGGCTGTCACAGCGGTCCCTGGAAGCAGAGTGAATCCAGTGATGTTGCGAGTTGAGCGAGCTTCCAAGGTGATGCGACATCCAAGCAGGGTCTCGGTCTCGGTTGGGCGTTGAGCTGCCGCTGACATCTGTGCTGCGGTTGCGGCTCGAGTCACGGTACTGCAGCGATAGGCGCGAAGTCGACCTCGATCGTCGTCTAGCGCTGTCGCCATCCTCGATCGGCATGGACGGCGACTGGGCTGTTGATGCACTACCTGAACTGTCGTGAGCAAGCTGAGCGGGACGGGTTCGGGCGAGGCTCGATGAGCGTCTTCCGCGTTCCGTCCGCTGGAACTGGTCGCCAATATCCGCTCTGTCGAAGCTTGGTGGTGGCGAAATCTTTGCGGCCTGCGGGCCCGATGGCGAAGTTTTGCCGTCTTGGTGATCGCTGGCAATTGGTGGTGCTGTCCATCGCTCTGGTTCGACAGAGAAGCCCTTGGTTCCAGAGATTGCAGCCGTTGTGGAAGTGCACATGGAGTGATTGCTCTGCATTGCGGTAGAGACGCCAAGAATGCTGGTTGGTGCAGGGGAAGGAATGGGCTCGGCTCCCTCGTGTCGAATCCAGGGACTGCTGCATAGCTTGTCGATGGTCCATCTCCGTCTCGGCTCCGGCTCCAGCAAACCACGCAGCACCTGACGTGCGGCCGCTCGATCCCAGCTCAGGCCATCCCAAGCAGGATCAAGGTGGAGGTCCTCATCCGATTCTGGATCTTCCTCAACGTCTGCTCGTGCTTTGGCCACTTCGTTGATCTCGAAGCTTTCGAGATGGTCAGCACGTCCCGGAGCTGAGCCCACGACATGGTCTGAGTGTACCGCGATCATGCGCCTTGGCAGCGCAGTGGTCGCAGGATCAGTGACCTGTCTTTCTCTCGGCAGCAAGGACGGCAACGAAGCACTGAGATCCATAGCGCCAAGGCTGCCCGGGCCGCGATTTGCGCCTGATACGCTTCGACGTTGACTGAAGGCAAAACGATCTGCTGGAGCTGCTGGTTCGACGGAGGCTCCACGATCGATGGAGCTGTTGCGCTTGGACTGGCTCTGTGTTGAGGTCAAGGTACCCGTAGATGATGCAGCAAGGCGTTCAGCTCGTCGTCGAAGCCGTGGTGGAAGTTCCCACTGCGCCCTGGCAATCTTCATCTGCAATCGGGGCTCGAAAGAGTCCGTGAAAGGCAGCTTGCCACTCAGGAGTGCGTAGAGGATGCAACCGAGGGCCCACATATCCGCCGCAAAGGGAGACTCTGGTGGCAACTCAGTATCCTCACCGGAGTATTCGGCAGCTGCTGGGCTCGCTGTGCCTGAGGTTCCTTGAGCGCGAAGGAACTCGGGTGCCGTATAAGCAAGAGAACCACCGCGTCCAGACTTTTTGCCACTCTTCTTGCCGTTGCTATCTTTTGGATTCGTCTCTTGCTTGAGAGCGCGGACAACGGCAGCAGCGCCTGGCATGCCGGTCTTACCATGGCTAGGGTCCAGGACCTGAGCTAGGCCAAAGTCTGCAACCCTCCAGCATGGCATGACAGCATGGGTGATGTCGAGTGTCTGTTTCGAAGAGAGAGAGGAAGCTGCCAAGGAGTCGATTGAGTCAGTCATGCCGGCGCTGTTTTGCCTAGATCTGACGGCACCATGATCGTCTTGCATGGCCATGCGTTGGCGCTTCTTCCATGACGTCTGATCCTGACCGAGAACGTTCTCAAGCTTGATATCTCCGTGAAGGATGTGGCTCTTGTTGTGGAGTGTGCTGAGTGCGGAAGCGAGCTGGCGCATGGTCTCGCGTGCTGCATCGATCGGGACGCCTTGGCTGCGTGAAAGTCGACTGGTGGTCCTTCGCATCAACCTGGAGCCGCTTGAAACGCTGCCAGCAGCAGAGACGGGCGAAGAAGCCACAGAGGAGGCCTCTTGACCAGCAGGAATGGTACGAAGCTGAGACGCAGCCGAGACAGAGGCTACCCTTCCGATATTGTGACGCTGTGCAAGCATGAAGCCGGAGCCTGTCCGTGGCCCCGAGTTACGCCATGATGGATCGTCCATCGAAGTTCTCAAGGAAGAGCTGCGAGAAAGCGTCGAGCGTGCAGGACTGGGGGCCACCCACGAACCTGAGCCAGACCTCCGATCATCTGATGTGAAGGGAAGCTCAGCGTTGGCAGGAAAGATGACGCTGTTGGCGCCGCCTTCGCTGCGAACAAAGTCGAGAAGGTTGCCCTGATCGCAGTAAGGCATGATCAGCAGCTCGGCAGTGGTTCCGTCGCCCCGAACCTGATCAGGGTGCGGTCCATCGAGAGCGACACGTTCGTGATGGAGGAGTGGGAGCAGATGCTGGTGTGTGGGTAAGCTCTTCCAGATGCTGAGCTCTTGCGAGTGTTGGTGCTGCTTCTTGATCTGGTCTCGAGGTTGTCGGTCCTGGCTCTGGCTCTGGCTCTGACTCTGGCTCTGGCTCTGGCTCTGGCTATGATAGACAATCTTGACTGCCACCTTGCGACCCTTGCGTTGACCATCGATGCTGGGAGCAGTGGGATCAGCGGGACCTTCTGCCTCCAGATCCCAGCCTTCACGAACGGTAGAGAAACCGCCAAAGCCTATGGTCTTGCCTAGAAGATATCGGCCAGAGGGACCTACACGAGCACCTTCATCATCGCTGCGTGGTGGTGGATTGGGAGCTGTGGTGGCCTTGGCATCATAGAGCTGCGCAGCTGCACTACCGAGACCACGCCAAGAAGCAAAGCCAGGAGCTGCAGCGGAGCCGTTGCGGGTCTCATCGCGCATCAATGAGGCGCCGAGACTGCGGTGACCTGAACGTGGCGGACTGTATGAAAGCGAGCGGTTGTCGGAGGAGGTTGATGGTTGAACTACACTGTTGAGGCTGGAGAAGGCGCTAAGAAAATCGGTGGCGGGAGAGCGAACTGCTGGAGATGAGGTGTCTTGTGACGTGGAAGTGGGAGATGCGTAGGCGAAGTCTGTAGCAGTGGGACCAGGTGTGAGCTTGCCATCTGTGCGGAGTGATGGTAGATTTGTGGCTGGTTGTGGTGATGGGTGCGGGCGCAAATGCAGCTGCGGCTGCGGCTGCGGTTGATGCTTCTCAACAATGGACGAGTGATTAGCATCAACCTCGGGAGTAGCGGCAGCACTACGTTCCCACCACATGCGGACCTTGGAACCAACAGAGGTGTCTTTTTGCGGGAGTGCGGCCGAGTTGACCGCCAAGGTTGGTTGCTGGCTATCATTGTGAGCTGCGGAGCTGCGACGCCGCCTTCCTCGCTTTGCAGCGTCCTCGGATGTCTGCAGGTTTTGCGACTCTGGCGGAGCATCTTGTGATGTGGAGCGGGAGGTGGAAGCCTGATGGTGAAGGTTGGAGATAGAGTTGGTGTCGGAGTTGTTGCGGGAGTCGGAGCGGGTGAGGTTGGGGTTGGAAGCTGCTGCGGAGATGGATCCGGAACCATTTTGAGATGGAGGTGATCCGATACCTAAGCGGGCTGCAGCTACACTGGAGAGATCGAAAGAGTTGTGCCAGTCGTCCGCAGAGAGAGAGGCGCTAAGGCCGCTGGGATCGAAGAGGGGTACATCATCCTCGGAAGGAATCTGGAGCGGGGCAGCCCTTGGTGGCTCCATCCGATTGCCTGGGCGGCACTCTAGTGCGGAATAGCTGCTGATGCGGGCGGGCGGTGAGCTAGGACTGGACTGGGAGGTCAGCAGACGAGCGTGAGAAGCAGCTTCAACGTTGAAGGCGGTTGTGATGAGGCTGCAGGGTGATGATGGATGGTGGATGGTTGGAGATGATGGAGGAGCACGCAAAGAGGAGTTGCCGACCAGGACTGCGGAAGACAGAATGGGAGCGGATCGTGCCAGGTTGTTGTTGTTTTTTTTTTTTTTTTTTTTTTTTATTGGCTGGATTGTGGTGGGCTCTTGGGTCCGTCGGGGCTGCTCGGACCGTGTTACGGTTGCTATCGAAAGAGCCGCTTAAGAGATGATATCGTTCGGACCGTTGATTGTTGCGGAAGGCAAGTACGGACTGCGGAAGATGATGAGGAGTTGGAGGGAAAAGGCTGAGTTGTGACTGGACAGAGTGCAAAAAAAAGAAAAAGAAAAAGGGACACCATCGGGTTGCGGAGAGTATCGGCCAATTCGGCGGGTAAATGTGAAATGTGTCGATAGTGAAATTATGTGAGCTCTATTTCGATCTCACAATTTTCGCCACCTTCGCTTACTCGGATCCGTGTCATGTTGTCCCAGGTCATATCGGCTCGTGTCAGGCCGATTATCGCGATAGGCATCGGCATGGAGGAACGACAGCAAAAAGGGCAAGAAAAAGAAAAGAAATAGAAAAGAAAAAGAAAAGAAAAAGAAAAGAAAAAAGAAAAAAAAGAAAAAGAAAAAAAGAAAAAAGAAAAAAGAAAAGAAAAAAAAAAAAGAAAAAAAGAAAAAAAAAAAAAAAAAAAAGGTAACCCCGTATGGATGGGAAGAGGTCCGGGACAAGGCTCTGATAGGCGACAATCGTTCAGGTTTACTAGTTGAGAAAAAGAAGCGGATGTGTCGACGAGAGCTTTGAGGCAATGTGCAGACGCGATGAGTTAAAGATGAAGAGCAAAGACCCGTTGCGATATCGGCCAAGGCCGCGGAGGAGGTTGTGCTGAGCGGAGAGAGCGAGCGCGCTTGTGAGGCACGGTTTGACACTCGAGGAATGCACTATTTGAGCCTCGAGAGATGCAAATAGAGCGCGTCTGTGGGATTTCCCCTTGCTGGCCTTCATCTTGCTCAAGGCTGCGGATGTTCGCCATTGGAGGGCGATGCCCTTACCCACTCTTCATGAGTAAAAGTATGTGTGTGGGAAGGATCATTGCATCCATCAAGAGTCAATCAGAATGACGTTGGGCTTGGAAGAATTTCAACTAGATCTCGCAGTTAAGGCGTTGAGAGTGTTCACTGAGATCATCGCAGATGAGGCTGATCAGGCCAAGCGCGTCTCATCGACGGCAACAAGCTGTCTTGTGCACTTTGTGATCGGCCACCGACAACCGCCTTGGCAAGAGAGGATTCCTCACTTTTGGCGTTGCACCTGAACTGAATAGCTTCTGACTGCGACGCTGCTTTTGACACACGCAGGGAACGCGATCTCAGTTGCGCAAATGAGCACGATCGTACTCTCATCCATCCACGCGCTTAGTAGTCTCTCTGTAAGTGGCTGCACATGGAAAAGAGCGGATCAGGGTCGTGTCCTGTTCTCTTTGCATGTGCAGAATCAGTGGCATAAGGGCGCCGTCTGCTGCGCACAGAACACAGTGTGTGTATATATATATATATGTGTGTGTGTATATATATATATATGTGTGTGTATATATATATATATATGTGTGTGTATATATATATATATATGTGTGTATATATATATATGTGTGTGTATGTGTGTGTGTATGTGTGTGTGAACTTTAGCAGAAGACGGCAACTCAACTCAGAGCAACTCAACACGGAGCAACTCAACTCCTCAGATCAGATTCACAGCTTCGGCATTTCTGTGGGGATGAGTGCCGTTTGCTTTTGCATTTCTCCCCTTTATTGCCCTTGAAAGGCGCAACAAGAGCGTGTCGGTCGTGTTCTTTGCTTCATTCTAGACGTGTGCCAAGGTCTATTCTCTCTTCTGCCTAAATACCCTCGCCTTTGTCTGCCTTCCCGCTTTCCTTCCTTTCCTTCTTCCCTCCTCCATCCATCCTTTCGAGTCCATCTGACCATCCCAAAACCTTTTATTCGCACCACCACCCCCATTTTACTAACACAACAATGCCTCCCAAGAAGACCGGTGCTGCTGGTGCTAAGAAGGGCAAGTCCTCCGCCTACAACAAATACATGAAGGACCAGCTCGCCAAGCTCAAGACCGAAAAGCCCTCCATTACTCACAAGGAACGCTTCAAGCTTGCTGCCACCTCTTGGGCTTCGTCCAAGGAGAACCCTAAGAACAAGGCCTAAGTTGTTCTTGTTCGCCTTTTCCTTCAAGATCTTTCTCCCATCCATCCATCCATCCATCCATCCATCCGCTATCTGGAGACTGGCTGGTCGAATGTCGTGACGCGTCTTTGCGATCGGGCTTTGCTTTTCTTTCATCGTCGTTCCTTCTCTCAAGAAGGAATCGCGCTGAACGACAACGCGTGCTTCGTCGCGTCCGGGTCGTACTCTGTACCTTGCCATTCCATCTCGCTGATGTGTAAGTGTCTTGCCACTCGCTTCCCTCTTTCCTGTGCCACTTGTTTCGACGCGTTTCCATTCTTGCCGATCTGGCGTACAAGCTACCAAGCTCTGTGCGAGCTCAGTTGCGCTGTTTCATGATGCAATACACTTGCGCTCCATGAGCCCTCATCTCATGTAGATACACACGCGAACGGGGCAACTCGCAATTCTCCTGCGCTTTGACTTTGTAATTCCGTCGAATTTGCACAGAGCGAGCGAGTCCCACTTGGAACGCGTCGCCCCTTTCTCTCGCCGCCCTTTTCTCTCGTCGCCCCTCTTGGCTCCAGGCAGATTGCCATCCGGATGCAGAATCACAGCAGGGTCTTGCATGCACCTTCGCTGCAGGGCCTCGACGCGTCTCACTCGGCTAAACTTGTGAATTTTGACAGCTAGAGAACAACTTGACTGACGCTTTCTCCTCTCTCTCATTCCTTCTGCCGACCTTCTCTGTTCGTGATCGTCCTGTTTACCATGGCGTCTTTGTCGTCGTTTGCAGTGTAATACTATGCCCCCCTGTTTTTTTTTTTTTGTTTTTTTTTTTGTTTTTTGTTTTGTTTTTTGTTTTTTGTTTTTTGTTTTTTTTTTTTTTTTTGCTTCCCCTCTGTATTACGAGTGCGCTTGTTCGAATTTGAACAATGATGATCGACACGATCGGGCCGCGAGGATGCTTCCACGGCTGAACATTCTGTCGCTCGATCAAATTCACCATCAGCGCTTGTCATCGTGGGACACCCTGAGCAGCTTATCCTCGTGATCGTCACAGCCTTTTTTTTTTTTTGTTTTTTTTTTTTTTGGTAGATCTGCGGAATCTCATGTTGACCATTACTAGAACCATTACAGATAAGAAAACAAGGTAGGAAAATCAAGTCTAGCAAGCAGGCAACCGCTTCAACTGTCTCAAAGGAGACTTTGCAGGTAAAGTACCCGGGTTTCTACTCGATCCTGACTTGACCGAATCTCTCGCTCCACCACTGGCATCGCTTTCGCAGGTCAAAAGAGAGCTGTTGGAGGTACTTATGCCCGACACTGTCAGAGCTGGCGAGTTGAGAGTATTTGGTGAATTGGGTCTCCTACCTTTCTCCCAAGGCTTTCGTGGAGGGAGAAGGGAGAGATCGCTTGGTTTGTCACTGGATCCAGCGCTTGCTTTAGAAGATTGGTTCGAGTGGAGTGAGACAGCGTTGGACCAAGTTGATGCTGCAGAATTATGTCTCGAGTTGATGAGCTGCTCTTCATCCAGCTGCTCAGCAATAGCTCGCCCTCGGTTAGCTTGGTCTTTGCTACCTTTTAGCGTCTGCGAATCCTTCGAGCCATCTTGCCCGCCTGCACGCTGCCAAAAGCTAAAGACACTAGGCGAGTAGGAATCTTCAGTGCCACTGCCTTGCCCAAACACACTTCCCGCATCATCCTCCACCGCAAAGGAAAGACTCTTGGAACTGGCCATATCCACCAGTTCCAAATCAACAAATCTATACGTTCCCTCTGCATCAAGCCTGGCTGTGACAGGCAACTTTGACAATCCGCTCGCAATCTCCGGAGTCTCGGTGATGCGACTATCTTCATCTGTCAGGCCTGCACCTGCATGCCCTCTTACACAGCCACCATCAGTAATGTCAAAAACGCGATAGATCCCATTGGTGCGGTTGATGACAGCAACACTATTGCAGCTCCTCCTTGCCAATGTAGCCTTGGCCATGAGTAAGCGTGCATCGTGGTCTTTGTGGTGTGCGCGACCGACACGTAAAGCGCACGAACGGACTGCTTCGAGCGATCGCATACGGAGAATGTCGATGTGCGAAACAGCTTGGTTGGTCTTGGGTAGGTAAGAGCGGAAGGCGTCTTGATGCTTGCCTGCTCGATGACGCACAGGCATGCTGAGCGGGAGGAAGGTGGATTGGCGGAGGGTGATACAGACGACGTATGTTGCTTTGACTGCGCCAGTGCCGTTGCAGTGCTTGCAACCTACCCAACCAGGCTTGTGGCCGAGTCGTTGGTGGTGTGGACTACTGCAGACGGTGCAGCGTACGACACAGGTGGTGTCGCTGAGCTCGATGAACGAACGCAGCTTCTTGCGCTCAACAATGGCTCGGCTGTCAATCTGACAATCCCACGGGCTGAAAACGAGGGGCGGCTCATCCAGCACCTTGGCACATCCCTCTGCTGGACCCTTGACGAGCCAGTTGCCTTGCCTGTGCTCGGTGTAGACCTGCATCTTGAGCTCTGCACTTTCAAAGCGGCTGAGAAGGACAAGGTCAAAGTTGGCTTCTCGCTCAGCGAGCTCTTTGTCGCGTTTGAGCATCTTGTCGTGAGAAGAGGTGGAGCTGCCGGTCATCGAGCTCGATCGGCTACGGACAGTGGATTCTGAGAAAGAAGCTGCAGCACTGGCGGGCATAGGATCGTGTACAAGAGGCTGGTTCGCAAAAGAAGCTTTGGCTTTCTTGTTGCCAAATGAGATTTTTTTGCGCAGAATCTTGCCTTTCCACTGTCCACTGGAAGAGGAGGAGGATTGCACTGCCAGCCACTCATTCAGTCCTCTCTGCTCGAATTGCTTGGCAGCACGAGATGACCCTTGAGCAGAGTCGAGTTGTGGCTGAGACAGATGGTCAAGCGCAGCCGCGATGATGCGTCGACGAAGACCGAATACGCTGGGTGCTTCTGTCTGTGCAAGATCAATGTCATTGTACTGGATGTGGAGCTTTGCGACCTGATTGCGAAGCGAGGTCTCGACCCAGTCGGGGTCCATGGACGACGAGGCGGCGCTGCTGGCCGAAGCGCTAGAGATGTCGGACTCGATGTGATCTTCGCTGTCGTTGTTGTGAGAAGGGCGATGGTGGTGTAGGAGCTCAGAGCCGTCGTCGTCTGCATCTACGTCGGTGGGCACCGAGGGAAGAGGTTTGAGGCAACGTATTGCGTCCTGTATAGTGTTGATATGGCGTGTGGTTACCGTTACCGTGAGGGCCGGTCGGAAAGTCGACTTGCCGGTGGCGCTGGTTGCGGAGGAGAGCGCAGATGAAGGGCCTGTCGGCGAAGCAGCAAAGGCGGACCGAGAAGAGCGGGATTGATTTACGCAAGCATTATGAGAAGCAGCGATAGGACCGGCTGTTCGGCTGGAGCTAGCCAAGTTAGAAGAACGGTATCGAGTCAGGTCGGGCATGACTTCGGAGAGCGAGCTTAGAAACTATTCGGCAACAAGGTTGCGAGACTGTGCACTGGGCGTGGCGGAAGTTGGGGCGGCACAAACTGTAATAGTACTAGATTGACCTGGCTAAGATAGCAGTTGATGTGTGCGCGCTCCGCTTGGACGCCGGTGGAAGTATGTCTGGCAAAGCAGCGTGGTGGATAGGAGCGAGGCTGGCAGAGGAGCGTGATGGGTGATGAAGAAGCGATCCGTGCTCTTAGCTTTGCAGAACAAAGTTCGCGAGGGCTGGCGAGAGCTGTGCGTCTGTTTGTGATGAATATGGGATCTAGAGGTAATCCGGAGAGTTGAAGGCTGGTGAATAGATACAGAAGACAAGAGCTTTTGCCTGATAGGAGAATAGGCTGTAGTGTGGATGGGTGACAGGAATCGAGCCTTGGCCGACAGTTTGTGGGATTGGTGGCAGAGTTGCGGCTGCTTGTTGGTGAAGGCACTATGGGTTGTCAGAAAAGCTGATGTGGTGTATTGGCGGACAGGTGTGCTTTGCAAAGAGGAGCTGGTCAAAGTGGCGACGATGGAGTTGGTGTCTGTGGTGAGAGATGGATGGTCGAGGTGATGGAGCAAGCTTGGAAGCGGATATGAAGTTATGATGGAGATGCGTGTATGCCAAGCTGGTTGAATGCGTTGGTCACGAACAAGGAACAAAAGCTGGCAAAGGTGGGAAGAGCTGCTCTGTCGATCTTTGTTCCAGAGTGTTGAGCGAGCGCATGACAGTGCCGCTTTTTGGCGGATGGACAATAAGCAAAGACACACCAAATGTGGATCTAGGAGAGCGGAGATGGAATCTAGAGAGGAAAGAGATGTCTGGCAAAGGGAGCGGCCCACGGTTGATGGCATACGGTTGATGGCATACGGTTGATCGGCTTCTGATGAAGGCCGAAGCGACACTGACATGGAACGGCTTCGAAGCAGTGTAGCAACGCAAAGATGGCAACAAACGCTTGGAATTGTGTGGCCCAGCTGCAGTAAAAGATAGATTGGATCAGGATGCTGCTGCCCACCAAACCATCGGCCAAGCCCAAGTTGCTTAGAGACTGACAAATGAGTGTGTGAAGAAGGGGAATGCTATGCTCCACCATGTGTGAATCCGTCTGGGTTTGAACATGTCTCTCTGATCTGACTGCTCTCCGAGGGACCGCAAACTCAGCTCTTCTCCGGGCTGCCAGCGAACTTATGGCAACTGGATGTGCCCTTTGCTCCTTCCAGCTTGACACAGCCGAGGAGAAGCTTCCTGTCGATCCCTTGGCAGTTGCCACAGAGGCCTTTCTTTCTCATACTGTAGAAATTTCGAGGCTCGTTGAATCGGCATTGTCCCAAAAAGGAACCCCTTCATTCACTTTGGTCGATCGGGGTCGGGGAGATCGGCTTTCCTTCCTGTTGCTTTATCATTGACACGACAAACTCTCTTGACACACCAAATTCGCACTGAGCAGCGCCAAACAATGACCGAAAACAAGTCAACAAAATGGCCGGGTTAGGTTTGGTGGAACTTCAGAAGGCTCGCCTGAGGTGTCTCGTGTTCCTGCCTTCTTGTCGCTTCAGCAAAGCAGATCGGAAAGAAAGCTGAAAAAAGTTGAAATTACAAACACCACGGGACACGTATATCTCTACTAAAAGGCCTTAATGCTTTGTATATATTCCTTTCCCGCCACTGACACTAGGTGAGTCATAATCATAGACCGTCCCTCCAGTGGCCACCCCCCTTCATAACCGTTGCCATGTCAACCTACCACTCGGCATACCTCATATCTCGGTGTCAACCCTCGAGAGTAAGCTGCATATGCTCTCACAAACTTCGCTCTTATCTCGGTCGCGCCGGCACCTCGCTTAATTTCGGCCTTCTGGTCCCGAATACCAGCGATCTAACATGTCAGGCACCTGGAAATACCGGCTGCGAAACATGATCCTTTGTTAGACCTTGTTTCTCCCACAAGCACCTGCCTTTTTTTTGTCTTTTTTTTTTTTTTTTTTTTTTTTTTTTTTTTCCCGCTCACGCTTGGTCCGTGCTTTTTGTCCTCCACCAACAACCGTGGGAAGAAATGCAGACACAGAAGGACTCTGTCGACATCAAAACCTCGTTCAGCATCAGAGCATCTCTCAATAACCTCCTATCACACCCCAATCTAAACTGGCTTTAACATACACAGCATGTCTGTAAGTATGCAGCTCAAGCATGAGCTTTTGTGTGATAAATGGAGCTGACATATTGCGACTCTTTCCTTGTGCTCTGTCTCTCACTCAGTCTCAGTGGGAGGTTCGATTCAGCAACTCCCGCAGGCTGCCATACTTTTACCACCCTGTCACTCAGCAGTCGACATGGGAGATTCCTCAAGGTCACACAGAAGAGTCCATTTGCTCGCTCCCAGGCGCCAAGTATCTCGATCCAGCCAACGCACCCGCTGGTGCATCCGACAAACCGGACAAGGTGCGAGCCAGTCACCTTCTCATCAAGCATGCCGGTAGCCGAAGACCTAGCTCTTGGAAAGAGGCAAGTCTCATTGTCCTAGCCTGACGACCCAACCCATAAAAGCATACTGACAAGCCTTACTATCCCCTCGGACATGGGATACAGGCCAACATCACAAGATCCAAGGACGAGGCTATCGAGCAACTCAAGAAGTTCGAACAGGAGCTTCAGCAAGACTCGAGCAAGGAAACGTTTGCCTCCCTTGCCAGTGTCAACTCGTGAGTTCGACTCAAGTCAGATATAGCGCAGTAACTATCGAGCAAGTACTGATTATTGTATACTTTCAACTTCGACTCCGATGCCAACAGCGACTGTTCGTCAGCAAGGGCAGGCGGCGACCTCGGCTTCTTCCAGCGAGGTCAGATGCAGAAGCCTTTCGAAGACGCCGCTTTCGCTCTCAAGCTAGGCGAACTCAGCAGCATCGTTGACACTGACAGCGGTGTTCATCTCATCTACCGCACTGCCTAAGCTCTCACCCATACCTAAGCAATTTAAATTCACTGTCAAAGCAATGCACCAGTATGCAGCTCCGTCCCTCGACGGAGCTTAGCGGGTTCAAGTCCCTCCACCAACGGAGGCAGGCATCAGTACAACAGATCTCTAATGCTGAAGTTCGTCCGTACGGACGTCTGAACACAAGCGGCGCCAAACGAGGTATTTGAGACGATTTGAGCATTACGACTCATACGATTTAGAGCTTCTCGAGGCGGGCCAAGGTGTTCTCATGAATCTTGGCAAGATCCTCCTTGGCAGGCTGAGTGGCAGGCCAGCCGACACCGAGACCTTGCTTCTCGTCTGGCTTAGGAATGACATGCACTGACATTCAACCGCGAATTGAGAGAGTGCAAGAGAGAGTCAGAAAGAGCACTCGAATCATCTCAATCATCTCCGTTGCGAGACCGAGTCGTCGGGACTTACAGTGAACGTGATCAACCATCTGGTGTGCCATACGACCGTTGTTCTGCAAGACGTTGTACTGCTCGGCGCCGGTAGCGATGGCGATCTTCTTGGCAACAGGAAGCAGCTCGGTTAAGTGCTCATCCGGAATCTCGTGAAGCTTAGCTCCGTGGTACTTAGGGATGACAAGAGCGTGACCTTCCGAGATCGGTCCGATGTCTGCAAGTTGCACCTCAACCAAAGGAGCAGAGAAAAAAGTCAGTCAAGTTTGAAAGGAGACCAACCTGGCTCACAAAAATAGGCCTGAGCATACCAAGGAAAGCATAGGTCTTCTCCGAGTCGTAAAGCTTGAGCGATGGGATCTGGCCGGCGATGATCTTGCAGAAGATGCAGTTGGCCTCGGTCTTGGCGGCCATTTTGAACAGAGCTCGAGTGGGGGCGAAGGCGAAAATGATGGGCCAAGCCTGTCTCAAAGCTGTCCTATTGAGGGACCTTGATATCTATGATGCTGAGGTGATCGTCGGTAGTCAACAAGGAGCTGTAGAAAGTTAAGCAACTTTTCCCCGGCTGTGAACTGAACGTGGTCCATGCGGAGACAGCTGAAAGAGCGAGTGGAGGACACACGACATGGATTTTTCTTTCGGATTTGTTAGACCGGCGCAGTGTCCTGTGGTCACGTGATGCTCTCGCGCCTCGTTCAAAGAGGGCACGCGCTGAGAGTTGGAATTTGGCTAGTATTGGAAAGGTGTTTGTTTCCATATGGGTGAGCAGCATGACAGGTGAATGCTAACCGGCGCACTTCTCTGTGCGCAGACCCGGCTGACAGCGTCTGCTATAGTGCGTCTCAACGGGATTCGCAAAGGCTCCAGAAGCTACCATACATTTGCCCAGTCGCTTGGTGCATCCGGTGCAGTCACGATTCTCTTAGACAGGCAGCTAGAAAGGATTCGCATGATTAAACTCAGCTTGCAACAGGCTCGATCCTCCTCACTTCCACCACCTACATCGTCTCATCACGAACGCAGGGCCGACCAAATCCCATCTATAGGATCACCCGCGGGCCATTAAAAGACGTGACCTGCACTCCCCAACAAGCCCATCAGGTCCTGAATCCTTGAAGGCTTCCGCTAATCCCATCAAGACACCTACCCTATACCTTACGCATATAGACTTACCACAAGCTTATTCACATCGTCGAGCGTCTGGCTTCGACCATCCTTTGACAACATACACAATGCTCAACTCCCTCCGTCGATCTTTCGGCATGAGCCCGAGCTCATCCAGCATCCACGCTGACTACACGGCAACCAACGACGTCCCTGCTAGCGTCCTCTCCCCATCCAACAAGCCTAACACCTTCGTCCCCATCCGCCGTTCAAACAGCTTCACCAACTTCTTCTCCTCTTCACCTCCTTCTTCGCCGATCAAGGAGAATTTTGACCAGAGCCCTTCCAAAACAATGACTTCTTCAGCCAAGGCTTCCTTTTCAGCAGCCTGCGAAGAGACAGCTCCGGACCCGGTGCTCGCCTTCCTCATCCTGCTCGACAAGAAAGGCCGGCAGATGGAGCGCTTTCCTATCCAAGGCCTCATGACCACCATGGGTCGATCCTTGGAGAATGACGTTCGCTTCCTGGGCAGCGATATCAGCCGACACCATTGCACAATCGAGATCGAGATCGAGCAGGAGCAGAGTACAGATGGCACCAAGGCTTTCTTGCAGGTCCTTGGTGTCAATGGCGTCTTACTCAACAGTACACAAGTGTACCCAGCACCTCGCGGAAAGGGAAGATACGAGCTAGCCACAGGAGACTCGATCGTCATCGCCAAACGACCGTTCCTGTTCGAGCTTCCTCAGAAGCCAACGCAGACTGCAGCTCCTAGCATCTTCACCTCACCAGTCAAAGGCAGTGCACAATCTGCGGTGCCCCAGACTCCTGCCACGACAATCAACAGACGGGTCAGGATGAGTCTCGTCAACGCAGCTCAAATAGATACACCTTCCAAGCCCTCTGCAGCAAGGCAGCTTGCTTCACTATCCAAGACGAACAACGCAGAGCGAGAAGCTCGCCGAGCGAACGGTCTGCAGCGCTTCATCCAGTCAGCTGGTGTCAGTCCTTCAAAAGCCAACAAGTCGGGTCGACAAAGTCTCTCTTTATCCACATCGACAAGCAACATCTTTGCCACTCCAGTCAAGAGCCGCAGCACAACAGTGGAGCCAAAGACTGCACCACCGAATCAGGTCAGTTTCAGCTTGCGCTCCAGCGGATACTCTGGCAGGATGAGCCCGGTTAAGCAGATGAGGATGATGCCTCCTCTCGACACGATGAATGAGGAGCAGGATGGAAGCTTCTGTAGCGAGGACGAGCAACTGCAGGAGCAACAAGAGGTGCAAGAGGAGGCTGAGGACCAAGAGGAGTCGGCTGAGGACATTGTCATCGTCGAAGAGATCGAGCAGGAGCAGGCTCAACCAGCAGCTCCCATGGAAGAGGCTGAGGAGGTGGCTCCTGTAACCTACGACAACGCAAGTAAAGATAGAGAGAACCTCGAGAACATTTTTTCGACTCAAAGCAGCAGCTCTACCCCAGCAGGCTCACCAAGCAAGAGCGTTAGTCCAAAGCGAGCAAAGCGTCGCAGCAGCTTCTTCGGTCGTTCTGGTCCTTTCGCTGGCATGAGTCTCGGATTCTACGCTGAAGAGCGCTCCGAGCCTGCTCCTGTGGAACCAGAACAACAACCACCACAGCCTGAATTGCCCGCGGAGGAGTTCTCTGACGCCTCCGGCGCTGAGCCCACCCCAATGGAAGACGAGCAACCCCTCTTGTCACCCATCACTCACCGCGTCTCTTCAAGGCCGATGAAGCTCGGTATCAGCAAGACCCCTTCCCCGGTCAAGAAGCAGCACTTCATCGGTCTCACTCCTCTTCCTCGTCGACCTCGTCTCTCGCTCGCAACCAAGCGTAACGTCTCGCTTCGAACCAAGACGCTTCTTCGCTCGAGTGAAGCTTATGCCGATCGACTGTTCCTCCCTCCTCCTCCACCCACACCTTCCAGCCCAGAATCCGGCGGACTGTCAAAGAGTGTGTCGATGCCTTCCAATCTGTCTGCTATGACGCCTCCGCCTGCTTTCGACACCTCTTCCTGTTCCGCTGTGGAGGATGTCCAGGAGCTGCAACAAAGCGAGGAAGTCTGCAAAGAAGTCTGCGAAGAAGTCCGCGAAGAAGACGACTTCGAGTCGCGCCTCGACCCAGCGCTAAGCGAAGAAGCACAACCACAAGCATGGAAAGGCGACTCAGATGACGAAGACGAAGTCGACCAGAGCTTGTCTTGTCTCTCTCCCTCCCCTCAGAAGACTGCACCATCGTACCTCTTCAGCCCCGTCAAGACCTCATCTCTGCCACACTTTGCGACACCTCAGCCGATGTCCAAGTCACACGCGCGCCGCATCTCTATGCCTCCCATCGGTGTTGCTGATGCAAAGCCATCCAACCGCTCAGCTTTGGTTCGACTGCAAATCAGCGGTTCAGGTGAGCGCATCGTTCACGAGAACCCCCGCAAGCCAGAAGCGCCACAGGTGGAACAAGCCTCGCCATCGAAGGCACGCAAAGTTGCCCGGGTCTCTGAGGTTGGCCTTCCAGCAACTGAACTATCTATGGGCTTCGACGTCCTTCAGGGCGCGTCAGCTGAGCAAGAGCCAGAGGAGATCGCCGAAGCACTCAACGACCTCTTCAACGCCGAAGAGGAAGAGCTTACTGACGTCGAAGAAGAGCCAGAGAAACAAGAGGAGATTGTTCAGATCAACTCCAGTCCCGCCCGCCGCTCGGCCCCGCAGATGCCACCGCAAACACCAGCAGCACTCAACTCTATCCGTCACATGTTCTCTGCTGCTGCTAACACTGCCCCCGCCACACCTGACATGAATGGTCTCGCTACCATGCTGCAGACTAGTCCGGAGAAGACAGCACAGTACGGAACACTGGGTGACAGGATGCGTGCTAACCCAGAGATCAGTCAATTGCTGAGCCCTGCTAACGCCTCGCGCCGAAAGGAGGCCGAGGTAGAAGCTAGTCCGATCAGGGGTAGGAGGGGAGTTCGAAGCAGCGAGGTTGCTGAAATGCCTGTTGCGCTGCCGGCTACGCCAAAGGCGAGTGTTGCAAGAGAAGCCTCGTCGCTGCCATCGCCATTTGTCCAGGCAGAACGGGAGCCAGAGCCAGCTTTCGAGGCTGAGCTTTACGTTACCATGTTCGATGCAGCCGAGATGGACGCTCAGAACGAGGCCATTATACAGGCATTCGCTGAAGCAGAGGAGCAGCAGGGAAGTGAGCAGGGAGGAGTTCTTGAGCAGGAAGCTGACCTCGAGCCAGAAGCTGGCTTTGAGCAAAAGGCCGAACCAGAGCCGATCTACCAGCCGGACCCTGATGAGGAGCTCGTTCAAGATGCTCCGCTCGAGGAGGTCGCAACAGAAGAGCCTGTCGCACTGTCAGACAGCGCCGAGCAGGCACACGTCGAGGAAGAACAAGTTGTCGAACCTGTCCACGAGGCTGCCATCGTCAAGGAGTCTGTCATAGAGGAGCCCATCATTGTAAAGCCGGTAGCTGCGGAGCCTTCCCTTGTGAAGCCCCGAGCAGCTTCCGAATCTCCAACCAAGCGTACCGCCGCTCGTTCAGATTCTCCTACCAAGCGCAATACTCGATCCTCCCCTGTCAAGCGTGCTTCTGCCGCTGAGCCTAACGGGGTTTTTGAAGAGGAATCCTCGGCACCAGTCGTCGAAGAAGTACCCGTCGAGTCCTCGTCCCCAACCAAGCCGACACGTCGCACAGGAGGCCGCAAAGCCAAGCTTGCAGCAACAGAAGCCATTTCAGCAGGCTTCACAGTCGAAGTCCCTCCACCTACCTCCTCACCGCAAAAACCAGCTGGTCGAACCAAGGCAGCTGCTGCCTCAAAGAAGGCCGAAGCTCAGGCTGCCGAACCCGAGCACGATGAAAGAGAAGTGGCGGAAGAAGAAGCGCCACCAAAGGTACGCTCTACTCGAACTCGAACAACCCGCCCTGCTGCAGCTCCAGCTAAAGCTGTTAGAAGCACGAGAAATAGGGGCGCCAAGGATGCACAGCCGTCTTCTAGTGCTGGATTTGGTGATGATGAGGCAAGTGAGGCTGAGGAGGAGGCGAAGGGTAAGAAGATCGTGAAGGCGAGAACTGCAGCTGCTCCGAAGAGCAAGTCGACAAGGAGTACGCGGGCTGCAGCTGCGGTGGAGGACAGCGACTCGGACCTAGCTGAAGTCAAGGAGCAAGAAGAGGCACCCAAACCCAAAACCCGCGCCACACGAGCGAAGGCTGCTCCAGCAACCACTAGCAGGAGTAAAGCTAGAAAAGCTGATGCAGAAGAGGCTGCAACATCTTCTTCGGCTACCACCACACGCTCGGGCCGTACGACTCGACGCACCGCTGCCGCCAAGTAAATGCTGGCGACAGTGACCTTCTTGGTTTTCTTTTGCACACGTTTTGTATTGTTACCCTTTGAGTCGAATAAAGATCTTTCAATATCGTCTGCGATCTTTGTGCGCTATGTGAAGTGAGATGAAGCAAGCTTTTGTGGGGTAGGTCGGCTACCGGCTATTAAAAAAGGGCGTCTTCCCGAATTCCCGGTAACCGGCTACACGCTTTGCTCCGGGTCCGTGCTGTCACGGATTGTGTGCTTCTTTTGACTTACCCCGGATCTCATCCTGACCCTTGCTTTTGGTCGTCTTCAACATCACCTCTAAACCGTCTCACGGTCTGCTGCAGCAGGACGACAAGCAGCATCATCTTCCCCCCCTTCCCCCCCGTCGCCGACAAAGATGCCAGACACACTGAAAATCCTCATAGCCAATCGCGGCGAAATCGCGTGCCGTCTCAATCGAACCTACCAACTCTTCCCCCTCTCCAACCCCACTACGCCTTCAATATCAACTCTCGCCATCCACACTCCCTCAGAATCTAATGCTCTGCACGTCTCGCTCGCCGACTCGTCCCAACAACTCGCATCTGAGGGGCCAAGAGCATACCTCGATGCAGCAGCAATCGTCGATGTTGCTGTGATGCATGGATGTTGGGGGATCGCTCCTGGGTATGGGTTTCTGTCTGAGGATGCCACTTTTGCAAAGCTCTGTGAAGATAAGGGTATCGTTTTCCTCGGTCCAACAAGTGGACAGCTGGAGAGGTTGGGGAATAAAGTCTCAGCTCGAGAACTAGCAAAGTCTGTCGGAGTGCCTATCCTGCAAGGCACACAAGCGGGATCGAATTCAGCTTTGAACGATATCCAATCATTCGCATCATTGGTTGGCGGAGGGGGGAAGATCATCCTCAAAGCAGCCAACGGTGGCGGCGGGCGCGGCATTCGTGTCCTTTCTCTACCCACCTCTGCTGCCGAACGGGAAAGGGTTATTGCCAAGGCGTATGAATCGTGCTCACGCGAAGCGGCCGCATCTTTCGCAGATGGAACGGTCTACGCAGAACGTTTCCTCACAAACGCAAAGCACGTCGAGGTGCAAGTACTGGGAGATGGCAAAGGCGGTGTTTGCCATTTTTGGGATCGAGAATGTTCCCTACAACGCCGCAATCAAAAGCTCATTGAGATCGCACCGGCACCAAATTTGGCGCCCAAGCTGAGGGAAGGGATGCTGAATGCAGCGTTAAGGCTGGCTCAAGAGGTGAAGCTGCGCAGCTTAGCAACGATCGAGTTTTTGGTGGACCAAGAAGGAGGAGGTTTCTACTTTATGGAAGCCAACCCCCGCATTCAAGTGGAGCATACGATCACGGAACAAGTTACCGGTGTTGATCTTGTTTCGCTCCAGCTTCTTATTGGTTTGGGCTTTTCCCTGTCCGACCTCAACCTCCCCACGAATAGCCCTGCAACTACATTCCCTAGCAAGACATCAATCCAGGCCAGGATCAACGCAGAATCATTCACCGGAAACGCAGACGAAACTCGCCCCGAGTCAGGCTCCATCTCATCGCTTATCTGGCCAAATGGTGGTGGGGTGCGGATTGAAACTGCTGCTCATCCACCTCATCCGGTGTTAGGGGAGTATAGTGTCAACCCATTGTTCGATAGTTTGTTGGCGAAAGTAATTGTTACTGCTCCAACCTACAGAGCTGCGGTGCGTGCGGCTGGGAGAGCACTCGAGGGGACACTGATCGAGGGTGTAAAGACAAATAATGCGTTTTTGATAGCGCTGTTGGAGAGTGAAGAGGTGAGGGGAGGGAGGCAACATATTCATTCTGTTCAGAGTGGGGTGAAAGGGCACCTTGCTGCTGCGGAAAAGTACGAGGCTCGGGCAAAGATGGCAAGTAAGAAAGTGGATGCGAATGTAGAAGCGCGGAAGAAGGCGGAATGGAAGGAAGAGGAGGGGAAAGCGGCGGTCAAGTCTCATCTTTCGGGCATAGTGGTCAAAGTGTCAGTCAAAGAAGGTGACAAGATTGCTGTTGGACAAGAGCTAGCTTTGATTGAGGCTATGAAGATGGAGCATGTTGTCCGAGCCGATTCTTCCGCAGCTGGAGCAGTGGTGCAGAAGATCAAGATCCAGCAAGGTGGGGTAGTCAACACTTCTGATGTGCTGTTCATTCTCGACACCTCCAATTCTTCCACCTCTAGCGCCGCCGACAGCAGCTCAACTCCGACCGAGATCGCAGAGGATCCCAATGTACCCCGCCCAGAGCTTCTCGAACTACAGCATCGTCGCCAAGCCATCTCTGACGCTGGTCGCACAGCCGCTGTCGCCAAACGACACGCACGAGGATTCCGCACAGTCCGAGAGAATATATCTATGCTCATTGACCCCGACTCGCTCATCGAATACGGCGGCCTTGCACTCGCAGCCCAAAAGAAGCGTTACACACCCGAAGATCTCATTGCAAAGACATCTGGCGACGGAATAGTCGTCGCTTTTGGCCGCATTTCCGGCCACACAGTTGGACTCATCATGGGAGACTACCTCGTTCTCGCAGGAACGCAGGGTTATTTCCACCATCATAAACTGGATCGGATCCTAACTGCTATCCTCTCCCACCCCGCACCGTTGGTGCTGTATGCGGAAGGCGGAGGCGGTAGACCAGGAGATACGGATTATCCCTCCGGATCAGGACTGCAGACTCCAAGTTTTGCATTGATGGGTGCGGTGAGAGCGAGTGGTGTGCCGGTGGTGGGAGTTGCGAATGGGTATGTCTTTGCCGGAAACGCGGCCTTGTTGGGGACATGCGACGTCGTGATTGCCACAAAGAAAGGGATTCCCGGTTTGGCTGGGAAGGGTGAAGTGGGGAAAACGTCGATCGGAATGGGCGGCAAAGCGATGATCGAGGCCGGTGGTTTGGGTGTGGTTGAATCTGATGATATTGGGCCCACTTCGGTGCATGCTGGGACCGGAGGAGTGGATGTGGTGGTAGAGGATGAAGACGAGGCTGCGGTCGTTGCGCGGAAGCTCGTTGGCTTTTTCACCACGTCCAAGCTTGTGGATGGACAATGGGTCTATTCTGGAGATGTCAAGCTTCTTCGAACTTGCCTGCCTTGCGTAGAGGAAAGGAGACGAGCATTCGATATGCGCCGTGTGATCTCCCTCCTCGTGGACGATGAATCCTTCATCGAACTGGCCCCCTACTGGGGCACAGGAATGATCACCGGTTTTGCCCGAATCAAAGGTCTCTCCATCGCCATCCTGGCCAACGACCCAACCTCACCTCTCGGTGGAGCCATCGACATCAATGCGGCACTCAAAGCCACTCGTTTACTCAAACTTCTCGCTCGCACTCGCGCTACCCATCTCGTCAGTCTATGCGACACACCTGGATTCATGGTCGGCCCCGAATTCGAACGCACTTCCACTGCGGGTGGATCCTTCAGAACGTTCGGAGACTGGTTCACCGCTGCAGCTGAATTCACTCAAGCCGGTGGGCGAGTGATCGGGCTGGTTCTCCGCCGGGCATTCGGCTTGGGAGCACAGGCTATGTTGGGCGGTAGTACGCTAAGCAATTCAATTTGCGCTTCTTGGCCTGCTGGAAGCTTCGGGCCGATGAGTTTGGAAGGTGCAGTGCAACTCAGTATGAAAAAGCAACTAGCGGCGATCAAAGATGAGGAAGAGAGGAAGAGAGTGGCGGACGAGGCGGTGGAAGGGCTGTATAGAGGAGGAAGAGCGATCAATGTTGCAAGTATGGCCGAGATCGATACAGTGTTGGATCCTGCAGAGACTAGGGATTGGTTAGAGAGGGTTGTGGGGGATGTATTAGGAGAGAGAGTGGCAAGCTATAAGACGCGGCGGGGGAACGCTGCTCATCCTCATTTGTAGGCACTTCTCATACATTGCTGCCAATACATATTGTTTTGAGGTGAAAGAGATGGCGGTGTTACTGTGTCTCGGCGACTTGAAGGCGGTGTGATGGTGTTGGACCACGTGGTGGAGCTTGTTCTGCTGTCAATAATTTTATTTACTTTTTTAATTTTTTTTGCTTTTTTTTCTTTTTTTTCTTTTTTTAGATGCGGAGAATTTTCTGGCAGCATCGCTGTGTGAAAGCATGAGAAGGACCACTTCCACGTCACTCTTGCTCACGACATTCTTACTTGGCAGCCTGTTGCCTCTTCTACCTTCCCTACCGACCATCATAGCTCGCTACCATGTCATAGCATGCTTTTGTGCTCTATCCAGTTACCGCTCTGACGTCTACAGCGCATGTTACACAAGACAGCCATATTGAAAGTCGCTAAGCAAGGCATCTACCGACAAGATGATTCCTAGCGTCTCCGCATCGAAGCGGAAGTTGCGAATCACCTCACTGACCACCGCTCTCACCCTCCTCCTCGCCACTATCACCCCGACTCTCGCCTTCAAACCCAACGCAGCTTACTATGGTGCCGGTCGACGAATTCCAATGGACTCAATTCGAACCCTGACCTTTTACTCCGACAAACGCACCACTTATCGCCGTACCTCACCTCTCCCCCAACTCACCTGCGTGGGCAGTATGTGTTCACGCTATAGACCAGATGTAATCCAATGTCAAGCAATGGGTGATAACCAGTGGAAATGTTCCGCTGATCTACCATCGACAATGCGACTGGGTAGGGTAGAGGTCAGTTGTGAAGGGTATGATTATGCGGATGACCCCTTTGTTTTGAAGGATAGTTGCGCACTGGAGTACCATTTGTTGCCTAGTGAAAGGGGTCCCGATGATCCCTGGCGGAACTATAGGCTGGGGAGGAAAGGTGCAGGTGAAAGCATCCTTGAGGGTTTGTTTCAGTTGGCATTTTGGGGAATTCTCGGGGCGATAGTTATCGGGTTCATCAGAGCTATTAGGGGTAACGCAGCAGCGACAACAGCAGGAGCAGGCGGTAGAGGCGGCTGGGGAGGCGGTGGGGGAGGCTGGGGTGGTGGAGGATGGTGGCCAGGAGGAGGAGCAGGTGGATTTGGAGGCGCACCACCTCCTCCATACACAGCAAAACCAGAACCAGGCACATCCACCGACTCTAGCTCTTCCTCTTGGCGACCAGGATTTTGGACAGGGCTGGGGTTGGGAGGTCTAGCAGCAACCGCTGCTGCGAACAGGCGCAGAACTCAACCGAGCTTCTTCGGTGCTAGTGACTACGATTATGGTTATGGCGGAGGAGGTTTTGGTGCCGGACCGTCAATGTTCGGCGGAGGCGGTGGTGGGAGGAGAAGAGGTTGGGACGATGATGATAGAGGGATAGGCGGGTCAGGGATGGGTGGGTTTAGGGAGAGTACTGGGTTTGGTGGTACGAGGAATCGATAGTGACCATAACAGTCAAGTAAGGTAATGCAAGCTAGAAGTCACTGCTGAGTTGTGTTGCTTTTCGTATTGTGCAACTTCGTCCGTTAGCCTGTTGACGTATGATTGTGATAACATTGCGAGTCACGCGAGCTCTTGAAAGTGAGCAATCGCAATCTCCAGGTCAAAGCCGTATCAGATAGCTCCGCGGACACACGGACGATGGCGTGAGAAGGGTATAATGATGAGTCCGTCTATTATTGCATCATGTATATGCTGTAGTGTATGCGCATGGTCGACACGAGCTCTGTCTCGCATCATCCTGGGAGGCCAGTGGACGGCATCTATGCCGCTGGCTGGGGCTGGACCCTGGGCCTTCCCTCCTGATGGTGAATACTGGACCTCCTCAACCTGTGAATCTCCTTCCTAGCTTTCCTGTAGTGAATGAATTGTCCCAACACAATGAAATCCAAGAACACTGTCCCCAAACTTCCGACCAGCCAGGAGAAGCTCTCTACCAGATAATCGTGCTGTGTGCTCTTCAACAAGATACTCGCGACATATGTCAAGTTTCCTGCAACAGCAAAGACAAACAGTGCGAGGGAAAGACCTTCGCACTTTGTTGTGCGGTTCTTGGTGATCTGTGGCACGCGCGAGGAGAGGTAGAGTACGGCGGAAAGCCAGCCGGCGACCTGAGCATCCCATCGCCAACCAACAGGTTCTGGGACAGATTTGGGCTGTTTGGTAGAGCCATGGTTGCCGTAACCGTGTTCTGCGACCCACCATGCAGCAACGCCTGTGGCGACCACGAGGAGTGCAGCGAGGGTGTACATTATGATCGAGTTGCGGATAGAGTTTTCGTCGTCATCGTCGGATTTGGTGGAATAATCGTCCTCAATGAGGCTACCGTCGCCGATGAGTGGGGTGCGCTCGTTGGCTTCGAGAGAGGCGGAGATGGTGGAGATCTTGACTCCCCGGTGGTAGTATTTGGAGTAGTACCAGTATTGGAAGATGAGAACGCAGTCGCATGCGCAGTAGTAGAGAGCCAAAATGATCTGCAAACGCCCAAGGAGAGGGAGAGGGAGAGGGAGAGGGAGAGGGAGAGGGAGAGGGAGAGGGAGAGGGAGAGGAAGAGGGAGAGGGAGAGGAAGAGGGAGAGGGAGAGGGAGAGGGAGAGGAAGAGGGAGAGGGAGAGGAAGAGGGAGAGGGAGAGGAAGAGGGAGAGGAAGAGGGAGAGGGAGAGGAAGAGGGAGAGGAAGAGGGAGAGGGAGAGGAAGAGGGAGATGAGAGCTGCGTGTCAGCGAATGTTGGGTTGCGTCGAGAAAGCATTGTTTGGGCGAGCGGAGACTTACCATAGTCCAAAGGAGACCCTGGAACCAAGCGCCTGCAGCGTTGAGCGCATCACCTGCGAGCCAGATGATGACAAAGGTGATGGAGAGACCTTCTGCAGACTTGGAAACGTAGTTTTGATGCATTTGACTGAAAGAGGGCAAAACCTGAAAGGGGTGTAAGGGAGATGATCGGCGACAAACAAAAGAAGAGAGAGAGTGGGATGATGATTAGGGAAGGTGCGGAGCAAGAAGAAACGTACGGCGAATAGACAATTACCCAGCATGCGATCCTGTTGATGTGTTGGAAGAGCAGGCCAGAGAGAAAGAGGTGGCCGAAGAGGTGGTTTGTTTGACTTAGCTGATGTTTTCAAAGTGAGAAAGCTGTTGCAGGCAGAGCAACGCTCTAATTGACAGAAAGTTAGTATTACTTACGAGACCCTACTCCGCGAGGAAGAGAGGGCAGCAGTAATAGCAGACGTGAAGGAGAGACGTCGTCAGCAAAGCCAGTCAACGGTTGCAAGAAAAATTTGATGAGAGCAAGACTCACCAGCCCATGATGCTGCTCCATTCGTCCCGAACGTGTTTCTTGCCGCGACCGCCATGATTGTGGTGGTGGTGAGATTTGCTACCTTTCAACGCTGAAAGGTCCGCGTTGGATATCGAAGAGGAATCGGAAGATGCGGCTGCGACTGTGGTAGCCAAAAACAGGAGCGAGGCTGCGACCAAGAGGAGGCCGAGCACTTTTGAGGAGGGATATGAACGCATTGTATGTTATGTATGGGGCTCGACGATGGGTTGTTGGCTTGTGCTGCTGTGAACGGATCGAATGCTTGAGGGGTTGATGGTGAGGAGAGAAAGGAAAGATCAAGAGTTGAAAGAGCTATGATGACGATACGAGAGGTGGGGTTGAGCTGTTGAACTGTCGCCAAGCCAAATCGAGACTGGATAAGAAAAAGTCGCTCAAAAAGCACGCTCTGTAGTGAGGCAAAATTCGCGAATTTGTTGCATTTCCAATTTGAGTTTTGCCAGTCTGACTCGTTTCCCGTGTGACAACGCGGCGCCGACGCCGACAATGGCGTAAATGGCTGCCACAGCAGAGGGCGAGAGGTGCGTGCATCACTATTGCGTCAAAGCCTCTTTGGTGGCAAGTCGCTTCATTGCGTCGTTGTGCATGTCACGTGACCTCCCCCCCCCCACTTTTTCTTCTTTTTTTTGTTTTTTTTTTGTTTTTTTTTTTTTTTTGTTTTCCTTCCAGTAAAGGGTGTTACATCATTGTAGACTTGCATTCTTGACCAAAATAAAAATAATAATAATTGCCGCCATGTCCTGTGCACGGTTCGGCTATGAGACTGGGAAGCGTCTTTACGACGTCCGGCTATCATTCTAGCCTATCCCCCGAGCTGCCCTTCCTCGCAACTGCGAAGCAAGTCAAGACGTGGCTCAAAGAAGCAGCTCTCCATCTTGATCTTCTTCCCTCATCATTCACGACCTTTCTCTACTGCCTCTCAATTTACAAGAGCACCGAAGAAAAGTCAAGATGGCAGCAACTCCTCCCACTGGAAAGTACATGCTCTGGGTCACGTACGTATTTCGCTACTTCTTTCCGATACCTACTTCTGCTCTCTGCTGTATGGACTTGGAGCTGACGTGCAACTCGCCCCTTTCGTTTTCCGGATCATGAACACTCCTTATGCCTTCTCTCAATAACTGCGTCGTCACCTGGCAGCATCGAGGCCAAAGGCCCCGCTGAAGCCGACAAGATTATCGAGATGCTCAAGAAGGTCGCCAAGCGTGCCAACTCGAACGAGGAGCCCAACTGCCACGGCTACATTCCCGGCCGCAGCGTTGACAACCCTAACACCATCATCGTTTTCGGTAAGTATCTTGGTCCGATCAACTGCCAATGGTTCTCGGTATCTGATGAAGAAGCTAACATGACCCTTTCAAATCTATCGCTCTTTCCACCCGAACAATAGAGCAATACGACAACAAGGGCAGCAATGTCGCCAACAAAGAGCATCACGCTGGCCAAGACTTCCAGGCTCTCATGGCTCAAGCCAAGGACCTTACCAACAAGGTCGACATGAAGTTCTACGACTACGTCTGAAGCCGTCGTCAACAAAAGCCCATCATTGCTCTTTCAGCCAATCCTAGTTGAGGATCTCAACATACGGTCCGTGTGCTTGCGACCTTTGTGAGGATCATTGCAGAGCATCTGAATGGCTTCTGAAGAGACAGAAACGAAAAAAGCGATGGATTATGTTAGGCCCTGAGAATGAACATGATAGTATCTTGAGAGAGGTAAATTCGACCTGAGCGACGTCAGTGGTCGAAATGACTGCCGAGTTTTGTAGATGTTTTTGAAGAAATGCCTGGGGCAAAATTGTATTCAAATTAAAATGCTTCAATTCTAACTTTCTATGCCTCTGTTTTCTGAATCCCTTCTGGATTTGAGGAAAGAGGCTTTGCTGCCCTGGTTTTTTTTTTTTTTTTTTTTTTTTTTGGCTGAGCAAGCAAGCACGTCAGCCCCGGGTCGATATTCCTTTTGTCTCTGCCACACAGACGGAGAGAGACTGCTGAGCAGATGAGGCGAGCAAGAGGCGCCAAGATCGCGCGCTCAACAGCAGTCTCTGGTGGTCGTTAGGTTCATCATCATCAGCAAGGCATTGCTTGCCACCCTCTTACTTTACCACCACTCACCCCCCTTCACCCTCCTTCACCCTCTACTCATACTCGTAGCAAGGCACATCCTTATCATGTGCGATTGCACCTAATCTATAGCTTCGTACAACACTTCACAAAGCTCGCCTTTCGACATACAACTGCACAGCAGCCGACTTTCAACAGCTTACGCACTCGAACCGGCTCTTGTTGATTCCCTTCACTCCTTCAACCACATTTCTACCTTGGAGCTCAATCTAGCTTCGCTCGCTCATCATCATGTCCGGCTCTCAGAACTACGCCACCCCAAAGAGGGTCATACGAGCCCAAACTTGGGACGAGTCGGACGGCCACAGCCTCTCGTCTGTCGCCTCTCCATCTACACCAACAACAAAGACCACCTCGCTCAGTGGTGGCGACCTCTTCCAGTCGAAAAAGCAAGAGATCGAAGACGTGCGTGCGCAGCAGGATGCACAGCAGACCTTCGCTCAGCATCAGTCCGAGTTCGAAGAGTCGCGCGACTTGTTGCTTGGTGCCATCGACCACACCAGCACCTTGCTTCACGACCTTCGCGACTTCAACAAGAACAAGCGCATTATCCACTATGCCACTGCTGACGACGCACAGACCGCCGGTCCATCTCAACACCGGCACTCGCAGTCCAACTCGCAATCACAGAGCCTCGAGGAAGCCGTTGCCGACTTGAATCAATCCACATCCGTCGACAGTGCCCCTCGTCCTATGCCAATGCGCTACAACACCACACAGGGCCGCGCCAGCTTGCCTAACACACCTGCCCGTCAGGTCAGCGCCTCCTACCACGACGATGAGTCTGAAGAATCCACCGACATGTCAGTCCTCAAGCTCGACCTCCGTGTTGGATCTGTCGCTGCAAACCCACAGGCGCTTGTGCGATCGCTCGAGCGCTCATCAGTCGCACAGCTTCTCGACGGCAGGATGGAAAAGTCGGAACGTCATCTCGAGAATTTGAAGCAGCGTCTCTCCGACACGCAGTCCAAGGTGCTTGTCACTGGAGATCTCAACGCCGGCAAGTCCACCTTTGTCAATGCACTCCTTCGCCGTCCTCTCATGCCTACCGACCAGCAGCCCTGCACCACCGTTTTCTGCGAGGTTCTCGACGCTTCCGAACTCAACCGCGACGTCGAAGAGGTTCACATGCTCCAACCAGGTGTCAAGTACAACTCGCAGGATGACTCGACCTTCACTCGCCACACACTAGAGGAGATTGAGCAGATCGTCGCTGAGGCCGAAGAGGTCTCGCCCGAAGATGCACCCATCCTCAAGTGCTACGCCAGTGATACTCGCGCCACCCAGGACTCGCTGCTCAAGAACGGCATTGTCGACATTGCCCTCATTGACGCTCCTGGTCTCAACCGTGATAGTCTCAAAACTACCGCGCTCTTTGCTCGCCAGGAAGAGATCGATGTCGTCGTCTTTGTCGTCAGTGCTGAGAACCACTTCACCCTTTCCGCCAAGGAGTTTCTGTGGAACGCATCGCACGACAAGGCATTCGTTTTCATTGTCGTCAACAAATTCGATTCGATCAAGAATAAGGACAAGTGTCGCAAGCTTGTCCTCGACCAGATTCGCCAGCTCAGCCCTCGCACCTACGAGGATGCTGCCAACCTCGTCCACTTTGTCGACTCGCAGGCTGTCTTTGGCGCAGAAGAGAACTTGCAGTTCGCCAGCGCACTCGACACACCCTCTGAGGAGTTCGGCCGCAAGGTGCAGGGTGGTCAGCTCGTTGAGAGCCGATCTACCGAGAGCTTGCAAGCCTTCGCACGACTCGAGGCCGCGCTGCGCGACTTTGTTCTGCTCAAGCGTTCCAAGTCGAAGCTCTTGCCGTCCAAGACTTACATGCTCCGCCTCTTGTCTGACATCACTTTCCTCGGCAAGATCAACACTCAGGTCGCACAGATCGAGCTTGCCGAAGCGACCAAGGCGCTTGAAGTAGCACGACCCGAGTTAGCACGCTGCCAGGCGTCGCGGCAGAAGCTTGAGACCGTCGTTGAGGGCGAGGAGGACGAGGCAGTTACAGGAGTGATGCAGGAAGCACAGCGCAAGTTGACATGGGCAATCGAGTTCATCGGCAACGGTAAGCCCGCCGTTGACACTGTCGCCTTGCCAGCTTACCCTGGCTTGTTCAACATCTGGGAGTATGCGCAGGAGGTCCGTCACGCGCTCACATCTTCACTCGAGCTTGCCTTGCGATCGGTTGAGGAGACAGCACGAGGCACCGCCTCGCAGGCCGTCGACCGAGTGCAGAAGCTCGGCTTGGCGCATCTTCCGGACAACGAAGCGGAGAAGCGTCAGAGGATCTTCAACCCGGATGTCATGTTTGCAAAGCGTCGTGCGATGCCCGGCCTCATTGGTCTGGGACTCAGTGCCGAGGTTGTCGAGGTGCAGGTGTCGGACTTCTTTGACGCTTACCACCACTTCACCATCGTCACTGGTGGCAGCTTGTCGCAGGACAAGTCGGTGAAGAAGAAGGATGACAACGGTGACGATTTGAGCATGCTTTCGTCGTTGACGCTCGGCCTGGGTGCGTTGACGTTCATGGGTGGAAAGGCGTTAGGAGCGAAGACGGCGGTGGATGCGTTTGTTCGCATCTCGGATCTGGTTGGCAACCCAACAGCACGCAAGTGGGCTGGACCAGTGTTCGCTGTTGTTTCGACAGGTTTGGTTGTTTACTTGATCTATGACTTGCCGAACAGTGTGCCTCGTAACATCGGACGCAGCATCAAGTCTGGGTTGCAGTCTGGACAACTGCTTCGTTCCAACGACACCGGCAGAAGCGACGCTGTCACTACACTTGTCTCGTCGTCATCGGCGCGATCGTTGGCAGAGGGCGAAGAGCCGTCGTTCGCCGCAGTGCACTCTACACGAGTCGGCCGCGAGACTCGCAAGGTGTTACGTTTGGCATCATGGGATCTGCAAGAGCGCTTCCGTGTAGCTATCGCCCAGCGCCGTGCCGAGGTGGAGAAGCAGAAGGCCAAGCAAGCATCCGCCAACTTGGCGATTGACTGGTTCGACAAGACCACATCTCGTGTCACTGAGATCAAGGCTTCTGTTGACGAGGTCAAGGGTCTTGAGGCCTGATATGCTCTAGTACTTGCATTCACCGCTCAAAAGTTGTCCATCGTTATATGCAAGTTCACCATCACTCTCTGTATACCATCCTGTCGTTTTGTGCTATGTTTTGCATTCATGCTTGTCTAGTATGTTGGCAGTCGTAACAAAGAATCCCCAGCTCACACTCAGTACTCTGTTTTGCAAGGCTGATATCTGTGCTGTTGAGTTCTGGTCTAGTAGCAAATGGTGAAGGTAGCGAAGGGAAATCCGCGGAAGCAGGCAACATTTTCCGCCGATTTGAAATCGCACTGTACTGCCTTGCCGTGGTTGACTCGCTTTCAAGATTGAGCTAGTGAGCAAGCGTTTCGAGTGCCTGTGTTGCTGTTCGCTGCTGTGTATGGGGAAAGCCTCGGTGTTAAGCAAGGCTTCGGCTCAGCCGTTGCTGCTTGGTCACCTGTTGCAATTGCTGACGGTCTGAGCGTGCTTCCAGTTGACCATCACCCTATCCCATTCACACCACCTCGGCTTCTCGGCAGAGACTTCACACAACGAACACGAACGGCTCATCCGACTCAAGACACTCAGCACGGCACCGAATTGTCTTGGCAGCACAGCAGCAACACCATCGCATCTTCCGAACGCGCTCAGTCAGGCAGCCAACATGTCTTTGAGCGGCGCTTCCGCTTCAGTCGCCACCGCTTCAGTCGCCACCGCTAATGCGGTCCCGCAAGGTGTGCCTGGCGCAGTTGACCAGGTCACTGTACCTCGAACTGCTTCGCTGCTTTCACCGCAGCAGGCAAGCACGGATCTACAGCCACAGCTCGACTCGGGAGCAAAAGATGCGCAGCAGGCCATCCTCAGCGACCCGCAACCAGTACATGCTGTTGACGACGACGAGCAGATCTCAGAGCAACACCAGGAACAACGACAAGAGCCAGCAACGACATCACAAGCTCCCACAAATCAGCAAAAAAATCCTCCTGAGCAAGTGGCCATCCCAATGACTCCCGCTGCTCGTCGACTGCACAGCTCCACCTCCTCTCCGCTCTCAGATCAAGCCAACGAAAATCGAAGCACTAAATCTTCCACCTCCAGCAGTGGCGGTAGGGACAGCGACCAGAAGCGTTCCGAACCCAAGCGGAGCAGAAGCAAGAAGAAGCACAATGCTTCGGACGGCGTCCAAGTCGAACGTGTTGGTTTCAAGGAGCTCTATCGTTATGCTACCATCTGGGACCACATCTACAATTTCATCGGTCTCATTGCTGCTGCCGCTGCCGGTGCTGTGCAGCCCCTCATGACGATTGCCTTTGGAAGCTTGACCACCGCTTTCCTCCAGTACTCCAACACACTGCTCTTCGGTGGTGACATTGTCGCAGCTCGCAATCACCTCAACCACCAAATCGCCCATGGCATCCTCTTCCTCGTCTACATCGGCATTGCCATGCTTGCTGCTACTTACATCTACAGTGCTGCCTGGGTTTACACTGGACAAGTCATCACTCGTCGTATTCGAGAGAGGTACCTTCAGGCCGTGCTCAGACAGGACATTGCCTACTTTGACCTTGTCGGTGCTGGTGAGATCACAACCCGTATTCAATCTGATATCCAACTTATCCAGGAAGGAATCAGCGACAAGATCCCCATGTCGGTCATGTTCATCTCTGCCTTCGTTACCGGTTTCATCGTCGCCTACGTCAAGTCCTGGCAACTTGCCCTTGCTCTCAGCTCCATGATCCCATGTATCATTGCCGCAGGTGCCTTGATGAACGCCGTCACTGCCAAGCTTCAACAGGCTGAGCTCGACCGAGTCTCGAAAGCTGCTTCCATCGCTGAAGAAGCTCTTGCCACTCTTCGTACCGCCAAAGCTTTCGGTATCGAGAACAACCTTGTCCAACTCTACGACGAGAGCAACAGGGAGGCAACTAGGTTCGGTATGAAGAGGTCTCTCTTCCAAGGTATTGGAATGGGCGTCTTCTTCTTCGTCATCTACAGTGGTTACGCTTTGGCCTTCTACTTCGGAGCCAAGCTCTTGGCAAGTGGTCATATCCAGTCCGGTACTGTCATGAACGTCATTCTCTCCATTCTCATCGGCGCCTTCTCCATGGCCATGATGGCTCCCAACATGCAAGCTCTTTCCTACGCTTTCGCAGCAGGTGCCAAGGTCTTCGAGACGATCGACCGAATTCCTCCCATCGACTCGAGCGACCCTAGCGGACTTCGACCTGAGAAGTGCCAAGGCAAGCTTTCCTTCCGTGATGTCGACTTCAGCTACCCCGCACGACCCGATGTTCCCGTCCTCGACAACTTTAGCCTCGAAGTCCCTGCCGGTAAAGTCACTGCGCTTGTCGGAGCTTCCGGTTCGGGCAAGTCCACTATTGTGTCTCTTGTCGAGCGATTCTACGACCCCGATGCGGGAGCTGCCTACCTTGACGGCGTCGATCTTCGCGATCTCAATTTGAAGTGGCTTCGTACTCAAATTGGTCTCGTATCGCAGGAGCCCACCCTCTTCTCCACCGACATCCGCACCAACATTGCCCACGGTCTTATCAACACTCCCTACGCCAAAGCTTCTGACGACGAGAAGGAGAAGCTCATTGTCGATGCAGCCAAGATGGCCAACGCACACGGCTTCATCTCTCAGCTTCCCAACGGCTACCATACCATGGTCGGCGACCGTGGCTTCTTGCTCTCTGGTGGCCAGAAGCAGCGTATCGCTATCGCTAGAGCTATTGTCAAGAACCCTCGCATTCTGCTGCTTGATGAAGCCACTTCGGCTCTCGACACGCAGAGTGAAGCTGTTGTGCAGGATGCATTGGAGCAAGCGAGTCAAAACAGGACCACAATCACCATCGCACATCGTCTCTCGACCATCAAGAACGCCGACAACATTGTTGTGATGGGCAAGGGAGTCATCCTGGAGACAGGCACACACGACCAGCTGCTCCAACTCAACGGAGCCTATGCACAGTTGGTCGATGCCCAGAAGATCCGAGCCAACGTCAGCACAAAGACCACCGAGGATGACGAAGAGGAGGATGAAGGTGTCGGGAAGAAATTCGTCCCTTCCAACGCCCAAGTCTCTGCTACTCCTCTTGTCACAACCGACGTCGAAAAGCAACAGCTTCGCGAGGAAGCCAAAGCCGAAATGCCTGCTGGGCTCGACAAAACTGCCACCCATGGCTCTGTTGCTTCTGCCATCCTTGCTCAACGCCAAGCCCAAGCTGCTGCCGAGGAGGAGAACGAAAAGATCCCTTCCATCTTCTACCTTCTCTACCGACTCGCTAAGATCAACCGCGACCACGTGCTGTCGCTCTACGTCCCGGGTGTCATTGCTTCCATCTGTTCCGGTGCAGCCTATCCCTGTTTCTCGATCTTGTTCGGCCATGCGCTACAGAACTTCTCGCTCTGCAGTGCTATCGGCGGTGGTCCCTGTCCTGAGCCGACGAGGAGTATCATGTTGCACGATGCAAATCGGTGGGCATTGTACTTCTTTGTCATTGCTATCCTGTGTACGCTCGCGATCGGCATTCAGACTTACACACTGATGAAGGCATCATCAATTCTGATGGAGAGGATCAGGAGAATGTCCCTCTTCGCCTACCTCAGGGCGGATGTTGCATACCATGACGAAGACAAGAACTCAAGTGGCTCGCTCAGCAACTCTCTTGCGGACAACTCGCAGAAAATTAACGGTCTTGTCGGTGTGACACTTGGAACGATCATTCAGTCCATCTCGACTCTCGTCACTGGTGCCATCATCGCTTTGGCAAACGGATGGAAGCTTTCGCTCGTCGTCATTGCTTGTATCCCTCTTACGCTCAGCGCTGGTTTCGTTAGGCTCCAACTCGTAGTTCTCAAAGATGCTAGAATCAAAAAGGCATACCAAGGATCAGCAGCGAAAGCATGTGAAGCAGCCGGCTCCATGCGTGTGGTCGCTTCTTTGACACGCGAAGAAGATTGTCTCGAGATCTACCGTCGCGAATTGGACGCTCCCTCCCAGATCTCCCGCAACACGGCTTTCTACGGCAATTTCCTCTATGCTGTCTCGCAAGCGCTGCAGTTCTGGATTATCGGTCTTGGTTTTTGGTACGGTTCTCACCTCTTGATCAAGGGAGAGTACACCTCTGGACAGTACTTCACCATTCTCACTGCTGTCGTTTTTGGATCTATCCAGGCATCGAACGCGTTCTCTTTCGTCCCGGATATCTCTAACGCCAAAACCGCAGCTTGGGATAGCATCAAGTTGCTCGACATGGTCCCTGAGATTGATGTCACCTCTGACGAAGGTGAAATCATTCCCCAAGTCCAGGGCCATGTCAAGCTAGAGAATGTGCACTTCCGCTACCCAACCCGACCAACCGTCCGAGTCCTGCGCGGCTTAGACATTGAAGTGAAACCTGGAACATACGTCGCTCTCGTCGGCGCTTCTGGTTGCGGTAAATCCACCACGATCCAACTCATACAACGGTTTTACGACACGCTTTCCGGTAGAGTCCTCATCGACGGAAAAGACATTTCAAGCTTAAACCTCCGAGACATCCGTAAACATATGGCTCTCGTATCCCAGGAACCAACACTATACGACGGTTCGATTGAGTTCAACATTCGTCTTGGTGCCTTCGAGGATGCGGATACGGTCAGCATGGACGAGCTCCGCGCAGCAGCAGCCAGTGCTAACATTCTCGCCTTTATCGAGAGCTTACCTGACAAGTGGGACACTCAGGTGGGTGGCAAAGGCACACAGCTTTCAGGTGGTCAGAAGCAACGTATTGCCATTGCGCGCGCACTCATTCGAAACCCCCGCATCCTCTTACTCGACGAAGCAACCAGCGCACTAGACTCGGATAGCGAGAAGATCGTACAAGAAGCACTCGACAAAGCAGCTGCAGGCCGAACCACCATTGCCATTGCGCATAGGTTGAGTACGATCAGTCGAGCAGATATGATTTATTGTCTCAAAGACGGAAAAGTTGCTGAACAAGGAACGCACGGAGAGTTGTTGGCTAGGAATGGAATTTATGCTGATCTGGTGCGGATGCAGGAGCTTCAGAAGGAGGAGTAGCACCTCGACTTCCTGCTAATGATTTCTATCTCGAGTGTTGGTCTTTAGATCACCGCTTGTTCACGATTCGGAATGGAATGGTTCTGTTATTGATCACAACAGTCAAATCTGGAGCCTCGAGATTGCGATCGTAGAGAGAAGTGTCTCTGTGATACACAAAGAGTAACCGTGGTTCAGAAACGATGATTGTCAACGAAACGAGAGCCAGAGCTTCTCTCTTGCCTGACTTGCCACGGAAGCTCATCTTAAACTTGTTTCTGCATTGAAATCGTAACCGACGTCATGTCTGCCATACACAACCGACGGAAGACACGGAATGACTCAAAGCAATCAGACAGGGGCAAAGAAACTCAGAACGACAACATCATAATTGCGATTCATATACAACGATGAAACAGATGGATAGAAGTAGAAGATGGGACGATTACCAGTCAGTACCAGCAACTTTCTGAGCAAACTGCTTCGCAGCATCCACCACCCCGGCAATCTTTCCACCTACACCCTGGTATCCAAATCCATCCAACCAAGGCGTCTCGACACTGCGCTTCTTCTCGAAATCTGCGATCTTTGCATCCTTCTGCAGCGTCAAAGCGATATCGTCCAGACCGTTGATAAGGCAGTGACGTGTGAATTCGGGAGTTTCGAATGGGAACTTTTCACTCCCATCAGCGGTAATTACGACTTGATTTTCGAGGTCGACGGTAATCTCTTTCCCTGCCTTAGCATCAACGGTAAGACGCTCGATCTGCGGTTTGGTGAGGATTACAGGCAACTGACCGTTCTTAGTGAGGTTGTTGCGGAAGATGTCTCCGAAAGACTCGGCGATGACTGCTCGAATACCGAAATCGAGCAAAGACCATGCGGCGTGCTCACGAGACGAACCACAACCGAAGTTAGGACCAGTAACAACCAAAATCTTTGCCTGATCGTAAGGCGACTGGTTCAAGATGAAGGACGGGTCGGGTTCGCCGGTCTTAGGATCGTATCGAATGGGCCAGAAGAGAGCTGAACCAAGACCGGTACGTTTGATGGTCTTAAGGAACTGTTTGGGGATAATAAGATCGGTGTCGACATTCGATCGTTCCAGAGGGGCAACGATGCCGGTGAGTGAGGTGAACTTCTCCATTCCTCCTCCAGTAGTGGAGGTTTGGGAAGGGGGAATGTCACGGATCTTATCCTCGTCCGTGTTCTCCGGTGCGGTGGCTGCTGGAGCGGGAGTTGCGTCGATCAGGTACGACTTTGCGTCGCTAACCTGGATCTCGAATTCGGGCTTACCAGCCTCGCTTCCGACCTTAGCCGCACTGCCACCCACAACCTTCCTAACATCGGTGAGGTATCCGGTAACAGCACATGCAGCAGCCATAGCGGGGGACATCAAATGGGTCCTACCACCCGCACCCTGTCGACCTTCAAAGTTACGGTTGGAAGTCGAAGCGCACCTCTCACCAGGAGCGAGTTGGTCGGGATTCATGCCCAAACACATCGAACACCCAGCCTCTCTCCAGTCGAAACCGGCAGCTTGGAAGATCTTATCCAATCCTTCCGCCTCTGCTTGCTTCTTAACCAAACCGGAACCGGGGACGAGCATGCAGTACAATCCCTCTGCGACCTTTCGTCCGTGCAGAACGCGAGCAGCAGCTCGGAGATCTTCAATACGAGCGTTTGTGCAAGACCCGATGAAAACTTTATCGATCTTGATCTTTTCCATGGGAGTGTTGGGTTCGAGGCCCATGTATTCGAGTGCGCGGGTCCAGGCTTTGGCTTCAGCGTCATTTTTGGCGTTCTTAGGGTCGGGGACGCTGCCGGTGATTGCGACGACGTCCTGTGGAGAGGTACCCCAGGTTACAGTAGGGGGAATGTCTTTAGCGTCGATTTTGATGACGGTGTCGTACTGTGCGCCTTCGTCGGAGGGAAGAGATTTCCAGTATGCGACGGCTTCGTCCCATGCTTTGCCTTGCTTAGGAGCGAGAGGGCGGCCCTTGATGTACTCGTAGGTGATTTCGTCAGGAGTGATGAGACCTGCACGAGCACCGGCTTCGATGGACATGTTGCAGATTGACATACGGGCTTCCATCGAGAGCGAACGGATGGTGGATCCGGCAAATTCGATGACATGGCCTGTACCACCAGCGGTACCGATGATACCAATGATGTGAAGGATGATATCCTTAGACGTGACGCCTTCCGAAAGCTCGCCGTCGACTTGGATGAGCATGTTCTTCGCGCGCTTCTGCAGGATAGTCTGGGTAGCAAGAACGTGTTCTACCTCCGAGGTACCGATACCGAAAGCAAGCGCACCGAATGCACCGTGAGTCGAAGTGTGCGAGTCGCCACAAACGATCGTCGCACCAGGCAGAGTGAAGCCCTGCTCGGGACCAATGATGTGGACAATACCCTGACGGTCGTCAGAGAGACCAAAGAATGTCAGACCGAAAGCCTTGACATTTTCCTCCAAGGTGAGACACTGAGTTCGAGAATCAGCCTGCTCGACGAACGACTTAGTGTCCTTGTATGCCTTACGGGAGGCGGTAGGGATATTGTGATCGACAGTGGCGAGAGTGCAGTCGGTTCGACGGACTTTGCGGTTTGCATTGCGAAGGCCTTCGAATGCCTGTGGCGAGGTGACTTCGTGCACCAAGTGTCGATCGATGTAGATGAGGCATGTGCCATCGGCTTCCTCGTGGACGAGGTGGGAGTCGAAGATCTTTTCGTAGAGGGTTCTGGGCGCCATCTTTGCAAGGAAGAGATAGGCTGAGGGGAAGATGATGGGGAGGAGGGAAAAAGGTGGAAGCGGCGGCATGGAGTGCTTTTGACTCTCCGAGTCACACGGCGGTCCGGATGCCCAACTTGACGCACGGGCACTGGAGCAGTGCTGCATCGAATCAGAAGCCGCGCATTTCAGTGAACTCACATGACCTCTTTTCATCGCTCTAACATGTCCGCCAACCTCACCCACCGTCGCCACTCATCATCACCCACCAACGCTTCTCATCACCTACCAACGCTGCTCATCACCCACCACCACTGCTCAGACCCACGTCAACATCCCTCGCCCCTCTTGCGTTGGCATATATACAAATGTGTGGCACATACCCAAGTGTGAGTGCATCCTACCTAATGACAATGTGTAACAACGAGTGGGACGTCGTTGTACCTGATTCCCCTCTCCTATCTGAAGGAGGAGGGTATCGACTCACACCGGGAGTCCGATGAAGTGATCGGCGCATCCGACGGGATGGCCGACAGCTTTTCCCATGGTGATAAGAGTTGTCAGAAAAACTGTCAGGTGGTCTCTGACAATCAGATTGGTGCACCTGACAATGCAGAGGATGACTCTCCATCTAATGATAAGCCTCTGATGAGACTCCTCTTGAGGGCTCTAATGCCCTTCTCCTTCAGACCTCTCTCCTACCTCTTGTCAGTGTCAAAGATGTGTATATAAGGTGCCCAAAGTCAGCCAGTTTGTTTGTATCATCCTATCCCTCTTGTACTTACTCATCAACATTGAGTGCTCAATACAAACTGTGTCCTGCCACAGTCCACTAGCCTTCCAACAGATTATGAGACCTAGCAGTTACTAGGCCTCTTGATGACACTAAGTACAAAACAAATTGGATCAGCTCCTGAGACATGATCTCAGTCATAGCATTAGCAAGAACACCAAACAGCTCACCATCAAAGGCTGAAGCATATAAGCCTGCCATTGAAAAGGTTTGAGACAGTGCCTGGTTGATCAAAATGGATGCAGTGATGTCTTTGTCAATGCCACCTGTGCTGCAAGGCAGCAGTGATTACTACACCTGGCAAAGACAGCTGCAAATCTACATTGATGGGGTTAACCCAATGATGTGGGAGGCAATTATGGGTATATCAACCCACACAGCCAACGAGATGGATGAACACCTCCACATCTCCCTCCAGACAACCACAAGGCATGCAGTCAATGTTCTTCTGCAAGCCATTGCTCCAGAGATCACTGTCATAATTGAGGAGGAGCAAACTGCAAACCAGATATGGAAATATCTTGAACAATGCTACTCCAAGGGGACCATCATCCAACTGTATGTCCTCCTCACCAAACTTACCCACCTTGTCCAGGTGGGAAGTGTCAATGAGTTTATCTCCAACATCAAGCATATTGCCAATGAGAGAGCTCTGATGGGTCATCCAATCAATGCCAGAATGAAGCTTGGCTGCTTACTCCACAGTGTTCAACCACATCTCCACCCATACACTGTGGCTTATAAAGCATGGTGGGAGTTGTCATGGGCCTGAATGCTCAAGAAGCAGGAGGGTCACTGGTTCATATGGAAGGAGCACAGGTATCGAAGATCTAGTCGATACCATTAGAGAGCATGGTTGTAGTGCAGCCTCCATGGAGACCATGGACTCCTATGGACTCACATGCAAAGGAGGACCGAGCCCATATGCGAGGAGGGCCAGGCACAGCCATGAAGAGGACCAAGCTCAAGGAGCATGCAGATGGTTACCACTCAGGGGCTCGAGAGACAAGAGTCGAAGGAGTCGACACCACTCAGGAGGCACAAGGGTGCCAAGCAAGCAGGAGAGGCCTCCTGAACAGTACTCGATGAAGAAGGTACTCTCTGGAGAGAGAGCAGGAGCAGCATCGCTGGTGATGCTGTGAAGAGGTATATAACCATGCTTTCTCATCATCAAAGGTCGAGTGGATCCTCATCCACTCTACACACACATCATAACTAGTTATCACTTCAGCATAAGTATATATTAGTTTCAGTCAGCATAGCAGCAATCTATCAAGGTTGCTCCTCATCATAGTGTGTGTGTTGTATCACCACTACCTGACATCCGAAGGCGACCCATAGCAGGTCAGCAGTCCAGATATAGATAGAACCAAAGGCAGTAGTCCACTGCGGTCCAGGGATCACTTCAAGCATCAAGTCAACACACTGGACACTCGTGTTGACACCACCAACCCTATCATCAACACCATCAACCTCATTACCATCAACACTCACCAACCTTATCACTGACACCATCAACCTCATCATCATCAACACACACACCAGACCTTGGTGTCATCATAACCTTCGTATTGATATTGATCATGCCGAGCTACCCCTGAACAGAGTGTCCACAGAGGTCAGCTGAAACCTATGATAGTATATACAATGAACACCACCTGCTGTCATTGCACAACTTGATAGTCACCAAATGACTAGCTCATCGAGACCGATACCAAGACAATAGCTGTTGCACAGTTTGATAGTCACTGAGTATCTCGACAGACCGACCTGGGTTTCAGGCGCGAGACCCCTGACAGGAGTCACTCACCCTCAGCAAGACCACCAAGTCTGCTGGATCATCCAATGCAGACTATGAGCTTCAACTTGCATGATTGTTTGAAGCTACTGCCATGGGCCTATGCAATTCTAATGCTGCAGCAGCCAACCAAGTCATCTTCTGGAAATGCAGTTGCCATGGTCATATATCAACAGAATGCCCTGACCCTGAAAAGGAGGAGAAACAGGGCAAGCAAGGAAAGAGAGGCAAGGGAAAGCAAAAGAATGACAGTGCCAAGTCAGCCGGGGAGAATAGAAGTGATCAAAGTGACCAAAACACACATGTCTTAACTGTTCTTGCCATGGGTACAGCCAACAAGGAAGTCATCAAGGGCTGGATCTGGGATACTGGTGCTGATGTTCACATCTGCAAGGATGAGTCACTCATGATGGACATACAACACACCAATGGATGCATCCAGCAAGCACAGGGTCCTTTGATCAAGTACAACACCATTGGGAAGGTCACCCTAAATGTTTACACCAGTACCAGCATCAAGCATGTCACACTATCAAATGTTGTCCTCCTTTGCAATGGAAATTTCAACTTGTTCTCTCCAAGGGCTGCAGCTAAAGCAAGTGAAGGAGACATCAGATGCAATCAGCAAGGAAGAGACTGCATTATGGTTGGGAAGGACAGACAATGCAAACAAGTCACCTGGGCTGTGAAGAGTGGCAACAGGCTTTACCTAGATGTGGTGGCAAAGGCTACCCCAAGCAACCACACAAAGCCAAGTGATCACAACTGAGTGCTGCAGGCAAAGTCACAAGAGGATGCCACTGCTTTCTGGCACATGTGGCACTGCCACCTCAGACATGCAAGCCTGGACCACATCCAGAAGTCATTGAAGGCTGTGGGCATTGATACCCATGACATGCCTAAGGTTTTCAACTGTGAAGCATGCAATGCAATGAAATTCATTTGCCCATCATTTGGATCAGGAAGAAATGAAATGAAGGCGAAACTTGATGTGGTTGTCAGTGACCTACAGGGTCCTATGCCAGTTCTGAGTCTTGGAGGAGCAAGGTACATACTCACTATCACAGACATACACATGCATTTCAGCTGGGTAAGGATGCTTGTGTCAAAAGATGCTATGAAAACAGCAGTCAAGAAGTGGCTGGAGGAAACAAAGCAGGAAACAGGTCAGTACCCAAAGGTTTTCTGGAGTGACAATGGTGGTGAGTACACATCAAATGCCTTCAAGACCATGCTTCATCAGCACAGCATCACACAGCAGCTGACTGCACCCTATATGCCACAACAAAACAGGATCACTGAGCATGTCAACCACACCATCATGAACATCATTCAACCAATGCTCGACACTGCCAAGCTACCAGTGCCACTCTGGGCCAAAGCTACTCAACATGTGAGCTGGATCTGAAATTGCACCTATTCCAAGGTCGTTGGAGGAGTACCCTATACCCTGTGGTCTGGACAAAGGGTTAGGATGAGTGATGTCAAAACCTTCAGCACAGTAGTATGGGTCAGGAACACCAAGCATGGAAAGAGCAAATCAAAGCTTGGTCAACATGGACAAAAGTGCTTTTGGGTAGGAGTGCCTGACCTATCTGAGGCAGCTCACAGATGCATTGACACTGAAGACTACTCAAAGGTTTATACCTTGAGGGATGTCAAGTTCAATGCTGAGACCCTCTCTGATGCAATCATTGACACCAACCTTGATTACATTAGCCAAGGTACTGTGAATGCAAGTCTGACCTGGGAACTAGAGGATGAGCTATCACTCAAAAATGTGCTGAGGAACCAAACAGCAAGAATGATACCCACCAGGGAACCAAGAAAATCCTCAGATGATGATAGCTCAGACCTTTCTTCACCCTCAGCATCCAATGAACAAGACTTGGAGGAAAATGTGTCACCAGTCATCATTACTACCCAGCAAGACCAACATCTCAGCCTGGCCAGGGACCCCACTGACCTGAAGATCAAATTAGCAATGGTTGCACATTACCTTCAGGAGGGCAGTAGCAACATTAGAGAACTCAAGTCATCACTCACCAATGAGCCCTGCATGAGACCCAAGGAGCAAGTAACAGCTGCATGCAATAACATCAGGTCTGATCTCAATGTGCATAATGCCACCATTGAGTTTGTCACCACAGCTGGCCAGGACTCACTCATTATGCATAATGACCCACAAACACTCATGCAAGCACAGAAATGCACAGAGTGGTCAAGCTGGGAGAAGGCAATCAAGGACAAGCTTGACTCACTTGATGATGCTGGAACATGGATCATCACCAATCTACCAGAGAATCAGAAGGCAATCACAGCCAAGTGGGTCTTCAAGACCAAGTGTGATGCTGATGGAAACCCAGTAAAGTATAAGGCTTGTCTGGTAGCCTGCAGGTTTAACCAAATGCATGGTATCGATTACCATTACATGTACTCACCAGTGGTGAGCATGACCTGCCTCTGTCTTGTCATTTGTTACAGCCTCAAGAACAAGCTTTGGATCCAGCAAATAGATTTTGTTGCTGCATACCTTAATGGTGAGCTCACAGATGTCAACATATACATGATGCTCCCACCAGGTTTCGAGGAAAGGTACAGATGGTCACCACAATCAGCCTGTCACCTCAAGAAGGCACTTTACAGACTCAAGCAGTCTGGTTGCAAATGGTTTGCAAAGTTGGATGAAAGTCTGTGCTCTTTAGGTTTCTCACAACTTGGCTGTGATGTGGCAGTGTACAAAATGGAGTTGGTCATCATCGCCATTTATGTTGACAACATCATCATCATTGGACAGGAACATGAGGTCAACATCATCATTGACTCAATCCAGGCACACTTCAAAATCACCAGAGGTGGGGATGCAGAATGGTGCCTTGGAATTCACATCCAGCAAAATGGTGAATCAGTTTCACTTGCTCAAGATGCATACATTGACACTGTACTCACCCATTTCAGCATGAACCAAGCAGTGGAGACCAACACACCACTTGACCCATCAGCTGCCAACCTACTACTCACAGACCCAAGTCACTGGCCCCTCACCAAAGAGCAGGTAGTGACCTATCAACAGATCATGGGATCAGTCATGTATCTCATGACCTCAACAAGACCCAACCTTGCTTTTCCCATTAGCAAACTTGCAAGTCACCTTGCCTCTCCAACCACAGTTCACCTCAATCAGGCGCAGCACCTTTTGTGCTACGTCCTACACACTCGATCACATAAGTTAGTGTACTCATGAAATGAGTCAAGCACTCTGGTTGTGTATTCTGATGCTGATCACACTGGCAGCTGGAAGGAAAACCCATACTTGACATCCGGGTTTGTCCTTACTCTGTTTGGAGGAGCAGTTGCCTGGAGGAGCAGTTGCCTGGAGGAGCAGTTGCCTGGAGGAGCAGGAGGCAGAGAGTTATATCAACAACAACAGCAGAGGCTGAGGTAGTCACCCTTAGTGATGCATGCCATGATGTCATCTGGGTCTTGGATGTGCTCATTGGTCTTGGCATCATGCTCCCTGATACTCCTGTGGTACTCCTGACTGATAACCAAGCTGCAGAGCAAATCATATCTGCAGACAGGCCCAGGCAAAACAAATCACTCATGCTCAGAAGCACATTTGTGAAAGACACAATTAAGAAGGGCATTACAGTCATCAGATGGATTACTGGAGAATTACAGGTTGCTGATGGACTAACAAAGTTGCTCAATGCAAGGGGGTGCTTGAGATCTTGAGAAGTCCTTGGGGTCAAAGACCATCCAGTGGTTTGTCACTAGGAGGAGTGAAGGAGGAGGGTATCAACTCACACTGGGAGTCCAATGAAGTGATCGGTGCATCTGACGGGATGGCCGATGACTTTTCCCATGGTGATAAGAGTTGTCAGAAAAACTGTTGGGTGGTCTCTGACAATCAGATTGGTGCACCTGACAAGGCAGAGGACAACTCTCCATCTAATGATAAGCCTCTGACGAGACTCCTCTTGAGGGCTCTAATGCCCTTCATGCTCCAGACCTCTCTCCTACCTCTTGTCAGTGTCGAGACATGTATATAAGGTGTCTGAAGTTGGCCAGTTCATTTGTATCATCCATCCATCTTGTACTTACTCATCAACGTCGAGTGCTCAATACAAACCGTGTCCTGCCACAGTCCACTAGCCTTTTGTCATGGGGGGGGATGCGCAGAAGCTAGAAGATCCATCAAGCTCATATGAAGGCAGTGCAGGAATCAAGGGATCGGGCAGATCATGGGATTTGAAGCAGAATTCACTGAGATCGGTAATAGTACCAACTCTATGACAGATCTCATCGAGATCAGCAGGAAAGAGGATAGTACTATGAGCCCAGGATCAGCTCGAGGGAAGATGATACTATGGATCACACCGAGATCGGTGATATGAGAGGGGGTATGGCAGATTCTGCCAGAATCGGTAATAGGAGAGATCCTATCACAGATTCCACAGAGATCAGTGATAGGAACAGGCATACCATGAGCTTCCATGGGGGGGAGTGGGATCAAGTGCCGCCAAGAGGGGGACCGAGCTCAGGAGCATGCAGCTGGTTACCACTCAGGGGCACACAAGATAGGGGAGCATCACCAGTCGAAGGAAGGAGAGCTGTGTAAGAGAAACTGGCAAGGAGGACAGAAGGAGGAGGAGCAGTGTCAATGGAGTTGGCATGGCTCAGGAAAGACAGACAGGACAATGCAATGAGGAGGAGGGGTCTCATTGAAGACTCCTGTGAAGTACTCGACACAGAAGGTATTCTCTGGAGAGAGAGCAGGAGCAGTGGCACTGGTGCCACTGTGAAGAGGTATAAAGCCATACCTTCTCGTTGCTAGTGGTTGAGTGGATCCTCATCCACTCTACTCACAACATAACTAGTATTACTCCAGAAGCATAAGTATTCATTAGTTCAGTCAGCATAGTAGTAATTGATAGATTGCTCCTCATTGTAGCATGTGTGTCATATCACTGCTCACTGATGTCCGAAGGTGGTTCATAGCAAACCAGCAGTCCAGATAAAGATAGAACTGAAGGCAGTCATCCACTGTGGTCCAGGGATCACCTCAAGCATTAGTCAACACACTGGACACTCATGTCAATGCCACCAAGTATCACACCCACACCAGATCTTTGGTGTCATCATCAAGTTCACCAATGTCATATCATTATTGATTGTGCTGAGCTACCTCTGGATGGAGTGTCCAACAGTGGTCAGTCGAAATCTGTAATAGCATTATCACAATCACAGATTCGAGCAAGAAAAGTAATAGAGATGGTTATACTGCATATCTCATTAAGAATTGCAATACCACAAGCGCTGTCGCATAACTCGACAGAATCAGTAATAGTATTGATACTACTACTGATCTCAGGTTTCAGGCGCGCGACCCCTGACACCTTTCAACATGATGGACGACGATATCTATCCGAGCGAGATCTGCTGACAGATATCGGGAAGGCATCAACTCGTACAACATTATTAGATCTTTATGTTGTGGACCCCGTGTTAGAGCCTGACGTTTGCTCGTTGCAACACCATCTTCTTCCGTAAGAAGCATGAATTGATGTCCACCAGGCGGTTCCGCGACCGCGATTGCTTTCATGCGGCAGTGTGATAGCTCCCATGTTCGGGTACGAAGATAAATTTGACTCTAATCGCATGGATGTTGAGCATCGTACAATCATGACTCGGCTCCGCAGAGTTCTACTAAAAACACATCTTGTGGACGCTTCTGGCTCCGTTGCGATGCATGCGCCAACCTTACGTGGGTTTGGGGACACTAATCCCAGTGCGATCTTCTGTGGCAGATATACGTTAGCTCGGCGCCTTTATCGAGTCGATCTTGCGCTATGCATAGCATCAGACCTAAGCGAGTCTCGTGTTCGAGCGCCGACTGGTTCAGATCGGCGGTCAACACGGCGAAGTTTGCTGGGCTAGATCCGTCGTTCCTGCTTGGCAGCTCGTTTAAGCATCACCCCGGTTCACTCCTCGAAGGCCACACCGTAGCCAATGGTGACATACGGTCGGGACGGCTAGACAATGGGAAATCGCTTCGAATCGCATGAGCAAGCAAGGCTCACAGAGGAAAAGAAAAAGAAATTTGCCACAGCAACTCATCTTTTCTCTTCTGCTGTGGCTTCCTTGGCAAAACAACTTTGAGTCATCATCGCCGCGAAGCGTGGCTTTTACAGTAGTGACAGCGTTTTCGTTTGATTTTCCTTTTCTGAGCCCGAATTCTGGGGATCTTTTTCCTTTCCTTTTCTTTTCTTTTCTTTTCTGTTTTTGTTTTGTTTTTTGACATCTGTCTTCTGTCTCTGGATTGTTCGCGTGGCATGGGAAACGACACGGCCACGATAGGAATCGAACTTTCTTGTGCGGCATGTATTCGCACGAGAAAGTGCCCGGGCGTGACACGAGCTGACCCTGTTCCTTCCAACACTGCTTGGCGAGTTGAAATTAGATACACCGCTCTAGAGGCCACTATCAGGCGCCCTTTGCAGTCGGGTGTGTCTAAGTGAGAAGGCTTGATATTTGGATGGGAGAGTGGCTACTAAACAGGAGTATATATACCTTAACGTCCGACTACGCTCACTCTCCGAGTCATGTCCATGGGCCGTGTGTCTCCTTTGATAACAGTTGTTATGTCAACATACCTCCTGCATACCATGGCATCAATCCACGAGCATAGGCTGCATGTGCTCCCACAAGCTTTGCATCTATCTCATCTTCCTTGGCGCTTGGAGTCTTTCTGGTCTCCCGATTTTGAATACTCTGATCTAACATTTCGACCTTTGGAAATACCGACGTATCTTCAACTTGGCGTTGCCCATTTTTCTGCGAGCCATGTCGATTTTTGTCGACGATGCGATGTTGTATCGAGAAAAAAATAACAACTATTACTTAACCTAAAGCGAGGATGTTGAAAAGAATCGATCTCACAGCTGGATTGGAGGTCAGTGCGCGCGGTAAAACAGACAGCTCAGCTCGACTTCTGACATGACTGTTCTGTGTCACTTCGCCAAAGGGGCACACGGCCTCCGCCCCACAGAGCAGGCACGGTTGCAACTCTACCAAGACAATGCACACAGCAACCAGCATCAATCCCACCACCACCTTCCTTTGTCAACATCACTCGTGTACCCACGCAAATCGAGTCTCACAAACCACGGCCCGATACGGTTGACAGCCTCGACCAATCACCCACCATCGAATCCAATCGCACAGTGACCGAAACAGTGCAAGCTGGCCTTGAACCCTCCTTATCAGCAGCGCTTTGCTATCTCTCACAACCCTTTTCGCGCCTTTACACACACTTCACTCCCGCTCACAATTCACCATGTCCTCGCAAGCCCCCGCCTCGGTCATCATCGTGACCGGCATCAACAAGTCCATGGCCAAGAAGCAAGTCGACGACTTTTTCAGCTTCTGCGGCTCCATCACCAAGCTCGATCTCATCGATGATGGTGCTAATCACCAGAAGGCCGTCATCGAGTTCGCAAAGCCTTCTGCTGCAAGCACCGCCCTAATGCTCCATGGCAGCTCCCTTGACGGTGCCAATCTCTCTGTTGCGCTCGAAGGCGATACAACCGCCGCCGCCAGCGCCACTGCAGCCACTGCCGCTCAGCACGATGACGCACAGCCTGTCGGTCAAGAGGACAAGCCAAAGACCGCCATCGTTGCTGAATACCTCGCCCACGGCTACCACATCTCGGACGAAATCACAAAGCGTGCCATCGAGCTCGACAACAAGCACGGTCTCTCCACCAAGTTCAAAGGCTACCTTTCCCAGCTCGACCGCTCCCTTGGTCAGAAACTCGAAAAGGCTGCGCCTGCACCTTCTTCAACTACTACCAGCAGGACCGAACACACGCCCAGCGGGCCTGCTGCACTCTTGTCGGCTACTGAAAAGGTCGCCGCCGCCATGCCCGTGCCAGGCGAAGGCGCCTCCATCGAAGGTCCCAAGACAACCACCACCGTTCCCGAGCCCGCGTCAGCCGCTAGCGCCGTTGCCGACAAGCAGGACCCTTCCTTCGCTCGCAATCTTCAGCAGCGAGCTCAGGCCGTGCTCGACAAGCCCGAGGTCAAGTCCAAGACAGACTTTGTCTGGACCAAGCTTAGCGACTACTACAACGCCTTTGCCAACCACCCCAAGATCCATGACTTCTACTCGAAAACCTCCAAAACCGTCACTGACGTTCACGAGGAGGCTAAGCGTATCGCAGAGAAGAAGAAACACGGTGCACCTTCGGGGACCGCTGGCACCTCTGTACCCACTTCGGCTCCCGCAACTGGTGCTAAGCAGATGAGCGTCTCTTGGCTTGTCCTCGGCCTTGTCCTCTTCTCCACCCTCTCGCTCAATGGTGTTGCTGCACACGACCACAATGCCATCTCCAACGAGCCCGCCGAGGTCGCTGGCTTCCAGCCCACCGACATCGAGCACGAGAGCTACATCCAGAGACACATGCGCACCGAGCACCACATCAACGCCTTCAACCTCGGCAGTGCCTTTGCTCTCCACGATCTCGATCGCAACGGCGTTCTTGATCGATCCGAGATCGAGGCCATCTACGGTGTCCACCACTCGGAATCCAAGAAGCACTCGCCCACCCACGAGGTGCACGACGAGAAGGCTGACAAGATCGTCGGTGCTGTACTTCGAGCCATGGACAGGAACGGTGACGATCTCATCACCAAGAAGGAGTTCATCGATGCCGGTCCCAACGGCCTTCCCATCTTCCCAGAGTACAACATCGGTAGTCTTGGTCACCACTACGATGAGGAGTCCGAGTTCTTTGTCCACCACGAGGAGCTTTACCACAACTCGCCCGAGACTCAGACGGACGAGAGCTACAACCACAAAGAGGATCTCGAGCACTTTGCCAAGCATGATAAGATCGAAGAGGAGGAAGAGCGACGTGAGCGCAAGGCAGAGGGTCTTCCCACCATCGAGGAGGACGAGCGCCTTAAGAAGGCCGCTGCCGCGCGCGGCGAGAAGTACATCTCGCCCTACGACCGGCAGCTCGCGCCCGAGGAGCAGAAGAAGGCACAGCAAGAGCATGACCGGGCCCAGCTCGGTAATGCTGTCCGCGAGGCAGAGGCTTCTCAGCATGTCTTCCGAACGCCATCGGGTAACCACATTGTCAAGGAAGAGCAGATGCTCTTCCAGGATGTAGAGGTTGACAATCAGGGTCGTCCCGCTCACCTACCTGCTGATGGTCATGCTGGCAAATCCGGCGGATCGGCGCCTGCTGCTGCTCAACAGTCCGGCGAGCGTCTACCTCACGGCGTAGCAGATCGTGTACCAGGCGAGACCGTGGAGGGTCGACACCAGCGACTTGCGGCAGCCAAGTTAGAAGCTTTGCGAAGACCTTCGTACGGTCAGGGCGCTAAAGGTTTCGCATATCCCAAGGACGACAGTGATCGAATGCGAAAGGGAGCTCCCTACAAGGTAAGTAGACCCAACATTGCCTCTACATAATGCCACCGGTCATCCCAATGACGATCAAATCTGTTCTAACCAACGAACAGTATCCTCCTTTGCAAAAACAGTACCGTGTCAAGAAGCAGTCCTACTTTGTAAGTGTCCCGTCCAACGTATCAGCATGTCAATCGTGTCGAAACGACCAGCAACTGACACTTCTCTTTCTTTTGCTTCATTCGTCCGCCACCTCTCGAATTCTCATCCGTCTCTTTCCTGCGTCACAGGGCGAGTTCTGAGTTGTCGATATACGTGGCTCGCTGCAGCTTGCGATCAAGAGCCTCGGGCGTCACCTGTGCTTTCTTGCCTTGTCAACACATGATTATATTCCAGCTATGCCGACGTGTATCGACGTTCTAGTGTGACCAGCTGAGTCTGAGCGTATGGCAAGCTTCACGACAACGCAGACTAGAGGAGTGAATCACTGCATTCAAGATGAACATGAGCGATGAAGGACAACACCGGAAAGTGACAGAGGTGGTAAACCATACATCGATCAGACGCTGCGATATGGATGGGGAGGAACACCAGGAACACGACGAGAGAGTGAACAGTGACCGAGGTCGCACGCACCAACGAAGAGCGGACCGAGGAGAGTCGCAACTGCGAGAGAGCAGATAGCTGCAAAGCATACCGAGTCGCACTTCTGGTAGGCGGCCGACTGAAGCGCAGGGCTCAGGCTCGCTCGAAGCGCCAGATGAAGGGCACGTTGCGAGGGGCCATAGCAACCTGCGAGCGTGCGAAAATTACAAGAAGAGACAAACATCGACCCAGAAATTGAACATCACATCACAATGTCTGCCGGTGCAAGCTGCCTGCGCATGTCATCGAGCTAGCAGATTGACTTACTCTAGGAGGATACACGACGGCTGAGGACTGAGCCATGATGAACTCGTGATCCGATTCGTCGACGGCGACCAGGCTAATGAGGAATCGAGTAGCAGTCATCGAATGTGGCAACAACCAGACAATAATCTGGTTCAGAGTTAGGCTCTTTAACCACAAAGCAGCCCTGTCCGACGTAATCGAGGAATGCCCTTGTCGGCTTGGTCGACTAACTTACACATAGTGATTGCTACGCTCTACGGAGATGACCTTGAATGGACAAGGGTGCTCGCCGGCAAAGACGGGAGCGTTGATATCGAGAATTCTCGGGTAGGCAACGGCCATCTTGGGGTCTTTCTAACAGATGATGACGAACTGGTTCTGACCGTGTTTCTTGACCTCCCAAGTCTGATGTTCGTGCTGACCGATACCCATGATGAGAAGAGGCTGGTCACGGCCCAGAGCAGTAAGGCAGCCTTCGTCGAAGCAGATCTTGTAGGTGCCCTCCTGGATGGTCTTGGGTGCTGCAGACATTATGTCGAATCTTTCGTAGTCGAAGATAGCGAGAGATGTGCGAGTGAAGAATGTTCGATAGATAGTCGAGCTGGATTGATGGAGCGAGGTGGTGCGAAGTGAGATTGTCGAGGCGGAGGCGCCAAATTGCCGTCGTACTTTTACCTTTTTGATCGCGGCATCCCCGACGAGAGAAGAACGCCATACTCTCTGAGACTACGTGAGGAGCTCTTCCTGCCCTCTTATTCCGAGTACGAGGCGAAGATCCTTTTGTCTCCTGTGTTCATGGCTCCTGTTCGAGCTGATCTTCACTGCCGGTCGGGATCGTGGTGAACCTTGTGTTAGAAGACTGCGAGGGTTGGACGGCGCATGTCGCTGGCCAACTTGGTCGAGGTCTCATGGCCTCTTTCGATGGTGGCCATGCTGAATTCGTACTGTGCAAGGCTTGATCATGCTCACAGCTTGAAACATGAGACGTCCAAGGCGTACACTCAGTTGATTGTCCAGCGGCCAGTGTCCTGATCAACTCCTTCTGCATGCTGGATGGTCACACGGTCTCGTGACCCCTGACTGCCAATGTTTCGTAGGAGCGGTCGGCGAGGCTCGCTACGCTGAAGTCTTGCTCCTTGTAACCATAAAGAAGGCTGAGAGCAGTTAGCACAGCTTTCAGGGTGACTGCTAGGAGCAGGGGCGAGAAAAACCACAACCGAAAAGGCGTCACACTTCCGTGACGACGACTTGTGATAGCCTTACTGCTTCTACTCTCAGTGCTTTTGTCTAGGTCGAATCGGTTGATCCAATTGATGAGGGTCTTGAAGCATATGACTCAGACCCATGATCACCGCAAAGATACGGTAATCCTTCACTGTCACCGAGTGGCGTGACAGCTGGCCAACTCCAAGCTGGAAGAGCCGTGAGCTGGCTTGGCGCCTGCTAGCCGACTTTGGCCATACTTTGCAGTCGAATAAAGCATGACCAATAGTCGCACCAGAGCTCGTTGGCAGGGTGTTGGTCTTGGAAGGCTGAAACTGTGGCGAAGCTCGCACAAGTTATCAACCGACTCTCATCGCACGATCCTGACCAAGAATAAACGGCTGTTGTTGTTGGCTGAGCCGATGGGGCGGTCGTTTATTTTGCGAGTATGCTTGATGGCATACCCAATAGAACGAGTGCCACATGATCCACATCTTGCCTCAGAGAAGCTGCTGGATGTACTTATCCTAGAGGGAGCAGGTATATCCCTTGCCGGTCGTCTTTCGGGCTTCTATCACCTTCCACACTGCAATTCTGCCATCGAAATGCTTAGTCTTTTTGAGCACCTGTCCGAGCCATGAGCTCAACACTATCGGACGTTTGTCGCATCATAGCCGGCTTGGTGCAATTAAATGGTGAAAGAAGCCAGGATCGTCGCATGGCTCAGCATGCAGACCATCATAATGGGTGGGCACGTGCTGCCGATTCCACAATTCCTCGCTTTGTACGGCGGCGTTCCTGAAGGTATGACTTTCTCCTCTCCAACAGATGCGCACAAAGCGAGACAGTGAGCAGTGACGGGCAGCCCGTTGTCCACGTTCTAGAGAGAAGCCACCTTCAATGCACACTTCGCTCGTAGATGCGGGAACCGTAGGCCTCTTCATCCTGGTGTGTTCGGAAGCTAACGGCCCGTCGGTTTGTAGACCGCAGAAGCGGAAATTGCCCAAGGTGGCAGTCTCCGGTTGTCGATGCGGGCACTTGAGCAGTGTAAGCGTTTAGCTGTCCCACAGTGCATTCTCTACGTTCTTTCTTTCGGAGGCAGATTTGGAAGCCATCGTTTCAGATCCTTACCTCGTCGCCCTCGCTTAGACCATCTGTTCCAAACTCGACCACCGAGAGCGTCGTCAGCTGCTTGGCAGCCCGTTGCTCTGGATCATGCCAGAACTGAGAAGGTTGCTTCCACACGGACTCGTTAAGCGAGCATGAGAACGTGCTTATTTTTGTCTAAAACTTGAGTCCCTTTCCGACTCCTCTATGCTCGCTTGCGAGAGTTTGTTCGCAAAGATCTTCTCGGGTCGATACACACTTGTTGCAAGGTAGCGAGCATGGACCTGAGCGTCACCGTGAAGTGTTTCAACTCCGTACTAGGCCATGAGCACCATATATACACAGAACAGCGTAACAAGATTCACTCTCCTCTTCCCCTACCACTGTTTCCCCCCATAGATCCCCAAGATGAAGTTCCTCCCCCTTCTCACTGCAGCGCTGGTCTCCTCTATTGCCGCTTTGGCGTCGCCTCTTGAGGTCAGACAGGCCAGTACAGCCAGCAGCGCTGCCTCTTCTTCGACCTCTTCTGCGGCCTCTTCTACCGGCAACTCCTCCTCCTCCTCCTCGAGCCTTGCTTCTACCACGGCGTCGGCTCCTGCTGCTCCCGCCACATCATCGAGCGGATCTGGTTCGAGCAACTCTACCATCGTCAGCAGTTACAACTCGACCCTATCGTACAACAGCACTGCTACCGCCAATGATAGCTCTGTCTACGGCGTTGGTGCTGCTGGCTTTGCCAACGTCTTCAAGTCCAAAAACCCACTCAACATTGTCCTCACCAACGATGACAGCTGGGCCTCTGCCAACGTCCGTGCGTTCTACTATGCTCTTCGCCGCGCTGGTCACCGTGTGCTGATGGTCTCGCCTGAGCGCAACCAGTCTGGCAAGGGCGGTACCGTCGTTCTTCCCACTGAGCGTAACCTCACCTCGCCTGGCCGTGGCGGCTTCGTCCCCGTCGGCTCTCCATACGCCGGTCTCAACGTCAGTGACCCGGGTCTGCGCTACTTCAACGGCACTCCTGCTGCCTGTGCTGGTTGGGCTCTTGACCACGATGCTCCTTACTTCTTCAACGCCAGCCGCAACGACAGCACTGGCGGTGTCGACCTTGTCGTCAGCGGTCCCAACGAAGGCACCAATCTCGGTCCCTTCCTCTACACTCTCAGCGGTACCATTGGTGCTTCTTACTTTTCTGTCGAGCGCAACGTCCCCTCGATCGCCTTCAGTGCTTCGTCTGACGTTCGCAACTACGATACCCTCAACTTCTCGAACCCCGACGATGAGTCGATCAAGCTCGGCACATATTCCGCCAACTTTGTCACGACCGTTTCGGACGAGGCCAAGAAGTCCAACTCGAGTGCTCGCATCCTTCCTCTCGGCATTGGTCTCACTGTCAACTACCCCGAGATCGCACCCACTGGCAACTGCAGCAATCTCACCTGGGTCCACACTCGTCTCACTGGTAAGGCTGTTGTTGACCGTTTCGTTGTTAACGCTACCACTGGTTTGCCCACTTACGCTAATTACGTGAGTGACGGTGTTAACGCTTGCATCTCGGGTGATTGCTCTCTTCCCGGCGAGACCGATGTTGTCGAGAACGGCCAGTGCCAGGCTTCGGCTTCGATCTACTCGGTCGATTATGATGCTCCCACCAACGCCACTGCCGACGTCGTCTCTGCTCTCACTTCGGGCATTTCTTCGCTTAACGGGGGCAACTCGACTTCGCCGTCGAGCTCGAACCAGACTGCCTCGAAGTATATTTGATGCTATAGAATCAATGATCATATAGTCTATCCGATGGAAGTTGTGTAGATCGGAATTACACTCCCGTTACTATCTCGTGACTAGTCATATCCGATTGTACGCAAATGCTTGTAATTACTGTGCTTGTTCCTGAGCCGAAGCCTGTTGCTGCGCAAGACGGATGGCTTCCCTGTTGCGTTCTCTACCGCGCTCACGCTTGCCACCCTGCATGGTCTTGACGAGCTTTTGACGCTGTTCATCGTCACCCTTTGGGTTTGAGGATGCATTGGATGGCTTTGTCTCGTTGACCTCGGCGACACCAATGAGAGAAGTGTCGAGTGGGTGGTTGAAACGGCCCTTGCGTGAGGAACGTGTCGCGATGATCTCGGCGGATGACGGCACCTCGACCTTGGGCCATGTGGTGAGAGCAGGGTAGAGACTGAGGTGCTCGACAACGGAGGGATCCAAAAGCGCTCTTGGTGTCTCTTGGTAGGCTTCTGACTTTGGTAGAGTTGCAGGCAAAAGTGCTTCAACACGAGCAGACTTGGCTTCCCGCTCGAAATGAGCCGATGCAGTGAGGGTGAAGATACCAACTTCCACCTCCGCCTTCTCTGTCGGCCCTTCCGGTCGGAATTCTGAACGCGTGTCGAAAGTGGCAATGACGGAAGTGCTGACGGTGGCGGGTCGTTGAGAAAGTGCAAGGTGTAAGACCGGAACAGAAGCGCGAGTGACTCGGACTTGCTCAGAGATGTCGCGTACCTTGTCTTCTCCTGATGACAAAGGTGCCAAGAGTGCACTGACAGGGACGTGGAAGAAGGCAGTGGCACCTTCGACGACCACCAAGAGCCATGCTTTGCCCTCTGCATCACTGAATGGAATCAGATCGCTAATGACTACGCTCGGCTTGCTGTCCTTGGAATACTGCGAGGCAAGAGGCTTGACTTTAACCTGTTCGCCTTCCTTGCCATCCCCACCGCGCTGATCCTGTTTGCGCTTGGCAGTCTTGTTACGCTTGCTTGATGCCTGGAGCGCTTTGGACTCTCGTTTCCTCTCCTCTCGATCGCGTGCGAGGACATAAGGTGCCAAGGCCGATTCCAGGTCGTTGATGGAAATGCATGCGTTGTCGGATGATGTGTCGGCTGATGTGTCGGCCGAAGAGCTCGAGCGTTCAGAGGGTTGTGGCAGCTTCCAGACTCTCAACGAGCGACCGCCTTCGGAGGTGACCAAACGCAATGCGCCATCAGCATCGGAAATGAGAGCAAGAGCTCCAACGAAAGACTCGGACCCTTGAAGGTACCGGTCAATGACATAGGCGAGCCGCTTGGACCGCCACCATGAGACTCGAATGTGCTCGTCGCGGTCGCCGGTGATGATGTACTTTGGCGGCGCAGTGGGCTTGGCACCGGGAACAAAGGCAAGGCTGGTGATCATGCTGACATGTCCGAGAAGGATCTGCATGGAAGCGTCGTCAGGTGAGTCGATCTGATCTTGCTCGTCAGCCTGCGCTCCATCCTTCGAGGCGGAGGGGAGTGTTCGGACGTCGTCTTCGTTGACCAGGAAGCTGCGGACATCGCCGAAACGGTCAACGACAATCAATTCCTCGGATCCTTGGGGTGTAGCATCACTACGAGGCAACCAGTGGAGGATGGCAGCTCTCTTGGGCAGAAGTTTGATCACAATCTCTTTGCCAAACTCGAAGCCTGTGATGCTGTTGTCTGCGGCGCGTTCGAGCTTCCATACTCGAAGAACCTTGTCGTCTCCAGTGAGGGCGAGAAATCGGTCTGAGTGCGAGAAGCTAGCAAGGCGAGCGAAGCTGATGTGAGGCTGGTCGGCGTACCGTGCAGCGTCTGACTGGTCGGGAAGCGTAGGTTGCGGCACAAAGACGGTTGTAGGGATGGCGTAGGTCTTGTAGCTACCGTCAGTCTGGCCATCGACGAGCTGGACCGAGTTCGCAGAAAGGAAGACGGTGAGGTCGGAGCTGTGAGCTGTTGCTACATGGTGGAATGGCGCGCTGACCAGAGTGGCACTAGAAGGCCCTGCTTCTGCCATGTTGGTGGGTATTGCTACTGTCGAAAGTAGCAGCAAGTGTTGATAGGATGGCGTTGTGTGGTGATGTCGCAAAGCATTACGATTGTATCCAGGCTCAAGCATGCTCACCATCAAGTTTTCAATTCTTCCAAACCTCCACCCTGCCAAAAACGAACCCTGAACAATGGCAAACATCTCGACTCGCACGAGAAGAACGATTCTTCTTCTTGCTTTCGGGTCAAATCGATCACGAAAGTTGGCACTGTTTCGGACTGTGTTGTTCTCCTGCCTGTATTGTGTCCGCCAACGGCGCTCTCCGGAACGAGAGATTTCAATTTCAAATTTTGGAATTTCCTCGCAAATTTGTAATCAGCCTGTAGTGCAAACGAGACGACTGCAGGCAGCTCCGACTTGAATCCTCCGACTTGAATCTTCAGCCTCTGAATACAAGAGCGTGCCTTTCGAATTGCCTGTTGTGCCTTGATGAGAATACAAAGCAGTTCAGCAGCCAAAAAAAAAAAAGAAAAAGAAAAAGAAAAAGAAAAAGAAAAAGAAAAACGAAAAAGAAAAAAGAAAATCTGAATTGGGGGGAAGGAGCCCAATCAGGTCTTGGAAAATAGTCAGTCAGATCCAAGCAACGAGAAGCAAGCTTGTTGAGCAGCTCTGTCGGCCGTTCAAAAGTCACAGAGCCGCGAGAAGCAACGCAAAGAACAAAAGCCAGGTCCAGTTGAGTCGACTTGAATCCCGCCGTCGCCAGTTTGAGCCGGATTTGCTGGTGGCTTGGTCGTGGCCTGATCCATCATCTCGAAGCCTTCTGCTCCTCACCTTCCTATCCACCCCCACCCTGCACCTCATCACCCTCTTTCGTCGCACAGCCTCCATCGCTATGGCTGCTCGTCTCTTCGCACAATCCTCTTTGAGGCTCGCCCGAGCCCAGAAGCTCCCGGCCACCGCTGCCACCTTCAACCTTCGTAACTTGGCTACTGCCGTCTCTCGCCAACCCATCACCCAGGCCACCACCCTCTCCAATGGTCTTACCGTCGCTACCGAGTCCAACCCTTCCGCTCAGACCGCCACCGTCGGCGTTTGGATCGATGCCGGCTCGCGCGCCGAGACAGATCGCACCAACGGTACCGCCCACTTCCTCGAACACATGGCTTTCAAGGGTACGTATACCGCATCGACACAGTGCAGCAATCGCATCGCAACACATGAGCCCATCCGTGACAACATTCCCACAACGCTTGCCGCAGCTGCACGCTTAGTGAGCGCTCAAGACGAAATACACGGCACAACATAGAGAGCAATCGCATAGGCCTTGCCATTGACGACCAATCAATCCACAACAGCCTAGCTCACGGCGCCACGAACATCGCAGTATACTGAATCCATGTCTTGACACGCGCAAGGCGGCCATCACATTCGACATAGCTACTGCTGATCAAAATAAAGGGATAGGACCAGCATACCATGTTGTTACCGATGACGTTTGTTGCGACCTTGCCCAATCAACTCTCTTGCGCTGACTCACTGACTTTAATCCTTGCTTTGCTAACTTTATCACTACCTCTCATCCTCGCTATCGACAACTTCCTTGGTTCCACAATGACACCGACCAAATTCGCATTTCATCTCATTCAGGAACTGGCAAGCGATCTCAGCATGCCCTTGAGCTCGAAGTCGAGAACCTCGGTGCCCACCTTAACGCCTACACCTCCCGAGAACAGACCGTCTACTATGCCAAGGCTTTCCGCAAGGACGTCGACAAGGCCGTTGACATCATCTCCGACATTCTCCAAAACTCCAAGCTCGAAAACTCGGCCATCGAGCGCGAGCGCGATGTGATCCTCCGTGAACAGGAGGAGGTTGACAAGCTCAAGGAGGAAGTCGTCTTTGACCACCTTCACTCGGTTGCCTTCCAGGGTCAGCCCCTTGGCCGCACCATCCTGGGCCCCAAGAAGAACATTCTCTCCATCAAGCGCGAGGACCTTGCTGAGTACATCAAGACCAATTACACTGCTGACCGTATGGTTCTTGTCGGTGCTGGTGGTATCGAGCACGACTCGCTCGTCAAGCTTGCCGAGCAGCACTTCGGCAGCCTTCCCGTCAGCCAGAGCCCCATCAAGCTCGGCCAGTCCTCTTCGCCCAAGACTAGCTTTGTTGGTTCTGAAGTCCGAATCCGTGACGATACCTCGCCCACCTGCAACTTTGCTCTCGCCGTTGAGGGCGTTTCGTGGAAGTCGCCCGACTACTTCCCTATGCTTGTCCTCCAGTCCATCATGGGCAATTGGGACCGATCGCTCGGCTCGAGCCCCTTACTCTCGTCGCGTCTCTCGCACATTGTCTCCTCCAACAACCTCGCCAACTCGTTTATGCACTTTTCCACCTCTTACTCGGACACTGGTCTCTGGGGTGTCTACATGGTTTCCGAGAACTTCCTTCAGCTCGATGACTTGATCCACTTCACTCTCCGTGAATGGCAGCGAATGAGCACTGCTCCCACCGAAGGTGAGGTGGAGCGTGCCAAGGCTCAGCTCAAGGCCAGCTTGTTGCTCGGCCTCGACGGTACCACCGCCATTGCTGAGGACATCGGACGACAGCTCGTCACCACCGGCAAGAGATACACCCCACAGGAGATCCAGGCGGCCATTGACTCGATCGGCGTTGCGGATATCCAGCGCGTTGCCCGAACCTACTTGTGGGATGCTGACTTTGCCCTTGCCGCACACGGCCAGGTCGAAGGTATCCTTGATTACAACCGTATTCGATCCGACCTTAGCAGCATGGTCTGGTAAACAACTATTCCGTCTAGGAACGCTGATTAGGACCTCTTTTGTTCAGCTACCGTAAATATAAACATCCTTCACCATCACCTCCATCCTGACACCCTCTTGGCCGAGATGGCCTCGAATTATCTTGACACTAGACCTCATCACTTGTTTGTGCGCAAGGTACCGCTCTCTTCTTGAATCTCATCCCTTTCTCAGCTTGACTCTCACAGGAAATGTGACTAGATGGCCAGGCGCTCTGGGAAGCTGTGCGTAGGAGGGTGGGTTGCAATGATCATCTGGGGTTCAGCAATGTGACTGCTGTCACTGGAACCAAAGCGCAAGTCTGAAGGCCTGGCAGAAAAATGAGTCGCTGCAGGCAGGTCAGTGCAAACAAGATGCTAGCTTGGCTTGCCGGAATAGACACGCCTTGAAGTATTGCCCCGAATTTAACACTCACAACGGGTATGTTCTCTGCTTGAGCGCCGAGATTCCAAACTGAATGTGTCTGTGTGTGAGACAACACTCGCTGCCGTGCACGAGCCACGGCAACGGGAAGTGCGAGTTCGAACCTCGCATCTCACTTTTCTCCAAAGTAACACGCCATCGTTCAAACAAATGCTCCCACCATCTTCTTCCTAACCATCCTCGCTCCAATTGCCCGTTTTGGTCGGTGTAACGTCTTCGCCGTCACTTCGCATACGGTACCTTTCGTTCATCTAGCAACGTTCTATCTTCAGCTTCGCCACTTAGCCTTCTCGCGTGCTCGCATAACCTATCGCAAAAATGGATCTCGATCACATCGGCAGCAAGCTCGCCAATCTCACCATGTACGACGTCAAGTCGTTGTACCGACAGGCTCGTAACTACGCGCTCAACGTCAGCGAGATCGAGGCCAAAGTTGACGAGGCCACCAACGACGACCCTTGGGGCGCAAGTTCCACCTTGATGCAGGAGATCGCGCAGGCTACGAACAACTTCCAAGATTTCAACGAAATCATGCCCACCATTTACCGCCGCTTCATGGAGAAGGAGGCAAGGGAGTGGCGCCAGATCTACAAGGCTCTCCAGCTCCTCGAGTACCTCGTGAAGCATGGTTCGGAACGCGTTGTCGACGATGCTCGCTCGCATCTTGCTACTATCAAGATTCTTCGAAATTTCCATTACATTGACGAGAAGGGCAAAGATCAAGGCATCAATGTGCGAAACCGGGCAAAGGAGCTCGCTGACTTGCTAGGCGATGTGGACCGCATCCGACAGGAGAGGAGAAAGGCTCGTAGTAACAAAACCAAGTATACGGGTGGAGGCAACGGGGAGTTCGTTCCAGGCAGTGGAACTCGATATGGTGGTTTCGGAAGCGATAGCTACTACGCCGGCGGTGGGGCAGCTGGAGCTGCGGCTGGTAGCTCGACTGGCGCTGGAAGCGCTGCTGCCCGCGACAGCTTCGAGGAGTACGACGCTGGCGACTACGAAGAGACCCCAGCTGCTAGGCCCAGTTCGAGCACCACTCGAGCTGGAGGTTCTCGCAGTTCAGCTGCCGCTCCACCGAAGAAGGAGGCGCCCAAGGTGGCTGACCTCTTCAGCTTCGATGATGATGACGAGCCTGCTGCGTCCGCCCCAGCATCCGCAGTGGCCACTCAGTCAGCCGCCGACAGCAACAACGATGCCTTCGGCGATGACTTTGACGACTTCCAGGCCGCACCAGCTCCAACACCCGCCGTAAAGCCTGCTGCCGCCCCGTCAGCTGCTAAGTCTCAAACTTCAGCTTCATTCGACTTCTTCGACTCTGCGCCCATCGCACCTGCCGCTTCGAAGCCTGCTTCCACCAGTGTCATGTCCCCCACATCCTCCAACGCATCGAAACCCACCACACCTGCTGCCACATCGAACACTGCTTCGCGACCTGCTGCCTCTACGAATTCGTCGTTCAACTTTGATGATCTGTGGGCAGCTTCCTCGGGCAAGTCGAGCAACGCGTCGGGAAAGCAAAAGCTGTCGATGGCCGAAATGGCCAAGAATCAAAGCTCGAATGCTTTGTTCGGATCCTCGGGTACACAACCTGCTGCTCAGCAGCAGGCAGCGAACAAGAAGGACATCTTCGACTTGCTCTAGATCAATTGACACAAAGCCTTTGAACCATGTACATCGAATCCACTTCGCAATATCATTCCGCATTTTCATCAAATCACCTGGCTTCCGCATAAAGCTTTGTTCGGCGAGAGCGCCAATTGCTTCAATTGTCAGTTATGACCGAGCTAAGCATGTTCTCGACTCGAACTGTTTCTCCTTGCCTGCTCTCCCGCTGCATACAATCATATAACCTCCACCCACAACATCAACATTCCGCCAGCACCATCCACCAGTGTCATGGGTCGCCGTAAGAGCACCTCGCAGCGTCGACTCGTCCAGACTACTCGCATCGTCGCGACCGTCCTATCAAAGGACTTTGGCATTCGAAACGGCTACGAGGTAGTGGATCGCGGGCATGGTCGGCAGGACGTCTTCACACCCACCCTCACCCGAAGCAACGAGGCTAGCAGTGCCCTGGAAGCCTTCTTCGAACAGCAGAACAATCACAATCTCGGACCTCATCTTCGCAAAGTCCAATGTTTGAACTCAAGCAAGCCGGACATCAAGATTGGAGACATCGTCGAAGTCGACTCGTCGACATCAACAAAGACCATGTGTCTGATCTTGTCCCGTCACGGCGCCGTGCTACACGGCGCGATCGTCGTCACCGGAGCCCAAACCATCCTTCACGACCTTCTGCCGTCAGACGAGCTATTTCTCACCGGATCCACACTTACGTTCTTCGCCAGTGCTGTCGTGGCTGCGATTGATCCCAAGAGCGTTTCACTTCGCTATGCCTGGGATGAAAAACGGCCAGCATTCTATAGTCTCAATGGCTGGGCTGGTCAAAACGACACTCCTGCAGACCAGCGTCTCGTGTTCCACGAAGGAGATTTCGTCGTGCTACCCCCAAGCGGCCTCGAGGTTGTGAATGCTGTGGTGCAGGTCCAGCGGAGGCGTAACACATTCGTCATCGTACGCAGGCTGGATCGAAAAAAACCAGACATTACTGGCTTCAAGCATGATCGACTCCTTGTTCCCCGAGAAGAATTCGAGCGAATCGATCTCGAAATATTCAAGCCCATCGGCATTTGCCATGTCTCGTTGCTTCAAGGACATAGCTCTTCCTTCGCGGCCGAACCCACAGACTTTTTCGTCGCGCAGGAGGACGCTAAGCTCTTGAGACCCGAGTGTGGCCTTTGCATGCTTGCAAATCGAGAAGATCGACGAAAACGAAGGGACCTGGAGCCACTTAGCGCCATGGAAATCATGTGTGGAGCCGGCGGTCTCAGTCTTGGCCTCGACCTCTCGGGAGCATGCGAAACCAAGTTCGCCATCGATATGGATGAAGACTCTATCCGAACCTTCAAAGCTCACCATCCGAGCGCGACGGTCTTCTGCGGTGATGCTGGGGATGCTCTCCGTCGCGCGATGCTCGGCCTCCGCTCGCAAGAAGGACTTCGCTTCCCCTGCCCTGGCGAGATTGACATGATCTCAGCCGGTCCACCTTGCCAGGGTTTCAGTCGCAAAAATCGGCATGCGCATCGGGAGGCTGCAGAGAAAGATTCCCGCAATCTCCTTGTTTGCAGCGTATTAGGTTGGGTTGACTATCTGCGGCCAAAGTACTTCGTGATGGAGAACGTCGAAGGTTTCACGATGTCCAGGTTGGGAGGACGTGAGCAAGGTATGGTGAAGTTGGTCATGCGGTGCCTGATGAAGATGGGTTATGCTGTCACGTGTGGCTACGCTCAATCTGGTGCTTTCGGCTGTCCACAGTCTAGAAAGCGGTTCTTGCTTTTGGCCAGCAAAGATGAGGTGACACTGCCAAACCTGCCTCAGCCAACGCACGAGTTTCTGGGCAGGCCAGCTCACACGTTTTTGTGGGAGGATGGGTCAGAGACAACCTACAACTCAGCGAGCACGTTGGTAGGCGCTACCCTGCCTGCAGTAACAGCGAGCGATGCGATCAGCGACCTGCCCGTGTTCGACTGGAAGGACCCCCACGTGACGTACCTGGGGTCGGATGCGATCGAAGTTCAGCGTGCTTTACAGGGGATCCCGCAGCTTGTCGTAAAGCAAGGACGGCCGACAGGACCTGAAGAGACCTCATACCGAAGTCAACCTCTCAATTCCTATCAAGAACGCATGCGAGTTCTTGCCGGCGAGACCGCTTGTAGCTTAACCCAGCATCAGACTCCTGGATACCATGCGCTGGCGGTCGAGCGGGTAGTCAATGTCGCCTTATACCCCGGCGCGAACTTCGAATCGTGGAGTGAGCCTGGTGTCAAAAAGCCTGCTCTGCTCGGTGTGAGTCCGGGAAGTTTCCCTTGGTACTGCAGAAATGGTCCTGATAACGTGTGCTGACGCTCATTTTCTCTCACCTCCCGCACGCAGACGGACCGATACACAGACGAGCACTTCAGGTATGAACGAGTAGATAGCGACGGGTACTTCAAGGTCCTGATGACCAAGATGACGACTCAGGGCAGCATGCTGCACCCAACACAACGACGTCTATTGACGGTTCGCGAGTGTGCTCGTGCTCAAGGGTTCCCTGACTGGGTGCACTTTCACACAGACGCCAACTTGCAGTCGGCTTACAGACAGATCGGCAATGCTGTCCCTGTACCGCTTTCACAGGCTATCGGCAAGTCTTTGACCGCTGCTCGTATGAAGGACCATCGCTAACAAAACAGGTAGCATAGTCACGGGAGCAAAGATGTAGGGCATAAGGATGCTGTAAGTGCATAAGTGGAAGTGGGCGCGCGCACCGAAGAGGGAATTGAAAGCTTACTGCACACCGCGCTACTGATTTTTGAGCAGCGTGCGGGCCTTCTGAAATTGACTTGTCGCGGCTTTTTTACTCCACTTTGGGATGATCCGCTTCGCCTTGTTGAGCATTTCAGCTTGCTTCCGATTCTTTTCTCATCACCTCATCATCATCTCTCCCTTCTCCGCTCTTGCGACTTCTACGCCGACTATATGCACTAGCAAAAGGCCGTCGCTCAAACCCTTTGCACTACGCTCGCTCTGACTCGGTCCTTGACGGCTGTACTTCTTGGGTTATTCGCTGCGACTGACTCGGTTCACTAGCATTCCACGTCCAGTCCCTCCTCTGGCGATTACTTACCGTTCGACTTCTCATCGCACACAGACAAGTGCCGCAAGCTACACTCGTAGCACTTTCACTTTGGCTTGCCAGTCCAAGACGCACTTCTCGAGGCGCGCGTAGCGTCAAGCAGCACTCAAATAGCCGGTCAAGATGCCTACATCAGCATCTGCAGTAGAGCCAGCGCTTGGTGGCGGGCCGACCAGAAATCTCGGAGTCACACCACCGATCGCAGCCAATGGACCCACACCAAGAGAAATTGAGGTGACAAAAACGCTCGTTGCTGAGCTCGAAAAACAAGGTGTCTTTGAGAGCGACGAGGAGAGCAAAGTTCGGTAAGTCCCAGCTAGCCTTTGTCGCGCATCGCATATTGCGGCAGCTTCTTTGCAGCCGTCTATATCTCCTCTGAACCTCAAACTGATATGCTTTCTATACCGTCAACCCCCCTCCCTTTTAGCGAGGTCATCCTGGGCAAGCTCGATGCCATGGTCAAAGACTTTGTCTACCGTGTCTCAATAGCCAACGGCATGTCCGAATCGCTCGCTCGTTCAGCAGGAGGCAAGATCTTCACCTTCGGTTCCTATCGTCTCGGCGTGCACGGACCAGGATCGGATATCGACACCCTCTGCGTTGTTCCCAAGCATGTCCAGCGAGAAGACTTCTTCTCAGTGTTCGAGACCATGCTCAAAGAGCGCGAAGAAGTTACCGAAGTCGCAGGTGTTCCTACTGCCCACGTCCCACTCATTGCGTCCAAGTTTATGGGAGTTGATATCGATTTCACCTTTGCCCGATTGTCATTATCGAGAGTCGAGGACAGTCTTTCGCTTGAGGACGATAACCTGTTGCGCAATCTGGACGAACGCGATGTTCGAAGTTTAGGTGGTTCGCGAGTCACGGATGGTATCTTGAGGCTTGTTCCCAACATTCACGTGTTCAGAATGGCTTTGCGTTGCATCAAGCTTTGGGCTCAGCAGAGGGCGATCTACTCGAACGTGATGGGTTTCCTTGGTGGTGTAGCGTGGGCGATGCTCACAGCGCGTATCTGCCAGCTCTATCCGAATGAAGCAGCAGGAGCAATCGTGTCACGCTTCTTCATCATTTTCTACCAGTGGAAGTGGCCTCAGCCAGTACTTCTTACGCCGATTGAAGATGGGCCGCTTTCCGTCCGTGTGTGGAACCCCAAGCTCTACCCTTCGGATCGATTGCATCGAATGCCCATCATCACACCCGCCTATCCGGGCATGTGTGCCACCCACAACGTCTCCCAATCAACACAGATGGTCATGACTTCCGAGTTTAAGCGTGCTGCCGAAGTCGTCGACCGAGTCATCATTGGAAAGACCGACTGGTGCGAGCTCTTTGCCAAACATGACTTCTTCTTCAAGTACAAGTACTATCTTCAGGTCATCGCTTCGTCCGGGTCCGCGGACTTGCAGCTCAAGTGGCACGGTACTGTCGAGTCCAAGATCCGTCAGCTGGTCATGAAGCTTGAGTTGGTTCCGACGATCACCTGCGCCCATCCTTTCATCAAGGGTTTCGACCAGGTGTCAGAGTGTCACAACGATCACGAGGTCCGTCTGGTTGCAACAGGTGATATTCCCGAGCAAGTTGCTCAGCGTACGCAGAAGGTGGCCGCTTTGCCCGAGACGGAAGAGGCTAAGAAAGCTGCCGAAGAGGAAGCTGCCAAGATCACCGAGGGTAAAGAAGGACATCGCATGATTTACACTACAACATTCTACATCGGACTGAGCATTGAGCCCAAGCTGGCGGGCGAAGGGCCCAGGAAGCTGGACATCAGCTATCCAACAGCCGAGTTCACCGGCAAGGTCAAGCAGTGGGAGCAGTACGATGAAGCATCCATGGGTATTGTGGTTCGCCATATCAAGTGGACTCAGTTGCCTGGCTACGTCTTCGAAGGTGGGGAGAACAGAGTCACCGCCGCCGCGGCTGGCAAAGTCAACGGCAAGCGAACCAAGTCAGGCAAGAAGAGGAATGGCGACAGTGCTGGCAATGTTGCTAACGGTGGCCTTGTGGAGTCCAACGGCGCAGCGCAAGTAGAGCATACAGTCACAGCAGTCGACAATGGGGACGCCGAAATGGCTTCGCCTACAAAGAAGCAGCGCACTGTTCCAGATTTGCAGGGTTCACTGGGCTCGGCAATGGCTAGTGCTACAAACGCAACACCCACACTCCCCCTGCAACCCGCCACCGCATCCAAAGAGCTCGAGAACTTCCAGCTTGCTACAGGCAACCAACCCATCGCCGCTTCCACGAACACTGCTGCGAACCAATGAGCCCCACCAGAGCTTCATTTCGAGCTTCAACGACAAACAAATTTAAAACATCCGAGCGAGCTTACTCATGCCGCTTCGGCCTCCCAACCTGTCACCCTCTGAACCGTCCCGTACCTCTAGCATATCAAACACATGTACTCTATAAAGAATCAAACACAAAGGCTCTTGTTCACCATCTCTGACTCAAATGCAAAAACTTGATCAAGCCATCCTTCTCGTTCGTCTTGATCTTCGTCTTCGCTTTCTTCATCTATTCGTGTCAATCTCAAGCTGTCAAACCCTCTTGACCGAGAGCTGTGTCATTTGGACCCTCACCTGTCACTATGGGCACAAAGAGCACAGACAGGAATGTTTTGGAGCGAAAAGTTGTTTTTTTTGGAATTGTCTGTCGGAGCTAACGCAGCATATAAGGAAGAAAAGCGTTGCCTTGCGGACAAGTGGTACTACAAACTACATCTGACGAATGGTTGGAATCATCAGAGAGAGGTGAGATTTTGCGGAGTCTTTCAGTAAAGATCCGTATGATGATGTGTGCGTGAAAGTTCTTAAGGTGTGAAATGCAGAGAGAAACGGTGCCTTTTGGGAACGATGCGATGTGTGGGTGGGTGATCAAAAAATGGTCGGTCGGAGAAAGGGTGACAAGGTGGTGAAAAGATGTCTAGGCCTTGGTGGCACCGGCACGGGCAGCAGAGACACGCTTGGCAGCGAGCTGGCGCTTGTTAAGGCGGACAACATCAGTGGAGGCAGCCTTGGGGACCTGGGCGGCGGGCTCGCTGAGGAGGATCTCGGCGTGGACGGGGTGACCCTCGTAAGGGTTGATACGACCGTGAGCACGGTAGGTGCGACGGCGGGTCTTGGGAGCCTGCTGGATGATAATGTTGCGGATAACGAGCTGCTCGGTGTCAAGACCCTTGGCCTCAGCGTTAGTCTCGGCGTTCTTGAGAAGGGCAAGGAGGAACTTGACCGACTTGACGGGCCATCGACCTAATCACAAGGAGATCAATAGGGATTGTGAGAGAATGAGGGTCAGCAAAGAGTACTTAATAACTGTGTTTGCGTGCTAGCTTCCGCAATCCATCTCTTGCCCATCCATTTAGGTCCGAAGTTGCTCTTTCTTGCGTCCCGTCGACTGTTGCCGCTGCGGGCATGCCTCGTCGCAATAACGAAAGATGCATCTGTCTCCCTTTCGCGTAGTCTACTTGAACAACACGCTTGCCTCTTTCTGTGTCTATTGCATCGGCCGTGTATTTTGCCAATAGATGACCCAGTCCGATGCCTGCACCCTTTGATTCCTGCGTTCAGGCCCGGAACTAATTGCCTGCCACCTGCTGATTTGTCTTTCTTGGTTTACGAGATAGCCTGCGTTGCTGCTTTTTGTGCTGCTGATGAAACTTACCCTGAGTGGTCTTGAACTCCTTAGCCTGCTGGGTGCGGCCAACACCACCGTTGAAGCGGCGGAAGGGGATGCACTGCTTCTTGTCAACAACGTTGCCAAGGTAAGCGTAAGCCTTCTGGAGCTTCAAGCCGTTGACGGCGGCAGCGGTCTCGCGGGTGTTCTTGAAGTGAACACGGAGGTACTGGCCGCGCGACTTGGCGGTCTTCTCCACGAGGTTCGAGTCATCGAAAGCGTATCGGACCTGTGTGAGTTGAAGGATGCGAACGGGTGATGTTTGACAATGGTAAGAAAATGAAACAGAGAAGGAGGCGAGAGATTCCATCATGCGATTGTGACGACCAGCTGAGGAGCAAGCGGCAGCAGAGTGATGTCGATGGTTGATTGTGGATGCTCCTGGAACCCATATTGATAGTAGGAAACAAGACTGTTTGTTGTTGCATGTTATTCCGGTATCGTCGACACGAGAAACGAGCTGGTCCTATCTTGCCACCACCCAACATGCGTATCATGATGCACAGCGTCCTAGTCCACCGCTTCCAGAAGCTCGCTCGATAGCGATGAAAAAGAGTCGTGGCTGAATGCTGCTTTGTGCTGCTTTGTGCTGCGGTTTGCTGTGGTTTGCTGACATGGGCAGCATGACATTAGGCTAAGTATCGATGTACTTCCGTCGCTGCAACGACAGTTGAATGTTGACAACAATACCGACGACATCCAGCACGAATATAGAGAGCATACGACACCCTCCGAACGAATATTAGACCTTCAAAGCTTTGCTTTCCACTGCTGTGCGAACTTCCGCTTCCATCGCGGCGAGTATCATTGTTGAATCTGCACATTGGCGATGCGGGCGATGATTGCGATAGTATACCATGTTCGAGGCCATCGCTATGCTGATAATTGTCGGATTGCTGGTCATTGCTGCAGGAGGGTTACTGGAGTTGCTGGTACTGATTAACTGCTTCTGATGCTGCTGCTACTTTTGGTCGTTACATGCTGTCACTGGTCGTCAATGGTATATGGCGGCGATATACGTACCATCTTGAATAATGTATGGGGGGGGGTGAGCCTTGAGGATGATGGGAGGATGGCGAAGCAAGAAGGCAAGTCAATCTCGATGGCGGTGGTGCCAGGCGCTCTCCTGCTCCATTGGTACTTTCAGCTCTAACTCACGGCCGGTTTGGACCAGCACAGTCTGGTCCGCAGACCTTCTTCGCCTTCGCCCTTCACTGCCTGAGAGACAACTCTATGCAGTGAGGCTGGGCTATTTTCCTCTTTCGTTCGCTGGCTGGCTACGCGTTTTGTATTCCATGTATTCAAAGTTTATCGCCAGGATTGGGACATCTTGAATTCAATCGAGAAACTCTCTGGGACAGCAACCTCGATTTTCGCGAAAAAATTGCTTCCAGCTGTAAAAAGATCACGTGTAAGCTGCCAAAGAACTACAAAAAACCTACACTTTTTTTTCTTTTACTTTTTTACAAATGTGGAAATGGTCACGACCTCACATCATTTGGCAAAATTCATCACGGCATGGAGCTCAGCCAGACGGCGTGTTCCAACACTCAGCAGCACGGACAAGCGAAGAACAGAGAGACTTTTGCAAAAGGTCCAGTTGGCCTAGCTTAGAGATTAGATAGTAGATTGCAGAACAAGAGATGCTGCACGGCGCTGCGATCTACGACAGGAACTTTAGAACGGGCTGCAACCAGGCATCCGGATTGTCACACATAGGCAAATGACCAGCATTGGGAATGCTAACAAACTCGGCTGATGCACCAGCTTGCTTGAGTTTTGTAGCGAAAGCTTGAAGCGTCTCTGGCAACTTGCCATCCGCTTCACCTGCAAGGAGCAAGTGTCGACTCGACAAGGCTTTGCTGAAAGCATCGACAATGCCATCCTTGATCAAGTCGTAGTTCTGCAACGCTCGAGCACCAGCAGCGAAACCTTCAAGAGGAGTAGTCTCGACCATCTCTTCTGTCCTCGCCCTGCAGTCTGCGCTGGCTTGCGAGCCAGGTCCGTACCATCGTGGCACAGTAGCAGCAGCTAGCTGGCCCATACCCTTGCTCCTCGCCAGGGCGATTCGCTCGTCCCATGCACCTACGTTGGCCGCCGGAGTGCTTGGCTGAGTATCGCAAGCCACAAGCCTATCGTATCTGTCAGGGTGTCGGACTGCAAAGGATAACGCTGTAGCGCCTCCTTGCGAGACACCGATAACAGCATGAGCCTTCTTGACCGCCAAGCTGTCGAGCAAGAAAGCAACATCATCTGCGAGCTGAGGGATGGTGCAAGCTTCGGCGGGGAGGGCGGAGCTTCCGTGTCCCCTCTGGTCGTACGAGAGGAGATTGAACCGAGATGAAAGCGCTGGAACGACAGCATCCCACATGGACAAGTTGGTCATGAGCGAGTTGATGAGCACGATCCAAGGCGCGTTCATGCTGTGGAAGTGCACTCGCGTGCTCAAGAGCTGACCATCGGGAAGCTGTACCACACCTCGACCTGCTGAAGAGCTGGGTCCGGCGAGGGGCAACTGGAGTGTCGACGGATCTTGGACATGCTTGCTACCTTCTGGTTTGGGTACGGGCAGGTTGGCTCGGTCGTCGACATCGACGGCAACAAGGAAGCGAGAGACCATGTTATAGACAGCGACGGTGAGTGTAGCCTCTGCGAGTTTGCGATTGACAAGCTGTTCACCTTGGAAGCCGTCCAGCTTGCCCTTGTCGCCGAGCTGCTTGACATTCTCGGCAAACGCAGATTTGAGAGAGGAGAAAGTGGAATCCTCGACGCGAATCTTGGTGGTCATGTCGTCTGCCAGCGCCAAAGCAGCCTTTGCCAGTGGACTGAGCACTGAAGATGCCGACAGGGGAGCTCGTAGGTCACGGACTGCAGCAAGTTGGGCGGTGCTGCATCCAGCCTGCTCAGCAACGGGAGCATGCTGGATCCATTCGAAGTTAGCCGAGTTGTGAGCAGCGACACGGAGGATCATCATCTCTCGAACATCATCCGGGATCGAATTCTTGGTTCGAGTTGCTCCGAGTAGTGTATTCCAGCCGTTGGCAATGGCAGGTGCATTGAGTAGAGAGCCATCGAGTGGTGTCAAGCCTCGAGCGCCGCGTCGTTCGCGAATGGCATCTGCGATGGGGTCCACACCCGCAGCAGGATACCTGTATGGAATTCGTGGCATGTTCGGACAGCGTGGCAGAGAGAGAAGAGTGGTGGCCGGTTGAAGTGTAGTTGCTATCAGCAAGACAAGTAGATGGTGAAAATAGTTCAGGCAGATCAACTTGGCTTCAACCCCACACTTTGTTCTGATGTTGTGTCGAGCCCACCTGAGCGGGCCGAAGTGGAGGAAGAAAGCGGCTAAAAAGGGGCTAAAAAGCGCCGTTACTCTGGCCTGTGCGTGAAGCAGTCAGACAGACGGCGGTAATCAAGCCGAGCCAGTTAGTTCTGCCAGCCAGGGGGAAAAAAAAAAAAAAAGAAAAGAAAAAGTAGATCCGCCGAGAGCCGAATTTTGTTGAGAAATGCACAACTTCTCCGTTGTTTCTCTTTTTGCCGCCTTTAGAGGCTTCAGTGGAAAAATCCAAAATCATTGGGCCAGGAGATGCCGTGATTTCCAGCCAGAGGTGGTGCAGCCTTCAGCCCTCACGAGGGCGACGTGGGGAAAAGCAAACAGAAGAATAGCCCACACAGACAACTCAGGCGACTGTAGCAAATAGCCGGAAGAAAGTTTTGGCTTTACCAAGTGGACCCTGTCTGTCCCCGTCTCGGTCTTGCCCTCCTCTAACTACGATTCGGATGACCACGAGAGAGCATTCGATTGGCCGGCCGGCCGGCCTGCCTGTCTGCTCTCACTACCACTTCTCCTCGGATACTATATATCATCTTCGCCAAACATCTGCTTACGCCGAGTCTTCACCCTTACCCTTCCCGTCCTTACGACCCATAGCAGCAAGTCTCAATAACACCCCCCTCCGGAATCTCGATAGGTAGAATTCTACCAGGCGACATGAAGTTCAGTGCGCCACTCACTGCCGTAGCTGCGGCTGCCTCGTTGGCATTGCTTCCATCTGCCTTAGCACACGGTCCTGAGACCAAGGAAGAAGTGATCAAGTTCCTCGACCAGCAACATGCAGCATACCACTGTGCACCTGCCATCGCCGCCATGGCTGCAGCACGAAAGAGCTCTTGGGCGCAAAAGGTGCTGGGAGGCGATTCGGTCGACAACAAGAACCTTTTCATCGACGGCTACTTTGAGGATCTCGGTATCGATGGTGAAATCGCTGCCAAGGGTATCAAGGCGCTCCAAGAGAAGGGCAAGCGTATCATGGCTTGCGATCCAGTTGTCGAGACCAAGATCCGAAATTCGACGTGTGTTCTATCGCCCCAAGTCACACAAGGCCCATACTACCACACCGAGGATCACCCTATCCGCCAGAACATGGCCGAATGGCAGCTCGGCGTCCACTTCCAGATGGACGTTGGTGTAATCGACGTGGATACGTGCGAGCCTGTTCCCAACATCCTCGTCGACTTGTGGCATGCTAACGCCACCGGTCACTATTCGGGTCACCCGGAAGCAGCGCCGCACCTCAAGGATGAGATCCCTGCCGAGACAGGTGTTCGAAAGGGTCTGCTCTCAGCCTTCCCACGCACCAACACACACGAAAAGTGGCTCCGAGGTGCTCTCCCCACAGACAGGAACGGTGTTGCTCGCTTCACCAGTGTCTTCCCCGGTTACTATACTGGACGAGCGACCCACGTGCACATCAAGATTCACAACGACTGGCAGGCGCTGCCCAACGGTACCTTCCGATCTGGCAGACTGATCCACACGGGTCAATTTTTCTTTGACGACGAGCTCAACATGATGATGGACAAGGTTTGGCCATACAACACCAACCCCATCGCTCATCTTCCAGGCCGAGGACGCACGCGCAACTGGGAGGATTCGCTGCAGATTTATCAGATCTCACACGACAACGGCTACTTCCCCACCTTTGATGTCGAAAAGCTCGGTGGTGTCATGACGGATGGTTTGATCGGCTACATCACTGTTGGCGTCAACCGTTCCGTCGTAGTTGACGAGAGCTGGGTCCCAACCACTGGTGGAGGCAAGACCAAGCCTTGGGTCCCTACCGACGCAGCTGCTCCCCTTCACCAGGAGCTCTAAACGATGATCATCCTGATCACTGCTGCATCTCGAGCAAAGCAAATCATTTGCTCATGGTTCTGTACTGGTACAGTTACACCAGTAGTGCTTTATTTGTTAGATTCTTTATAGCTTGCAACCAACTCACTCAGTGTAGCCAAGTCTGCTTTTCTGCACTGCCTCGCCGGAGTTGGAGGGAAGCAAACCGTTCTTGACGACTCCTGGCGCCGAGATCAAGTCGTCGGAAATGAGCTTCTGAGAGATCAAGGGTTTCTTCACTTCATCTGCACATTGTGGTAGGTGCACACATGATGACCGTAGTGTGAGCAACATCAACTAAGAGAAGGGTGCGGTTGCAGTCACTCAATAGACAGACAGAAAGGAGCAAGCAAATAACACTAACACACACACACGCGCACACACACACACGCGCACACACACACAGTTGAATTTAGGTACACCGCTTAGTAAGGCCACAGTCAGGCACTCAACTTGGTAAGGTGGATCTACACAAAAGTGCTGCTATATTCATGAGGGAGTGATGACTAGACAGGAGTATATATACATGCTTTGGCATCCAGCTAAGCCTACTCTTTCGAGTCATGCCCATGTGCCATGTATCTTCCTTTCATTACCGTTGTCATGTTATCATACCTCCTGCATGCCATGGTGTCAACCCTCGAGCATAGGTTGCATGTGCCCCCACTAGTTTTGCATCCATCTCATCCTCCTTGTTGCTTGGTGTCTTCCCAATTCCCTGATCATGAGTGTTCTGATCTAACACATTATTTCTTGGCAATACTGGTGTATCTTCAACTCCCTCCCTCAATGGTATGTCCAAACCTATCATCCTCGATGCCTTTGTTGTGCTAAGCCCTCTGAGGGGCTTCATGAGAATGTCAGCCACATTGTTAGCCATTCTGACAAACTTGATCAATATATCACCATCCTGTACATGATCCCTGATAAAGTAGTATCTGGTGTCGATGTGCTTGAGTTTCCAATGCTTGGCTGGATCCTTGCTGACTTGTATGCATCCTTGACTGTCAGTGCACAATATTGGTTTGACTCCAGCTACTCCTAGATCTCTGAGTAAGTATGAGAAGAAGAGTGCTTCTCTTGCTGCTTCAGATGCAGCAACCAGCTCCACCTCCACTGCTGATAGTGCTACACATTTCTGCACATGCGATTTCCAGCTGACTGGGCATCCATACACATATGTGATTGCCCTGGACATACTCCTTCATCCATTTGTAGGGTCAGAGGCCCAATTCGTGTTGGTATACGTAACTATTGGTTGACTTGTGTGTTTCCTATGTACTCCTCCTAAAATCAGGCAGTAGTTGCTCGTCTGATTTAGGTACTTCATGTCATGGGCCTGGATGCTCAAGAAGCAGGAGGGTCACTGGTTCATATGGAAGGAGCACAGGTATCGAGGATCTAGTCGATATCAGGAGAGAGCATGGTCGTAGTGCAGTCTCCATGGAGACCATGGACTCCTACAGACTCACATGCAAAGGAGGACCGAGCCATATGCGAGGAGGGCCAGGCACAGCCACAAGGAGGACCCAGCTCAAGGAGCAGGCACAGCCATGAAGACAACCAAGCTCAAGGAGCATGCAGATGGTTACCATTCAGGGGCTCGAGAGACAAGAGTCAAAGGAACCATCACTGGTCAAAGGAGAAGGAGAAGTGTATAGGGAACCGGCAAGCAGGTCCTGAGGAGGAGGAGCAGTGTCGAAGGAGTTGACACCAGGTCCTGAGGAGGAGGAGCAGTGTGTCATGGGCCTGGATGCTCAAGAAGCAGGAGGGTCATGGGTTCATATGGAAGGAGCACAGGTATCGAAGATCTAGTCGAGATCAGTAGAGAGCATGGTCGTAGTGCAGTCTCCATGGAGACCATGGACTCCTATGGACTCACATGCAAAGGAGGGCCAAGCACAGCCACGAGGAGGACCAAGCTCAAGGAGCAGGCACAGCCACGAAGAGGACCAAGCTCAAGGAGCATGCAGATGGTTACCACTCAGGGGCTCGAGAGACAAGAGCCAAAGGAACTGTCACTGATCAAAGGAGAAGGAGCAGTGTCAAAGGAGTTGACACCAGGTCATGAGGAGGAGGAGCAGTGTCGAAGGAGTCGACACAGCTCAAGAGGCACAGGGGTGCCAAGCAGGAGAGGCCCCTGAGCAGTACTCGATGAAGAAGGTACTCTCTGGAGAGAGAGCAGGAGCAGCATCGCTGGCGATGCTGAGAAGAGGTATATAACCATGCTTTCTCATCATCATAGGTCGAGTGGATCCTCATCCACTCTACTCACCATATAACTAGTTATCACTTCAGCATAAGTATACATTAGTTTCAGTCAGCATAGCAGCAATCTATCAAGGTTGCTCCTCATCATAGTGTGTGTGTTGTATCACCACTACCTGACATCCAAAGGTGCCCATAGCAGGTTAGCAGTCCGGATCAAGATAGAACCAAAGGCAGTAGTCCACTGCGGTCCAGGGATCACTTCAAGCATCAGGTCAACACACTGGACACTCGTGTTGATGCCACCAACCTTATCACCAACACCATCAACCTCATTATCATCAACATCACCAATCTCATCACCAACACCATCAACCTCATCATCATCAACACGCACACCAGACCTTGGTGTCATCATAACATTGATATTGATCGTGCCGAGCTACCCCTGAACGGAGTGTCCACAGAGGTCAGCCGAAACCTATGATAGTATATACCACGAATGCCACCTGCTGTCACTGCGCAACTTGATAGTCACCAATACTGAGACAATAGCTGTTGCACAGTTTGATAGTCACCGAGTATCTCGACAGACCGACCTGGGTTTCAGGCGCGAGACCCCTGACACAGTGTCGAAGGAGTCGACACCACTCAGGAGGCACAAGGGTGCCAAGCAAGCAGGATAGCAAGGAGGAGGAGCAGTGTCGAAGGAGTTGACACAGCTCAAGAGGCAAAGGGGTGCCAAGCAAGCAGGAGAGGCCTCCTGAACAGTACTCGATGAAGAAGGTACTCTCTGGAGAGAGAGCAGGAGCAGCATCGCTGGCGATGCTGAGAAGAGGTATATAACCATGCTTTCTCATCATCATAGGTCGAGTGGATCCTCATCCACTCTACTCACCATATAACTAGTTATCACTTCAGCATAAGTATACATTAGTTTCAGTCAGCATAGCAGCAATCTATCAAGGTTGCTCCTCATCATAGTGTGTGTGTTGTATCACCACTACCTGACGTCCGAAGGCGCCCATAGCAGGTTAGCGGTCCGGATCAAGATAGAACCAAAGGCAGTAGTCCACTGCGGTCCGGGGATCACTTCAAGCATCAGGTCAACACACTGGACACTCGTGTTGATGCCACCAACCCTATCACCAACACCATCAACCTCATCATCATCAACACTCACACCAGACCTTGGTGTCATCACAACCTATGGATTGATATTGATTGTGCCAAGCTACCCCTGAACGGAGTGTCTGCAGAGGTCAGCCAAAACCTACAATAGTATATACAACGAATGCCACCTGCTGCCACTGCGCAACTTGATAGATGCCAAATGACTAGCTTGTCAAGACAGATACCGAGACAATAGCTGTCGCACAGTTTGATAGTCACCAAGTATCTCGACAGACCGACCTGGGTTTCAGGCGCGAGACCCCTGACACCTTGCCCCATCCGAGTGACCGTACTTTTGGACTGTATACACTGCTCACATGTCAGAGCTGTATCTGGGTCCAATGCTGCTACAGGTTCACCTTTCAGTTTATCAACAATTGCTCTGGATTTGTCTCAACCTGGATGTCCTAGACGTTCATGCCAGAGCTGTCTTGTGGAGATCTTTGGTCTCTGATCGGCCAGCTCAAACTCTTCATCAACTCCTTCAAACAGCAGTGTTGATGTAGTCATTGCACTTTGTTGCCATGTATTGCCTCAGAACTCTAATAGTCCGTGCTTGCGATCTTTTGCTATTTTCAGCAGCATGCCATTTGCCAGGTGTATTTGTCCACCTGTGGGGTCTAAAGTTACATGTGCTCCTTCATCCATCAATGAATTGGTTGACAATAGGTTAACATTGAGTCTTTTAACATACAACATGTTTTGGAGATAGACATCTCCATATTCTGTTGCTATGCTGACATCTCCCACAGCAGTTGCCTCCAATACTTCGCTTCCAGCAGTGTATACACACTTTCTGCAGTTTCTTGGATGTATGAGCATACTGTGGTCATTAACCATATGATAACTTGCTCCTGAATCAAGGATCCAACATGTGGTTTCTCCTGACTTTGGGAGCTGTTGCCAACTCAGGGTGAAAGAGCACCAGACCTCCTAGTTGGTTTTGGTGAAAGGGGAATTTTCAGGAATGGTGATAGAGGCATCGCATTGCCTAGCACTGTGCCCATGATGTTTGCACACCCAGCAGTGGATCCTTTTCGGTTTGACTGCAGTCCTTGCATTGCCTGTGTCTGACTCAGCATTGTAGGCCTGTTCTTCATTGGTGCTGGCAGTCCTGGCACTTGCTTGGCATGGATCCACTTTCTGACTAGGAACATTCTCCATTGCAGATTGACATGTAGTTAAGGCTGTTGCCAGGGCATCAAAACTAACTTGGTGAACAGTAGCGACTGTCTCCTTGTAGATGGGATGTTGGATCATACACCTTTGGAGCATGGCATATAGCACATCATCACTGAATGGGGCCCCTAGAAGACTAGTTTCTGTCTGCATGGCCCTGATTTCTTGGATTAGCTTATGGGCATCAGCATGGAACATCTTGGCCTCATTGAGTTGGGCAAGCAGTGCTATCTGTTGTGAGGTTCTAGCTGCTTCACTGGTCAGGCTCTTTTCGATCTTCTTCCAGGCTTGGTGAAAAGTTAGATGATTCTTGCTGATATTGAGCAGGAGGTAGAGGATGTTGTGCTCTCCTTTGGTGTCTAGGGTGCTGCGTAGGACACCCACTAGGGCATTATCGAAGGTTCTGTCCCATTTTGGGTGGCTTCTGTCGTATTTGCCCTCTAGGTGGTGCATGGCATGAGGGACTACCTGAAGATTGGCCTTGACGAGTGTGCACCAGCTGTAGTAGTTGCATGATGTGAGCTTGGGAACTGTCTCCAAGATTTTGGCTAAGGTATGGTAATCGTATCAGTTGTCATCATCATCCAATTCTGATCCTCCTTCATCCTCATTGTCAAAATACTCGGTCTCATTACCATCAGTGGCCTCTTCGTCGATTTGTACTCATTGTGTTGTCTTACCCTTTCTTCCCCCTTTAGTCCTCCTGGCTGCTTCGCTCATGCTGGCTTGGTGATCACTTTCTCCTGCCACTCTGAATGTTGTGGGTTTGAGCCCCACATTGGGAGCCAGTTGAATTTAGGTACACTGCTTAGTAAGGCCACAGTCAGGTGCTCAACTTGGTAAGGTGGATCTACACAAAAGTGCTGCTATATTCATGAGGGAGTGATGACTAGACAGGAGTATATATACATGCTTTGGCATCCAGCTAAGCCTACTCTTTCGAGTCATGCCCATGTGCCATGTATCTTCCTTTCATTACCATTGTCATGTTATCATACTGTCAGGGGTCTCGCACCTGAAACCCAGGCCGGTCTGTCGAGATACTTGGTGACTATCAAACTGTGCGACAGCTATTGTCTTGGTATCTGTCTCGACAAGCTAGTCGTTCGGCGACTATCAAGTTGTGCAGTGACAGCAGGTGGCATTCATTGTATATACTATTGTAGGTTTCAGCTGACCTCTGTGGACACTCTGTTCAGGGGTAGCTCAGCACGATCAATATCAATCCGTAGGTTATGATGACACCAAGGTCTGGTGTGAGTGTTGATGATGATGAGGTTGATGGTGTTGGTGATAGGGTCAGTGAGGGTTGATGGTAATGAGGTTGATGGTGTTGGTGATAAGGTTGGTGGTGTCAACACAAGTGTCCAGTGTGTTGACTTGATGCTTGAAGTGACCCCTGGACTGCAGTGGACTACTGCCTTCGGTTCTATCTATATCCGGACTGCTAACCTGCTATGGGGTGCCTTCAGACATCAGGTAGTGGTGATACAACACATGCACTACGATGAGGAGCAACCTTGATAGATTGCTGCTATGCTGACTGTAACTAATGAGTACTTATGTTTCTAAAGTATTGACTAGTTGTATGGTGAGTAGAGTGGATGAGGATCCACTCAACCTATGATGATGAGAAAGCATGGTTATATACCTCTTCACAGCATCACCAGTGATGCTGCTCCTGCTCTCTCTCCAGAGAGTACCTTCTTCATCGAGTACTGCTCAGGGGCCTCTCCTGCTTGGCACCCCTGTGCCTCTTGAGTGGTGTCGACTCCTTCGACACTGCTCCTCCTCCTCATGACCTGGTGTTGACTCCTTTGACACTGCTCCTCTTCCTCAGGACCTGCCTGCTAGTGTCCTATACACTGCTCCTTCTCCTTTGACTGGTGACAGTTCCTTTGACTCTTGTCTCTCAAGCCCCTGAGTGGTAACCATCTGAGCTTGGTCCTCTTCGTGGCTGTGCCTGCTCCTTGAGCTGGGTCCTCCTCGTGGCTGTGCCTGCTCCTTGAGCTTGGTCCTCCTCATGGCTGTGCCTGGCCCTCCTCACATGTGGCTCATGTCCTCCTTTGCATGTGAGTCCATAGGAGTCCATGGTCTCCATGGAGACTGCACTACAACCATGCTCTCTACTGGTATCGACTAGATCTTTGATACCTGTGCTCCTTCCATATGAACCAGTGACCCTCCTGCTTCTTGAGCATCCAGGCCCATGACACATACCTCCTGCATGCCATGGTGTCAACCCTCGAGCATAGGTTGCATGTGCCCCCACTAGTTTTGCATCCATCTCATCCTCCTTGTCGCTTGGTGTCTTCCCGATTCCCCGATCATGAGTGTTCTGATCTAACACATTATTTCTTGGCAATACCGGTGTATCTTCAACTCACACACACACACAATTGCACACAATCGCACACAATCGCACACAAAAAAGGTTGACTGCCGAACGCGCTTGCAACTTGGCTAACCCTGTCTCTGTTGGAATTGCAAATCGTGTCTCACAAAGTGCCCTAAGCAAAAGTTGGTGCCGCCACCATTCACTTTACCAACTCTCCCTTCCTTCATCTCTACATTATCCTGCCCCTACCATCCTCACACGTCTTTCGAAATTGTGCGACACCTGGACTCGCGATCACGGCAATCATCTGCATTGAATGCCTGGAGCGCTTCAACGCATCTTTTCGACCCACTCGTTTCCTTGTGCCGGTCTCCGTCACCTTTGACATTCGATTTCAGGGGTTTGTCTTACCGAGTCAACCATTTGGACAGCATCTCGACTAGTCCTATCTTTGTAACATCCTACCTCGACAGCAGATCCACAGCCAATTTCACCACATCACAATGCCTCCTTCCGCAACAGTAAAAGCCAAGGCCGGCGCTTTGGCGTTGCTGGCATTGGCAGCACTGGCTTCACAAGCCTCGGCCTCGATTCCTCGTCTCAATCGCATCAACTTTGCACTTGAAGGCAGCAATCCTTCCGTGCAAGATGCATTGCCCATGTTTACCGACAACCGCTTGTCTAAGAGACAATCTCAGGTGCAGCAAGACGACATTGTTACCCAGTCCGCGACAGATCCCATCGGAGCAGCTGTAGCTGCTGATGCACTTCCCAATGTCGCTGGCAATGCCGCCGGTAACACAGACGTCACGGGCAATCTCTTGCAAGGAGACGGCTACTCGAACTACCCGTGGAATCAGAATGTCTACTTTAACCCTAGTTCCACTTTGCCCAACGTCACCCCTGACGGTGGCTGGACATTGCTCCCCGACATTACTGGCTTTAACCTGAATCGCACATTCTCAGTCTACAACGTCTTCAAGAACGAGTCGGGCATCTTACCATTCTACATCTCCAACAACCCAGACCCTACCAAAGTACTTCGCGCCATCGTCGTTTGGCCAGGTAAACCGCGTGACACTTGGAAGTATGCCAACCTCATGTTCAACGCGAGAAGCGTTGCCGTACAGAACTTCCCCCAGCCAGGCGCCACAAACGACTCGTTCCTCATCGTGGCACCTGCCATGTTCAACCAATTCGACATTACCGGCGGTGCTGTCCGTCCTGGCGAGCTCACCTTCCACGGTTCAGGCTGGCAGCGTGGTGCACCTAGCAGAACGCCAGCCATGAGGCATTCTATCACCAGCTACGCCGCTGTCGATCAGCTAATTGAAGAGCTCTTCAACAAGAAAACCTACCCCAACCTCAACCAGGTTGTCGTCGCCGGTCACTCGATGGGTGGCCAAGCTGCTCAACGATATGCGCTCATGAAGAAGACAAAGTCTTACGATGACAACGTGCGCTACTGGATTGGCAATCCCGGTTCTTGGGCTTGGCTCATCGACTCGCGACCTTACATGAACGCCAATGACTCGTGCCAGCTCAACAATGAGTGGGATGCTTGGCCGTACGGTCTGAATGGCAACCAATCCAAGCTCACACCTTACTCGAGACGTGATGTTATCGCTAACAAGACCTACGTCATCAACCGCTTCCTCAATCGCCATGTATCGTACGCACTAGCATTGCTCGACATCGGTGCTGGTGACACTCACTGCGAGGCGCGATGGCAGGGTGGCAATCATTTGGACAGAGGCTCCCACTTCCTCATGCAGTATCAGAACGCCAGTGCTTTCTACCTTGGTGGCAAGTTCCCACCCAAGCACACTCTCGATTACATTGCCAATGTCTCGCATCAGGACTACGGCATGTACTCTACCAACATGTCGTTGCAGCGCCTCTTCTACGATGATCTCAACGTCCGGTATCCGGATGTTAAGAACACCACCAACCCTGGTGATAAGAAGAAGAAGCCAAAGGGTACCAAGGCCTTTGCAACGCCAGCCCACGAGAAGGTAGCCATCGGCCTGCTGGCAGGCTCGCTCGGTCTTCTCTTCATCGTCTTCACTGCTCTCCCCATCATCTTTACCGCGGATACCGTCAAAGACATTGACACTTCATGGGATGCTCAGAGCTACTTGAGTTCTGAGTCTCGAAGGATGCTTGTGGACCGCAAGTGGTGATCCGCCTTTATTCCCAGAATCATCTCTTGCGTGTCAGCTAGCCTCGAACCTTTGTCTTGCTGGAATTGTTTTTTTTTTTTTTTTTTTTTTTTTTGCTCTTTGGATCGTTTCAATTGTTTATAATCTTGTATCTCTCACATCTATCGGACCGTCTTCCATTCTCTGCCGCACAACGCGATGATGTTTGCAAAGCCTCAAGTTTGAGCCCTGCATGTGCTCGCGGGTCTTTGTAGAGTTTCGTCAGTGATTGCTTCATTCTGAAGCAGGAAGACTGCCTAGATAAGATGAAAGTACTGCACGTTGAGGATTGGGGGCGATCGTAGCATCTCCTGTCAATGACGATGGAAACGCCTGGAGGACAGATGAGTGATCGAATTTCGGAGGCTTCGTTGGCGAAAGGGAGGCGTAATTAATTCACAAACTGACAATGTTAGTTGGCAGCAACGCGTGTTCGGGGGTCACATGCAACACTCGGGCCAGCTTGAGCTCCACACGCTCAGTTCAACTCTTTTGCATTTCAACCTTGCACATCCATTCTTCAAGAGTATCATCCTTGCTTGATCCGTACCCTTCACATCAACGTAGCGAACGAGCTGTTAGGCTACCATCGACAGTCTTCTTCCGAGCCGATCTAGCATTGGCGCATAGACCTCTTTCGTAGCTCGCTTCGTACCTGCACCGGCATTCGTTGCGACAACCACACCATCATAACCCACAATGTTCTTGACACGATCTGAATATGACCGCGGCGTCAACACCTTCTCGCCCGAGGGTCGTCTCTTCCAGGTCGAATATGCATTGGAGGCCATCAAGCTCGGCTCAGCCACTGTAGGCATTGCGACAAAGGAAGGCGTCGTGCTTGGCGTCGAGAAGCGAGTGCAGTCCAAGTTGCTCGAGTCATCATCGATCGAGAAGATCATGGAGGTAGACCAGCACCTCGGTGCAGCAATGAGTGGCCTCACTGCCGATGCAAGAACCATGATCGAGCACGCACGCGTCACTTCGCAGAACCACGCCTTCACATACGACGAGGAGATCAAGGTCGAATCCGTCACACAAGCTGTTTGCGATCTTGCCCTCCGGTTCGGAGAGTCCACAGCTGGTGACGAAGCCATGATGTCAAGACCGTTTGGTGTTGCACTCCTCATTGCCGGTATTGACGAGAAGGGCCCACAGCTGTAAGTTATGACCGCATGTCTTCACTCGCATCCTCGATGCAAACCACTGACACTTCCCATTGCTCGACTTGTTTGATGTTGTCTCGCATACAGCTTCCACGCGGATCCATCAGGAACCTTTGTGCGATACGATGCCAAGGCGATCGGAAGCGGCTCCGAAGGTGCACAATCGGAGCTACAGGACAAATACAAAAAGGTAAGTAGCTCATATTCCCGTGTGATTGGCAACTCCATTCATTCGTTCTTGAGACGGCTGCTGACGTCTTTCATCTTGGACCATCGCATCTGCTGGATTTTCGCATTGTTTCATCGATACAGGACATGACATTAAAGGAAGCCGAGATCCTTTGCCTCCGCGTACTGAAGCAGGTCATGGAGGAGAAGCTGGATCAGAACAACGTGCAACTCGCCACAGTTACACCAAGAACCGCCAAGGACGGTCGCCAGTCGGGCCAATTTGCCATCATGAAAGAAGAGCAGCTCCAAGCGTTGATCGCCGAGATGTAAATAGGACCTTTTTCTTTCTTTCGAATCTCAAGCAACACCACATTACAGTACACCCTACTGTACATTCGAACACCACCGTCCTCAATCCATCTGTGTTATCTTCTTGCATTTCAAAAGAGATGAACTTGATTCAAAGTGACTAATACGTGTGAGTGACTGTATCCGAGAAGCGGACTGTACACTGTACAGCGCATTCGAAGCCCACCAGCGCAGCGCTCACGGAGTCTGAGTGGGTCCGTGCTGGCGACTCTGCCTTTCTTCCGCAGTCGAAGCTCTAGAGGGCTGAGCGCAGCAGAATCTCATTTGCAACTCCCGTCCTACAATTGTCCAAGCTTGGTCTTGTCTTGTTCGAACGCATCTTTCCTCTTTTCCTCTATGATCATCTGCCAGACCGATCTGCACATTGCTTGCATGCAGGATTATATTCAGTGCCGAGCATTCTTTCCGCGCTCAATGATCAGGAGCGACAAGCACCTACAAGATGGTACCAGTTACTATCGCTCAGGATCTACCGCACGAGCATAGGGACAATGTAATCGATTGGATCAGTGTCGCTGCTAGCTCTGAAGACCTTCGCGCTACCATTCTGGAGCTCCAGGATGTCGAAAGGAGGCTCATTGTAGTTGTCCGAACCATCGACGGCCTCTATCGTAATCCATTCGCCAATGAAGCCTCTACCAATCGCCAACGCAATCGCCTGCGGCTTGTCCAAGATGCGCTGCGTGCTCGTAGGTTCCAAGTTGAGGAGAGACTTTTCGGGCTCACCGATCCTCGTCGCTACGCAGTTTCACCTGACAGCCCAACGACAGAGGGCCAGGACACGCCGGACAGTCACCAAACAACGGACAGCCACCAAACAACGGACAGCCGCCAAACGATGGACAACCACCAAGTGACGAAGAGCTACCAAGCGATAGGGAGCCCGCAAGATGCACAGAGGACCGTAGGTATCCTTTCACCGATAGCTCCAAGGGAAAAGCGAGACGGGGACAATCCCCTCGAGAGCGCATGGAGGAGGAACGATCTCGAAAAGGTAGTAGAGCTTGCATCGCTCAGCATTGAAGAGCATGCTGCTGCGCCCACCCGCGGGGATCACGAAGGAGTAAGACGGCTCTGCGCCAATCTGCGATGTCGCTTCAAAGCGTATCAAGCCATGAAGCTCTTCTCGCTGGCGGTAGCAGATGCTGAACGCGTTCTGCATTTGGTCGCCACTTATGGCGACGACCTCGACAGCGACATGCAGTCGCTCTTTGGGAACAAGCCCGAGGGCGCATTGGCCACTCAAGCCCAGGAAGGCAGCCTCAAACGCCGAGCTGCGGACGAGCTCAGCGCAAATACGACAAAGAGACCAAGAAGGAATGCAGAACCACAGGTGCACATGCCAGCCATTTTCCGGCTCTCGACCGAGTTGATCTGTTCCATCGCGGATTTCATCGAGCCAGCTGACCGCATTCGCTTGGCCAATTCATGTCGCCAATTCAGGAAGATTCCGCAACTCTGGCGCCAGCTCGTCTTCAGGCGAGCTCATAAGGTGCCGAAAGAGGGATGGCACCGCGACACGATTGATGCATGCATCACTGCTATCCAAACGTGTCAGCGTCGGTCTTATGGCGCGCTGCGCAGCATTGAGCTTCGAGGCTACATCAATTCGGGCAGTCTTACGACGGTCTTCGACGCTCTGCGTCCAAGCTTCTCCACACTCAAGTTCCTGGCCATTCCTGCAATGGATCAGAAGCTGTGCTACAATCATTTGTACCAGCATTGCGCAAATCTTGCAGGAATCGACGTGCGGTTCAACCATCGAGACAGCGTCAGCTCATACTCGCCTTTGCCTGAGGTGCATATGGCTGATAAGTATTCCTTCTTCCCGCCATCGCAAATGCCTATCAAGCTAAGCTGTTTCATCGCAGATCCATCCTACGACTGCGGCAATATCAGCCCACACATGCAAAACCTCGAGATTGTCCAGGGTGTCACCCCAAAACGTCAAGTGCAAACGAGCTTCATCCAGGGCATCACCTCCGCTGCGCCGACTCTACGTGAATGGATAGATCACAGAACATCCAGATGGTTGATCAATTCTGTAAGGGCAGAAATCACAAGTGATCAACTCCCCATGATCTCCATCGTCTTTCCTCGACTGCGTAAGCTCAGTGCGATATGGAGCCAAGTCCTCCGAGGCTGCGAATTTCCTGCGCTCGAGGACCTGAGCTTCAATGCGCAACAAGAGATCCTGGGCGAGTCGCTCATGCAGCTTCGCAGCACACAAGCAGTGAGCGTTATCACGAGGTGCCCTTCGCTTAAGAAGCTCCACATTCTCCTACCTTCTCAGGCATCATCTCAGCGGGAGATCTTCAACGGGATCGCACAGATGGAGCATCTCGAAGAGCTGCATATTTGGGTCCGAAAGCAAGGCTTCACTTTGCAGCCGCTCATTGATTGTCAGAACGCTGGCAACAACGCCTCCACTTCGGCCCCATTGATGTTGCCGTCTTTACAAACTCTGGGACTCTACAACCGTGACTGGCCACTGGGCGCAGATCCACTGCTGCAGCACGAGCTGGATGAGTTGCTTTTGATGCGCTTTTTCTTGCAGAAAGGTTGTTCTGGCGACGAAGCCAAAAAGAGGACCGCGGCGGCCCTCGCAGCTTACGACATTCATAAAACCAACAAGAGACAGAGGAAGAAGCTCGCAACGGACGCTGTGTCAGCTGCAAAGGCTTCTGTCTACCCAGGCGCTTTCGAGGTGCACGATGGCATCAAACGGGAGAAATTCTATCCAGTGTTGCCTACGCTAGTGGTTGAGTCTGATCTACAGGCACCAGATCCGAAGGGATCAGACAAGCTACTGGAACAGCTCATTGCTACGACCATCGAGGACGTCTCTGTTACGGATCACTTCTGGTCATGCCATACAAGTATCGCTTGAAATCTTCTTGCCAATAGTCTGTTCAGAGCAATAGTCTGTTTAGAGCAATAGTCTGTTCAGAGCAATAGTCAGAGCAATAGTCTCTTCAGAGCAATAGTCTCTTCAGATAAATAGTCTCTTCAGATTCCAAGCTGAATCCGAGCATCGTCACTGGATTTGTGCGTGGAGCCTCCTTGTCCTACCTCGTCCCCTTGATACTTGCTCTTATCAGCATCGTCTATTGTAGGGTTTCTGTTCATTCAAGTCTTGGCGACATCTCGTCTCAATTTGCAACCGCGTGCAAATTTGTCCATCGCATCTCGTGTTTTCAATGCCAAGTTCTGCCTTTCTCAAACATGATTGTGATGACAGAGCGAGCCGACACCTGGGAGCTTTAGCGATTGACAATCTTGCTCATCCCTAACTGCCGTCTGAATTTAGTCGAGCAGATTGAGTCTACATTTGAGTCCGAAACTTAAAATACAAAGAAGGCTAAGATACAGACGCTCGCAGCGGGGCCATGATAGATAGGCCAGTGCTGGATAAAGTACGAAAGAGAATTGATCAGAGTTCGAGTAGTCAAGTTGGGGCGGTAAGCGCCTGGTACGTGTCCAATCCACTGTAGCGAGTGGTCGTTCGAGAAAGGTATGATACAGTTTCGAATGAACGTGAGCTAAATCTTTCCGAGAAGATGCGAATGCGGCATTGTGAAGCGGAATATGACGTTGAAGGAAACGTGCCAACGGCGATCGTCTGTGCGTAAACAGAGGCGTTCACTGCTGCACCTCGCAAGACGGATTGGCTGATTGGGAGATTGATGAACGTGCGTGTCAATGCGGCAGGCACCGCAATGGCACGTCGTCAAAGGTGACCTCGACACACCCGCTATGAATTGGCAACATGCTGTTGTGATGGGAGCAGCCACATGGGCCACTTGGATGCGATCTGCCGAGGTGTCAGTGAAGGCTGGACGCTGCTCGAGTGAACGGCTTGATCGTTGCTTAATGTCGATTTTGTTATGGCGAAGAGACAACTCGACGGATTTCGTCTTCGAGACAGAACGTGTTTGAAATGGTGGCGTATTGACTACTGCGGTCGGCAGAGTGATGCAGACTCGCAGCTTAGTACCTGAAAGGCTGCTGAGGCGCTCGTGGCATCGAAGGGTTGGGCAACTGCGCCTGACTCTGGTTCCACGCATAGCTATCGTTGGTGGAAGAAACAAAGCTCGAGTTGAGAGCAAGCCTGCTCTCTGCCCACCCATCGTTTAATCCGCTCATCCGGTTCGACGAGCGATCAGCCTTAGCGGTAGAGCTGAGGCTGTTGGAAGAGGGCAGAGACTGCATCTGATCTGACTTGTGGCGCATCTCTCGGGCGCGCTTGCGACGTCGTGAACAGGAGCAGAGCCAGAAGATGGCCGCCACGGCAAGAAGGAATGCAACAGTAACGAAGATGACAACAAGAGTGGTCTGGGTTTTGGAGAGGCCAGAAGTGGCGATCTTGGCTTTGTTACCGGCAGATTGACCTAAGCCGGAGATCTGGTCTGTGAGACCGGAAAAGGCGGCTGGGTTGACCTGTCGTCGTACTTTGAGGATGCGAGGCATCTGCATGTTGGAAGACAAGCTGAAAAGTTGTGAGGTGACTGAGAAAGCAGTGGTGGATGTATCTCGGATGAAGTGATTGACCGGCAATCAAGGGGCTCTGTAATGTGCTGCTAGGCGATAGTCTTTGGACTGAGGTAAGATATAAAGAATGGCGATAGGGTTTGATAAGGACGGGATGAAGAGAGCGTAGGTTGTTGATGGAGTAGAGAACGAAAGCTGGACCGGCCAGGGAATGTTGGTAGGAGTGAGACGGTTAGGGAGGACTAAGGGAAAAGGAAGGAGGCAGGGAGGGGAAAGGGTCTCAGGCCTATGGCATGCGAAGCCAAAGCGGACAAAGCGACGCTCTAAATGGATCGGCAAAGAGATGAGCATTTCATCCGAGGCAGCTTCAGCACAGTGTGCGGCGTAAATTGCAAACGCGCTCTGTTCGAGGATTTGCGCCTGTCAAGAACGCGGCCTCAAAGCATGGTCGATATGGCGCTGCCATGAGAGGCATGATGCGACGTCTATGCAGCGTCTATGCAGCCTAGAACAGTGCCTCTCCGCTGCAGAGTGATGCTTTCCTAGTGATGCTTTCCTAGTGATGCTTTCCTGGAGAAATTTGAGCTTGCAATTCCAGTCGAAACAAACTTGGTCGCCACACGATATCGGGAAATCGGGAATTGAGATCGCGATAGCCTAACTCAAAGTCTCGCCTTGATACGATCAACAGCCTCGAGGCAGAACAAAAGCTACTCTCATTAAGCAAGCAAAGTGAAGCTTATCTCACTGTCAAAATGCAAGGCTCGTGCTTCGGATCAAGAGCTTTTTCACCTTGGACAGTCAATCTAACTACCTGTCATTGCCTCGCAAAGGCGCAGTGAATGAACTACAGTCGTCTCTCCCTGCTTCGCCCTGCACCCTCGTCCTCGCTGATCATGAGCAGTAACGGGATGTACCATTCCGTCTCTCGGTGTCATCACATGTCACAATCAAAGCTGTTCAACGCAATTGGATGAGCTGGAACGCATGACTCAAGCCCACCGCTCAACGGAGTGAATCAAGCCAGCTTTGAGCGTAAGACGAGACATGATCGAAACCAAGGAGCGAAGAGAGAAGAGAATTCGGAGAGCTTCGCTGGTAGGCGGAACGCAAAGTTTTTTTTTCTTCTTTTTTCTTCTTTTTTCTTCTTTTTTCTTTTTTTTTTTTTTTTTTTTTTTTTTTTTTTTTTTTTCACTTGCAGAGGAGGGTCATATGATCTCTAAACTTGAGAGTTCACCTCGAAGATGCAAGAGTGTGGGGGAAATGGAGTTACCCCAGACGCGGGCTACTTTGTCATCTCAGCAGGTGGGAAACTTGTTGGTGGGAGCGGAACAAGACTTGGACATGGTCGAACATGTGCGGCCTGCAAATTCTCCGACGGCGTCTTTGCGCAGAAAGATTCGAGTAGGAGCGCTGCTGTGTGCCCGGCTTGGCTTGGAAGAGGAGAGGATCGTGCTAGAATGCTCTAGGAGGAGCGTAGGCAACCTCTGCAGGCCATGCCGCTGTTTGTAGTGAAAGATAGGAGAGTGTACAATTCGGGATCTGACGTGCCAAGTTCGGGATGTGATTTGTCGATCACTTGGAATTTTTGGTCGAGTCCAGCAGGTTTGCGATGCAGAACTCGCCGAGGCTGACACTTGAAGAGACCATGTCGTTCGAGTTGTGCGCCTGACTTGGATTCGAAAGCCTAGGAGAGGAGGTGGTTGCTCAATCAGTCGAGGCAAGCTAACTGGCTGCGGTGTAAGTTTTACACAGATGCAATGACCAACGTTTTTGATGGTAGGAGAGTAGGGCGCCACTTACGCTCTGGGCAGACTCGATGCTGGCCAATGAGAAGATAAGGAAACGTATTGCGACAGGGCCAAAGTGCAATTGAACCGTGGCTTTGAACACATGACATTGCACTTGGCGAATTCAGGATTATTCCAGGCAAATGTCTTCGACACTCAATGTGCTGCCCATCGTTGATCCTTATCCTGCAAGTGACGGAACAGGAAGATCGAAAAGACACTTGTCTTGCAGAGCAGGGTTGAGGGTTGTCTTGCAGCGTCAGTTGACGACGCTGGCCTCCCTTGCTAGCGTGAGTGTAGGATGACAGTAAGTTGCCGTCGCCGAAGCTTTGTTGCTTGGTGCGGAATCGGGGGCATCCTCCAGGCTGGATCGGCAGGACATTCCACTATCTTGATCGGCAGGTTCTTGGTTGACTTTCGCGTTTAACGGTCATAATCGCAGCCAGAGTTAAGGGACCGCCGCACAGAGTGAGTGTGGAATTCCAGCTTGGCTGTGCGGTCTGGTGTCCATTTTGCCAAAAATGCAAGCGTCTGTTGTGTTGCTTTGTTTCCGAGGCTCGACTTTATCTGCCGGACAGCAACACAGCCTCCTGACCCTCAAGCGACCAAAGAAGCTGTCCAGACCTCGAGCTCGACAAGCCTCGAATCCGACGCAAGTGAATTTCCTAGCACACATCATCATTTGCCACTTTCCGTTGTCTTGACTCCTTATTTTGCGATTAGGTCTTTCCGATACACCTCGATCGGTAACTGTGGGAACGAAAAGATAGCAAAAAGCAAACACGTCTCTGGTGTCAAGCAAAAGTGTTTGAGGGTATGGACATCAAACGAGACCTGCACAGCCATGATCCGCACCAGGTAAGTGACTCCGGGAAGCTGTCCGGCAAGGAAAAAAAGAAGAGGTGGTGTTGCGTACAACTCTTCTCAAAAAGCTCGTGACCCCTTCAGAAGTACAGGGGAAAAAAGAAAAAAAAAAAAAAAAAAAAAAAAAAAAAAAAAAAAAAAAAAAAAAAAAAAAAAAGAAAAGAAAAAAAAAAAGAAAAGAAAAAAAAACGATGAACAACACGGCAGGAGGCAAGGTGTGGGTGGAGGGCACACTCTGGAAAAACAGTCAAGGTGTTGAACTCTGCCTGAGCTCATTTCGGAATGGTGGCGCACGAAAGCGTGTCAGATGCTGCTGCTTCTGGTTGTGCTGCTGTCGCTTGACGATGGTGAGCATTGCGTCTGTAGCGGCGGCACCGTCGTCAGAGTGGCACTTGTTCTGGAGCGAATTGTGACTGAGAATGCTCCAACCCTGATCTTGCGCATTGGCCCAAGCTTGACCGGCACATCCGTTCTACGAGAGCGCCAGAGAAGCATTATCGCCTCTCTCTCTGCTCGAGCGATGCTACAGCGTGTGAGCTCCACACTCAACACTTTTTATTAAGTCACACCTGGCCCCACCCCCCTTTCATAGAGCACATATATAACTTCGGCCCATCCGAAAGTTGCTTGGCTCTTGTCAGCGCACATTGACACTCACATCCTCTCACCAGAGTAATTGCCGCCAGTTGAACGCTCAATTCAGCTCAGCCTCTCCCCTGCTCCTTCTCACTCTAGCTTCTCCAGTCCACCTCTTGGCCAGGTTTCTTTACTGGCGCTCCATACACTCGTCTCAATGGCTCCTTCCATAGACCCATCCTCAAATACACAGGCTTCGGCCTTGGAAGACGTTTCCAAAGTCAAGTCGGCCCTTCTTTCCGCCGACAGCTCTTCCCAACCAAGTCGCTCTTCCCAACCAACTCGCTCTCACACTCCCATCGACCACATCATTGCCAACAATGCCGGCTACACTGACACCGTCTTCGAGGGCAAGGCCGACCAGGCTGCTCAGGTCAAGCAACTCCTTTCCAGCAAAGGCTTCATGCCTCCTCATCTCGTCACCGCCGAGGTCGATTGGTTCTACCAGTAAGTTTCCACCCACAGCCCCTTCTGGCAGCAACACAGCGCACCTCTAACTGACGACTTTTCTCTCCGATTCTTCTGGATCTACAGAAACCTTGGAATTGACGACACCTACTTTGCTCTCGAGAGCGTAGAGACTATTGCCGACCACATTCTCGCCCTTTTCGGTGCCAAGATCATGGCCTACACAAAGCACTCCAACAGCCTCGACATTGACCTCGAAAAGGAGTCCGACAACGGCGCTGTCTTCATTCACTCGTCCCAGGCCGGCAAGTCCCAAGCTCAGGGTCCCCAGTGGGAGCGTCGCATCGACGCAAACTACCTCGACAAGTCCTCCGTCGACAAGGCCTACCGTCTCGAGACCTACCGCTCTGCCGGTTCCGTCTCGGCTCAGTCCCAGCAGCAGCTTCGATGCTACTTCTTGGCCAAGTGCAACTTTGTTGAGCCCCCTCCCGCTCCTCACTCGCCCAGCTTTGGTGACATTCGTGCTGTATCCGACAAGACCTTCCTCACCAAGGCCAGCGACAACACTCTCGACATCTACCAGAGCATCATGGACCAAGTTCTCCGCCGACAAGGCCCTGTCATCGAGATGTTTGAGGTCGAGGGTAGCCGAGAGCGTCGAATCGTCATCGGTTACCGCATGGGTACCACAAACAGCTTCTTCAGCGCCCTTTCCGACCTCTACCACTTTTACGGTCTCTTCTCCTCCCGTAAGTACGTCGAGCACTTCTCCAACAACGTCACTATCATCTCGATCTACCTCAACCCTCTCCCAGCTTCCAACAGCCCTCCCATCGAGCACTCGATCCACCAGGTCATGAAGGAGGCTTCCCTCATCTACGTCCTTCCTGACAACCCCTTCTTCCAGCCTGCTCTCGCTGAAAACACACATGCCGTTCAAGAAGCCACCTACGCCTACGTCGGTTGGCTCTTTGCCCAGCACTTTTGTAACCGTCTCGGTCAGGCGTACCAGTCGCTTCGAAACCTCCTCAACGAGAACGACTCGCAGCAGGCTGCCATCCTCAACGAGATCAAGCTCCGCTTCCGTGAAGAGACTTTCACCCGTCAGTCGATTCAGGAAGTCATTGAGAACCACCCCACCCTCATCCGACTCCTCTACGTCCATTTTGCCAACATTCACTATCCCGGCGGTGCCGACGACCAGGAGCTCGTACCCACCTTGTCCTACCAACGACTCGTCAAGGAGGAGGTCCTCGACGACAACCAGATGTACGACCGCATCCGCAAGGCTGCCAACAACACCCACGAGCGACAGGTCCTCGAGGCTTTCCTCTTCTTCAACAAGGCCGTCCTCAAGACCAACTTCTATACCCCTACCAAGGTCGCTCTCTCCTTCCGCTTGGACCCTGGCTTCTTGCCCGAAGTCGAATACCCCGTCAAGCCCTACGGTATCATCTTTGTCGTTGGTGCCGAATTCCGTGGTTTCCACGTCCGCTTCCGTGATGTTGCCCGTGGTGGTATCCGCATCGTCCGTTCCAGGAATCGCGAAAACTACTCCATCAACCAACGAACCTTGTTCGACGAAAACTATGCCCTCGCCTCAACACAGCATCTCAAGAACAAGGAGATCCCAGAAGGTGGTGCCAAGGGTACCATCCTGCCCACCCTCGATGCCAACCCCAAGCTTACCTTTGAGAAGTACGTTGATGCCATCCTTGACTTGCTCATCAAGGGGCAGACCCCCGGTGTTAAGGAAGAGATCGTCGACCTTCTCGGCAAGGAGGAGATCCTCTTCCTCGGCCCCGATGAGGGTACTGCCGACCTCATGGATTTTGCTGCCGAGCACGCTCGCGCTCGCGGCGCGCCATGGTGGAAGTCGTTCACCACCGGCAAGACCGCCGCCACTCTCGGTGGTGTTCCTCACGACGTCTGGGGTATGACTTCCCTTTCGGTTCGTCAGTACATCATCGGCATCTACAGGATGCTCGGCCTCAAGGAGCAGGAAGTCACCAAGGTTCAGACCGGTGGTCCCGATGGTGATCTCGGTTCCAACGAGATCCTCCTCTCCGTCGACAAGACCCTCGCCATCATCGACGGAAGTGGTGTCATCTACGACCCTGTCGGTCTCAACAGGCCAGAGCTCGTTCGCCTTGCCAAGGCACGAAAGATGATCTCTGACTTTGACGCCTCCATGCTCAGCCCCCAAGGATACCGCGTTCTCGTCGAGCAGAACGACGTCAAGCTGCCTACTGGAGAGGTCATCCCCGACGGTATTGCTTTCCGCAACACTGCCCACCTTCGCTTCAAGGCCGACCTCTTTGTTCCTTGCGGTGGTCGTCCTGAGGCCATCAACATCTCCAACGTCAACCAGCTCTTTGACTCGGATGGAAAGCCCCACTTCAAGTACATTGTAGAGGGTGCCAACCTCTTCATCACCCGACAGGCTCGTCTCGAGCTCGAGAAGCGCGGTGCCATCCTTTACCCCGACGCCTCGGCTAACAAGGGTGGTGTCACCTCGTCGTCGCTCGAGGTCCTTTGCGGTCTCTCACTCGAGGACGCCGAGTACGTCGAGTCGATGCTCTTCAAGGATGGCAAGCCCACCAACTTCTACCTCTCCTACGTCCGCGATATCCAGACCATCATTGGCCGCAACGCCCGTGCTGAGTTCGATGCCATCTGGCGCGAGAACATCGAAACTGGCAAGCCTCGATCCACCATCTCGACCGAGCTCAGTACCACACTCAACAAGCTTTCCGAGGAGCTCGAGGCCACCGATCTCTTCTCCAACGAGCAGCTCCGTTCCGCTGTGCTCGGCCAGGTCTTCCCTCTTACCCTTGTCAAGAAGGTCGGTCTCGCCAAGTTGATCCAGCGCATCCCCGAGGCCTACGCCCGCTCTGCTTTCGCTGCTAAGGTGGCTGCCAGCTTTGTCTACGCCAATGGCCCCAACGCCAGTCATGTTGACTTTTACAAGCACATTTCGACGCTCTTGTCGCAGCCCACGCCACCGGCTGCACCGGCGCAGCAGTAAAGAGTGCTTGCTCACTCGCTCACTCGCTCATGTGTGGTGGGCCAAGATCAAATCGCCCCCCTTAGAGTCGTTCCTCATTCTTGTCTCGGGTTGTATGGACTTTCTTCTTAATCGGTGAAAGCTGTCTCTTTCAGCAGCTTTGAGATGTGTAAAATACAGTTTTGTTATCCTTATCTCTCTCCGTGTGATGTGTGAAATGTTGGCACTAAAGATACAAATGTGTTGTTCATCGTTTTAAGAGCCTAGCCTTCTTCGTTGAAACGCCCGCCTGCTCCCCATCTCCTCGCGTTCCAGAATGAGTGCCAAGTGCGCTCTGCCTATGCATCTTCATCCTCTTCCCCTGCTCCGTAGACGGCCTCAAAGTAGCTTGGTGGCAGGTCGAGCTCCATGTCTTCGCCGTACATGGGACCGTCGTTGGTGAAACAAAAGGCTGGATCGATTGCCGCTGATTGCTGCATGGGTTCCACGCTCGGAGATGCTACATATGCAGGCTCTTGCACCGGTGATGGTGCTGCAGGCGTTACAGGTAAATCTCGGTTAGCCTGCCGACTCTGACTAGAGGTTGTAGCAACAGCAGAAACAACAGCGACAGCATTACGTTCATTCCTGCTGCTACTAGCTACCGCTGCTGAAGGACCGCCCGTAGCACTCGCCCCTCCATCGCTTTCATTTCGCTTCTTGCGAGACTTGCTGGGTTTCGAAGATGAACCCACCAGCGCGTCAGCGTGCTCTCGAGTAGAAGCAGCAGCCTTGGCTGGGATGCCAGAAAGGTTGTTTGTATTTGCGACAAAGAGACCACGCCGGCTATGACCCAAGTCCGAGCTAGCTGCTCGTGAAGCCGACTGTTGCGATTCTTGTCGAGCCATCGATGCATGAGCCGTTTTCTCACGGCTGTGAGAATGATCTGTTGATGATGTCGCAAGTGGACTGGCCTCAACGATAGGAGCTGCACCTCTCGAGGAGTATCTGTCTCGTCTCACGCTGCTGGCGATCGAGACCATGTCGCTTGTGTCATGAACTGCAACTGTGCCTGCGTTCCCAGCATGCGAATGCCTCCTCAATGATTGCGGACCAGCTGGGCTTGACGCCGCTGTTTGTATGGGCATAGATATCCTAGGGTTAGGGTTCTAAGGGCATCCGGCCGTGGGGCAGACGCATCTTGCACTCCTCGAAGATGGTCCAATTTAATTTTGAAGACAGTCCATTTCAAAATTCAAGAAAGTCCAATACAAAATTCAAGACAGTCCAATACAAAATTCAAGATGGTCCACTTCAAAATTCAGGCCTTGGGGCAGATGTGTCTTGCCCACCTGGAAGATGGTCCACTTCAAAATTCAAGACAGTCCATTTCAAAGGTCCAATACAAAGTTGATTTTCTGTGTGTGCTGAGCTGGGAAGACAGTCAGCTACAGATCAAAGATGGTCCAATTGAAATGGAAGACAGTCAACTACAGTCTGGAAGACAGACCAATTCTAATTTGATGTTGCAGCAACACAGGAACATGGTCTACCACACACTTGTCAACTACTATTCCAGCCATGCCACCAATCACCTGTCCAGTGTGCAGCTATGCTTATGCTGAAAGCAACATCACCAACCATTTGCGTAAGGTGCACAAGGGCATTGCAGTCAGTCAGGATGCTGCAGCTGCTGTTGGACTTGTTGCATGCTTTTGTGGACAGGTGGTCATGAATGTGGCAGCACTACACAAACACCAAGGCATCCACAAATGCCAAGGTGAGAACACACAGCAGACTCAGGTGGAACCTATGCCTGCAATTTCAACTCAGCAATCTCATGATGTGGTAAGTCCAGAGCCTGGGCCTGCAGCAGACATGCAGTGTGAATCTTTCCTGGATGTGTTGGATCCTGCCATCCTTGCAGAGGAGAATTCAAATTTGAATTCAATTCCAGAGGCTGAGCCTAGCATGGCAGACTCAGAGGAATTGCCTCTAGCACTTGTGGAGGATAACTTGGACTATGTGATGGCCGAGGCACAGGCACAGGCACAGGCACAGGCATCAGAGCCAGAGGACATGCAGATGGAAAATCCAACTAATTCTGAACTTGACATGTCCTCTGGTGAAGTGCCTGACCCTAGCCCTAGCTGGTGTGTCTTGCTTGCAGGCAACGCACAATTGCGCTCTGCCAAATTCGAAATTCACGCGACTGCGTTGACCCCCAACGCACTCGAAATTTACACTGCTCAAGTGCTGCAATGCAAACAAATTTATTTTCGCTGGAGCAGTGCAAATTGAGCAACGCACAGCTGGAGCAATGCACTCACAGCTGGAGCAATGCACTCACAGCTGGAGCAATGCACTCACAGCTGGAGCAATGCACTCACAGCTGGAGCAATGCACACTCTGCTGGAGCAACGCAATCTGAGCAGCGCACAGCTCGAGAGCAACACACTGTTTGAGAGCAACACACAGCTCAAGAGCAATGCACTGCTTGAGAGCAATGCACTGTTCGAGAGCAACGCACTCACAGCTGGAGCAACGCACTCACAGCTGGAGCAATGCACTCACAGCTGGAGCAATGCACACTCTGCTGGAGCAGCGCAATTTGAGCAATGCACAGCTCAAGAGCAATGCAGAGCTCCAGGACAACACTTGCACTTACACCCCACAACTACTCAGCCTTACAACACCTTTGTTGACATCATGAGCCTCCTTTGCACTCTTAGCCCTTTGTTCTTGCTGCCACTACTTCTCATCATCACTGCACAACATAATCACCACTTGTCTTCATCAGGTGTTGTTCTCTCTCATGCTCACACCACACTACCACTCTGCCTTACAACACCTTTGTCAACATCATTTCTCTCTCACACTCACACCTCACTACCAATCAGCCTTGCAACACCTTTGTCAACATCATCAGCCTTTGTCCTTTATGCTCTCACACCTTTGTTGACATCATTAGCCTTTGTTCTTACACTCTCACACCTTTGTCGACATCATGAGCCTTTGTTCTTACACTCTCACACCTTTGTCCTTTATACTCTAGCCCTAGCCGGTGTGTCTTGCTTGCGGGCAACGCACAATTGCGCTCCGCCAAATTCGAAATTCACGCGACTGCGTTGACCCCCAACGCACTCGAAATTTACACTGCTCAAGTGCTGCAACGCAAACAAATTTATTTTCGCTGGAGCAGCGCAAATTGAGCAACGCACAGCTGGAGCAACGCACTCACAGCTGGAGCAACACACTCACAGCTGGAGCAACGCACTCACAGCTGGAGCAACACACACTCTGCTGGAGCAATGCAATCTGAGCAGCGCACAGCTCGAGAGCAACGCACTGTTCGAGAGCAACACACAGCTCAAGAGCAACGCACTGCTCGAGAACAACACACTGTTTGAGAGCAACGCACTCACAGCTGGAGCAACGCACTCACAGCTGGAGCAACGCACACTCTGCTGGAGCAACGCAATCTGAGCAGCGCACAGCTCGAGAGCAACGCACTGTTCGAGAGCAACACACTGCTCAAGAGCAACGCACTGCTCGAGAACAACACACTGTTTGAGAGCAACGCACTCACAGCTGGAGCAACGCACTCACAGCTGGAGCAACGCACACTCTGCTGGAGCAACGCAATCTGAGCAGCGCACAGCTCGAGAGCAATGCAGAGCTCCAGCACAACTCTTGCACTTACACCCCACAACTACTCAGCCTTACAACTCCTTTGTCGACATCATGAGCCTCCTTTGCACTCTTAGGCCTTTGTTCTTGCTGCCACTACTTCTCATCATCACCGCACAACATAATCACCACTTGTCTTCATCAGCTGTTGTTCTCTCTCATGCTCACACCTCACTACCACTCTGCCTTACAACACCTTTGTCGACATCATTTCTCTCTCACACTCACACCTCACTACCGCTCAGCCTTACAGCACCTTTGTCGACATCATTTCTCTCTCACGCTCACACGTCACTACCAATCAGCCTTGCAACACCTTTGTCAACATCATCAGCCTTTGTCCTTTATGCTCTCACACCTTTGTCGACATCATTAACCTTTGTTCTTACACTCTCACACCTTTGTCCTTTACGCTCTCACCCCTTTGTTCTTGCCACTGCTGCTTTTCTCACCATCACCACACATCACCATTGCCACTTGTTTCCTCCAGGCCTTTGCTCATCATCAATCCTTAGTCGATCTTCAACCCTTTGTTCTCATCATTGCTTTGTTGCACATCACCTTTCACATCACCGCCTGTACTCTATTCCCACACTCAGCAATCCAATGTTGTTGTTCCCCATCATCATTGTGTGTGTGTCTGCACATGCATCCTTTGACTTTGTCGTTGCCAACACCTGAGCTCCTCAGCATTAGCATATATACCAGCCCTCTTTCACAGCTATGGCAAGTCTCCTCAACGCTCACATCTCTCAGCACCATACCACACCAGCAACATCTAGCTCTTCTTGCCGCTAACACCAACCACAATCTACAATGTCTCAATCATCTTCCATCTCCATCGGTGCCAGCATCAACACTGTTGCTGCAGTCAGGTACGTGCTATTATCCTCTTCCTTTGCCTCTTCCTATTGATCTCCAACTGACCAGTCTCTGTCTCTTACCGAGCTTTGCTGTCACTGTCACAGTAGCAGCATCAACCCCTTCACTGAAAGCCAAGTTCCTCTTGCCATCATCAAGAACCTTGCGATGCACAGTGCCAATGCTCTTTCAAACCCTGATGATGCTTTCCCATCTCCAGTAGCTGATGACCTCTCTCCTTCTGATGCCATCAACAGTGATGATGACTTGTATGTACACTGCTTCTCTCTCCAGTGTATCTTCTTGATCAGCATCAACTGACGTCACTTGTGCTATCTATGCTCTCCTTGTCATCAACAGCACTTTGCCGCTCCCTGCTGCCAACCAGACTGCTCTTGCTGCTCCAGTTGATCTGAAGGTTGCCAACCAGCTTTGCAGCTTCCGCCTCCGCCTCCTCCAGCACCCTTCTCTTCTCCTCTGCACTCGCCCTGAGTGCACTCACCACCTGCCGCTCATCCCAACCTATGCCAATGTGTCTCAGCACCTCAAGTCCCACCATCATCCGCTCACCAAGACTGGCATCAAGCTGTTGGAGGAGACACTCCTTACTCTCGACCTTGTCAGCCCTGCTACTGTCAGCATCAACACCAATCTACTCCCCATCAACCTCATCAAGGAGCTTGATACATTTGATGGCTACTGTTGCAGTATCTGCGAGTATGCTGTCAAGTCGAGCTCCTCTGCATACAAGCACCAGCGCAGCAGCCATGATGGCAAGGCTTCTGTCATCCACCCTGTTCTCATTCAGCCCATCTTCACCAGTGGTCCCTTCACCTGCTATGTGTGGGTCTTCAACAGCAAGCTCGAGCCTACACCCCCTCCTGTTGCCTTCAACATCAACACAGAGGAGGACGCAGCTTTCAAGGAGCAGCTGGAAGCATTCTTTGCCAAGGATGCAGAGCTAATGGCAAAGGCAGATCTGGACATGGAGGGCATTCAACCATGAACTGTGACTGGCAATCTCAGCCCATGGCTCAAGCAGCTAGGCTGGCAGGAGTACTGGGCTGGCAAGCCAGTGGCAGCCATTGGTTCCCTTGGCTGCAACCCTCACAAGTGGCCAGGTGCCCACCAGGACTTCCTTCACTGGCTGCTTGGCATGACACAACAGTGTACACAGCAGTGGATGGAGGCACTTCTTCAATCTGGCTGCCAGGTGCAGCAAACCTTCCATGCCTTTGATGACACCCCTAGCCATCCATACTCCCTTGATCAACCCACAGTCATCAAGTGTGCTGACTGCTGGGCAATGCTCATCACCATGCTGGCTCATGTCATGCTAGATGGCAAGGTTCTTGGCTACTATGGTGATGATGATCAGGATGCACACCTTGGCATCAGTGAACAGCTTGCAGGGCTCTTTGAGGACCTTCAGGACCTCTTCCATGATCCCAATCTGGATGTTGATGTCTCCATGCATCCTGATGTGGTTTTGCAAGCATTTAGTGGCATCCAGTTGATCAGTGTCTACCTCATCACCCAAGATCCTCCTGCCTATGGTGAGCTGGAACGTCTTCCTCTGCTATGCACCTTCCTCCACCTCTGCCTCTCTCCTGATGGCACATCCAAGCCGGTCAATACAGCAACCTCGATCCTGGTCAACTTGGAGTTTGCATTCCGTGCAGTGATGCATCACCACCTTCTCCACCCAGAGCATGGCACTCTCATTGGCAAGCCAGTCCCAGAGATCAACAAGGGGGTTCAAGCAGTTATGAAGTGTTACCTGTTCAACAACAGCTACTCGGCAAGTGCTCATCTGCAATCCCTTCTCTGCTATGGGACCAAGCTGGCTAAGGATGATGGCAGCAGCCTCTACTTCTGGTGGTCTGAGGATAGGAAGCTGGTGACTTATGGCACCAACACAATCAAGATCAGCTGCCTTCACACCCTTGTCCAAGGCACCTTGGACTGTGCCACCTCTCTGTTGGAGCAGCTGCTGCTGAAGGATGGTGCCTTGTCTGAGCATGTGGATCTGTCTACATACAAGGACCACTTCTGCAACAGGGAGCCAGGCTACAGCTTTGTTACTGCTACAAAGCAAGATACTGGCACCTTTTGCCTCCGTCAGGCTCTCAAAGGCTTTCCTCAGCATCAACCACTCCTTGATACTTGCTCAGCAGAGCCAGAGTTTGACATGGCTGCTGCCCATGCCTACTTTGCCCTTCACAATGAGTTCAACAAGCTCCTTGCTGTGCTCATTGAGCTCACCAGTGGTCTGCCGGCAAGAGGCACAGAGCTGGTCAAGCTGCAGCACACCAACACATTGGTCAGCCAGCGCAACCTCTTCCTAGCCCTAGCCCTAGCCGGTGTGTCTTGCTTGCGGGCAACGCACACTTGCGCTCCGCCAAATTCGAAATTCACGCGACTGCGTTGACCCCCAATGCACTCGAAATTTACACTGCTCAAGTGCTGCAACGCAAACAAATTTATTTTCGCTGGAGCAGCGCAAATTGAGCAACGCACAGCTGGAGCAACGCACTCACAGCTGGAGCAACGCACACTCTGCTGGAGCAACGCACACTCTGCTGGAGCAACGCACACTCTGCTGGAGCAACGCACACTCTGCTGGAGCAACGCAATCTGAGCAGCGCACAGCTCGAGAGCAACGCACTGTTCGAGAGCAACGCACAGCTCAAGAGCAACGCACAGCTGGAGCAACGCAATCTGAGAAGCGCAATCTCATCAGCGAACTGCTGGACAGCGCACACTCTGTCGGAGCAGCACAATTGAGAGCAGCACAATTGAGAGCAGCGCAATCGAGAGGAGCGCTCACTCTGCTGGAGCAGCACAATCGACATGAGCGCAATCAAGACGAACACAATCGACAGGAGCGCAATCGACAAAAGTGCAATCAACAGCAGCTCAATGGACAGGAGCACAATCAAACGGAGTGCAAGTGACAGGAGCGAGCACTCTGCTGCAGCAGCGCAATCGAGAGGAGCGCAATCACGAGCAGAGCAGGAGAGAGGAGCACAATCGACAGTAGCGCAAGAGAGAGCAGAGCAGGAGAGAGCAGCGCATTCGAAAGTAGCGCAAGAGAGAGCAGAGCGAGAGAGAGGAGCGCAATTGAGAGGAGTGCAATCGAGAGGAGAGCAACCGAGAGGAGCGCAATCAGGAGCAGAGCAGCAGAGAGGAGCGCAATCAAGAGGAGCGCTCACTCTGCTGCAGCAGCGCAATCGAGAGGAGCGCAACCAAGAGGACCACAATCTACAGGAGCTCACTCGAGAGCAGAGCAGGAGAGAGCAGCGCAATCGACAGGAGAGCAATCTAGAGATGAGCAGCAGAGAGGAGCGCAATCGACAGGAGTGCATTCGACAGGAGCTCAATAAAGAGCAGCGCAATCGAGAGGAGCTGAATCGAGAGCAGAGCATTCGACAGGAGCACTCACTCTGCTGCAGCAGAGTAATCGACAGGAGCGCAATCAAGAGAAGAGCAATTGGCAGGAGCTCTATCGACAGGAGTGCAATCGACAGGAGCGCAATCGACAGGAGCGCAATCTACAGGAACGCAATCGAGAGCAGAGCAGGAGAGAGGAGGTCTATCGACAGGAGCGGAATCGACAGGAGCTCAATCAACAGGAGAGCAATCGACAGGAGCCAAATCGAGAGCAGAGCAGGAGAGAGGAGGTCTATCAACAGGATCTCAATTGACAGGAGCACAATCAGGAGGAGTGCCATTAAGAGGAGTGAAATCGAGAGGAGCTCAATCGAGAGCCGAGCAAGAGAGAGGAGCTCACTCGAGAGGAGCGCAATCGACAGCAGAGCAAGAGAGAGGAACGCAAGAGAGAGGAGCACAATCGACAGGAACTTTATCGACAGGAGCTTTATCAACAGGAGCTCATTGGAGAGGAGCGCAATTGACAGGAGCGCAATCGAGTGAAGAGCAGCAAAGAGGAGCGCAATCAAGAGGAGCGCAATTGACAGGAGTGCAATCGACAGGAGCGCAATCGACAGGAGCTCAATGCAGAGGAGCGCAAACGACAGGAGCGCAATCGAGAGCAGAGCAGGAGAGAGCAGCGCAATTGAGAGGAGCGCAATCGACAGGAGTGCATTCAACAGGAGCTCAATCAAGAGCAGCGCAATTGACAGGAACTCAATTGAGAGCAGAGCAATCGACAGGAGCTCATTCAACAAGAGCACAATTGACAGGAGCTCAATCGACTGGAGCGCTCACTCTGCTGCAGCAGCACAATCTAGAGGAGCTCGATCGAGAGCAGTGCACACTTTGCTGGAGCAGCACAATCAAGAGGAGTGCACTGCTGGACAGCACTCACTCTGCTGGAGGAGCACAAGTCGAAGGAGCGCAAGACTAACTGTCATTTCAAACCCGATCTAACATTTGGAGCACATGGACCGACATTTATTTTTGACTTGAAATACAATCTAACATTACCAAGACACGTCTGGAATTATGTGACCTCTATTTTGACCCAATATTTTCGCACCCTAGCCCTAGCCGGTGTGTCTTGCTTGCAGGCAACGCACAATTGCGCTCCGCCAAATTCGAAATTCACGCGACTGCGTTGACCCCCAACGCACTCGAAATTTACACTGCTCAAGTGCCGCAACGCAAACAAATTTATTTTTGCTGGAGCAGCGCAAATTGAGCAACGCACAGCTGGAGCAACGCACTCACAGCTGGAGCAACGCACACTCTGCTGGAGCAACGCAATCTGAGCAGCACACAGCTCGAGAGCAACGCACTGTTCGAGAGCAACGCACAGCTCAAGAGCAACACACAGCTCAAGAGCAACGCACAGCTGGAGCAACGCAATCTGAGAAGCGCAATCTCATCAGCGAACTGCTGGACAGCGCACACTCTGTCGGAGCAGCACAATTGAGAGCAGCGCAATTGAGAGGAGCGCAATCGAGAGGAGTGCAAGCGACAGGAGCGAGCACTCTGCTGCAGCAGCGCAATCGAGAGGAGCGCAATCACGAGCAGAGCAGGAGAGAGGAGCACAATCGACAGTAGCGCAAGAGAGAGCAGAGCGAGAGAGAGGAGCGTAATCGACAGGAGAGCAATCTAGAGACGAGCAGCAGAGAGGAGCGCAATCGACAAGAGTGCAATCGACAGGAGCACAATCAAGAGGAGTGCAATCGACAGGAGCAAGCACTCTGCTGCAGCAGCGCAATCGAGAGGAGCGCAATCGACAGGAGCTCACTCGAGAGCATAGGAAGAGAGAGGAGCGCAATTGATAACAGCACGGAGCTCAATCAATAGCAGCACAATGGACAGGAGCGCAATCGAGAGCAGAGCAATCGACAGGAGCGCAATCGACAGGAGCTCATTGCAGAGGAGCGCAATTGACAGGAGCGCAAACGAGAGCAGAGCAAGAGACAAAAGCGCAATTGAGAGCAGAGCAGGAGAGAGGAGCGCAATCGACAGTAGTGCAAGAGAGAGCAGAGCGAGAGAGAGGAGCACAATTGAGAGGAGCGCAATCGAGAGGAGAGCAACCGAGAGGAGCGCAATCGGGAGCAGAGCAGCAGAGAGGAGCGCAATCAAGAGGAGCGCTCACTCTGCTGGAGCAGCACAATCTAGAGGAGCTCGATCGAGAGCAGCGCACACTTTGCTGGAGCAGCACAATCAAGAGGAGCGCACTGCTGGACAGCGTAATTAAGAGGAGCGCACTGCTTGACAGTGCACACTCTGTTGCAGAAGCCCAACTCAGAGCAGCGCAATCGAAAGCAGAGCAAGAGAGAGGAGCGCAATCGACAGGAGCGCAGGAGAGAGCAGAGCAGCTGAGAGGAGCTCTATCAACAAGAGCGCAATCGACAGGAGAGCAATCGACTTAGGGTTAGGGTTAGGGTTAGGGTTAGGGTTAGGGTTAGGGTTAGGGTTAGGGTTAGGGTTAGGGTTAGGGTTAGGGTTAGGGTTAGGGTTAGGGTTAGGGTTAGGGTTAGGGTTAGGGTTAGGGTTAGGGT